GGGGACGGGCCTGAAAATGGAATAGCGCGAATGACTCAGCACCTGCAGTACAAAACGAAGAACCATGGCCGCTGTCGTGGGTCAGCTACGTGACGAGTCGGTAGTTAACTATGGGAGGTTTATGTCTATGGTGAAGCAAATATTGTTCTAGAATAAACAATTTACTGCTGGTAGAAATTTGAGTATTTTGGTCATCGATGCATGAGTTAGTTGTGAGTCATATATAATATACAGAACAGGATATACCAGTACAGCATGCAAATCCCTGACCTTGCCTGCTATGCACTGCCCGTGATGAAATGATCCATGCCAAATACCATACCAAAACCGAACAAGAAGAGTAGAGAGTTCCACATAGCAACAAAAATAATTTAAATATATTCAAGAATTCCGCTCATCCAACGTGTCAGCCCCTTTAAGGAGTGGGCTGGAGAAAAAAAGTATGCGGCCGTCAAGAGAGGTGAAGATCAAAATGAAATATAACACCCAAAAGTTTTCTTTTTATCCGAACAAAAACGATGAATGAATTTAAGCAGAGGGCTTCTTCGATCCACGAAGCTTAGGGTTGCTAGCAGCAGCACGCTGTTTCTGCTTTGTTCGCGAAGAGTTGGCGTCACCACCCTCGATGAACTTCAACAGTTCATCGATGCTTCGCGAATCCATGGACGCATTAGAGGCTTCAGCGGGTGTAGCAACCTCGGCTGTAGATTGGCCAACTTGGGGTTGGACCTTGGTTCCCAGAGACCGGGTGTTCATGTTGATACGACGCAGACGGCGGGCTTGGATGTCTTTGGCGTGCTTGGCGATAGAGACAGCGTTCTGGGTGAGCTGCTCGAGCCAGGTCTCAGCCTCCTTGGTGTTGCGGTCCTCGGGGCCGAGCTGACTGAGGAAGATGTTGTAGGCATCGCGCATCTTGCCGACAGCAGCCTTCGAGTCCTGGTCAAGGGCCAATGCCTGTGCGAGCTGGAACAAGATCGTCGCGGTGTTGATGGACTGCTTGCCAAAGAGAGATTCGCAGACCGACAACGATGCCTCGAACCATTTCCTAGAGTCGGTGTACTGCTTCAGGTGCTGAAGCATCACGGCAGCGTTGTTCATAGTAGTAATTGAGTCAGGGTGGTTGGCGCCGAAAATGATCTTCCACAGGTCCATGGCATGCTTGATGTACACCAAGGCAGTCTTGGTATTGCCGGAAGCGTGCTCAAAGAGACTGAGGTTGAGATAGCTCAAGATCGTATCTGCAGAATCAACACCAAGTGTGCGCTCAGTGACAATGACTGCCTTCCGAGCCAGCTCGACAGCGGCATCTTTCTCGTCCGTTTGGTAGTAGAGCATAGACAGCTGGTGATAAAGCTTCGCGACCTCAGGGTGGAGAATACCGTAGATCTGCTCGTGCAGGGACAAAGACTCCAGGATGAGTTCTTGGCCTAGCTGCTTCTGGTTCTGCATGAGAGAGATGCGTCCAGCTTCCAGGGCCTCCTCAGCAAGTGAGCTTCGGGGAGAGGCGTCCTTGACCAATGGGACGATGTTGACAATGTCGTCGGGGACAAATGTGACGATTGCCTTCTCCTGAACGGCAGCACGTGCGGGGGAGCCCGAGTCACCGCCCTTCTTCTTCTTTTTCTTGCCCTCATCCTGTCCAGCACCATTGACGCCGTTGGTGGCGGGTAAGGCTTTCCGGAGACCTTCGGCCTGGGCCTTGGTAAAAGCAAAATCGCGTGCACCCAGCTGAATACCGAGCTTAATAGCGACATCGCGGAGGAGTTGTAGGTGTCTTAGGGAGTTGAACCACCCAGATTCCAAAGTGAAGTGGTATCGGAGAGCAACCTGCTTCTCGATCTCTGCCCGCAGAGAACCAGGAGTGACCTTCTCAAAAGAGAAGTCCCCTTCGGGGTAGATTTCGCGGAGAGATGAATCAATTTCAGCGCGAGGTGCGGCATTGACATCAGCACCGAGGAGGCAGTTCAACAAGTGGGCAGCGCATGACGCGGCGAAAGGCCCAGGAACGTTCCGCAGCTTCTGGTTGGCAATGTGCTTGAACGCACGAGCAACCATCTCCTGCACTAGCAGGGTGGAAAGAGCATCGAGGCGGGAGCCCTTCTCCTTGGCCAGCTTGGCCAAGCTGCCCAGGTAGCGGATGTTGATACCACGCTTGTGCAATAGCTGGCTAAGAGACTGGCCATCCATTGGGAAGCCGACGTCACCATCGTGCAGATCTTGAACCAACTCTGGCATAACCTTGGACCGCAAGAAATCACAGGCTTCACGAACCTCCTTCTCATCTTGGGCCCACTGCTCCTTCTCTTCATCGGTCTGAGGCACCTGGCCGCTGAAGACGTCAGGGTTGAGCGCGAGGTTGAATCCCGAAATATCAACACGCTCCTGGTCCTGGGACTCCTCACTCTTCTCCTCAGAGCCTTCCTCCTTTGCTTCATCGGACTTTTCCTTCTTCTCGGCAGTTTCCTCGGCCTTGGCGCTACGGCGGCGTTCCACTTCGGCCTTCACGTACTGGCTCATCTTGTGCCTCCAGTAAGACTCAACAAGCTCCAGTCGAAGAACGGACATTCGGTGAGGGTACGAGTCGCTACCCTCTTCCTCTTGCCATTCTACATCAAGTGGGGTTACGCGGTAGAGGTCAAGAACGTATTTGCGGCCGTCAGTTCCCAGAAGACCTTTGGTTTCCACACTACCTTCGAGGTCATGGCGCTCATCTTCTTTGTCCCAGACAGCGTGCTTCTTGATTCTCAGAGCCTTAGACAGCTTCTCAAAAACAGAGACGAAGTCGGGGTGAGTGGCGACGACATCTTTGCCCTCAACACCACCATAGTCGATCTGGTGCTCACCGGGTTCACGCTGCTTGAAAATACCGGGGACGATACTTTGTCCGACAATGCGCTTGCCCATGTAGTCAACTACAATGGTCCCTGGTGTAAACAGGCCGTTGATGTCAAGCTGGTTGACGGCCTTGATACCAAGAACATCCTTGCCGACCGCAACGCGTGCGGCTTCGTCACCGCCCTCGGAAGCAAAAGTCCCAACGCCATCAGCACCGAACGAGTAGAAGATATTGTTGTACACAAAGATCTGAGCGTCTTGGGCCTCTGTGGGGTTGAGGGGAGCGACTTCTCCACGGGCAACTAGGACAGCGCCGCGGGCAGCGGCTTCGTTGTAGTCAGCAAAGAGCTTCGACGTAAGACGCTCGCGGAAGACGCGGTCTTGCACAGTCTCGCGGGGCAGTTCCTTGGTGGTCTGGAACTCCTCGTTCCAGTCTCGCAAGGTCTCGGCATTGTCCACACCAGAAATGAGGTAGTTCTCCTGAGAACGGGTGATATCTGGCTGGTGGGCGTTCACATTGGATGTCGGAGGTGAGACAAGCCATGGGCTGGACGGGATAGAGTTCTGGAAAGGGAATGTCGTTAGGAGGTCTTTCTGGTTATTCGATTCCTGCAGGGCCTGGAAAGCAGAGTCGAAAGAAGGAGAGAGCTGAGAGATCAGGTTGAGCAGCGAGTGTGCGCTGCCCTTCTTAGGGACAGTCTTGGGGAAAGGATCGAATTTGGTGTTGGAACACTTGTTCACGTAGAACCCAGAAACGTGGGAGGTGACCTGGAACTGTTCTCCTTCGTTGGTCGTCACCTGGAGGTAGAGAAGGTGGCCCTTCTGCCGGAGGTGGTAAGGTGGCGGGTTCCACGGAGAAAGAGAGATCGATTTGATGGTTTTAGGAGCAGGAGCCTCCGCCCTGGGAAGAATGGTCTTCAAGGAGGAAGTGCCTGAGATCTCGTATTTGGTCAGAGAATGCTCCTTTTCTGTGTTTTCTCCACCAATCTCGGCAGCGATGGAGTCGTGGAGCGACAATCCAGCACTGACACCTTGGAGGTTGTCAATTCGATCACCCGCAGCTCCGAGCAGCTCCCTTAGGCGAACGACGTGCATACGGGCATCCTTCTCGGTGTAGGGATCCTCAACCAGGACGATCTCCGAATCCGCCTGCAAATCCGGAACCTCGGACAGCTCGACGAAGTCGTTGATACGGTTTCCATTGAACTCGAGATGGAAGCAAGTGTATTGGAAGGTGCCGGGCAACTCGACGATCGATTGACGGACATCCTGGACCTGTTCTTGGCTGGAAACCTAAACAACTGTCAGAATCCATCACACAATTTACTTATTCACTCGTTAGATAGAACACACCATCACCTGGATCTTGTAAGGTTCGTGGGGAAGCTTGACGGAGATCTGAAAAAGGCCTGTTGGTGGCATGTTCTGTCAGTTTGTTTGTCTCGACGAAAACAGTTGGGGGCTTCATGGACTGCACATACCGCCAGCGCCATCCTCCTCCTGGGCAACCTCTTGGTTGTCTCCATTGGCAATTTGTTCGGGAGACTCTGTTAGATGGATGAGCCTTAGGATATCTCGGAATACTCGGTGACAACAAACCTTTTGAGTGTTCTCTTTCACCATTGGTCTGTGCCATGATTACGAATTATCGAAGCTGGGGATGAACTGAGGATCGAGCTTCAAGAATAATTGAGGTTTCCGGTGACCGTGTGGGTAAAGCTCCGGAGAACGGAGAAAGGAAAAAAAAAATTCGGGAAAGATAGCGGGAACGGCGGGAAGAAATGAAGGGGATTAAGAAGATAATATACAAAGGAGAAGGGCAATTGAGTCAAGCAACCACCCTATATCCAAGCAAATGCATCAATCAAACCCCGGAGTATGAAGAAGACGATCGAAACGAAGAACGAAGCCGGTTTGAAGCTGGATGGGGAGAGGAAAATTTCTCGGATGCGGATGCGGAAGATCCTCGGAAGTCCTCGGGCGGTAGGAAGTCCTTGAACACTACTCTCCCAGTGTCCCCACAAACATCTCCAAACACTTCCCTGCCGAGTATGTCGGCCTTCGTTTTATTCCGACCTTAGTCGTTGGCTGGCAGTGCGTGGTAGATATGGTTTCTGCTGGCGATAAGCCTGGGGTTATGCTTTTTTGCTACAAGCTTAAAGTTCACGCGACAGTCACCCCGGATTCCCCGTGACGGGTTCCGGTACAGCGGAGTTCATTCGGCTCTATGGAGGCATCAACCTAGAGGACTTCACGGTACAAATGTTTTGCAGACAATGACATGGCCAACCCAGCTTTTCCCCCATCAAAACTAGCATCAGAGCAGCTCACTAAAACCCGAAGTTGCTTAAAGCTAGATCAGCAAAACGGTGTAGGCCTTGATCATACGATATCGGCAGGTGTGAGGGAGAAAGTAAAGCAACGTTGGCATATGAACAGGCGTCATGGACCTTTACCAAAACGACCTGCATAGTTAGGCATTGACGGCATACATAAAAGGTTGTTGCACGGCCATCAAATTCTTAGTCCTCGACACTAAGCGAGGTCAATGAAAGAGATCTTCAACTTTTTATCCTTGTATTCGTCTTTGATCAGTGGTTTGACGTCCTTTTCGTCCTTTATAACTTTATCACCGTCGTCGTCGTCATCGTCATCGTCGTCATCGTCAACGATATGATATTGTCTTTTTGCTTGGTTTATTGGGGAGTCGGCAGCAGCTTTTCCAGCCTTTGTAGGTGTCCTAGTTGATGGAGTCCGCGGCTTCCCCGAGCTACCAGCAGGAACGCCAGCTTCGCGACGGAGCTTGCAAATATGGTTTTTTAACGCAGGAACCGAGCAACCTGCCATTATCAGTAGAGCTCCTTCAGTCGTTGCTGGTGGCGTCGTACCCGACCCCATGAAGGCGGCTAAAGCCTTGTAGTCCAACCGTTGCATCTGGGCTAGAATACCCATGAGTAGCTATAAGGTGTCAGCACCAGAATATTGAGCTGAGTGTGTGGATATGTACTCTAGCCTCGGCTTCAGCGTTCCAGTGTATAGCCATATCGTCCAGGGCTTTGGGCGGGTCAAAGTTCACGGTTATATGGAGTCACTAGTAGAGCCCGGAATGATCTTTGGGAGGACAAGACGGAGACTTTTAGGAGAAGAAAAAGCAGAGAGAGGAGAATAAGAAAGAAGTTTATTACGAGAATACAACATTCTCATCTGTTGCGTGTTCCCTCAGTCAAGTGTTGAGCACATTGACGGAAATGTGTTATTTCGGGCATCAGGAGGGGTTGAAAAAGGGAAACATATATTTATGCTGGATCTTTTCCAGGCATATAATCTTTGTATAGATCTCGCTTGATGTTGTTTTTATTTGTTTTTTTCTGCTGTATTGTCCGGTGTCTCCCAGAGTTTCAATTCATTGTGACTGGTGTAGACCCGAAAGGAGGCGGTTGTCCTGCTTGAAGCAGCCATGCCGAGACGCCCGGGCCAACTCATCACTTTCCCCCCTTCATTTTCTCGCGGTATTGAGGTGGAGCTGGATTAAAGCTGAGCGGAATCATTTGCAACAAAGATAGAGTAGATTCTCTCGCCACAGTCCTCAGCCTCAGGTAATACAAGATTGTCATCGTTCGCCGCCAAGGAGGGGTCGATCTGCACCGAGACTCCATCGATCTGAGGCGCAGCACAACCAAAGCGAATTTAGCTCCGGTTTGCGACACCAACAATCATCATCGGATCCATCTCTTTTGCCTTTTCCTTTCTCACATTTACCCTTTGTCTTGCTGTCTTGGTCCCTTCATTCTTTTCTCCCCACTTCCCACCGTCTACACTCTTTACGTGGCTGTATTTTCGCTGGGGAATCTTCTCTGGTCAGGCACCGTTGATTTCTGCAGCTTGCACCCCTTAAATGCTTCTATTGCTTGGCTCTTTTTATACACAGCTTTCAGAACTGAGGCTTCAAGCACAACGGTTTTGATCCACACCGCCATTCCTTCGTATTGGTTTCTCACTCTAATTTTTCCCTCAATTTATTTATTATCGCTATTGTTCATTTTTCTCCCTATTCAATTCACCTCCAACAATGTTTTGTCGGAGTGTTCAGCGATACTTTGTATCTGCACCCCGAGTGCGGCCATGGGTACCGCGAAGGCCGCCAGGCAGGGCGTCGGCCTATTCCGGCCAAAGTTTTTCTCAGAACTCTCTTCCTGGTGGTCCTGACCCTACCGACCAAGCGGACCAAGATGACCAGGGAGGCAAGAAAGGCCAGCCCAATGATGACCAGGATCCTAACCTCAGATCAACGATTCTGAAGATGATGGAGTCGGCCGCCACCACTTTTGCGTCAATTGCTGTTCTAGGGTACTTATCCCTCTACACTATCCTCATAGCGGCTGTTTACTGATCAACAATAGCATTGCTGGATTCTCGTATCATAAATACTACAAGTATCTCATTTTACAGAAGATGGAGAATGCTTTTGAACCCGGCGATCCCGCGCTAGAGGTGGCTGGCGTGGAGACTGGAGCCCGTCAATACCACCACGACGAACATTGGTTCGTGAGAAACGAACAGGAACTGATTGACAAAATCATCGCTGGTGAAATCCCGGGCCATTACTATTTACTGGTCGGCGAGAAGGGCACCGGGAAGACGTCTATGCTTCTGGAGGCCATGCGCAAAATTAATGGAGATGGGTGCTCGATCTTTGATGCCCACGGTGATCAGGAGATCTTCCGGATTCGACTTGGAAAGGCGCTTGACTTTGAATTCCATGAGGAGTACGCAGACCCCCTTCGCCCTTTAAGTTTTGCGCCATGATAAATGCTGACGTATCTGTTACAGTTATATTGGCAGTCTTTTTAGTATTAAAGGACCAAGGGATACCACCGCGCTTTTGGACATAGAGCGTGCATTCAACAAGTTAGAGAAGGTCGCAATGAAAAGGAGGCGCCAGGGGAAACCCCCGCTCGTATTGATCATCAATAGCGCGCACATGGTCAGGGACGATTCCGACGGCCAGGACCTTCTCGAGATGATCCAGCAACGAGCCGAGCAGTGGGCAGCGAGCAATCTTGTTACGACTGGTAGGCACTCAACCATTATCACCAAACGTTTCGACGCTGAATGTTGCTAACACACCGGACCATACAGTCTTCAACAGTGATGATTACTGGGTCTATGAGAGGTTGAAGCGATACGCAACAAGAATGGAAACAATCCCAGTTGTGGATCTTCCTAGAGACAAAGCAATGGCTGCGTTGAGGAAATATCGCAGAGATTATTGCAACGAGCACCTATCGGACAAGGTTATTGGAGAAATATACGATAAAATAGGGGGTCGCCTGTCCTACCTCAGCAGGGTCGCAAAGGCTCGGGATCCCATAGACCTGTGCGACACTATATGCGAAGCAGAAAAGACATGGTTCCTTAACAAATGCTGGATCCTTGGTGAGGAGATGGATGACGATGTCATGGACCAGCAGAAGTATGCTGTAAGTGTGCACTGATTCGCTGGTGGGGTTTTCTTTTCTAACGGAAAAATAGTCCGCGGCTATGGTGATGGCCAAGGCACTGGTGGATAAGGAAAAGGAAATGGAAAAAGCATACGACGATGATGGTGGCCATATACTTCCGGAAATATCACTCCACGAAGCGCGACAGATTATGACTCGGGCCGACTTTATCCAGAGTTACGACCACGAAAATATCTTCACTATCAACTGGCGCGCCATGGTCCGAGCCGATTCGGTACCCATGCAGCGCGCATTCCGTGAAGTTTGCGCCGAGCCCGGATTTGATGAGTTCCTGGAAGCCACGTTGGATCGTATCAGCGACATTGAGAGCTTGGGACGTACCCGAGAACTTACCATCAAGGATCTCTGGAACCAAGGGAAATACCAGGTAGCGATGCGGGATGCCAAGGGCCGCGAGCAGGGGACTATTGAATTCTTCACCAAGCCAGAAGAGAAAGAGAAAGATGACGAATGACTAGCAGTGAGCCATCTTCAAGGCTTTGAAGATGTAAGAGAGATGTTTATGAAATGTTTGAATAAGCCGCGGCTTGGTGTTAGATACCCCGGTGGCCCTGTACCATAATTATTCGTACAATGATGATATATTAGCCATATACTGCTTATTTCCTCCTTAACAACTTCAAAGGCCATTTTCGTCTTGTCTAGTCATCAGGAAGCGTGGGGTAGGCGGTGAGATAGTAATCTATAAAGGCTGAAACCAAGATTAGTTATATAGTTAGTGTTTACATCAGGATATGTTGGAAAGCTTGGACTCAGAAGCGAACGAGGTCGTAATCCTGAAAGAATAATCCACATTGGCCCAACGCCTTGTACCATGGAAGCGCAGTCTCAATCTTGACTTCCTTGATCGTGATTATCTCAATGACGTTTAGTGTTAAGTGACATCATCACATGCTGACCGCCCAGCTGCATTCCTCCCTCCTTCTCATACAATCAGGGCTTTCCTAATTTCTTCTTTTCGCAAACTCTGATTTTCGGTCCTCTGTCATTCGAAGCTGCCTCTTCCCACGTAGTATCGCGCAATAATGGCTCCCCGCAAGAAGGATGCCGCTGCGACCACGAGTCCGCAAAAGTCCTACGCCGACGCCGCCAAAGCACCCCCGCCAAAGACATTGGTGGAGCGAATTCCATCTCCCGCACGCCTTTTGCTTGTGGTTGTCAGTAGCTTAGCTCTCAGCTCGACTCTCTTCACTCTCACGTCGCGCATCACTCTCGGCGAATTACGTTTTATCAGCAGGCACCTCGAGGAATGGTGGGAAGTATGGGGTCTAGTGGCATGGAAGGCCGTCGAGGTTGGGCTCGCTTGGGTTTTGGGGTTTGATGGTAAGTTGCATATATCGAGCTATCTTGCCGGTAGGTCCTGGTCTAATAATTTGAGTATAGGCCGCGATGTTTTAAACTTCTCCTTCCTGACCAACCTGCCGACTTATATGCTTCTCGCATCGTTCTATGCTGTACGACCAACAACGATCCTCGCGTCTTTCGCAATCGTCCTGTTTTCTACCACCGTACCATTTGTCTTCCTACGTAAACCCAATCTCATCCATAGCTTGTCTCACGCACACCCTGCCGCCGTCTCTAACCGTGGCATCCTGCAAGATTGGGGGATCACTATATACACCACTGTCCTTGCAACCGCCATCTACACGGTGACCTTGTATCTCAGCTACGAAACATGGCTCCCCGCCAAGCTCGTTGTGCATTTTGAAAAGCTCCCTAACATCTCGAAAGTCCATGCTGGCCCCGCCGGCTTGCCCTTGCTATTCGCTTCGCTTCTCCCGGCAGGCTGGGCAGCTAGGGATTTCCTCTTTGCCAGCTCCACTGGCACGCCCGCATCTCAGGATGACAATGGAGGGAAAGCGGAGACCACGTCCAAACAGGGAGAGTACCTTGCCTGCGCTATTTACCGAAAGACCTGGGGCACTCTTTCACGGAGAACTAGAGTTCTCGTATCCCGAACCGTGGCTCTTGCTGCAGTTACGATGGTCAACACATTCGTCCAAGTTGCGGGTACTATTCGTGGTGCTAGCTTTGAGGGAGCCTCGGCTTGGGGGTTCGTTTGGACATTAGGTACTTCGATCGTGGGATTGGTGTATCGCTGGATTGAAGCTGTTGACGGGCTCTAAATGCAATGTCGGGTCTATTGTCCCTATCTCTCTCTTCTCCCTTTCAGCTCTGTGGTTAGTTTTTGCACGTTAACCTAGCGAATTCGAGCGGGAGAAAACTGTCTTAATTATCGGATTCAGCCTGGAGTTTGTGCGCAACTTTATCTTTCTCGTTTATCCTGTTTCTATTTCAGGGTTGTCTTATTCTCAGTGTACCGAGTATACGAACATAGGTGGTAGTAATAATTTCGTGATGAACTTTTCTATTCTAACAAGCATGGCTCTTTACAAATAGTGTACTGTAAGATATACGCCATAGCAGAAGTCAACCTATTTACCTCCAAATTCTAATATTTATAACCAAAAAAGGCCAATGGTATATCCGACGCACGCACGCAAGCAAAAACCGCATCCCTCATTAAAGCGCCAAACTCAAAAAAGACAACCGAAATGCGAAGTGTAGACGACAAGGACAAGGCAAATCTAATTCCAGAAAATCAATTCAATAATGTGGAGTCTGACGCGGGGACCGAAGCTCCGTGAAGCTCCCCGCGTCACCATCGACCTTCGCTCGGACGGCGCTCCTCGCGCCGGGGAGGAGCCAGCCAGGGTGAAGGAGGTTAAAGATCGCGACAGCAAGCACCATCATTGCGCCGTCGAGGGCAATGAAATACCGCTCTGTTGTGATGAGGTACCCAGTCCAGCCCTGGAGGAGTTCGATGGTACGATAGATGCTGCGGACATAGATACAGGCAACGGAGAAGATCATGGCGCCGAGGAGGGGCACGACGGTGCCCTTGAGGGACGGGAGGAGGTTCTTGCGAATGGTGCGACGGACGAAGTCAGCGCCGCAGAGGACGAAGACGGTGATCGAGGCCATTTGGAAGATAATTCCTGCCACCATGATGTTCGTGCCTGGGGTGGTGTTGCCGTTTTCCTTGGCTGCTGCGACGGAGGCCATCCCGCCGCCGATGGCTTGGACGACTAGGGAGATTACGTCGCAGGTGACGAAGACGAAGAGGTAGACTCTTGGGCTTAGGACTGAGGAGTCGCGGCCTAGGATTTGGATGAAGCGGCCGAGGAGGACGTAAACGCCTGCAGTGTAGAAAGTGGGAGCTGATGGGGGTGTTAGTTGGTTTACTTGGGACCTGGGGCAGGGGAGGTGCGTTGGTCGATCTTACCGATGATCAAGGTGGTAATCTGCATTAGAAAGGCGTTGGTGTTGTATGGACATTTCGCAGACCAGGTACGGCCAACCCATCCTATGACTTCGGCTGTTGCGAGGCTGGTATCAACAAATGCCCTATGCTGTATAGTAACGTACTTGGGGTGGGCTGCTTACTGAGACTTCCAACGGCGAATACGGAGCACCACCAGGTCCTTTTCCAGGCCATTTGTATTGTGTGACCGACCATAGTGAGGCCAAAGAGGACGAGAAAGACAATGCCTGCTGCGAACGAGGGCGGATAGCCGTACGGGGTGCCAAGTCCTTCGATATAGTCATGACAGCCCATTTGCATCTGCTTTCGGAATTCATAGGGAATAGTGCCGTTCACAATAGGTATGCCATTGGGGGTTGTGCCGTCCATCTTCAAGGCCGTCGTCGTGGATGGAAAGGAAAGATGTTTCGACTTTCGAGCCAGGAGGGCGAGACGGGGGACTTAAAGTTAAGGGAGGACCTGATCGACTATGGTGCACGGGCTCTATATTGGTCGAGTTTCAAACCGCGAGTGAATTGGGGGCCGAAGATCTAGATATAGCAAAAGAATGACAGGACTGGGGGCTGAGAAGCCGGTAGCGACTATTTAATGAGAAACGGGGTGAAAATAAACAACTGAGAGAGATGAGATATCAGATTCAAGTGAAGGGCTTGGCCGTGAGGTCTGACAGCCTTGAAACGTTCAATGACGCGAAACCCGATCGTGAGCTACTGCTAGTGCCGGTTTCTGCGCCTGCGAAAATCCTGCACCGTCACCACTACGAGTAAGACAAAGTCGGAGACGGATAGATTTGTATGCCCGCCGTTCTCCAGCAGTTCTGCCTAGGCTTCGGCTGCTGGGGCAGTCCCGCAAAGAGGGCTCTGTGATTGCTTGACTGTGGCGCTGGCCCTCGGCCGGACTGCATGTTATTCGGCAGTTCAATGCCCGGTGGGTTCTGTCTTGGAAGAGCCCACACAGCGTTGTCAGATTGTCGCAAGGTCGTTTGAAAAGAGTTTAGCTGCTGGTGGAAGTTGGCCCGAGCCAGAGAAAAAGTCGGGGGCCGTCATGCATGCTTCACTGGCCAAAATATTAGTATAGTAAATAATGTCAAGGTGCGCCTCGCCCTGAAAAGAGGCCGAGCCTGGAGTGCTACCAGGTTTTCACAGAGTTTGAAAAGGGTTTAGGTTCTGATGGATTGAAAGTTGGTCTGAGCCAGATCCAAGGTTGAGTGCCAGGACCAGGAACGTTTGAACGTGAAACCCTGTCAATTGTCACCTCATCACGTTGTCCCCATTGGCACGTGGTGTTGGCAGTTCAACGCTTGCAAGTTGGACCAAACACACTGTTCATAATCAGCAACTTTCACCCAAAGGCCCGAAAATATCGAGAAGCTTCACCACGTCGAAGTCCAATGCGAAAACATGAATGGGTAGAGAGTTGGAGAGACTATATATTAGTATCTCCATCCTTCACTATGGAAATCGATGGCGATCAACGGCAGAAACTTAAAAATTCGGCATGGGGTGTCACATTCAAGTGATTCAACGAAACGAATCTCAAACACGGCTGAGGCAGCGACCGTCGGCGAAGCAGCCTCGGGAAAGATCCCAGGCTGCTTGGCCGCCGAAGCATCATGGATAGACGAGTCGCCGGACTCGACCAGGCGATAATCACAATTTAAGGTGGAAAGAATAAGGCTGATCTGACAGGGTCGTTATATCAGCACGTTCCAGTTTCTTGACAAGCCCCTGAATGCTTCGGTTTCCTGCTGCTCATTATTCAAAGCCGATGATCTTCTACGGTCTTGGTACAGGAGACTTCAGTGCTACTACTACTGCCACTGCCACCAGCCCTTATGTATCGGTGTCATTAAAGTTGTCATGTCTATGATATTCGCTGATATGTAGAACTTGAGAAACGAAACAGGTGGGGGATCCCCACTCTAGTCAAACGAGGGCATATCATACGCATCGTCACGATCTATGAAGGTCAGTATGGGTCGGTAGAACGAGCCAGTTTCTACTCACCTTTGCGGTTCGCAACGATGTATTTCCGCGTCTCAGCGATTTCGTGATCGAACTCCGAACAAAGCTCTTGCTGTCGCACCTGCACCCGCTCGTTCCACTTTGCTCCTCCGGTGACTGCTGCTTTAGCTACGTGGTAGCGGGACACCTCATTTACAAGCATCATGTCAAATGGAGTAGTGGTGCTACCCTCTTCATTATACCCGTTAATAGTAGCCCGGTGGATACGAGGACGACCGAAGAGCAGACTCTTGAGCTCGGCCGCATACCCGTGGAAGTTGAAGTGGATGGGTCGGTCCTCTGTGAACATGTTGTCGAATGCCTCGTCCTTCAGAGCGTGAGGGTGGAGGCCTTCATTCTCGAGGATAAACAGGTCCGTCACGTTGATAACGCGAACGCGGAGCTCGGGACAACGTTGTCGCAAGATTGCCGCCGCATAGATGACCTCAAACATCAGCTCGACACCGATTCCGACAAGCACCACGTCGGGACGGATTCCGTCCTCGGTACTGCAGAACTTGAAGACCGAGGCACCGGCTCTGCAGTGACTTTCGGCTTCCTCAGGACTCAAATATACTGGAGTCGGCTGCTTGGAGCCCACCATGAGGTTGATGTAATTCTTTGATTTCAAGCAGTGATGCACAGTGGTGAGGAATGTGTTGGCGTCTGGCGGCAAATAAACGCGAGCAGCGTACGGCTTCAGGTTGAGGACAGCGCCGATGAAAGATGGGTTTTGGTGGGAAAAGCCATTGTGCTCCTGCCGCGCCCAGGTGCTGGTCTCGATATAGTTGATGCTACTTACAGCGTGGTGCCATTTGGTTTCCCGGGCCTGTCGACTCTGTTAGCTTCTATACCATCGAAGTGCGCTTGATGAAACCCTACCATTTTTGCGAATTTGGCATATTGGACCATCATGGTATGGACGATGCCCAAGAAACTCTCATACGACGGGAAGATGCCCACTCGGCCAGTTAACGTATATCCCTGCATGAAGCCCTGACACAGGTGCTCGCTCAGGACTTCAATCACCCGCCCGCCCTTCGCATTAGAGTATTCATCCCATTGGAAGTTCCTCCCGGTATGTTTCAAAGCGTCGCTCAACTTATTACTCTCCAACTCATCCGGCGAGAACAATCGAACAAGGTGGGGGTTCTGGACGAAAACCTGATCAATGAACTTCCCAATCGTCTTCATCGCACTGAATTGTTCTCCTTTAGACACGCAAAACTGTCTCCAGTCTGGAAGGTCCGGAGCTATATAGCTCTTGTAGGCCTCAGGTCGCATACCAAGTTTTTTGTCGTCAGGAGGGATAATGGATTTGATTTCGTCAATGACGTCGCCATCGTCTGTGAAGAGGTTTTCCGGCTTGTACGAAGACAACCACTTCTGCAGAGCCTTGAGTTCCTCGTCGTCCTTCTTGGCATTGGGAAGAGGAACCTGGTGAGAATGGAACGACCCCTCAATGAACTGACCGTGCAGTTCTTTCGGTCCAGACCAGCCCTGAGAAACACATCAGCCGCGTTATCATCGTGGTTCCCGTGGATAACTTACCTTTGGCGTCCGCAATACGATCATAGGCCATCTCGGCTTCATAATTGGCTTTCCAGACCGCGCGGCCTTTTGGATCTTGCGGATTTCCTCAACAGCCCAGAGCATAGAGCTGTGGAGGTCATTGTCGATGTCATTGAGGTCCTCGACAATGCGCACTTGGTACCCGTAGCCCGTAAACAGGCAAACGATCTCCCTGTTGTCCATACAACCAAAAATCGTGCGCTCGCTGATCTTGAAGCCATTGACGTGCAGGATTGGAAGCACCGCCCCTGATTCTGCGGGATCAATGTACTTGATTGCGTGCCATGATCTGGCCCGGTTAGTAAAAAAAGGTCCTTGCTTTCCCACATTTCCATGCAACACTTACGTAGCTGTGGGACCAGTCTCTGCTTCTCCATCTCCCACCACACAAGTGACGATCAAGTTGGGGTTATCCATAACCGCGCCAAAGGAGACAGACAGCGCATAGCCAAGCTCGCCCCCCTCGTGAATCGCACCAGGAGTCTCAGCATTGATGTGGCTTCCCAAACGAATTAGCCTGGCTCTATAATTGGCTTGACACATATATACACACTAACCTTGGCAACCCGGCACTGGTACTGAAGGTCGAAATGAGGTTATGAAGACCTTCCTTATCCTTGGCGTACTCGGGGTAGAATTTCCCAAGGGACCCTTCTAGCCACAACGAAGCCAGCAACGCAGGCGCTCCATGGCCCGGACCAACAACATACAGCATGTCGAGGTTCTGTTTCTTGATGATGAAGTTAAGGTGGGAGTAGACGAGAATTAACCCGGGACATGTCCCCCAGTGTCCTGTGCGCGTTAGTTAGTATATATGATACGCAATTGACACAACGATCAATGTCTACTAACCCAAAAGACGAGGCTTGATATCTTCCGACTTCAAATTCCGTTTTAACAACACATTATCCTGTAGGAAGATCATGGCTGTACGCATCATATTAGCGGTGGCCCTCCAGTCACCCAGCTTTTTTTTCTTCTTCAAATCTTACCAGCAGCAATATACGCCGCCGCCCGGCGATACTTATACAACGCATCACAGTCACTCTGATCTAGATTCGTCTTCTGGGCTGGAACAAGCAGCTCGCAAACAAGATCAGGGACATGCGATGGCTTAGGCGCCGGGTTCGGTCGGTCGATGACCTCTCCAGGCATAGTGAGTAAGTAAGAATCGGTGATTAAAGCTTAATTAATAAAAAGTACAAATCGAAAGAAAAGAAGAAAGTTCTTCAGGTCTCTTTGTTGTGGCTTTTCTCTTCTGTTGAGATGTGGTGGACAGGAAGTATACTAGTATGAATATTCGGTAAGCTCGGCTCGGCCACCACTACGTCACAGTGAACTCACTGCAACAGCTCTGCCAACCACCAGCACCAGGCAGTAGTGTGAAGTACTGGGAATGGAGAACGTCAGAAGCAGGTTATTGGGGAGCTTGAACAAACAAAAAGGTATGAGGTCGTGCAAATATAATGTAATCAGCCCACTTTACAACGACCTTCCCTTCGCAACCTCTCACATACAACATACAATGCTCAATTGAGACTGCCCATTAACACTACTCACAATGCCGGGAAAATCAATCCTCTCGGTCAACGCGGGATCATCGTCCGTTAAAATCACCTTCTACACATACGAGAAGAACCCTAGAGCTATTGCGAATGCGCAGGTCTCGGGTATCACCGCGCCCCCGGCAACATTGAAGTATACGCTCGGCGAGAAGCAGCGCAAAGAGGAGCTGAAGGAGGAGGTCAGTAATCCGCAGGATGCGTTCAAACTGCTCTTGAAGCGCTGCTTTACAGACCCCGATCTATCGGATGTCGCGAGCAGCGATGATCTCGCATATATCTGTCATCGCGTTGTGCACGGCGGGGACTTTGAGTCTGCGACTATAATTACCGAGGAGACGTATCACCAGCTCGAGAAGCTCGAAGATCTAGCACCTCTGTATGTCTCCCAACTCCCAACTCCCTAATACCTACGGATATAGAGCTTCTCTAACCCAGCGCAGGCACAACTTCTCCGCGCTCGAGATCGTTCGGCTGTGCAGAAAAGAGCTGCCCGACGTCCAAAGCATCACGTTCTTCGACTCTTCCTTCCACAAAACCCTGCCCCCTTACGTGAAAACATACCCAATTGACCAGAAAGTGGCCAAATCGAACAAGTTGCGGAAGTACGGGTTCCACGGGATAAGCTACTCGTTCATCCTGCGCTCCGTCGCTGGGTTCCTGGACAAACCAGTCGAAAAGAGCAATCTGATCGCCCTGCATGCAGGGAGTGGCGCTTCGATATGCGCGATCAAGGACGGCCGATCGGTTGATACTTCGTACGCACAGACCCCTCCGTCCATACATGCATACCATCTCAGAAAACTTTCGCGCCTTCTCCTCGGTCCTCAGTCCTCCCTCTCCCCTCCAGCCCCCACTACATCCCCATCTATCCCTTGCTTTGCGCGTCTCCGAGTCCCCGGGGAGGGAAGCCGGCCAGTCTCAATGCGGGAAAAGAAGACTAACTTTACCCAAATCCAGGATGGGATTGACACCCCTAGCCGGATTACCAGGCGCCACTCGCAGCGGCGATATTGACCCATCGTGAGTCCCTCCTTTTCCCGATATAGTGGTGAACTCCATAATCTGGGCCATGGATCGTTTTGCTTTTTTTGTTTGTCCGTGCGCCCCCTTGCTCCGGGTTTAGAAGGCTCATTCCCGGTTTTTGCGATTCTTCAGGCTCGTGTTCCACTATACCAGTGAGGCGGGGAAGCTCAGCCCTGCGAGTACCAAGGAGATGCACATCAGCACTGTAAGTAAGCACCTTACTCGGACTTGCGGTGGATATAGATGCTAGATTGCAGTGGAGCTAATAAGGCGGAAACAATTCGACCTACATAACAGGCAGAGGAGATCTTGAACAAGAAATCTGGATGGAAGGCTCTGACCGGCACGACGGACTTTTCGCAGATAGGCGTCGAGAACCCGCCGAGCGAGGAGCATAAGCTGGCATTTGACATTCTTGTTGATCGCATCGTGGGGTTTGTTGGGAACTACTACGTCAAGCTCGACGGACAGGTTGACGGGATTGTCTTCGCCGGAGGAATCGGGGAGAAGAGTGCGCTGCTGAGGAAGACTATTGTTGAGAAATGCCGCAGTCTGGGATTCTCGATTGATTCTGCGGCTAATGAACAAGGTCCGGGGGAGAACGAAACGGTGGTGGATATCACCGCTCGTGGGAAACCGGATGCGAAGCGGGTGTTGATCTGCCAGACTGATGAGCAAGTGAGTGCAGCTCCTGGTGGTTCTTTGGAAGTTAACGCACGTTGCTGACCCTTACAGTTCGAGATGGCGTATAGCTGCATCCAGACGCAAGGTCTTGGTGGTTGAGCTGGCATCAGATAACTAATTAGTCAATCAACTTTTCCGATAAGCAAAGGACCCCCGGTAACTCGAGATGTCGACATCGGTGTTCAAAAGGCAGGTTTGACACGTATTGTTACTGCCATCAATATATTGAAGGCGAACCATACCGGCCGGCCCAGACTTGACATCTCCAACACCCCAAACACACAATAATATATAAAAAACACCCGCAGCCATCAACACAAGCACAGCTTCAACCGCAAGCACATCTATCTATCCAAAACAAAGAAACTCACGAACCTATCAGGTTGATACCTATCCATTCCCCACTCTCATCCTTCAAACGGAACAGGAGCCCGACAACCGCCGACAAAACTGACAAAGAGATAAAATTAAAGCAAACACATGGGCTTCTCATCCACGTACTTTGCGAAATGACCTGCCTCTCAACGACCCGGCCGGCCCCGTGACGATTAAGCGATTAAGCAAACAAACTAGAAATGGCGCAGCGCTCTGTCCGTTCGGCCGGGTCGTAGTATACGCGGTAGGAAGTACGTAGCGAGTATCAAAATACCCGGAGGCCATTCCCGGTTCTCGAGCCGGGGGGAAGCGAACGGGCAGCCGTGTCTATTCCTTAGCCAAGTAAAACCTTCCCGGCCTGCTGGAACCTGGACCGGGCTGCGGGCTGGAGTTTGCAGCTCGCGCAGTGGAACTGCCGACTGGAGGACTGGATACCACCTGGCAAACAGATTGGATCAGCCATCACAGACCCGCGGCCGATTGTCCAGTTCCCACTCCCCGCCACTGTCCAGGAGACGATCGGCGGATATGCATAGCTCCGTCTGTAAGGTACGCGGAAGTCCGCCCGAGATAGGAATGAAGTATCCTCCCGTCACAGATACCAAATGAATGGAGAACCAGGATTTCGCCACAGCGCCACCGACGCGGGCCTCTCTTTGTCTGTTTGGCCTTTGGAGACTGTCAAGATGAGACCTGGCCTCCCATGCAAGCCACAACTTGAATTTGGGACTGAGACACAAGAATAAAGGGAGCAATTGGACGTCTGAAACGACTCAGACATATATATGTGGAAATAAACTCAATAATATGAAGTGACGAACCTTTGGACGGCTGGAGGAGGATTTCCGCCCAGAGCAATCCAGTGGACGCGGGCCGAAGCGAGTGAAGCTGCGACCAAGGTACTCATTCGACAAAAGTACCGTGGACGTTACGTGAGGATTCCGGCACAGGGTAAGCCAGTGATGTATCGACCGCGTAATTTTCGCGTTTGCGTCAGGGGCCGAGCAGGAAAGGGCTGAGGAAAAAAGAAAAAAAGAAACCCAACAGAACTGCCGCAGGATTTGGAGGATCAGGGGCCTTATGCACGATTATCATGAGTTACCTAATTCATGGGACGTGCTAAGTAATTACCGCAGCACGTATTACCATTTCACGGCATTCTGGCTGAGAGCGCCGGCTGACGAGAAGCTGATACCTCGGTGGGCTCTTCAGCGCGTGGCGAGGTTGCCTGGCGGCCGACACAGAGTATGCGATCAACACGCGGTTGTCCGTCTGAGGGCAGAGTCCAACGTGCACAAGTTTCAGGGCGTCCTGAACCTTTGATTGATCACGAATCAGTCTTTCCTTCTTGCATGACACCGAGACATCGCAAATCTCCCAGTCATAGTTTCAGCTGCTGTCGCTCTTGCTTTTTCTTGCGTTTTCCGTCCCGGGAAACTCGCAGTCAGACAAACATTTCCTCCGTATACGCGCTTACCGAAACCCTGCCAGTGCCAGAGGAGTTTCTGGTGCGGATAGCGAATGCCAATAGTGAAGCGTTTCGGCCGGAAGCCCGTATTGTAAGACCATGTCTAATGAGCTGGCCACCGCTGATGCGACGTGGTTGACGAGGCCTCCAGAGATACCCCGGTGATACAGGAGCTGGAAAATTGGGCCTGCAGTGTGGTGCTTCTCTGATTGACACGCCAGTGATTCGACTCGGCACGAATACAATCCTGAGATGGGTCGCGATTGACGCAAAGTACCTTCCAGAGCCGGGGTATTGTGTGGGAATTATGTCTTATTCATCAAGGCCTCCGCGAATCGACCTGTACTCCGGAGTTGGTAGGTAGTGTTGGTCATTTGGAAAAAATATAGTTTCGTAGCGGAGCCTGGAAGAGATCTTTGAGGCAGTAGTATCTCTCATCCATTACATCCACATATCTATCAACTTGGTATCTTAGGTCGCTTATTGTGCGGCTATATCGGATTATCCAAAAGTCTGACAGGTCCCAGAATATCGGGCGCAAGCGTGGGAGCGTGGGAGTGTCCGCGGTTTGCTTTCCCCGAACAAATTACCAGGATCGGAAAATAAACTGAGAAGGATAAATACATCACCGGCCATGAATATTTCCTTTTCCTTCACGGAAATCACATGGGACGTAATGGGAAAAAGAAAAAGTGAGACGTGGCAGCCGTGACAGCGCGAATTGGATTTCAACCCAGATTCATTGAGATCTTGACTCGTTCGGAGGTGTCCAGCTCGCTCGTCATCAACGGGACGGAGCGAGTCCGGCGACTGCAAGATGTCATATCGATTCGGCTGTGACAGCTGTCGACGGGGAGCAGGGTTTACGAGCTTCCAGGTTCTCCAAGTTCTCTATGGTTCGGCAATTACCCATGGTCCCGGTTACGTCGAACCCACCGGGGGCACCGAAGCGGAGATTGGATCGTGAAGGGGTTTTCTGCTCTGCAATCATTATTGTGATAGGTGATTTTTTAGCATATATACCAAAAAATATCTCCCTCAGTCGTGTGCCTCTGGCTAATTGTGATATATTCAGTCAGAAAATGTGATGAATCCCGCCTCCACACAGAACGAACTTACAGCGGACATTTCCTCAATGAGATGGAGCTATCAAAGTTCAGCCATCTCCCCCCCTGCATTGATCGCATATCTCATTCTCATCCCAATAATTCTGCAAGGCGTGTTCGCAGCCGCGCATTCTTCCGTCAACTGCGACAAGGTGATCAGACCCTTCAGCCTCCGCTTGGTCCCCTGGCGGATCGGGAGATCGGGCCTGCTTGGAATCTGCAGCCTGCATGCACGCAAATCAGACATGCACCTTTGCACATCACCCGTAGGACGAACAGGGCCCATTCCTCAGGGCTGGATCCAATGTGTGGCTCGGGCCTCTCTTGAATAGGCTCGTACATGATTCTCCCCAGACGCGACAGAACCCCTGTTGCCATGCGATGATGCGAGGCCCAGGGTATAGATCCATGACTCTTCTCCCCAAGTTGAGTGCCTGGTCTCGGATCTCAAACACCGTTTGATTTGAAATTTATGTATGCAGCCGAAACCAGCTGCTGCCAAGCGAGTCATGGATGAAAGGGAGCGGAAAGGTACTGAATCAGGAGGTGAGTTGTGTTGGGTGCAAAAACCGCAATTATTAGCTATGACTGAGTGTGCCAGGAGCCTTTGACTTGTCTCTGTCCTGAAAGCCACTTCTTTCCTCTTGGAGATTGTATTGTCTATTTGCCACTACGAGGTTCTTTTTCGTCACTTGGAAATTGGAAATGTTGGCTGGGGTTCTCTCTCCCATATTATTCTTATCAAGGGAAGGAGATCCCCCGTGGGCGATCGTCTTTCCTTTCTCGGAAAATACAGGACACCCATTAATCATTAGTATTGAGGCCCAGAGATGAAGATCTCCCAGTCAATCGACATTTGCGCACAAGGAGGCGATCATCCTGCAGGGTGCTAGACCAGGAATGGTGTTGGTGGAACGCGGGATTGTCTCCCTGCCAACCTTGATGAAAACATGAGAAATTGGGCCCAACGGTTCGACTTCTGGACGTGGAAAGTCGTTCTTTTGTTTCTAGTGTGATTCTAGCTGTATTGGTAACCGGATAGTCCTCCGCTGGCTCTGGAGTACTCGTTGGATTCACCTTTCCCTCGCAGGAATGACGCTATCTCCAAAACAGTCTTGGTGTGTTTTTCAAATCATGACACAGCACATCGATGAGGATGTGGGCCGGAAATGATTGGTGCTTTTGAAGGGGAGCTCATTAACTGTGGAGAAACCGGATCCTTTCCAATAATGTCAAGCGTGAACCTCCGGCGTCTCCTCTCAGTCGTATCTTTAGGCTTCAAGAAAGAAGGTGAACGGCGAGATCATCAAGTAGTCCAACGGTCCGCGCTGTGAACCATGAGAGAGTGTCAGGACCGAGGGAGGTAACAGTACAGATATCAACTGAATCGCCTGGGCCTCCAGATTCCAGAACCGTTCTGGAAGCTGGCTGAGCTGGAGACCCGCTGGGCTGCAGGAGGGTCGATGATCGACCTTTCAAGTCCCTCAAAAGGCACTTTTTTCCTGCACATGGTCCACTTAATGCATGCGCCAATGCAGGAACAGCTGCACCTGATGTGCTCCCCTGCGATGCTTGAGAGTTCGTTGGTATTCGGTATTCCTGGAGGAAGAAGAGGTTTCATGCCAGTGATTGTAGCCCAGTGAGGTCGAGAGTTCTTTAAAATTGCCATAACTTCTCACCTGAGAGAGATTTCCCACGATGTGCTTATGTAGGGTAGGCTGACGGCTTCGTCACCAACTTAATATCGGGCCGCGATTTAACGGTAATCTCGCATGAGCCCCGCTTGGGACGCCAGCCATCGTATTGTGGTTTTGGCTCAGCCGTGGTTGTTACTCGCAATCGTGATAAAGTACCGATAGATTTTCGTCAAGCACCGAGGATCAACCGCGCATTCACCAGGTCCTGCGGAATTAAAACTCCGGGGGACACCCAGACTCGTGACGCTGGATTCAACAACGGCACCTGAAACAGGCTTACGCGGAGTCAAATCTAAACCCCATACCCTTGCCACTATAAGAGTGGAAGAAAGTTGAACAGACACGAGGGATTAGACTAGAGCCAATAAAAAAGTTTAAAGTCCAGACACATGTCCTTCACGTCGACACTCGACAGGCGTAACCTGGGGCTTGGAGGAGCCGAAGATGGACCGCGGGCCCGCAACCCGCGTGGCTCTTGCTAGGATCAAATCCAATCGAGCCAGGAAGTTGATCCTTCGTGGTTGCTTTAGACGCCGTTCTCCGCCGGTTGTGATCCACTCGCTGCGAAGTGAAGTCGGAGAGGGGATCTTTCCCTGGTCGCCTAGTCATTTACACTGAGTAAGCCAATTTAACTCAATAACTTAATTAGGAGAAATTTCACCTAGCTTTGCAGCTGCATTGAGGCTTGATGGCCGATTTGGGGTTGTCATCGGCGCACCACAAGCGACCTGAGCCCACGGAGTAATACAGAAGGGAAAGGGCATTCCAGAACGCAGTGGATTTGTGGGACGAACGGAAATGCAGCCTGCCAGCCAACAGCCTGAAGCCCTGGACGCCGGCCAGCGGGCTGGGCGCCCGTTGTGGGGGCAGAGAGCGAGTTGGGAAAAACGCTAGAATGATGGAATCGGCGAAGAAGATTCGATGGTGGTACAGCGTCGATACGGGCGTACGGATTACGGGGCTTGTAACTTGGGACGGGGGGAACGCGGAAAAGTGTGGGTGCTGCTGGATATCCTCCGTCCCAAATCACGCACTATCGACGATGTGACGATGACTAACGGCGACTTTCCAGGCCCCTTTTGGCCAGGCGGGTTTCCCCCGTGACCGTCGCGCGAAAAAGCAACGAGCGCCGGAAACAAAGTCAAAAAGTGAGTGCAAACAGCCAGGGAAAACAGAGGAAACCCTGTCAGACCCAGGGCATCTGTGATGGATGCTTTCTTTTCGGCCTGTTCCCGTACTTTCTGCTGATGGATACCCATCAGCCAGCCCACACCTGGCAACAGACCCGCCTGACATGAATCAACTTTTAGGAAGTCCAGCAAGATTCGCGCCTTCCCGCCCATGAAAGAATCGACTTGAAAGAAAGTGATCTGGCTGGCGATGGTCTTTCGCACTAGGGCGGCGCTACCCTCCAAACTCCCGCGGGTGCAGCATGGGGATGGGCCGATAGACCGATGTCCGACGGCGGATGGACACGCCCAGGAAGCCCAGACAAGCGCCTGGATTGGCTCCATCGTTGCCGCCCTTCGACGGTGGTGACTGGACATACGTACAGCGTTGCAGTTGCACACCCTTAAGGCCGTAATATCACAGATCAGCTCAAGAGGCATATTCTGGAAGCTATGTATCGAAGCTCCTCGGCGGGAGGGCCGGGCGAGGTCGCCTGCATTCAACTCCAGGCTTAGCCAGGGTGACTGCTCAAAAATGATACGATTTGCTGCTTCCAGCCGAGCCGGGGTATATTCCCTGTTCAACCCGTGGGCTCCAGGCGCAGAGCCTTTCTGAGAACCTCGGCCCTCAATATCCAACCATTGGCATTATTGACGGCAGTTGGCGCGAATTTGCACCGGCCACCACCAATGAGAGCCCAGTCCTGAAAATTCGGGACAGAATGATTGACGTTTGCACATCTGGTTGGAAGGCGATGAAAGAAGGGCACGATATAGGGCTCTTTTTTCGCTGAGAGATCTCTCTCTGCTCCTGCCTGTCTTTGACTGCTAGTCTGCTAGTGCCCCTGAGTCTGGGACCACTGGGTCATCTGAAGTCACCACTCGTCACCACGCGAGAAATAGATTACATCCACTGATCCAGACAAGCCCTGGCGGGTCCGGTGGGTGATGGAGACTGGATTCGGATCCATCCGCGGCCCTCTCTGCTGCATCAAACCTGTCCGCCTGCCCCGAAGAATCGGTTCCTGGCTCTGATTTACCTGTCTCTCCACTCTAATTTGCTTCCTTTCTTTCCTTCTTTTCCAGATCAGTTTCAAGTTTGTCTGTGAAAGATGGTGGCTGGGGCCTGACGCCGTCATGGCCATTGGCCCCCCTGTTCCCGTATTATTCATCGCAGTTTTATTTTTGGGAAGCAATCAAAGTCCTCCGAAGTCCTCCCGTTTTCTCACTCAAGAGACGGCTTGGACAGCCTGACTCTTTCAGCTTCTTTTACGAGCGCTCTGGAATAATTGTCACAGCCCCGACGGAAATACGACGAGCAAGGGTGGCCCCAACGAATCCAACGTTCAGCTTGCGATCTGACCACTGCGATGGTGTTGAGAGATAGCGCGATGATACGATGAGACAAAGGATCAAGCGAGGGTTGCCCGAAGGGGGAGGTGTGGCAGGAATGGGACCCCGTAGCGCCGAGCGTTGGGGGATAGAACCCCCCAAGAACGGCAAAGAAAGAAAGGGGCAAGCCAAAGTTGATGGATCGCTGGCACCCACAGCTTCGCGTCGCTGTACCTGACCACCGGGACGGGAGAGCCGCAGAGCTTCCAAGAATTGATTTTTTTATTTGCCCTTTTTTTTTTTTTTTTTTTTTTTGGGGGGTTTTATTACCTGTATTGAATCTGACTTGGGGGCATTTTAGCTCTGCTCCATGTAATATTTATGACGATTCATATATTATTCTTAGAGCTCCGAATAATATTCCATTTTTCCCCTTTTGGTATTTATTTTTTTCCCCTGTGTTTTTTGTACTTGTAAGTTCAAGCCTTGCTTTTTTTTTTCCTGGTCCTTATTTTTTGTTAAATTACTTGAATTCTGAAGACCCTGGTTATATATCAATGCTGTGATCCCCCTTCTACTCATCTGGCTTCTTGAAATTCCTCAACCATCCATTCCTTAACGGACGTAACCTCACCCTGTCCTTCTCCCTCCTTCTACAACTCTCCGCCATACCTCTCGTCCTCAGGCCCTCTAATTACGTGACCCTCTAATTACGTGACCGACTTCCTCCCTTGAATCCTGTTATCTCTTGCAGGATTGTTTCCTTCTCGCCGGACCAGCCGGACCACTTCCGTGGCACTCTCTCCCTTCCATCCTCCTTGCTGCGTTTAGACCCATTCGCAAATCGCATCTCCCGCAAATACTATATTTGTACCCCCTTCGCCGCTTTCTATACTCAACAGAACCGCCGTCCTCTCGAAATACCAATCTACAAGCAGCCGTCGTTTCCAGCACTGCGAAACCAACAAGCCGGAAAACCCTCTACTTCAGACGGACTGGTCCTCTGATTATACCCGCCGCGGCGCTCGTTGTTATCTATTGTTGAGCTTGCGGTACTTTAGCGTCGCATTCCTGCCCTACTACCTGCTCGGTCTGCTTCGTCACTGCGTCACCCTGCCTTAGATTTGGGGTTGTGGACAGTTTAAAGGATTGGATCTCACCTGCAACATTTCTTGGAATCTTGGTACCTTACTAGTCGGCCCATCCGCTCCGTTGTCCAACGCAGACGAGTCCACAGCCACCGGCTGAATTGCGTTTTGTGGAATATTTATTAAAGCTGAGTGAGATACATTCTGTCATTATTTTAAAGCGTGAGTCATTCCCTATGTTCAGCTGGGTGGTATTTAAACACAGCGTACCCTCCACTACCCACCCCCCTGGCTGTTTTCTATCAATTGGAAATCGACTTAGGCTGACCATGGCTGTGCGCGCAGAACGCAACATGATTCTTCGAGACCTTTCAGCTTGCAACATGGGACGGGGAGCCTACGACACAACAGGAGTCAAGAAGCCCGGCGCTCCTCCACCACCGCCGAAATAAACGCTTGAGCTTCCGAAGCATGTGCCAACCACATGCTATGGTGATTTTTTATCGTTTTTTTTTTTTTTTTTTTTTTTTTTTCCATTTTCCTGCCAAAAATCGTTTGTGGATTCGTTCAACGGCGCCTTGGCCTCTGGAGTTTGACGTGTCTGTTATGAAGTCGATCTTTATTTTGTAAGTCCCCTCGCCGCTGCGATAGCGGTACCTTCGTTTCATCGCTAACCTTGCTTTTCAGTCCCTTGTAACACTACCTCGCTCATCGTCGGCCGCTATTCGTTTTGGACTCCATAGATTCCTTTAATACCGCCATTTCTTTCTCCAAGTGGAGATTCTACGTTCTACCCTCGATCGACACGACCGTGACCTTTTTCTTTACTATTCGACCGATATTTCGAGCCGTTTTCCTATTACTTTTACTACTACGTTTAATACCTTCACCGACACGAACTAGCTGAGGCCATGATCAGTTTGACACCAAAAGTGCTGCGATGCTTTCTGGATTTTGATATTTGGGGTTTTCCATCGTTCTTCCTTTTGTACTGGCGTTTGGGATAGACAGGAATGGGTTTGAAATTCTGGGATGCATGGGTTGTGATACCAAGACAGATTAGATTTGTGGCCTCGCGGCCGATTTTTTTTCATCTTTTTTTCTTTTTCTTTTCGAGCTGAGGTTTGATTTTACTCGATTGGCTTAGAATTCCTTTGTTTGCAAGAGTGGTACTTTTGTCGCAATTTCTGTACACTATTCTGAGATTCCCTGAGAATGCAAAGCAGGTGTTGGCAAGCCCACTTTTCTTGGTTCATAAATATTGGGCAACAGAACAAAACAGCCTTCTGACCAAACATATCAGCGCTGGCTTCCAACGCAAACTACACCGCCGATGATATTGCTCCAGTGTTGATTGTTAGCCGGGATTTACAGATGCAGGTCCTTTTGATTTGTCCAAGACTGCTAATAGATTGAAGCTAACAGTGCCTTAGTATCTTGTCGGCCCTGGTCAAGAACCCGACATTCTGTTGTGCAAGGGGTTCTTTTTTTGGGCAGCTATCAGGGCTGCAGAGTCCCACGCCGTGCGAGCCTGCGTATGTAACCACCAGGCTTATTCAAGAGGTCTCGCCGTATTTCTCTGGCACGTCATTTCCTCCGGCTGCGTGTCGATGCACGTTTAGATGTACATCCATTCGTCTATGCGGGCTACGCATGGGGCAGCAGCCTGCACTATCGTGACTTGTACCCAAAGGCGCTTGAGTGCCGGCCAGATTGAAATCCGCCCAATCAAACTAGACTACATTGGGTGTCAATCGCCAATGCTTTCCATTGGGCCGTCTAGTCAAAGGTTAAAGCGGGCGCCTCAAGCTTTCCTCCAATCCTACATTCATCGAGAAAGCTCCTGCGTCTCGAGTGTTTTTTTTTCTTCGTACGCTTGTGCTGCGTTGGAGTCTTAAAACCGGGCCGTGAACTACACGGAGACTGAACTTTTGTTGTTATGTTCTGCAGCTGTGAGATGAGCCTGCATCTGGTCAATAGAATTATCGCCCACGAGCAAACACAATGGGCCAAGATCCTGAAACCAAGGTACAGTTATTTAATGCCAGCGTTTCTTGGTTGTTTGACCCCAAGAATCGCAAAATAGAGTAGACATCCAGATCCCCGTGACTTCCCGTGACTGCCTGACGACACTAGTCCGAGAACAGACTAGCGCAAGAAGCTGCTCACGTCTCCGCCTCATTACGACGGTTGCGACTGGTGCCGGTGCATCGCATCGACCGACTCTCTGACGAAACTTGGTGTCTAAGAACTAACTAATTCTGCGACCTTTCCTAGATCTACATTGAAAGGCATCTAGATTTGGAGAGCGACGTAGAGTATCTGTCCACCGCTCTTTCTTTCCCGTACTGGTGAGTGTGCTCTGCATCTTCCCATTCGCCTGCTGCCTGTCAAACAGCCCCTGCTTCAAAGCGAACACAGGCGGCCGTCTGTTTCTGAGTGGTTCTGACCTTTAATATTTTCTTTTCTGCGCTTAGGCTACTCGGAGTGCTCTGTGCACGCTTCCTGCAGTTCGACAATCACCGTCTACAATCGATAAATCGACTATTGCTGCCGGCGCTATCTGCAAGACGACCTGATCGTTTATAGCCTGTCTACCCGTTGGGCGCTTTAGCCATGTCTGAATCATCACCCGCAAATGCCCCGAAGCCGAGCAGTAGCGTCAAACTGGTACTTTTGGGGGAGGCCGCTGTAGGAAAGGTACGTTGTTGTTACCCGCCATTTGGCGTGGTGTCTGCGCTCGGGTTCCGGTTCCCTCGTTGTACAAGGGTAACCAAAGGTGGCCATGGCTAATTTTACGATTTGTTGTCCATAGTCCTCACTGGTGCTGCGATTCGTGAACAATGACTTTCAAGAGAACAAGGAGCCCACGATTGGAGGTAAGCGACCGGGGAAACACGCGAGACGGCGATGACGATTGCTGTTCCCCCCCGTCACAGCTGCTAGAGTGAGGCTGACCATATCAGCTGCCTTTCTGACCCAGAAATGCTCTCTCCCGACCAGAACAATCAAGTTTGAGATCTGGGATACCGCTGGCCAGGAGCGCTTTGCCTCACTGGCCCCGATGTACTACCGTAACGCCCAGGCGGCATTGGTAGTCTACGATGTCACCAAACCCTCCTCTCTAACCAAGGCCAAGCACTGGGTGGCGGAGCTCCAGCGACAAGCTAGCCCCGGAATTGTGATCGCTTTGGTAGGCAACAAGCTGGATTTAACGAATGACGGCGGCGAGACCCAGGCCGACACCGAACACGAATCGCCTGCGGAGGGTGATGGCGAGGCCGGTGAGAACCAAGAAGACCAGGAGGACAATACACCTGGAGATGCTCGTAAGGTCTCTACGCGGGAAGCCAACACATATGCGGAAGAGGAGAGTCTCTTGTTCTTCGAGACTAGTGCGAAGACAGGGCTGAATGTGGTGGACGTCTTTACTGCGATAGCCAACGCCATCCCAGAGAGTAGTTTGAAGAGTGGACGAGGCGGTGGCGCTGGCACCGGGCAGACCACTCTTGGAGGTGGCGGCCGACCAGGCGAAGACTCAAGGGTGAATCTGGGGGATCGCGGTGCTGCGACGGCGAAGGAAGGATGCGCTTGTTAATATTGTGTTATTAATTCTTTTTTTTTCTCTTACAGATACCATGTCTGTTCAGTTCGCCCGGTTTACAGAGTGATCTCCGTGTTTTGTGTTCTATCGTGGTGTTCTGACTTTTCCTGTGCTGGCTCAGCGACCTCGCTATTAGTAGCAATGTATGGATATATTCGTACATAGACATTCGTTACAACATTTAACTCCAATTGATCAATTTTCCGAGCGCTAAGAATATGGAACAGATGAGTGATGGCTCCAGTTTGTATAGAGGGCGCCGTTGGTCACATGACAAACTAACCCGAAATGGACAGACCCCAGCTAAGCGAGGCCGAGCCTCCGATCCCACAGCAGCCAAACTCCGCCCTCACAAGTCGCAATTTGAATTGCTCTCCGTCGACCAACCCGCCAGCAACCACATTCAAAGGGCAGCACCCCCAGCAGCAGCACAGTCAGATCTCCCTGTCTGCACTACACTCCCTTCCAAAATGGCTGCCATCAACAAGATCGCCGTCAACTCGCCATCGAGGCAGAACCCCTCCGAGCTGGAGACCGCGATCGCGGGTGCTCTTTACGACTTGGAGAGCAACACACAGGACCTGAAGGCCACTCTCCGGCCCCTTCAGTTCGTGTCTGCTCGTGAGGTAAGCGGATTTTTTTCTCTTTTATTTCGGGTTGGATTTGGATTTTGCGGATATCTTTTGTGGGAATTTGAGTGCGGATGAGAAGGAGATATCAAGATGGGAAAAAAAAAGTGTGGTCAAAAAAACATATCGGCATCGGTCAATTGAGAGAGGAATGGAGTCATTGTTATTTTGCAATGGTCTCTAGAGATATTTGATTTGGATTTTACAGTTGGCTTAAAAGTTTCTTCATATGGGTTTCTAACATCTGTCAAAAATAGGTCGAAGTCGGCCACGGCAAGAAGGCTGTCATTGTCTTCGTCCCCGTTCCTCTCCTCCAGAGCTTCCACAAGATCCAGCAGCGGTATGCTCTCCATCTCCCAAAAACACATTCAAACAACTCCAGTCTGCACCAACCGCTATCCATTGCACACCACAACCACACACAAAGGTCCATAGAAAAAGAACCAGACTAACAACTCCAATAGCCTGACCCGCGAGCTTGAGAAGAAGTTCTCCGACCGCCACGTCCTCTTCGTTGCTCAGCGCCGCATCCTTCCTAAGCCCAAGCGCTCCGTCAACTCCCGCACCAACCAGAAGCAGAAGCGCCCCCGTTCCCGCACCCTGACGGCCGTCCACGATGCTATCCTTGACGACCTCGTCTACCCCGTTGAGATCGTCGGCAAGCGTACCCGCACCAAGGAGGACGGCAGCAAGACGCTCAAGATCATCCTCGACGAGAAGGAGCGCGGCGGCGTTGACCACCGCCTTGACGCCTACGGCGAGGTCTACCGTCGTTTGACTGGTCGTGCTGTTGTTTTCGAGTTTCCTCAGGGTGCTGCCGCTAGCGAATTCTAAGCTTCTCAACCCCCTTTGTGTGTTTAGTTGCATAATGGGACGTGCTGAGTGAAGATGGAGTTGAGTAGGGAATTATGAGGGACTTAGGGATAGATTAGTCTCGCTCATGCATTTGTTCTTCTGCTCCTTTCTTGCACTCAGCGCGTGGGAAGCTGGAAGGATGGGGAAAGAAGAAATGTGATGTGATAATTACACTCATGATCTGTTTTGGCCCGGGCTGTTCTCTTTTGTTCGGCGTGGTTGAAAGATAAAAAAATTACCCAAATTTCATTTCACTCTTCCATTAAGTTTGTAACTGTAGATGAGAGTGGGTACGTACGTACTGGCAACAAGTACCATTGTAGTGCTTACTACATAGTAGAGTCGAAATATGCTGCAACGGGCTATAGATAGGGTATATGACATCAAGATACAAGACTTCCACCACCGCTGTCTAATTACACCACGGGATTCTCCCTGCATCTGGATTGCATCTACGAAGGCGCAATCCTTCCAACTCCCAAAACCATCCAATAAGCCAATTCCCTTCTCACACCCCCGGCTCCAACGGCACCCAACGAATCCTTGCCTCCTTCTTCTGACTCAATCTGACTATCCGAGTCCCATTCCATGCGTACGAAGACCGGGATTTCAAGAACATCCTCATCGGGTTGGATCTGCTGAGAGGGGTCTGTTCCCTGGCCGCTCCAGTCGAGATTCCCTGACAGCCCTCCTCCGGTTCCATTGTCGTCGCTATCATCGTCATCGCTACTGTCATTGTTACGGCCACTCGCGAGAGATGCGGAAGACATTATTGTCGAGAGTTTCCCGCCAGGTAGGCTTCCCGGTACAACCTCTAGCACCACCGTTGTCCAGTTCCTACCCTTTTCCCAAACCTTTCCCGCCTCAGCAACCTTTTCATAGTTCGACGTGCGGGACGAGGTAGACGCTGTTTCGAGTGCCTCGCTCCAGGCGTCCTTATTGGCCCCGATATCGAATTGAGGACAGAGGATTGTGACCTTGGACGCGACACGACCTGGTGTAACAGATGGCGTGGCGAGTGTGATGCGGATAGGGTCGAACATGTGGTTTTTTAATGTGAGTAAGAGCTGAATGGGCTTTTGAGGGACAAGGGCGTCGAGATTAGGCTGTTGTTGGGGTTGCGGTTGTGAGGATGTAGGGGGGAGAACTAAAGGTCGTAATGTCGGCAGTGGGATGTAACTGATAGCAATGAGTTTGATGCGGTATCGAACAGATTGCGGCTTGAACTCGGGCTTGACGAGGATATGCTTGCATGATTTGCAACGTTTGGAACGTTTCGTGCGAAGCAGAGTAGGGAGAGGGAGGAGATCCTCGACGAAACGGGCGCTGGGCGCTTGGGAGGCGCGCTGTTCGATAGAGGCGAGACCCTCCCAGCCGCAGCCGTCGGCGGCCATGCGCTTTATGATGGCCGTTTCAGAATCTGGTGGGGGTATGAAGAGGCCTTCGCTTTCTGTCAGGGCCTCTCTCATCACCGGCGGTTTGGCGCGGGATTTCTTGTTAGAGTTGCCGTAGAGTGACGATAAGCGAGATTGTGTGTAGATTGACATGATGCGTTGAAGGGTATTTGGCGAAGAGAATTGACCGGCAAAATCTCCCGGATCAACACCGGAGGTGGTTGTGGATGATATCTGGTCCTTGTAGAAGGCCTTAAGAGCAGCGAACTGTGCATCGCGAGTGCGCGGGGCATGAGTGCTGGTTTCTGTAGGTGGTTCCTCACCGGGCCTTCTCTCTCCGACAGGTGGGAGCTGGTCATCGATAGAAGAGTACATTGACAATGGCGATTTGAGGTCGCTAAAGGCCCTGGAACCCCGCGTTCGAGAAGCCGCCGTTGTGGACGGTTCAGTAGTCATTTTTGTTAGCTGGGCGCGGATGTTGGTCGGCTTGTCGAACTTAATCCCAATATCCAACGTCGTCCACATGCAATAGTTACAGGACAATACCCAGGGTCCTGCCTGGTCTCCTGACGAACCATCCTCGAGCGCCGTAACAGCGAGCGGCGCGGTACAACTCGGGCAGTTGAAGCAATTCCGTCCACATCTAATAACAAGTTAGCCCCAACGTTCGAACCATAGCTGGACAGACGTACCGATTTCCCTCGTGTCGAACCAGGCTACTCGGGGTCTCAAACAAACAGCTCGGGCAATACCAGCATAGTATCTCCTCCGTAATGCATCGCGAGCACTTGATCTGGTGGCAGTCTTCGCAGTAGAGGAGCTCCTCCGGGGGGTATAACGAGAAGTTTGACCGTGGATCTCGCGGGTCGAAAGTTTGTTCGTCTTCCTCCTCGTCGAATTGGGGCTCTGGGCGCGGCTTCTGAGGACTGGCTTTCATCGGCGATTCTCTTGATCTCCGTTTCCTGGACGGGTCGGGCACGGGGGTTTCCGCACACGGGCAGGAGATGTAGGTATAGGGGAAAGGGCGCGACATGATGCTGGATTGGAGTTAACAAATATTGTAGAGCAGTTGACAAAAGCTGATAACTTACATGCACCAGCCAGGGCTGCCCAATCGCGGGGTGGAGGCTATCTCTTGCGTTGTTGACGTGGAGGCGGCGTTGGTTGCTGGAAACTAAGCTGGAGGTTCTTATCGACGGAAGATTATTTCCTTCCCCGACGTCACAATCCACAACCCTCCAACATGGCCATCTAACCACCCAGCGCCTGGCCAAAGAGTTGTCTTAAATCATCTTGATCACTTGCGGCATATGAGTCCTTTGTTATCAAAATGCAATCCCTCCGCCACCTTCGCCCCGTATTCCGGTCCTCATGGACGTCCTTGCATCGCACCTATGCGAGCCAAACCCCCGGCAATCCAACACTAGAAATCTTCAACCGCAAGACAAAACATCTCCAGAAAGACCGTGCGGCGCAGAATGTCGAAGAGAGCCGAAAGGTCGACTACCTAAAGGATGAGGTCGCCATGCGGCTATGTGAACGCCTTTTGGTACGCCTTAACAGCATCCATTTCATTTACACTACACCAAGAGGACTGACGGAATAAACAGGATATAAAACGAACTTTCCCCAATGTTCTCGACCTTGGCGCAAACAGCTGCAACATCGCGCGCGCTCTAACCACCCCAATCCCAAACCTAGACGCTTCACCAGACGCGGCAACAACCATAACCCCAGAGGGTGCAACAATCTCATCGGGAGGAGATACAACGACGCTCGCAGACCGAATAGACAACCTCACCTGCATCGACACCTCCCTGGCCTTACTTCACCGCGACGCCGATCTCCCCTTCAACAAGCTCCTCCCTATTACGCGCAAAGTAATCCCAGACCTCGAAACCCTCCCCTACGAACCCGAAACCTTCGATGCCGTCCTTTCCTCGCTCTCAATGCACTGGATAAACGACCTCCCGTCCCTCCTCGCCCAAGTAAACTCGGTCCTGAAGCCCGACTGCCCATTCATAGCTACGATGTTTGGTGGTGATACGCTCTTTGAGCTACGGACCTCATTGCAGCTTGCTGATCTTGAGCGGAGGGGCGGTGTCTCGCCCCACGTCTCCCCGCTTGCAGATGTACGAGATGTGGGCGGGTTATTGACGAAGGCGGGATTTAAGATGCTTACTGTTGATGTGGAGGACATTGTGGTGGAGTACCCGGACACCTTTGCGTTGATGGGAGACTTGCAAGCGATGGGGGAGAACAATGCGATTGTACAGCGGGAGCAAGGGCCGATCTCAAGAGATGTTTTGTTGGCTAACGAGGCGATCTATCGCCAGCTGCATATGGAAGAGGGGAGCCGCGGGATCCCTGCGACTTTCCGGTTGATTTATATGATTGGGTGGAAGGAAGGAGAAGGACAGGCCCAGCCGCTGACGAGGGGCAGTGGGGATATGAATCTCAAGGATATTTTGGGTGGTGGTGATTTCAGGCCGTAATCCAGAACCCTATAGCTCCTGTACAATATCAAGAGAACAAAACAAAATAGACAGCAGAATTGTAAGGCAAGGCAACGAAAGACACAGACAGCGCGGGATCGAAGATTAGACAGTCCTCCGGTCCGTCATGACACGCACAATTGACCCCGTCCCCGTCAACTCAACCAGCTTCTCATGCCAGTTCAAAAGCACACTCATTTGCTGTCCGCCACCTCCTTCACCTAGATTCCTCGCCTGGACCTGCGAAAACCCCGTGCTCTGCGGCGAGACCGACTTCCGCGGACTCTGTGCACCGCTACCCGGTCCCCCGGCGGCCATACCCTTATACCTGTAGCAAACGACCAACCCATTAGCAATCCAATCCAAAAATCCAAACATAGGTAGTATATCTTCTTCACCGATAAGATTGACAAAAAAGGGGGGGTTGGCGGGGGACATACAAATACTTCATCAAGCAATCTCCCCTCTCAACACCGCCAGGCCCCTCCAGCACTCCAGCCAGCACACGGCCCATATCAGCCTGTCTAATCCCCTGCAGCACATCAATCACCGTAGCCAGGTGCACCTGCTTTGCGCTGTCGTCGCCACCCAGCGGAGCGGTGTCGAGGACATGGATGAGCGCCGCCGCGGGGTCGCCCGAGCGCAGCAGCTGCCGAACTTGCTGGGCGTTTTGTGCAGCGGCGCCGGAGTTCGAGGGCGCAGGGAGCGTACCGGGCAGGAGCGATTCCAGGGGGAAGTTCTGGGGCGAGTCCGGGTCGAGGGTGTCGATGTTTATGGTGCGGTAGTTTATAGCGGACATTTTGACTGGAAGGTTGGCTCGAATCGATGGTTTGGGTTGGTCTGTTGGGAGGTTGAAACAGACTTGAGGTGGGTAAATGTCCGGAGCGGGGTTTGAGAGTTTGTTGAGTTAGGGAGAGGAATTGAGAGCGTGGGTTGGTGTTGTGGTGGTGGAGCTTGGAGATGAGTGTGAGGGAGAAGTTGGGTCGTCATCAACTAAAGAGACGGAGAGGCTCAGTTACCCACGCGGGGAAAGGCAACCAGATTATGACAGCTGGCTTTCTATGCAAAATCACTCGGCACGGCAGGAGTCTACTTTATATGTGTGCACTCCAAATTCAAGAGCACAAATAATCATAATTTTCATGCAATTGGCAGCTGAATGGGGTCAATTGAGCAGTTCTCCAGCTGGAGAGTTACGGTTGGTGCCTTGTCGCCTGAGGCTGTATAGCATCATCCAGGTACAATAGAAGTATTCAGTAGATCCGTTGAATTATCTGTATGACTCATATTTGGTAACTCTAATGTACATGTCTAGTCTACAAATATCCTGTAAGAAAAAGAACCCAACGCTATGCAAAATAACAGAAAGTCCCGACCCTAATGCACCCGTAGTTTAGCCAGTGTATCCACGCAGATAATAGATTCATGCAATGCTGTTGAAACAAAAACGCCAAGAATAACTCTCCAGTTGCAGATTGACGTATATGGTATGTTGGTACAAATCCGTATAAGTGGGTATTATCTTCCAGATGTATCATCAGGGGTTGTAAATGTAAATTGAGGCACGGTGCGTTGTTGCTCCTCGTCAGGAACGCGCTGTTCACTCAGGTCATTCAAAGATTTCGCATCGTCGCTGCTGTCGCTGTCTGCGGGGTTGTCGCTTCCCTTGTTCTGGCGTCTGCGCATCACTCGCTTGATCGGTCTTGCAATTGCAGAAAAGCCACGACCAATAGGCTTTATCACGAAGCTGATGGAGGCAGTCACGGCGTCGATGATGATGCCGACCGGCCCATCAGGGATACAGCGAAGAACAACAGCCCAGGGAAGGCAGCCAATTGCGCAGGCGACGCAAATTCCCCATTGTACGGAGGTAATCCGCCGGACGTTGAAGGCCTGGCCGCCAACATAAATGATCATAACTTGGCCGCCGACCATAATACAATTAATTCCGATGAACCAGTAGTTGCGGAGCATGCCTTCGAAGATGTTAAGTTTGTTGTCGAGGCGGCGGTTATTGAACTCGTTGAAGATCTGCATCCAGACGAAGGTGTTGAAGACGATGGTGTCGAGCTGGCTGTGGCGGATGTCAGGATCAGAGTCGAGGTAGTCGGAGAGAATGTTGTTGCCGGCGAAGTAGAGCATAAATGTAATGGCGAGTTGGTAGATGGCCTGGCCAAGGATCATCTTCCACATGGTCACAGTGAAGAGAGACGCATGCTTAGGGACGGGCTTTCGGTCGAGGATCTTCTCGGTCGGTGCATCGGTTGCAAGGGCAAGGGCAGCGAAGGTGTCCATGATCAGGTTCACCCAGAGAAGCTGGACGGCGCTGAGGACACTCTCGTTATCCGAGTTGTAAAGAGACGAGACAAAGGTAAGAATGACGGCAGTGATGTTGACGGTGATCTGGAACTGGAGGAACTTCGCAACAGCGTCATTGACGGCACGGCCCCAGGAGATGGCTGTCACGATCGACCTGAAGTTGTCGTCGAGAAGAATAATCGAACTGGCCTCCTTTGCGACCTCGGTGCCAGCAATTCCCATGGAGAATCCCACATCCGCAGTCTTCAAGGCTGGTCCGTCGTTGGTTCCATCTCCTGTCACTGCGACGGTTTCGCCCAGCTTCTTCAGCCGAGCAACCAGGATGCGCTTATCTTCGGGAGAGGAGCGTGCCAGAACCTGAAGATCAGGTAGAATCTTATCCATTTCTTCCTCGGAGAGCTGACGGAACTTGGGTCCCTCCATGACAATGCCGTCTTTTGTTTTGACGCCACAAGACTCAGCAATGGCAGTAGCAGTGTTGACATTGTCGCCTGTGACCATCTTCACCTGAACGCCAGCATCGTGACACCGTTTGATAGCAGCCGGAACCTCGGGGCGCAGGGGATCTTGGATGCCCATCACACCAAGCCACGTCATGCCGTGGAAAATGCTGTCGAAGTCGGCGGAGTCGGGGTCATCCTGAACAGCAGCAACCTCAACTGGAGGCCAGGAATGGGCAGAGAAGTCCTTGTATACCAGACCAATCGTACGCAGAGACTTCTTTGCGTATGAGTCTATCGTGTCAAAGGCTTGCTTCTTGTCCTGGAAGGTTGCTGGCTCAACAATCAGCTTAGCCGCATCGGTATTCACTTGGGTCGAACATTTGTCGACCATGATCTCAGCGGCTCCCTTGACAAGGAGGCGATATTGGCCATCAGAGACTCGGTAGACAACACCCATGCACTTCCGAGCAGAGTCAAAGGGGATCAATTGAACAATCGAGGAAGAGGCACGCTCAGTGGTAACGTCCATCCCAAGATAGTCGCGTGCCAGTTGCAGAAGAGCCACTTCAGTCTTGCTTCCAACGAACTCTCGCGAGCCGTCCTTTTCTTCTTCGAATGCGGTCGAGTTGAGAGCAATGCTTTTGACAAGAAGGTCCCGCGCATCCTGGGGGCAAGCCTTGAAAACTTCCATAGCAGAGGTGGAAGCAAACTCGTCTCCGAGGTTGTGCTGGAAGCCTTTCGAGCCCAAAGTACCGGCAACCACAGTCATCTTATTCTGGGTCAACGTGCCTGTCTTATCAGAACAGATTACTGTTGCGTTGCCCATCGTTTCGCATGCTCTTAGAACACGGACCAGGTTGTTTTCTTTGACCATTCGTGTTGTGGCGAAGGCGAGAGCCAATGTCACGGCCAGCGGAAGGCCCTCTATAGGTGGAGGTTAGGACATGGTCATATAAACAGGTTTCAAAACAGGGTATAGTACTCACCAGGAATCGCAACAACAATGACAGTGACAGCTACGATGAGAATGTCAACAAACTGCTGGCCCTTGGCAGCCGAGCTAGCAGGGTTGTCCCCAAGGTTGGCGAGAAAGCGAATGAGCAGAGCGAAAAAGAGAATAATAGCAGCACTGGACAATCGTTAGCAACTAAAGACAGGAATATGCAGCTAGAGAAAGAGGCTTACCTTGATCCCAACCACCCAATCCAGTTCGCCAGTCGACCCAGCTTGACTTGGAGCGGAGTAGGGTCGTTCGATTCTTGCAGCGACATCAAAATCCGACCATAGCTGGAGTATTTCCCAACGCTGGTGACCAGATATGTACCAACGCCTTCTAGGATTTTGCTGCCGGAAATCATGAAAGGGTCGAGCTTCTTGGTGGCAGTGCCGTCGGCAATCTGCCGGGATACTTCGAACCCGTCTGTCTTCTTCATTTGGTCGGATTCACCGGTCGCTGAGGACTCATCACATTTGATTCCGTGGCCGGAGATGAGGACGCCGTCTGCAGGGACCGAGTCGCCAGGTTCAACAAGGAGGATGTCACCGACGGTGATGTCGAAGATGGAAATCATCATCTCTTTGCCAGAGCGGATAGCTTTCACCTCGCGGTCATTATTCTGTGGGTTTTCAGGTTAGAAGCAGTTAATCAAAAAAGGAAGAGAAGGAAACTTACCCTCTTGTTCAACTTTGCGAACTGACGCTCCTTCTGCCAGTCATTCAACGCCGTCACGATAGTAACAATAGCGATGGCAACAACGATAGCAACACCCTCAACCCAATCGACACCATGCCCTTCATCGATAGTCTGGTAGATGCCCAGGGAAAGAGAGATAACCGCGGCGATCGTCAACAGAATGATGATCTTATCGTTGTATGCCATCCACAACAACTTCAGAAACCCCGTTGTCTTCCTCGCCGGTAGCCGGTTCTGGCTGAAGATGCGTATCCGGTCGTGAAACTGTGAGTCTGCACCTTCTGTGCCGTTTGAGTTGGCAGTAGTCTCATTGAGTAATTCATACGACGATGTCTCCGGGACATACACGAGATTACCATGTAATCTTGTTTCGTCGCTGGATAACCCGGACTTGAGGTCCGTTCGCAGAGCCTTTCCTAGGCCTGCTAACCCTCCCAAGGCATGATAAGCAGCCAACGACTTGGGGTTGAGCATCTTGTTCAGCTGGCCTGGCGAGAAAGGGAACCGGTTGTCCTGCACCTCGAAATCTTGGGCCTGTTGAGGATCTGGGTTGAGAGCTTCGGATAGCGGGACGTCGTCGATCTCTGAGAGGTTGGCTGCGTTGGATGTGCCTTTGGGCGGGCCCTCTACTGTCTTCGATGGCGCTTCTGAGTTGGCGATTGTCTCTGCATTAGAGACGGTCGAATCCGCACGGGTGCGAAGAGTGTCGCCGTCGAGCGAATGCGATGTGCGTGGTGGGTCATGGTTGACTGTCAACCGGCCTGCAGATGGCATCAGGGTTGTAGGATGTGATTCTGTCTGCCCCGGTGAGAATGGTGTGTTTTGATCGTCTGTATGGATTGCGATCTGTGGAGTGAGTTGCGGGTGTGATGAGTCCGCAGAGGACTCGTCGTTAGGGCTTGCCATAAGTGATGGACAACCCGTCTCGTATTGAAAATTTATGGATAATACTTTATCAAATATGCCATCAGACGCAGAAAGAGCTGTCCTCGGGCCTTCTCTTATATTAAAGGAGTTGAGCTTGTGGAGCAAAGGGGAGAGTGAGGCAGTGCAACGCACCCAAGACGAGGCAGACCAAGCCACGGACGAATAGAATAATTCCTTTTTTTTCACAAATATTTATTCATTTGCTGCTTGAAGAATGAGTCTCCCATTTAAGTGTGGTCCTTGGCATTCAGGGTCTTCGTATTCTCATTATCGAGATTCCATTCCATCCTGGGATCATATATAGACTACACAGGGTCTCTCCTTTTATCCCGCCCGGCTCAACAAAGCACACCAACCACCACAACCTTTCTTTAAACAAGGGGTTGGAAGAATACTCTTTGTTGGGGTTTCTAAGCGCTGACTATATTAAAATCCTGCTTCATGGAGTGAACCAAGCCTGACTGCGACACAGGTGATCCTGGTCTGTCCGCATGCTGGCGCTTCGCAGTTTCGCACTGGGAAAGAGCAAGGGATTTCCATCGATGCGGCAAACGAAGTAGACCAATGAAACTGCAACGATGACGTTTTTCACAGCCGAAACTCAAGTGCTGTTAGAGTTGACGCCGACAATGGTTGGATGGCTGGATAATTGGCCACTGCTGCGCCTCGACACCCTGCAGCTTCACAGGTGATGTCGATGTCGGCAATTATGCACTCTCGGGTCGGCTTCAAGACCATGAAAAGCAAATTAAACCCTCTTTATGAATGTGGCTTCACAAATGTTGATCTTCACTTGGCTTCGCTCTTCATCTCCACAGCCACTCTTGGGATCTCAACAGCGCAGACTAAAAATGTGGCGCAAATCGCCATCATCATCGTGCACCGCCACGATTGTGGCTGATGCGATCTGTTGAGCTTCCAACAGCCCAAAGGCAGCTGCGTCGTTTTTGCCTTTGGACTTCGGAGACTTGCAAACGCGCTGTTTCCATGTGAATCAAATGCCAATCAAATGGAAATCTGCCTCGTGCGTGGGTGCGCTGCCTAGTTGTGACTCTTTCACGGTTCACCGACAACTTACACTGACGAGGCGGAGCACAATGGGATGAGCATATGATTTTGCTAAATAAGAACAAGGTTAAACGTGCGTAGACACCGGCGAAACTCTGGGCAAATTTGGGCAAATTTGTGAGCTTGTCAGATTCCTTCTCGGACTTTCTCTTCATGGGCGTAGGCATCATCGTTGCAGCCTCCTTCGTATTGGGCACTGCAAACGACGATGGAAGTGACAAGGTAAGCTATGTGCTGCTGACAGTAATTATTCACGAACTGAGTCGTATACGAGTTACGAGGCTCATGGAGCTATACGAAGGTGTAAGCTGACGCTGAGCATCTGCCCACCATACGAAAGGGGGGCTTATCTTGGCTATGCGGGCTTGGGGCTCTTTTGCTCACCTGGTCGAGACCCCCAGTCATGACGAAGCATGAGCTGTATTACGCTCTGAACATCCTATCCTACAGGCTGGAGACGCGGCCCCGCTCCGCGGTGCGGGTGCTTCTCCGCTGCCTACGTCAATAGTGTTGGATATCGAGGGAGGTCTTATCGAGCCAGCTCCAGAACACGATCCATCAGACAGCCCGAGGCGTTTTTGTCTCACAGCCTTTGTAAGATATAGCTCGGGTTCTGAATTGAATACCCATAAGATGAGCTGTACTGCTTTCGTAGCGTGCCTTCAACACCGTATTGTCGGTAACCTGACGGGTCATACTCTTGCACGGACCAATCCAGGTTCTTCCACGACATCGTCTCAGCCACACTGTTCTGTCTGTATATTAACGAATACACCAGCGGGATGCCTCCGCCAGCGGCCCCCTGACCCCCGCCACCACCCGCCACCTGCACCAGTGCCTGTTCACAACTATGCTGTAGGCACCGAGATGGTGAACCATCAGTCGGAATTACAGGAGACAGCATATTGAGCCAGGAGGAATCCGTACACCGACACAATGATTCGTCAGCAGCACAGCCCTCGGTTCCACCTCTCAGTTTCCTCTTTCGAAGTATTGGCGTTTGTTGTGATTCAATAGTCGTGCTCCGGAAGGCCTTTGGTTTGACGACGAGCGTATCGGTCTGTCGAGCCAACAAAATGGCCTTGATGGAGCCTGGAGACTCATGTCAGCCTTCTGTAGGTATCCATGGTGACTACCTAGACAAAATACTCTTTCCTATTCCCGGGCAAGGCCTGGGTTGCACCTGCCGAGAGTAGAAGAGTGATTGAAAGGAAGGAGCATTGAAACAGAAAAAGAAGGAACGAGCGAGTTGTCACCTGCACCTGGCACAGGATTGCATCACACCGACTGCTTCCATCTCCTCTTCGTAGTTGATCAACTTCCATCGTGCGTATTACAAGGCATCATGCTGGTTTCTATTTCCATTTCCAAACTATGCATTCCTGCCCGGGTTCAAATGTTGATTGATTTATCTAGATTTAATTCAGCCCCTATTCAGTCCGTATCATGAATCAGCAAGCCCAGCATATCGATTCCCCAACCCACAGAAACACTCCTTTGACTGGTCGACCTCCTGTTCATCCGCTTCACCCTCACCAAACGCAAGTTTACCCAGCACCTCTTCCATACCCCAGGCGACCCTTTCTGCACCCAATCTTGCACCCTCGAGGTTAGGCGCCCCTGGGCCCAAACGCAAAGCTGCCAGTCGCCCCGTCAAGAACAAGGGCACATCAGCTTGCCACATAAGATCATCTGTGAGGCATGGGAGGCCCTGTATTGTCTCGATTGGATAGTCCCGGTGCATCTGTTGCAGCAACGGTAGCTCACGCACATCCATGTGCATGCCCGTTGCGAAATACATGTAGTCAATCTCTGGAAGGCCGGGGATGGGAGGATCCGTAACCAGGCGCCAGGTCTTGGAGGCGCTGCAGTACTCCTTGCTGGTAATGACGGTGCGCGGGTTGATGGAGATTCGTCCACGGGCAGCATGCTCTCGAAGAATCTTCTGGTACCGAGGCGTGATGCTGCCTCCGTTGCGAGCTGTCTTGATCATCTCAATGCGCTCTTCGTCTGTATCGGCCGACCAGAAGACGGATTTCTCGTAGTTTTTGAACTTGCCCATCCAGCTTAGGGTTATGTCAAAGTGTTTAACTGCACCCGTCAGTCTTTGTCCTAGCCAGTGAGGGAGAGAAGCGTACCTTTGAAATCAGAACGTAGCAGAAACCACACCTTGGTGACTCCTTTTCGAATCGCCATGTCCGCAATTTGTGCTGAAGACAATCCACCGCCGACAACGACGACATTCGTCTCCCTCCGTTGTTGGATCTTCCTCTTCACATTGGGACTCGGAAATGCCCGAATATCACCACTGTGACAGGCGCCTTCTGCCTCTTCGGCGCTCAAAGGGAAAGGCAGGAGTTTCCTCCCTCCAGGCCCAACGGCCAATACCACAGCCTTGGAGTAAAACACCTTCCCATCTCTCGTGGTCACAGTAAATATCTTCCTCGATGAATCCAGCTCGTCGACGTAATTAAAACAAATGTCCACAACATCTCCCTCCGCAATCATCCCCGGGCGACCAAGCCCATACCTCTCAACCACACTACTGCAGTAGTCCCGAAATAAGCCTGTACTCGGTGAAAAATAGTCTTTTCTGTCCCGCTCATCAATCTCCGTATCCCCAATCACCTTCATGTTCCGTTGCTTCTGCTTCTGTTGTTTCTTCTTCTTATGCTTCGACATCTCCTTCCCAACACACCCCGATATCTCCCAGAGATCATTTTCTCGTCCCTGCTCGGTTGTATACGCTAGCATGCCGTCTCGATCACCGGGGTCAACATGAAAGAACATAGGGCTGCGCAGCTGCTCGATTTCTAGGGTTTTAAACGCGCGGTTCCACCTCTCAAGCCACTGCGTTCCTGTCGAGTCTAATACAAGTATGGACGGCCCAACCTCTTCCTCCTTTTCATATTCGCTATCAGATCCGTTATCAGAAACAGACGTCGCCGATTCATTCCCCGTCGCACTAGAATCCGACCTAGAACTATCCTCGCTCGACCCCGACGACACCGAGGAAGTCCGTGTCTGTGCTTTCTTCTTCTCCCGCTCCTTCATATCCGCACCACTTGTAGTAGTACCATGCGACAATGGAACCCCCAAACCCGGATTCTTTCTCCGGCGCGACCTCACCAAGTTCATCCGGCCTTTATGTTTATTGATCCAATGGTACCGTTGATGTTCAGCATCGGTGAAAATTGCAGACGGCGTGTGTTCTTTTAGACGGGCGGCCACGGCGAGGCCACAGGGGCCAGCGCCGATTATGAGAATGTCATGGAGGTGCATTTTTTCCTTCTGGTTTGGTGTATTTGTTTCTTTAGTGAAGAAGGGAAAGAAGTGTTAACTCGGTAAGCTTGCTTATTTCTTCGTTTGAAAAGTAAAATGCTTTGCTATGGTGGCTAGGTGGCTATATACGGAGGGTGTGACTGATAGAGGGAGTGATCTCATGTGGATGTACTCCCCAGGGTACTTGGCCCCCAAGGTACTTACTTTGAGTATGATTGCTTATCGTTCGTTTAGACAGCAGGAGATAAGTGGGAGCTCGGTAGGTGATGCACAGTGATTTGACTGTATGGGGTAGGCCGGGGGACCTTGGGGTCAATATTGCATCAAGTCCATCCCGCCTTGCTGTCTAGAAGAACAAGGTCCTTAAGAGTATTATTATTAAGTATAATATGTCAACGACAACATTAATCACAGAAAAGGAAATACATTAGATAGTTGCTAACATGAACAATACTAAACAAAAGTCCAATCCCAAAAAGCGGCCGTAAGTTTTAAAGTGTACTGGTTTGCCTTCTTCCTATGGCCTACTTGTGCCATTTCTTCTGCTTCGCTGGAGCCGTCGTCGTCCGAGTCCTCGGCGCTCCACCACCCTCCCGCCGATGCCAGGCATCGTGCGGCCAGATCCATCCTCTTACCCTCTTCGCATCGCGCTTTTCTCCTATCTGCGGCTCGGGAATCCACTTGTCTTTGCCCTCTGTTAGGGTCCGTTGTCGAGTGAGCGCGCCGGGTCCTCCGACATTGAGGTGCGAAGAGGGTTGAGAGGGGAGGGGCACGGATTTGGAGAGCATGAGTAGAAAGTACAAAGCTAAACTTGCGGTCATGGGAACGTTTAGGGCTTCTGGTGCAGGGAGAGAGTACCCCTCATGGTGTTGCGGCGGGGACTGACTCGCTAGCGAGCTGTCCGTGGACGAGGCAGGCGAGCTAGGTGATGCATACGCAGCCGATCCGCTCTCGGCTCCGAATCCGCTTGCGTTGGCTGCGATGTTGGTTGGAATTGGCGCGGAGACCTCCAGAAACCCGAAATAGGGAACGTCGTCGCCTGGATCGCAGCCTGCTCGCACGCAGACGAGTTCGATCTCAGTAATTATGAAACCGTAGCGGCAGGAGTGTTCGCGCATACATCGCTGGAGATGGGCAAGGCCGTTGAGGTATTCCACACGGCGATGAGGCGCTTCATTACGCATCCCGGTGTTCCAGCGGTCAAAGCTCTTGGCTATCCCAACAAGGCGGCCGCGAGGTAGACCTGCGGCAGTTTGTTCCGTGTCTGAGGAGTAGTTGGCCAAAAAGTGTGGTCCACCGTAGTTTTTGTTGTTTGCGGAAGCTCGAGGGGTTGGAGCTGGGTAAAGAGATAGATGGTCAGGCCCCAGGGATACCCCGAGAGCAGCATTCACTCGCGGGGCGTAGATATCTTGGACAAGACTAATGAGTGCAGCTTCCGAGTCTGGAGACAAGCGATTGCTCTGCACTGCAGCTGGAGGGGTCAGGCTCGAGGGAATCGCGGTCTTCAATAGTTTTGTGAGCCCCTTGATTGAGTCGAAAGTGTCCAAAGAGAAGGAGGTCCAGCTGCGCAAGTTCCGGATATCCCACCAGAAATAGTCATGCAAGCCTCGAGTAGGGGCTACGCTCACATTGCGAACTAGATTGATTGCTTGCGTAGGGCCTGTAAGGTACGAAAGAAGACTGGTCGACTGTGGGCAAGCGCTAACAGTAGGGTGAACAAGGCCAATGGGTGAACATTGGGCACTAGGGACCTGAGAATACCCGTATGGGGATGCGGGCATTGCAACTGGAGCGTGCGCAGTAGCTTCTTGGGTCTTGACTACACCAGGGTCGGCCAAGGAATCCTGTAAATATGGAGGATACACCATGATGTTGGGTGTAGCCGGCGTGATAGGTGCGGTTGGTGAAGGCTGAGGCTGAGTCGTATACTTTGGGAACTGCCGGTAGGTTGGGTAACCATACCTTTTCAAAGTCTCTTCATCAATACTTGAGGCAGATCCCGAGCGAGAGTGCTTGCCAGATTCCCTGCGCCTATGTGATGGAACCATGTTCACAGGGGATGAAAGCGTTGATTCGTTGTAGGAATTGTAGACAGGAGAAGTGTTCGCAGATGAGACGGCTGCAAGCTTGTCTGATACCTCAACCACACTGCGCTGGATCGACGGACGTTGTGGTGGATATGGAACGAATCCTGGCGGGTTCCTCGTGTTAGACAAGAACCGACGATGACGCTGCGGTCCAGCCGCCGGTGGAGGTTCGATAACAACGTCCTGATGCCTGATTCTAGGGAGGAGAGCAGGCCCATGCTGGTACCGGGGAGGAGAGTCTAGCGTCGGGCTCGTAGTTGAGGTGACAGCAGACCAGGGAGACGAATCGTTAGAGTATATAGAGGAGTCCGATGCGTTGCGGTTATGCGACTGTCCAGCCAGCTCCTGGTAGTGAACAGGAGGAGTGGTGGGTCGGTAGAAAGGGAATCCCAAGGACATGATATTCTTGCTTAGGTATTATGGAGAGAGTAATATCATAGGCGTATAAGTTGTTGATGGGTTGTCGCAGGAAGAGCCAGCTTCCAGTAGCAATGCACAAACGAGAGGTGACAGAAAGAGATTGCAGAAGTAGGAAACTTTTCTAAACTGAACGAGGGATCAAATTCCAACCATGATAATTTCGAAGGACAAGACGAGATTGGAATTGAGGATGGAGGTGGGAATGGTTGGATGTTAAATGCTTCTCGGCTGAGGACAATAGAGTCGAGCAAGTGCCAAAATAGAAGCAAACCATACACTGGGAAATCAGGGCCCAAATAACATGAAACATGGAGAAAGCTCCATAGTAACGCCGCAATCATTACCCAAGGCGCGTGAGTTGAGCCAGAATCGGGCCCAAGCTGCCAGTTCTTCCTGGTAAGATCCTAGGGCTAATGGGTCTTCAACAAGCACAAGTGTTTCAGGTAGTAGTTGCGCGTCAAAATGTTACTATATTTTGCATATCGCCGACATCCTCAGATGTCAATCGTAGAGGGATGGTTCGCATAGACGCCAGGGAGTATCTATAATCGGCAGCAGGCGTGTTTCGTCTATTCTGGGTGACAGAGAGCTAAATTTACCCAAGAGTGGATAAAGCCTGAGGTTTCAGCAGGTCGGCGGCTAGAGCAGCAGAGTGTGAGTAGTTGCTACATCCGAGGACGTCAAAGATGCCTTGATGGTGCGTGTGCCTCTGGCAGGAAGTGTATAAGCGCCGGCGTTGATATGGAAAGGTCAGGATCCGGCAAGGGACATCCCAAATGCCACGGCAGGCAATTCCTAGGCTCAATCAGTCTGCATGAAGACTCCAGAGCCCGAGAGTGTTCTAAGAATACAATTCTCAGCGACTACGCCAATTAGGGTGGTATCAGTACGCGCCGACGACCCAGGCCAGCTAGGCGCCGGGATCGGTGGAGGTCGTATCTCCTCATCATCAACGTAGTGAGCTTGGCGACGATGAAACAGATAAAATGGCATTCGTCAGAAACTAAAAGCATTTTAGGCTTCCGCAGCCCTGGGATTGGATGAAAGAAGGACTGGGGGAGCAGTGAAGATGGAGGTTGAGGAAGTCTGGAGCTGAAGAGCGCACGGGACCTTTCAGTTCCTTCCGCCGGCGATCACGCTTGCAAAAGCAACCAATAGGCATTTTTCTAGGGTCGATCCCACCAACCGAGCTGCAGGAGCCGCAGGAACACCGTGGACGGCGTCAAGGCTCACGCGAATTCCAATGCTAGGCTGTTCCCAATTGCTCCTTTGACAGTGCGGTCGTCTGATCACTTTCCCAGAGCCCGGTTCACTACGTATATTCTACGCTTATGTAGAGGCAAGATATCACGGTCAATATGTTCAATTAGCGATATTATGATAATTCAAAACACGTTTTGGGTGCTATCCCCATGAAATCGGAAGCAATCCAGCGCCACCTTGTTGCCCAGAGAAAAAGTAATGAAAAGTGCAAAACAACTCTATCGTGACGAGTAAAGAAGCAAACATCATGCTAGAGGGAATCTAATAGGTCGTATAGACAGTAGTCCCCGTCGGAGGAGGACCGTCAGAAGTAAAGAGGATTATATGCGGGTCATCATTCATGCCTTGGTTTCGTACTTGCGACGGAACATGCCATCAATCTCAGTGAGGTAGTATGTGCCGGGGAAGAGGGTCTCCGGGTTGCCAGTAGGCTTGAAGTCCTTGGCCAAGTGGGCGTGCTCGCGGAGATCACACATCGCCTCGTAATCGGTAGGAGGCAGGACGTTTCGGGCGTTGAGACGGTTGTGGAGGTCCAACTTCTCGACAATGTAAGAGACATCACCGACAACCTTAGCGCTGAAGAGAGAGCTGGCAAGACCGCTGCCATATGAGAAGAATCCAAGGCGCTTGGGCTGGCTAGGGTCAAAAGTGACATTGCTGAGCAAAGAGCAGAGACCAGCGTAGACGGTGGCGGTGTACATGTTACCGCAGAGAGTGGCAACATCAAGACCAGGGCGCACGCGCTCGGCGAAGCGCTTCTTGGTGAGACCCATAAAAGTCTTCTCGACAGTCTTGTCAGTTAGAGACTTTTCGTAGTCGAGGTCGCGGAGTTCGGGCGCGACTTCGGCAAACGAGGGGTGAGTTGGGTTGGCGATGTAGTCGTTGTACAGCATACGGGCGTAGGACTTTTGCACGAGCTTGCAAGTAGGGGCGTGGAAGAGGATGTAGTCAAAACGGTCCAGAGGGTCCTTAGACTCGTCGTGAGAAACACCGTTGGTGCCGTTCTGGGTCTTCTCCTTCAGGGTCTTCTCACGGGTGCCGTACGCCTTGTAGCAGGCATCGACGGCCTCGGTGTAGCAGCGGAGAGAGAAGTGGCCGTCAACAACGGGGTACTCGCTGCTAAGGTCGGGCTTGTAGAAGTCGTAGGCGTGGGTGAGGTACGAAGCACGGAGGCCGGGCTCAAAGACGATAGGAGCGTCGGGGCCGATCAGCATGGCGACGCAACCAGCACCACCAGTAGGGCGAGCATTGCCCTTGGCATAGAGAGCAATATCACCACACACAACGACAGCATCTCTGCCATCCCAAGCGGAAGACTCCACCCAGTTGATGCTGTTGAAAACAGCGTTGGTTCCTCCGTAGCAGGCGTTGACGGTGTCAACACCCTCGATGTTGGTGTTTCCGTGAGGAGCAAAGAGTTGCATGAGGACGGACTTGACGGACTTCGACTTGTCCAGCAGAGTCTCAGTGCCGACTTCCAATCGACCGACCGAGTTGGGGTCAATGTCGTACTTCTTCATGAGGGAGGAGAGGGTGGTGAGGGAAATGGAGTAGATGTCTATCGCAAATACAAGTTAGTATTGAGCAAGCAACAAACTCGAGTCTGGACCAAGTTCAAAACCTACCCTCGCGGTCATCGCAAAAGCTCATCTTGCTTTGTCCAAGACCAATTGTGTATTTTCCCTCGCTAACACCATCGTGCTTCTCCAAGTCCGTCTGGTCGAGACACTGTAACAATTCCGTTAGAATCGAGGCCCAGCTGTTAGGAAAAGAAACTTCGGTTCCGTACCTGACGGGGGAAGTAGACCTCAATGGCCTTAATACCGATGTTCTGGGGGCGAGACATATTGGCGGTGTCGGAAGAAAGAGGGGGTAGTATTTAGTATATGGTGGGGGAGTGGCTAACGACAACCGCGATGAGCTGTACACAGGAGTGAGGGAAGGAAGAGGAAGAAGAAGAGAAGTAGGAGTGATTGAAAAGAATAGGATGAGACGAGGGTTGTTTGAGGGGCCAAAGGAGCATGGTGGCCTGCTGTATAAGTAGTCGAAGGGCCAGGCCAGAAAATGCAGCGTAGGTCCTGTCCCTGAGAAGAGTGGCCCCCTCCACCCCTTCTTCACCTTGACTCTGTTTGGGAGCACAGCTCGAGGACTCGCCGATACACGCAAGAATGTCAAAGGAAAAATCGGCTAATACAGTAGTGTGCCACTCGAGAGCTCCGCGGTGGGGCTGATACAACTTTTTTTTCTCCTCCGAGGGGCAACCCCGAGTCTGAGGCTAGTGCTCGCCGTGGCTGATGCACCTTCCGCTGGTCCTCATTCTCCAGACCGCCCTCCTGCGAGGAAGGCAGTCTTGTGCACTTATCTTTCACGCGGATTGCCAAAAAGTCGAGGTGTATCTCCAGACTCTCGCCTGGGAATCTCTGGGGATCTGCTTGGTGATTTCCACAGTTGTTGGGAGCATCCCCAAAAGTTGACCGTGTCCAGGATCTGGTATACGCAGTACTCTTCATCCTGTCCCGAACCTCGCAGGAATCACCTCGACAGGAAGCTCTCCGATCTGCTCAGGAGCTTCCTTTCTCCTTCTGTCCGGTCCTCACCGACTCTTCTATCTCAAGGCTTGTCTGGATGTGAGCTTTCACGAGTCGAAACCACTATGCATAGGTCCAAGTAGCCATAGACCCATCTAACCCCGCCCTGTACAATTAACTTTAACTTTATCAATGACTATCAACAGGTGCGCCGCCTCATCATTCACAATTCAACGGCTTCGAACCGACATGCAAAGGATAATCTGATTCCATGCTTCTTGCTGCCTGCTATGTGAATTACTCCGGCTCCGCCATTATGAACACTTCTTAGATCTTGGTTTCTCAGTATATCCAGTCACCAAACACAGTGACCGTCCAATGAAAACCTTCAAGACGAGGAAATTGGGATTCTGGCTGCTTTTTATCGGCAACAGTGATTGCGATTACTGCGTAGATGTCATCTTATTCCGCCGGTCCACGGTCCGTCCAGCGGGCAGCACAGCTTGGAGCACAGCAACAAGTGCAGGACCATCTAGCTATCAGGTTTTTTTCGGTCAAACCGGTGTCCGACGCATTTTCACCTTTACCAGAAATGCAATGCAGCATAACTTATCAAAGTGGAATATCTACAGTACGCGTTCAAGTACGTCAAACTTCTTGGTTTCGTCCTCCACCCGTAGTTCCTGCATCACGAAAGTCGATCCTCCGGGATCGTAAGTATCTACGTGACGGGTAGCCATAATGATAAGGTTCAATATACTGGAAAGGTCCTTTATTACGGATCATCTAAGTATTTCTACGGCTATTCCAGACTTCCAGACTTCCAGTTCGACCATGGGAGGAAGCGGAAGGATTATGTGGAAGAAGCCTTTAAGGTATAAAGTATGAGGCCAATGAAGGGCGTACAAGCTGCGACATCGGCACCTGCCACTTCCGGTCTCCGAGAAACAATCGATCATCGATTCAGGATCTCGATTCTCGAGTCGAGACTCGAGGCGCTTCTGGATCCCGGTCAAACGAAATTTATCAATCTTATCTTGTGGGTCCGCGCACTCAGCCGAACAATTCCCTTTGATTCTGGTGCACCCACCTTTATTTTTTAACACATGCAACAATGCGCACTCTGGAGCGGAACATCTGAAACCTTGACTACTCTAATATTATAATGAAATCCACCACTATTATGGTTGCAGCTAGACTTGATCATGCAGCTTCTTCACAGCAGGGCGGCTGCGCTAGTAATACATACTGAGAGTCCGAGAGTCCAATCCTTCCTCGGCTGATGAAGATCAAGTGCGTAGGATTTGAACAGTGTGACATGTGCCTATCCGTACTCTGAACCTCGTGGGGCAAGTTTTGACAGGGCTGTACACCCTTCCCATGCTTGAGGCATATGGTGTGGCGCGCTACGTAGTAAATTTATATATCAATATAGAAAGTGGACCAATATCCATATCCATAAACCAACACAGCTACTACCTCATCACTCCGTAACCCCTTAACCAAGCAATGATATTTTGTACATACCCGAATAAGTACATCTCTTAAAACGCCATGCAACTTTTTCTCAAATAGTTAGGATTTACGGAGTATGGTCAGCGTGCAGGCAGAGGCACTAGTGTGTGCAGCACCACACCAAATTTGATAGCCCTGCTATAATTTACTGATTCTCATGGATCATACAGACCAGATTTCTGCATATATTGGAATTACGAACAGTCAAGTTGATGCCTGTCTGGAACAAAAACATGATTAGTCAGGAGATACCTGCGAGCCACATGCCAAGGCGCGCGGGAGATCGAAGACCTGGGTTATGCTATGTATAATTAATAAGCTTACGTGATTTATGCTGAAACGTTGCCATCGAGCCGCCAACCCATCAGCGCAGGGCGTCTGGAAGACGGGTCCGGGCATGGAAAGTGCCTGTTGAGCCACGGTTTTGCCTTGAAACAACTGCTGATAAGCGGCCTGAACTGGGGCTGTATATGGTGAATATAACGTCCTCTGTAGACGGCTGCAGTTCCATTCCATGTCGCCTCGCCCAGTCAACAGCCTCATGCCCCTTAATAATCCCCAAGCTCGGAATGGAATGAGAATTTCAGAAACCACTGAACTCGTCTGCCTGATCGTTCTAGTGGGTCGGTTCGTGGATTGCCTGCGCCACGCGTGAGTTCTGGTTGTTCGCCCGCGAGCGTTTGGAGATGCCAATGCCAATGCCAGTGCCAATCCCAAGTGGCTAACGCTCTCCCTCACCTCATCCTTTCCCCGTAATCGACACTCCTCAACCCTTCCCCGACGAGAAGCCATCCGCTCTCTTTTTATCGTTGGCTTTAATCTTTTTATTCTTATCGCTCGTTCTCGCCGTTGGTTTTACTTCGATCGTTCCGTTTCAGGGAGCATGTCTATGCTAGCCGTTCCTTTCCCCAGATCATGATCCCGCTGCGCCGCTCCCTGCCTTTCTGTCCTGCTCGCACGGCTCCTTAGAGTCCCGATCCGTCCGCCATGGCTATAGATGAGAAATACGAATATGATGCCCTTCCAATACCGTCTTATGAAGAGGCAACCACCAACCGAGCCAGCTCGTCCCGAACACATCTCCCCGACCAAGGGAGCGACGATCCGGAAGGCCAGGCCCTGCTTCACGATGACCGCAGGACCGCCGCCCGCGACGGGCCTCAAACCCGACCGCATGGGTACCATCCCCCTACAGTAGAATCTGTCCGAAATAGCGTCGATGATTTACACTCTTCACCTGCCACGTCGGAAAGGGGGTCGCTGGAGGAGTTGCGCGGAGAACTTGATCAGATGGATGTCGAGGATGGCGGCCAACACACGTCTCAACGCTCCCGGTTACGATCTCGATTCTCGAAGCCCTTCAGTAATCTGAGCCGAACTCTATCATCAATACACCTCCCATTCCGTCGGTATCTACCGAATTTCAAATTCACTATTGACCTGAACGCAGCCCGGACGAGCTTGAGCTCCAATGGATGTATCATCATGCTTCGCCTGTTCGGCCTATTACTCGTTGTCGCCATAATTTACATTTTCGTTGTTTCGGATATATTTAATCTCAGCTCCCGCTTTGTGGTCGGTCAGACGTATAATGCAGCGTCAGTGGAGAATTTCGTACAAGGTCACATCAACGAGTCAAATATCGCCGAGAATTTAAGGAGGGTGACGGAGTTTCCGCACATAGCAGGCACGGAAGGAAGCTACGTGCTTGCCGAATGGATACAACGAGCATTCGAGGATGCGGGTTTGGAGGCGATAAACATGGAAGAGTACCAGGTGTATATGAACTACCCTCAGAAGGATGGAAGGAGAGTGGCTGTTGTGGACCCTCCTGACCTCAAATGGGAGGCTATTCTTGAAGAACAGGATGCTGAGACACCTGTATTCCACGGGCACTCAAAATCAGGAAATGTTACGGGTCACCTCGTTTACGCCAATTACGGATCTCGGGAGGATTTCCAACATTTAAAAGATAAGGGGGTTAACCTGAACGGTTCGATCGCTCTTGTTCGATATTATGGGACCGAGTCAGACCGTGCTTTGAAAGTCAAAGCCGCCGAACTTGCCGGTGCTGTGGGCTGCATCATCTACTCTGATCCGGCTGATGATGGATTTGTTCGAGGCGCAGCCTACCCGAATGGACGGTTTATGCCGTCGGATGGCGTCCAGAGAGGCGCCGTCAGCCAGATGTCGTATGTGGTTGGAGATCTCCTCTCCCCGGGGTTTGCATCAACCCCTAAAATGAAAACGAGGTTAAGCCTCGACCAGGCTACTGGTGCACCAAAAATACCTAGTCTTCCCCTGGCCTGGCGTGACGCCCAGAGGCTTCTGCAGGTGCTCGAGGGTCATGGCTCAAAGGTACCGAAGAAATGGGTTGGTGGTGTTCCCGAGGTCAAGCACTGGTGGACAGGTGATGAAAAATCACCTATTGTCAATCTAAAGAACATTCAAGATGAAGAAGACCGACAGCCCATATACAATGTTATTGGAAGGATTTATGGGATGGAAGAACCCGAGAAGAAAATCATCGTCGGTAACCATCGCGATTCATGGTGTTTGGGAAGTGCAGACCCAGGCAGCGGAACTGCTGTTTTCCTCGAACTTGTCCGTGTCTTTGGTGAGCTTCTGACGTTAGGCTGGCGGCCATTACGGACGATCGAGTTTGCTAGCTGGGATGCAGAAGAATATAACCTGATCGGGTCTACCGAGCACGTGGAGGAAAGTATGGACAACCTGCGTGGGAATGCGTACGCCTATATTAACGTTGACGTTGGTGTTAGCGGCACAGACTTCGAAGCTGCCGGCTGTCCTCTATATGAGCGCGTTGTCATGCAAGTTCTCGGCCGGATTTCGGATCCTGTCACCAATGAGACACTGAAAGACATCTGGGAACAGAAAAAGAAGAGGTTCGCCCCTCTAGGAGCCGGAAGTGATTATGTGCCTTTCCAGGATCTCGCTGGAATCTCCAGCATAGACTTTGGGTTCACCGGAGACCCGTACCCCTACCATAGTTGCCATGAAAACTATGATTGGATGGCGAAATTTGGAGACCCTGGCTTCCAATATCACAAGATCCTCGGCCAATTCTGGGGCTTGCTACTGCTTCAATTTGCGGATAATCCGATTCTACCGTACGATGTGGAGGTGTACGCAGAGCGCTTGGCTAGTTATGTTATTGACCTGGAACGTCATGCAAAATCCAAGGACGTGCCCATCGACAACAGCGCCTCAAAGGATTCCTCCGTCAACCTAACACCTTTGTACAACGCTACCTCAAAGCTTCGAGGCAACGCAGAGCAGTTCCAGCGGTGGCCGAAGCTATGGCACGACGCTGTATGGGGTGCTGGAGGGTTCGAGAATAACATGATAGCAGTGCAGCGCATGTCGCACAATTTCCGGATGGCTAAACTCGATGTCAACCTTCTTGACAACCGGTTTGGCGGCGGGGTGAGTACAAAACACCATTGACACTGAAGCAACTGATAACTAACCAACTCCAGATACCTAACCGCACACAATTCAAACACGTTGTCTTCGGGCCCCAGCTTTGGTCCGGCTACGACGCCGCCATCTTCCCAGCTATCCAGGACAGCCTTGAAGCGAAAAACTGGACGCTAACGCAGGAATGGGTGGACCGAATTGCCGGCATTATCCTCGATGCGGGCGACAAGTTATTACATGACTGATTGACCTCCTTCGTACTCGTATATATTTCTTTTTTCTCAGCGACTACACCTACTGCATATATATTCTCCAATCTACTTGCCCAGGAACTCTCTAGGCTCACCTACCTACTTATTTGCTTTCATTACCTCCACGGCCTCTTGTCTACCATATATATATATGTCACCTTGTCCTTCTACTCTGTATGCATATCTCACATCATCACCGATAACCTGCTTTATCACTGTTTGCAACCCGGTTTGTATGAGAAGAATATGATCTTTCTCGAACACTTCTAACTCAAAAGTCAATGCGCTTGACTTCCATTCTTGCGTATCTCTTGTACCTCGGTAGCTTTTCTGCAACTTACCCAAGAGACGGAGATGCCTCTTGCATTTCCCTCACATACTGCATATCGCATTTCATCCTGCCTCATTTATTTCCTCCCTACTATTTACTGTGTACTTGACTCGCCAATAACTCTTATTGGTTTAGTGTACAACTGTTCAGAGCCCAGTGTTATTAACTGGATACTTGATTTTATTATCTGCTCATTAAGCCACTTCAGGTATCTATTTCGCTACTTCCAGGTAGCCGAGGATTGATTCAAATTTGACTGCAGTCTATCCATAGCACTTTGAACTACAATGCATAATTAGCAAGTAGGTTATTGTCTACTAATACGTGGTACAAAACGATAAGGGCATATTAGGCTGAGAGAAAAAGAGACCCAGATCCTGACCCGTTTCGACTTCCATTTCTATATCCTACACCGACTGTAGCTATTTAGTAGCATCCCACCCCATCTGGTTTCTAAAAGAATAGAAACGGGACGAAAAAATTAAGAAAAACAGAACCGCAGATAAGATTTTGACACCCAAAGGTTGGCGACCTCCCGCGTTAAGCCGATGCTGAAAAACGGAAAAATTGACGCAAAGAAAATAAAGGGCATAGAATGAACCTTTATCCACGTTATGCGCCGGGGACATTATGATGCGGAATGATATGTATCAGATGTATATATACAAGGAGACTGAGGAAAATAAAGAAGTTGGTTAACGAATCCATGTAATGCATTGTGCCGCCCAGTCCATGATGTATGATGGTTTGATGTTTCCCAGTATTACCCATTGAGATGCCAGTTATTAGAAGACGGAAAAAGAGACAGGGGAAAAAGGAATTAAGTAAGACGCAGGGAGACCCGGTGGTGACCAGCCGGCCAGTTTGATAGAGAATGCAAGCTTCTTCAGTCGGTAGCTTGTATGTAAACAGATGAAAGGTCGAACAGAATGCCAGCAACAATTCTCAAGACATTACCCAGTTGGTTACTTCCGGAAACCCTCAACGCCCAGCGTTGGAGTTTCCACCATGCGATCACAGGGCACACCCTCGTCGCGCCTTCGGGCAAAGAAGCTATCACACTCTGACACAATCTGTGCCCATTCTGCAAGAGCGCGACCAGCGTACTTGCTAGACGCAAGCTTGTCATCGGCTGTAACAGCTCGATCGATCTTTTTTGAGGAATTTTTGATCCCCCCATTGGTATGAGCCGTGCCATTGGTGCCCGTATCAGGGATATCTCGCTTCACGTCATCCTCTTCGATTCCAGAGTCAGTTGTGTCGTCGGAGGTTGTATCACCATCATCTGCCTTGAGAGTTGACCTTCGAAGCTGTAAATGTAGCTGTGACGCAACAGGGAGAGAGGGCATGTATAAACGCTTATTTTTGCTCGGCCACTGTGGCCTATCCATCCATTCCAAAGAAAATTTGAAGGTATACGGTTGATGCGGGGTCTTTGGTCGACACTGATCCCCAGGGGACCTGACATCCTGGCTTTTCTCTCCAGTCGCAGGCGAATCCGAAACCGTGGTATCGGAATCATCAGAGCTGGTGGCTGAGGAGGCCTCTTCATTCGATCGAGAGGAGCCGAACACGGCCTTAAGAATATTCCATCGTTTCTTCGGGGGATTATCGGTTTCGGAAACAGCATCTGCTTTTGAGGAATTGGTGTTCGAGGCTTGGTTAGGCGCCGATTGGGGGAGTACACGATCGAAGGACATAAAAAGATTCGAAGGGGTCATCGGGTTATCACATCGAATAATGATTATTCGGCGTCCTGGTGCTGGCATACAGGGTGCAGAGGACAATGGCGCTGCAAGGCCACTTTCTGCTTTGGTTTGAGTGGCTAGATAAAACCCCCAAAGGCGCTGTAATCGATTCGATAGAGTTTCATATATAATACTGCCATGATCATTATTAGTATGCACAGTGACACTGATGGTCAGCAGGTCATCGGTTTACTCACGAGTCAAGCGGTGTTGGGTCACCGTTAAACCTACCCAGCCGCCAGCACAAAAGACGGTGGAAATAGGCGCGGACCATGGGGCTCCAGTGACTAAAATAATGATAAAATAGTGGCTCACCGAGCAGAAAGCCAAGGCAAAGGTCTGCTTTCCTTTCCTCCGAACCGGTCCATGTACCCCAAATGCTAAATAAAAATGAGAAGACCCGAACTTCGGTGAGTGAATTGTGGCTTTGCATCATCTGGCGACAAGCTTCAAGCCAAAATTTCCAGTCGAACAAGTCCATCTCTATCATTTTCGAGTACCGTGCGATTATAGGTATGACTTCCTCGACAAAATCGCACAGCAGAAAGCACGCATTATGATCAAACAAGGAGGTTCGCTGCGCAGTTGTTTTCAAAATTAGGCAGAATGACTCGGCGTAAAATAATCGTGCGTGGTTGGGTTCAACCGAGGACTCGGAAAGGTAGTCTCGGAGAAGTATGATCAAGCGGTTCTCCGCCATAGAGCGATGGCTGTTAGCTGTTCCTAATGGAAGGGCCGAAGCCGATCCATCAGCGCCTTCAATAAAATCGTCGAAAGTGATTGCTGCGGTATTATGAGAGCTCTCTTGTGCTGGGCCTTGGGACTGCTTGTATAGAGTATCCTCAAGAACAACAAGAATTTGGGCATGGATGGGAAGCAAACCCGGAGATAGGACGCGCCCACTCTTCTCAAGGTATGATGGTATGGCGTCCGCATACAACAAATGGATGTACTTGACGAAGACGTAAAAAAGATCAGTGTCTCTGCCGCACCATCGAGACACCCAGGGACTTTGCCACTGAATCTGAGTTATACTCAACGGAACATCGGGCTTCTGGCGAAGATATCGCATTAAAGCCGTATGCGCATGGAATGACAAGGGTCGTAAAGCCGGAGGAAAGTTCAGAGCAAGCTCCTGGGCCATTGTACGAAGTCCACTGGTCGTGTCGACGTGAGACTCAGCGTATACTCGCCGGAAAACGTTAGGCGGTATATTCCAAAGCCTGACGAGAACATCTGCCACACCAGGGCAGAAAAAGAATGCATAAGCGCAAGCTTTACCACAGAACGACACCAAACTGGCAGGAGCATGCCTCATAGACATTCTTTCAACCACGAAAGCCATTTGAGACATGAGGTTTTGCGTGAATATGTTCCTTATGTTATGGTGGATAGACTCTACAAGAAAGTCTGATCCTGAAGATGCTTCAGAGGTCTCTGAAATAGACGTTGCCGTGTGCTGGAGTGGTTTAGGTAGCTGCGTATCAGGAATTGGCATTGGGAATGGTACTCTCCATTCACAGCGAGACATTATGCCGACCACTGCTTCTAGGTACACTGGCCTATCTGTACCTGAAATGGATTGATTATGTTTGCCGTTTAGCATGTCTAGTAACCCGGTCCACCATTTGTTGAGTATGGTTACCCGTCGATCTAGGTCTTCGGGCCTCAAACTTTTGATGTTTTGAGGGGGATGCAGTCGGTTGAGAAACGGCATGAGTGAAGAGCGAATGACATTAGCTTTAAGCGCACTGGATTTGGTTTGAAACCTGGGGGTCAACAAAGTCAGTATTCGCACAGCGAAATCTCACGTCAACTTAAAAATGATTACATACTTTTGAAAGTCGGCTTCAAGTCCCCGGAAAGCATTCCAAAGTTCGTCCTTCTTCTTAGGAGGATCCTGGCCCCCAGAACTATTGCCGGAAGGACCAGTCGTCTTCGAAGTCGGTGGGAGCACTGGAGTTGATACATTGAAAGATGATGTGAGCCTCTCCAGGGACCCCTTAGGGAGTAGGGATCTCGGTGACGGACTGCTTTGTGTGCTCGGGCTGTCGGCCCGGCTTTGGGTTACAACAGCGACCATCGGACGGCGAGGTCGTTTGCTTAGTATCGTTCGCTTACGGCTCGGCGTAGTGGAATCAGAACCTCTCGCCAGATCTAGGCTCCCAGAGCTTCGAGAAGATGGAGCTTGCGATGACGAGTCTTCTCCCTGGAGGGTCCGCAGGCGGGAGGTTTTCGGCGGAGGAGAGCCTGATCGGTTCGGGGAGCTTGACATCCATGGCTTTCGCGCAAAACTAACAAGCCTCCCTGACATTGAGCGCGCTTTGGAGGGTCGAGCAACAGGTGATGGGGGCCTGGTTTGTGGAACCTTTGGTGGAGGCTCCGGAGGCTCTGCAGGGGGAGTATCGGCCAAGTCCTCAGTCGAAACAGTGAAACGGGATACTGCAACGGTCGACTTTTCCTTGGAGCGACGGAGGGAAGTTCGCCTTAAGATATCTTTCCCAGCTGCCACATCTTCTTTTGACGGGGAGTCGGACTGTTTCTGGAACGTCAAGTCTGAGAAAGTCCTTCGAAGCCCCGGAGAGCCCGGCTCGGATGTGGATAGGTCGGGAAGATTGTTGTAGCTCGCGGCTCGGGATAACCAACTTTCCTGGTCATCCTGGTGAGTTGTCGTAACTTCGGGAGCAGGAGGAGACATGACCGGGTACAGCCAGTGCTATCCGCTGGAGTTCTGTCGCAAGGGCTGCTAGAGAAGTGTAGCTCACCCCCCCGACTGGGGGTGGACAGTAGCTGTTGTTGATTTTGACAAGATCAGCTCCTCCATGTAAAAAACAATCGACAGGAAGTGAGGCTATTGCATGAGAAAACAGGCTCCTTCGAAAACCATTGAACCGCTAGACGACGACAGGATTGGAGGGTCGAGGAAGGGCTCGAGAAGGTGGTCTGGAGAGGGATGGCAGTGCAAGCAAGCACAGGGCGTAGGCGCAGGCAGCACCGAAAGGTAACGCTCGAATAGAGGGGGCGCGGTACTCGTTAACGAGGGGCTGAAGCTGCTTGATTCCTGGGGTAGTGAAACAGGGAGCTTCCAAAAATCACAGGCTTGTCGCAGGCTAGGGACGGAGAGGGTTAGCTGGGCTAATGTTGGAGCGAAGGGAGGAGGCGTGCGGTTGATCGACAGCGGAGGAACGATCGATGAATTAATTGGCAGCAGGGGGGTGAGATTGGACGAAGGAATCTTCGTTACCTTCTTTCGTACCCCTCCCCCTTTCCATTAAAGGTGTTTAGCAACTAAAATGAAGTCGCCGGAGAAAGAGAAGAGAGCAGGAGAAAAAGAGAGGCACAAAGAGAAGGGAACAGGGGAGCCGGAGATGTTCCCTTGGGCGGTATTACCAAAACTTTACATACCAGACGCAGCCTGTCGTTGCTTATCCTCAGTCGCTGACTTGGAGACAAGGGCGGAAGTGGAACTTAATTAAAGAGAAGTCTTTGAGGAGCTGGCAATATTAATAGATGGCAAAGCTCTTAAGTTGGCCGGGCAAATCCGAGTGTTTATTGTCAGATCTAGGATCTAAATCAGACAAGGCTGTGAGAGTCACCGCCACCCCGTGAAGCCAAACAAACACTATTGTACCGGACCATGGCGTTTCGCCTCCATTTCTTACCACTTTTTGGAGTGGAACAGTGCCGTTTTCTTGTGTCTTATTAGTATCGCATTATTGGGATTGCCTTAATAGCTCCTGTGGCTCTTAATATAAGTTTACTACTACTGCTTTATTAGTAGCACTATTTGATATGGTAATGTATTGTATTATATAATACCAAACTTCCGGCGTCGGGAGTTTCAACACTCGAGCTGCTAAGCAAACAGCTGGGACTCGAGGGGATGATGTCAAGTTCTCGCATTCGAGGATTCAAGTCCAGGTTTAGCTGCAAGGACGATAATAAGAGCGCAGTGTTTCTTGCAGGATGGGTGTAACTACGACTTACGCTGCAGATGTCCACGTACATACATTCCCCGTTTCCGACTACCAACCTCTCTCCGCCAGACCGTTTGCGCTGACCCTTCCATGCTACCTGGAGCTCAGTTGTGGCTGGCCTCTCCATATTGGGGAAATATTCGTATTGTCTATCATTCCGATTCCACTCGAGATAGACACTGCATATGATGCTCAATCGAAGACATCCACATTGCTGTTGATATCCTCTCTCTTCCGCTCCATATATCCCAGCTAAGAAACTCAGCTCGCGCCATATCTGACCCATCACACGTCTTGTCACCAAACTATTCAAAAAATAATTCTCGAAAGCATGATTACACTTCGGTATGAGCCCCTTTCCGAGAATGTTGTACGGGTTCCCGGATGCATGACAATATATCTTCTGCTGTGTACCTGGCGACCAGCAACATTCCATCAGCGGCCGCCCCTTCTCACGACCTTCCGACGCTTCTTGCCAAGCGTGAGGAGTTTCCACTAACTATCTGCCATCTTAAGCCCAGTACTGCTCTGCAGTCTTCGGAAACCTCGTCTTATCTCAGCTTGCTGGTACGTCTCAATATAAGCTAGTTCGCCCCATTTCTTAGTTCTGCGATGCAGCACTTTCGTGGTTGTTAGACCCAAGGCAGTATCGACAACACATGCATCATCGTACAGGAATGCGGAGGACATCAACGACTTACGTATTCAAATATTCAAGTGACTGAAGAGACAAAAAAAAAAAAAAAAAAAAAGCCTAGCGGTCTAGCTCTGGGGCTGTCGTAACACTTTGCTCCGCTTCTGATATGGCAGAGTCCCCTGCGTCCTATCTGGTAGTACCAGTCTCTACGAAAGAAGAAACGAATTAGCAACATTTTATTTTGCATGTCGACGGATTATCTTTCAAATTCTGGCGTCATGGACCCTAATTAACTAACTATAGGCGGCATAATGACTACAATATGTCGCACAATCAAGTCATGATTGTTCCATTCAATCTGCTTACTGACATCCCACTGCCAGGTCCAAATAGAGTGAGCACTTTGCCCGTGCAGTTATGCCAGAGGTTTAAATGATATTCTTATTCAAGTCTGTCAGTATCAGCTCCACACTCTACACTGATTGCCCTACATTGAAAACGGGATTATTTTCTACTTTGGTTCTTCAGGACAATATATGAGGACTCAAGGAAAATTTCATGTGCTCCAAGTAGCTTTAATTTACAGTTCCTTCAGAACTCAACAGAAGAAAACGTTGCAAGTCCCGACCCGGTCTCTATAAGTCCCAAGTCTTGGGACCTTGAATCTCTAACGATATAAAGAAACTTAGTGAGCGGCGGGAGCCTCATCCTCTTCCTCCTCAAACCAGCTCTCCTCAACGGGAGCGGCCTCGCCGGTAGCGGCCTGGCCCTCAACCTCAACTTCCTGGGTCTCGTAGGAGTTCAATTCATTGGCGAGGCTGGCTTCTTCGGGGGATTTGGGGGCAGCAGGAACGCTGAACTTCTGAGTGTGGGCCTCAGCGTCACCGGGCTTGATGGGCGCAGGCTTGTAGGCACGGAGCTCACGGAGGTAGAGTTCCTGGACAGGGTCGGCTGTAAAATGTTAGAGTTTGTTAACTCGTCGGGGCCCCGCAACTGCAGTAAATAGAGATGTCGCAGTCGAGGAATTGGAAAAAGGCAGAACTTTGAAATTACATACCCCGACGGACAGCGGAGGTCAGGAAGGTGCGGCGGGCGACAGAGGGGACCTGTTGCCGAGAGACGCGGGAGAAGAGGGAGCGCTGCGAAAGGGGTTAGCATCAGGGATCGAGCGGGCTGAGCAGTGTGAAAAGATCAAAAATGACTTACCGAAGCCCTGAGAGACTGAGACATCATCGTGGAGATAATGGAGATGAGAGGACTCGAGGATAGAATCTGCGAAGACAGGAGTGCTTTCATCCGTGAAGCCGAAGTCGAAGTTGGACGTTTGTTCGGGTGACTTCGGCTTGGCGGGTGACTCAGCATCGCCTGCGGCTCTTCATTTCACGAGTTGACTCTTCCAGCCCAACTTCACCCCTCCCTCCACCTCCTCTCCTCGCCAACCCCTCGAAACGCCGTCCTCGCTGTTTCGCACAACCTGATCGTCTTGAAACTCGACAGCCGACACTGTTTCGCTGCCCGCGTTCCCGTACGGACTCGTTCGTAGCGGCTTGTCAGATTCTGTGACCCTTTTCCGTGAGATATCGCTCACTCACGGAGACCTTGACTGGTTTATCGCGGTCGGAGAAGTCCGGTTTCAAGGCTTCAAAGGTTCTTTGGAGTTGTCCCAAGAGATCTCCTTTTGTGTGCTGCTGCTGCGAAGGTGCTTTCCGCTGGTTCTGTGAATCAGTGTCCATTCCGGAAAGGTAAAGCGTCACTTGAAGAACCTGACATCCTGCCCTTTATTCCGTCTCTTTGAGGCTTCAGCTTCAAAGAGATAGAAGAGCATTATTTAGGTGGCAAGATGGTCCTAAGTCGTAGTCTTTGCTTGATGATAAAATCCATACTATCAGGCTTTGTTCCATCACTGTCCACCAGATTCATCGTCTTCATAACACTCGGGGCTTTGTGGCTAACATGATCATGAAAGACAGTGACGCAGAGACGTGACTTGAAAAACAAGTCCTCGATATTTGCGCCGCTGCTCGTATTCCACTCTTTTATTTCCTACTGAGAACGAGATCCTCAATTGTCCGTTGACGAACTACAGCCGCCAATCTGTATTCGCCACTGTTCATTCGTTTCTGTACCCGAAAAAATACACTTGCGGATAAGCGTTTGAAATCATCAAAGCCACCGAAACAGCTACGTGAACACGCCAAGAGTACTAAATCACCGAAGATGGCCGCCATATCTCCCGCAGCCCTGCAAGACCCCAACGCTCAGTGGAAGAAGAATCTTTCGGCACACGTCATTTGCCCAGAATGTAAAGAAGTGCCGCCAAACTTGGAATTCCCCGGGTCTCATGAAACCGTCTGTGGTTCCTGTGGGCTAGTGCTTGCGGATCGCGAGATCGATATGCACTCTGAATGGCGTACCTTCTCGAACGATGACCAGAACAACGATGACCCTTCGCGTGTTGGTGATGCTACAAACCCGCTATTGAATGGTGATCAGCTGGAGACTCAAATTGCTAGCGGTGGTTCTGGTCGTGTCCGCGATTTGTACCGCGCGCAAAATAAGCAGTCCAGTGAGAAGGCAAACAAGGCTCTTCTTGCAGCGTACAAGGAAATCGGTGCTCTATGTGATGGTTTCGGAATTCAGAAAAACGTGGCGGACACCGCCAAGTATCTTTTCAAGATCGTTGACGACGCAAAAGCGTTCAAGGGCAAGTCTCAAGATGTGATCATCGCCGGATGTATTTTCATCGCCTGTCGCCAGTGCAAAGTTCCTCGCACTTTCACTGAAATTTTCGCTGTTACCAAGGTAACAAGAAAGGAAATTGGGCGCATTTACAAAGCTCTAGAGAAGTTCTTTACCGCCCAGAACCTTGAACGAAATAATGCGGTAGTCTCGAATGGAGGCGTGCCTGATCCCAACGACACCTACACGGCAACGACCTCCACGAAGCCCAGCGACCTTTGCAATCGTTTCTGCAATCTTCTCGATCTCCCGTTCCAAGTCACCAGCGTGTCCTCGTCTCTGTCTGATCGCGTAACCACCGAAGGCAATCTCGCTGGACGCTCGCCACTTTCCATCGTTGCGGCTTGCATCTACATGGCCTCATACTTAATGGGTCACCCCAAGTCCGCGAAGGAGATTTCCCAGGTAGCGCACGTCAGCGATGGTACAATACGCGGCGCCTACAAACAACTCTACGCTGAGCGTGACGCCTTGATTGATAAAGAATGGATCAAAGATGGGAAGGGCGCTCTGAAAAACCTACCACCCAGCTAATCTGCAAGCGTTGGTTTTTTTTGTTTTTTTTTTTCCAAGTTGAACACTTGACATCACACTTATGGCTCACCGCCAACATGTTTACCCATTTATGTCTTTTGATTTGCGTAGTTAGAACGTGGAGATCATACCATAGGCTATTACTCCAAGATACCCAACAACATCAAGAAAAAAAGAAAAAGAAAGAAAAAAAAAAGAAGACAAAAAACATGGATTTAGAGGCCCTGGATTCATTTCCTTGCTGTTCCGTTCTTATACATTCTAATTTCCATCATACTTAATTCGGCGTTAGTATGCTTGCAAAGCAGTTCAACGAGACTAAATTGAGATTAAAAGAACTCCATACCTGATTGAATTTGCGTCCATTGAATTCCTATTTTGCCGTGCCTCTTACCAGTGGATATCAAATGTTAAACTCGGGCTCGCTCTCTTCGAATGGTAAGCTTCCTAAGGTATTTACGTTGTAAAGCAAGTATAAATATATCAGTAGTTTCCAAACATGAAAGGGATAAAGCCTAGAGCAAAACAAAAAAAAGAGATATACAGAAATAGGTCCTTTCATCCTCAAGAAACCTACTCGAGATATCATACTAAGTTCTATGTTCTAATTGGTGATTATTGTGTTGTAGACGTAAACTTGAGTTCGAATACATGGCCAAGCCTTGCCATAGGCCCGAGTATTAAGAGACAATAAAGGATCATACAGGGTAACTAACTGAATTGAAGTGGTGATTTGTAGCACGAGATTAGATTTAGATTGGCTTGTCATTTAGCAAGAGTGCTCTATGTCTGAGATATGCAGACAACACTGCATCCCAATTAGGCTAGAAAGGAAAGAAGCGTATAATGGACATGAAACGAGAGACAGATAGATCACTGGGAGGACACCGAATTAACGTGCAATAGATTCATCGCCGTCAGAAAGTCGTTTGCCATCAGCCGAGGCAGCCAGGGACTCGGCTGCATTGTCAACACTGTCGGCGTTGCCGGCCACAGCAGACGGAATGTTGACCTGCTTGTCCAATTGCTCGGCCATTTCCTCCGACGACTCGACCTCAGTTGCACCGACGAGTGGATCCTCTTTCACATCTTCCGTCTTCGAGGCCTCGATGATGGTCTGGGTACTCGGTGACTCGAGGACTTCTTCCTTGGGTTGTATCTGGGGATCTGCTGATTCAACGGACATATTCCGAGCCAGGGGGGGTGCCATAGTATCGTCCGAGCCTGATGGCTCTGGTGTTGACAGGGTGGTGCCAGGCTGCTCATCCTTATTCCCATCACCGACAACTAGGTTGCCGTCCTCGTGAATTTGCCAAACATTCCAGGTTTCGGTTATCTTGATCTCGGGGATCGTAGGTAGGCGGGCAGCGGGCTTCTCAACAGCAGGCTTTCTCCGAGCCGGACCACGAGCACGGCCCTTTCGAGCGTCGCTCAGCGGCCCCTTTTCTACAGGGGCTTCCTTCTTTTCTTGAGGTTTTGGAGGCGCCTGCGGACCAACCTGCAGGCGCGAGTTCAAGTCAGAGAGGAAACCAGCCTTGATAGAAGCGATTTTACCCCCAGTTGGGCGAGCTGGAACAGCTGGTTTCGGTTTGGTTGGCGGGGCCTGTGCTTCTTCACCCTCTGTTCGGGCGGCGGCGCGATTTGCTGGCCGTGCGGGGATCTGAGGCTTTGGTCTATCAGGAATAACTGGTGGCTGTCGCTTCTCAACCGGGGAAGTCGGTTTTGTGGACGCATCCACCTGGGGAGGTTGCCGCTTCTCAGGTCGACGGGGAAGGATCGGCTTTGTGGGCACCGCTGGACTCGTGAGCTGTTTTTCTTCTGATGGCTCTATCGTTGTCACCAGCGTCTGGCTTTCCGGCGCGTCTTCCCAAATATCTCGACTGGGGAACCTCTGTTTCGCAAGTCCGGGGTGAGTGGGAGGTTCTTGCTCCCCTGAATCTAATATTCGCTTCGCAACCTGGTGGCTATCAATACCGGGCTCTCGGGATTTGCGGGCTTCCTCTTGTTCAGGTGTCTCAAAACGGTCCTGCTTCGGGATATCTGGGGTGGAGACAGTGGCATGAAGCTGGTGGCTGTTAGGCGAATCTTCCCAAATGTCCTCGCTAGGGAACCGATGCTTAAGAGCGTCCGGGCGCTTCTTCATGACCTCCGCTGCGGCAAGGGGTTTGCTCTCTTTCGATCCGTCCTCGGGGAACAACGGCTCGTATTCTTCAACGTCTTCGAGAGGCGTATTTACTATCTCTTCGTCCCGAGAGTTATATCTTGCCAGGGCGGGGGTGCTGCCACGATAACTTGTGGCTCTGCTATTCGATCGACTTTCGTTGACGCTAGGCGTTCGGCTTCGGTCTTCATAATCCTGGAACGTTGGAGATACAGCGGCGTGCTGATATGCGGATTCAGGACGCACTTCATCGGCGGCCAATATCGGTTCTTCTTTATCGTCCTCTCCTATACCCTTGTGTGTTATTTCGTCTGGGTCCGGAGTTTGAGCGAAACCATCAGGGTGATGGAGGTGGTGATAGGGTTCATCGACGTGAATAACGGAAGCCTCCTTTTTCTCTTGCCCTTGTGCTTCGGTGGCCGGAATGCTTGCCTGACGGAGCGGGGACTCAACAACGGGACGGGTGTCACCTTTCGATTCTGGAGGTGGAGATGCAAGACGATGACTATACTCATCGGCAGCAATGTAGCCAATCTCTTCTTCTGGTGTCCCGGTTACGGCTGGGGAGGTCCCTTGAAATCATAATTAGCAAAGATGCCCCTTTATAATATACCTAGTGGTCAGAAAAAGACTTACCTAGACCTGAGCCAGTGACGGCAGAGCCCCGAACGATTTTGTTCAGATCATCACTACTCAGGGCCCCATCAGGCCGTGGTGTACCGGATCCATATTGTCCTTGTTGTTCGTCCTTCACGTATTCGTTTGGATGCTTCTCATACCAAGCTTTCTCAAACTTGTCGTTGGCGGGAACACCATGGCCATGAAGGCCATAGCTACCGGGTGGCAGAGAAGCTTCCCTACCACTACGAGTTCGGTTATGGCCGCGCCCAGATCGCTGGTTCGGCTGATCCAGATAAGGGCTGGGAGAAGGAGCTTGTACATCCCCTGCATTAGCTAACATTGGAACTCTCTGGCCGATTTCTGGAATGCCATGCTCATCATCATGGCTTGACTGTGGGCGGTCGAAAGACGCTGTTGAGCCTGGCCGTGAACCCCGAGAGGACGAGATGGGGCGAGCCACCCGTTCTGGCTGTTCATCTTGCGCAGGAGATCCTATCGTGCCCAAACCTGCAGCTGTAGCCTGGCTTGAATCTGTGCGAGTTACCGCCTGCACCTGGGCCTTGGCGCTGGAAGTGGGGAGGGAAGGCCGGGGCGCATGAAGCTTAAGGTCGCTGGCCACGTTCCGCGTCTCCGCAGGAGTTGTGTGTTGGTTGTCGGCGGCATTAATGGCATCCAAATCCTCGTATTCAATGCCTTCTTCACCAAGCGATGGTATTGTCACACTGGGAGGCCGAGGGGGCAGGTCGTTGGAAACAGTCCGAGACAAGGTCGAACCATTAGGAGGCTCGTTCAACGGGGAGGGGGCGTAATTGGAGCTCATAGGAGACGCGGCACGGTCAATGCGACGGCTTGGACGAGGAGGGATTTTCGGCAAGTCTGGGGTTGGAGCTTTCTCGAGAGGCGATCTTGACGGACGAGGGGGCACGACGGGACCCGGACCCGATTGTGTCGCCATATTGAACTGGTATATGTACGATATTGGTCAAAATGAACTAGAGTGTACTTTATTTCTGATTAGCAATCGAGCCCGAGCATCCAGAAGGTTATAAAGCTTGGTAGCTGTGAAGTAATGGGCGCAGGCTGAGGTATAGGAATGAATGCCCCCAAACAACTTCACACAGTAAATTGCACCTATAAATTCACCAGTCTCAAGCCTGACCAACTCAGATATCAGTTCTAGCTCCGGGTCCCTTAGAAGAACCGGGGTCGGAGAGAGACGGTGTAGGGCCAAATGCAAACAGGGCAGAGTGTCGACGCCGAGGCCATGATAAGATAAAGGAAACCCCCCAATCTCACCGCTCAGCAGCTGAAAGCGGCAGCAACATTCCTTAGCCCAGGAGACTGGATTCGTATCTGGGCCCATGGATGGGAAGGGGGTATGGGGGAGACATGTACTCACTGATGCGGCAATGATAACAGACTGGAGATTTAGTCTTTATAGCTAAGATCGAGAGGGCAAAGGGCGATTGATAGAGTGACGGGGATCTCAGCAGGAGTGTTTAGTGAATTGACGAAATAGAGTATTGACCGTGGGAAGAGTATATGGGGGCTCTGAATTGAGACGACTGAAAACGCAGAAAGAAGCCAGAGCAGCAGGAGGAGCAGATGATGTATGACTTCTCCGAACGGCTGTTTCTCCAGGCCTGCAAAAACCGACAATTACTGCATGTAAGATAACCAGTGGCCCTAAAACGCCGCCTTACCGCTTTCTTCCTGCCACGGCCCACTCCGCTGGCTCGTGACGTCCTTTGACGCCATTCGAGGGCCTCCTCCACGGTCTCGAAACTGTATGGTGACTGTACGGGGGCTGTGAACCAACGAGGGTCGTTCGTCGCAATTACAATGCTTCCGCAAAAAAAACCGCTGGTTTTTAAAAGTTTTCAAGGTTCTTCTCGAGAGTTGGTATACTACCTCCTTCATAAAAGTCCGGGCTTCAAACGGAAACTGGACACAATTCCAAGCAAGACTAACTCATGGTAAAATACCGGTGATTTCCATATTTCTAAAAGCTCAGGCTGTTTTGCCAGAGAATAGAATTACTCCCTTCTTTTACCTTGGTAAGAGGGGAGGCCGATTTTGGTTTTCTGCGGCCTTTTCAAGATTGAGCTGAGGCATTTTCTTGCATAAACATGTCTCAACTCCATTCGGTCATTTTCAATCTACCTAGGTATACTCAAGGCGCACAGATAGGGCGGAAATCATGAGCTCAAACTCTTTATCAGGCCTATTAATATATCGCTCATCATTTGAACCAGCTAAATCCACCCAGCTTATCTCTTCCCTTAGCTCTCGTTTTCAAGCCCGAGTCATTAATCCCACCGCTAGCCAAGCGGCCCCTTTTTTTATTTGTGGTTGTGTATACACATTGCAGTCCATTTGCACATGGTCTGGTTTATAGGCTTGGACTGAGAGTCAAGGCTCGAGCCACTGGCGGGGTGTGGATTGTATCGAAGCGCATCTGACTGGCTGCAACTATCCCCTCTTGGACGATCACATCAGTCAAGGAGGCGGTGAGCACTGAAGAGTTGGAATCGCTCTTAGAGCTTGGGCCAGTCTCAACCATCTGTAAACCAAAAACCAATATCTAAGTCAGTCGTTGGCAAGTTATTGGTGAGTATGAGGTACGGTTTGAACTTGTGCTTTGCTCTTCACTGCATGTAAGACTTCATGTTTGTAACAAGTGGTTATCAATGTTCTTATAACTGCTTGTTATCAATCTTTCTAACTGTAAATCCTGTATATGCGCCTTATTGAACTTATGAGCAGCCTGAGAATAGTAGCCTACCCTAAAGTAATGGACATAACTGATAGACAGGCAGAGGATTCTTCTCACACAAGCACGCCACCAAAAACCTGGTAGATTGGTTAATCAGGCCATGTTAATTGGGTGTTGTATTCAAACTTGGTACCTACAGGCCGATCAGGGACACCCCGGAGTTTCCTAGAGACACAATATTGCTCTATGAACTCCTACTGTCGGCCAAAGTTGGCCAGAATTAGTATTTGCATACTGTAATTTGCGTTTCTGCTACTGCACAGTGGAGTAAGATACCGCCTAGAAAAGTTTGAAAAACCGCCCAAGTGGACTGTTCTGGGGAAGATCTCCGTTCCTAGCCGCTTGTTGCGGATTCATTTATTTCAGGAGGTAATGAGGATACAACAGCCGGACCTGTGGCTCAGCCCGAACCGTGGTTGAGATACTCCATTTGTATCTGCTGGATTTCAACTGAAAGTTGAGAGATTTATTTCTACAAGCCTATTCAGTATTCACCCTATCTATCTACGTGAGATCCTTGTTGAATATAGCCATAGTAGAGATATCCCTGCTGTTATGCAGGACAAGGCCGATCAACTCGCATACCCTCAGACCACTGGAGTATCAGAAACATCGCTGCCTTGATACTGGCAGAGGGCGATATTCCATTCGGCGCCTCAACAAACAAATAGCTCAAACCAAGAAGCCACGGAGTGAGCATTGAGTCGTGGACGCTCATGGTTAGCTGCCTAGCCAGCTAGTCAGCTTTCGCCTGGCACCAATCTTTCGCTCCGTTACGTTTCCTTGATTGGGGAATTCAGACTCAGAGATCTTGCAATATGTTCTTGATCATTCCCCTGAAGCCCGTCCCTTGCCGAGATTGGTCTCCCGAGTGAGATACTTGATTCTTGTAAGTTATCATAATGCGGGGTAGCTGATTGAGGGGTTTCTGGGCAATGACGTATATAGGCATTGTATAGTTCTTCTCCCGGTTTCTACCGTCAATGCGGACAAACAGTTTGATTCAAGAGAGGAAAAGAGGTCTCCAATGTTATCGACGCACGGGTTTGAAATATAGTAGCGCTCTTCCATATTAGCAATCCATAGCGACGAGTCCTGCGCGTTCGGTGCAGCGATATGGTTGTAGATAGATAGCTCTTAACATCCAACAAGCAAATACAGCCATACACCCCGAGTATAAAGATATGATTTCAAGGCAATCATTCTTCTTTGAGTGGATAACGAAAAGGCAGGAGATGGTCAGGATCTACTTTCTGAATACCAGCTACACTCTGGTCGTTCAGCTGTTGGCCCCAACTAGGAACAACGTTAGTAAGCCCATAAACTAAACAAATGATGATAATTACCCTTCAATACCCTCTTCTTCGTATTATTATTCCAGCATTTCTTAGACATACACCCATTGTGATCAGATATCAGCCTGTATTGATCATGAGTGCAATCCTTCAAAGTTTGAGACAGTACTCTCCGGAAGAGTACTTCTCATTGGAACATCCTCATAAATACGGACTGGATGACCCAGATCTTAACCCAGTTAGTAGCTGTTAACTTGGGGAATATTTGTAGAATCGCCGTCAATGGCAAGCCGAGTACACCTGCAAAGACTTTCGGGTGCGGTTGGCATTGATCGCATAGAATGATAGTCGCCGCAGTTTCCACTTCCGTGATCTACATTACGATTACTAGCGCGGCGATCATGTAGTCTCCGAGATCGAATGAAAACCGTTGGCATTTACAGCAATTTGCTACGAGATAATCAAGTTATATCTAGTGGTTCATCACCAGGATGCTTGCATTAGGGTATACACTATAACGGGAAATAACACTGACCAGCCAAGGACAATCACACGCGATCATCAGCTAAGTCTTCAAAACAGAAACAGGATATAACAATGCAAATCCAACCCATACAGAAGGGTAAACAGATGTGCGTGCTCCAAAAAGCCAACTCGAGTCTCAGACAGGATCTGGCTTTGTCAAACCAACATGAGGTAGTAGTACAAGGCTTGAACAGCGGCGTTGGGAATAGCAGCGTCAATTCGTAATCGTGGTGCGTTGGACATAGGAAGAACTCAGCACATCATTTTTAAAACTCATTTTTCTTCATTGTCTTTCTGGCCCATCGGCCAGATTGGCGCCGACAGAAAGTGCAAACTAAGATCAATATGCAACGGTCCAGCGGGAATTGGTGATTCCACTAAACGATCATTTGCGCAATGCCTTGTCCGCCCAAGGTCTTGCTGCCAACAAAGTCCTGGCTCTTGAGGCCAGCCAGAGCATAGAAAATACCGGCGATGAGAAGGAGGACGGCGGCCGCAATTAAACTAGAGCCTCTCTCAATGAGACTAAGCCACTGAACAACACTCATGACGGTGTACATTCCAGCACGCATCCAGTTGGTTGTGAAGCGTCGGATAAAAGTGTCGAATTTCTCTGATGTAGGGCAGATTCTAAGGAGGAAAGGCACCTCAGTGAAGATGAGGATGCAACCGGAAACGCTATATAGATGAGCTATAGGAAATGCTACCGGGGTATGATCTAACTCACATGCACAGAATACTGAAAACGATGAGGACCGCATTGAACGAGAAAATGTTGGCGATACCGACGGCAAGACACAGGATGATGCACAGCACACCCGTCCTAACAGCCATTGATTGTCAGCAATTTACTCTTGCAATAGACGCGATGTGACAGTTTTTAAAGGCGAGCAGGCCGTGGGAGAGATGCCAGTGTTGCTACAGCGCGCCAAACCAGTGCAAACAATGCCAAGCATATCCATTTGAGATTCCAGGCAGCCATTATTTATCACCGAATGGTTTGGTGATGCGCAACGTTGTAACGAGGGAGAAGGATTGAAATATATTCAGGGAATCGGGTACAGACCATTGACCGTAGATACCTAGATGATGAGGTGTTAGTTTCTATCTCTTTGCTTACTGCCAATATGGCGAGCGGGAAGTCATACTGAAGTTTCTTGAGCGCAATTCTTCCGTGATAACAGACATTGTTACGGTTCAAGTATAGCACTTATCGCAAAGAGAATATAGCTGGCGAGTTGCTGGGAAGAAGGTTGAATGGAAGCGAGGGGGTTGAATCGATGAAACAAGGAAGATTGCGAAGAGTGGCTTGTAGATGTTTGAAAGGCAGAGGCAACAAACAAAAACTGGGGCCAGCTTGCCATTCTCGCCGATCGCTTCACCGCCTACAGGCAGAATCGCTCCTCAAGATAACGGCTGAGGAGTAAATAACTTCAATTCTCCGCATCACCCTGAAAGCTATATTCAATTTCCCAGTCTCATTGTTTCTCCAAAATCTTTGCTTTATTAACTTAACCTAATACGAGCCCAGCCGCTATACATATTGTTCTGAAGGGTGACAACAGTTCAATTATCAACTGCGCCTAGCGGTCATGGACGATAACAAGCACAGCCGCAATGTCTCCAGATGTAAGAACAGCTATTATTTCTGCTTGTATGATAATAATAGCACTAACTAAATCAGCGTCGCGACCACGTAGTTCAACCAAGGGTCCGCTAGACCAACCAGACGAGTAAGATATGTAATCTACAAGCGGCCGCATGTATGCTGATGATACCTAGCCCTCTGAACGCTGAGGACCCGGGCAAGATATCTACGCTCTTGAATCAGAACACAGCCGATTATGGGTCGTGTACGGGCGCCTCGTTTAACTCACTGGATCCGCTAGCCCCAAAAGAACTATCATTAGATTTGGACAAGGACCTGTCGTTTCTTCTCCGGTATGACAACTACCATTCGCTCTCGCAAGTCGACATTCCACATGCCTTGCGGTCTGAATTTATATCGCTCACATCCGATGCGACATTGGATTCATCACTCGGTACTCTTGAGAGGCTCCTGGCTGAAGGCCATTTTCTCTTAGCCGCTTATCTGTGTGGCTCGATCCTAACATCGACTCTAATATCTCCGAAGAATATCAAGGTGATATTTGCCCTGTTTTACACGCGACTGGCGTGCCTAGAACTTTCTGGCAATACGGTCATTGCAGCTCAAGAATCCAAAGCGCTTGAAGATCTAAGTTCGACGTTCTACTATGTGGATCCCGAACTTAAGGCCGCCGATGCAGATGTCCATCAATCAAACTTCCCACAGCACATTGCACCATGGCCTCTTCGTGTCTTGGCCATCAGGCTACAGAGTATAGGATTCGGTGACCCGCGTAGGGGGATCGGAGGTTTGTACGAGATCGGCCTGGAAGCGCGAAGAGAGATTATGCGCCCGGACATAGATCCCGCTGAACGAGAAGTCTGGAAACAGAGGTTGTCCGATCTTGGGGTGCGAACGGTCAATGCGCTGATTGAAATGGGAGATCTCGACGCAGCCAAAAGATCGCTGGAGGGTTTAACACAGACGGAACACGTCAATGAAGTTACCAAATTAAGAACAGTGCTTCTTTTACTCTCGGTTGGCGATATTGACGCGGCGAGGAAATTATGTGTGGGTTTTAGTGACACTGGTGATGCAATATTTAAACCTCTCCTCAGTATGGCTGAAGGACGTTACGACGATGCAGTTCTAGAATGGCGCAGCCTACTAGATATCAAGGACAAGGAAACCGATGACGCCATTATCTCCCAGAACCTAGCCGTATGCCTGCTGTATACTGGCCGGCTAAGTGAGGTACGTTTCTGTTTCTATCTGCTGTGCCACAGGACTAACAATACTGTATTCAGGCGCGTGAGGTCCTGGAATCCTTGGTCCAGAAGCAGCTCTCATTCTCCAGCCTCGTATTCAATCTGGCAACAGTCTATGAGTTGTGCTCTGACAAGTCTGTGGAATTGAAGCATGGACTTGTCGAAGTCATTGCCAAACAGCCAATCACGGGACATACGAATCTGGACCGACTGAACACAGATTTCAAGTTATGAACAATATTAGTTGTGGTAGGTGATATATATGTCTATGAATACACCTCATGTGCTGCTTTTAACACCAGCAGCACACTTTTACTAAACGCCAGTACCGATGCTCCAGAGTCGCCATGCAGTATCATAACAAATATATCGTAATCAAGGCATCAACCTGTGCTTTCCTGAATGGGCGTAAGGTTGCCCTCGGGTTTTGGCTTTGGTCTCGGTTTGCGGATTATAATCCTATCGCCTTCTTTCTCCCATCCTAGTTTCTCTCTCTCCGTCAACTTCTCCCATGTCCATGTGTGATCCCCAGTACAGCCTTCAACAATCCACGCAACATCGACACCCAAGTAAGCCTTACCAACTGCTTTAAGAGCGTGCCGTCGAACCCGATCTTCTGCCCAGTTCATCACTGCACGCATGGTTGAATCAACTTCTTTTCGAACCCGCCAAAATAAAATCCAATTATCATGCGCGATGGCTTGCAGAGCCTGATCAACCTCCCGTGACTGGTAGCTGTACTGCCTGCGCGCCCTTGCGCGGAGCTCAAAGGCGGCAGCTAGATCCTCTTGCCGGCACGCATAGTCAAGGATGAGGTATGAAATGTGATCCTTCAAGTCCGATTCCGGTAACGGATTATATGGGGTGTGAAGATCGTCGAGAAGGTGGCGGAGGGAAGGAAAGTAAGACGGTGGATGCCGAGCTTGGATTGAGACTTTGATGGAGAACACATGGATTCGTTGCGAAAACGCGATGGGGGTAGTTGAGGCAGTGGCCAATACGGCCTCTCGAAGCTTACGAAGGGAAAGAAGGAGGGTGGACAACTCTGTGGCAGCTGAGGGACCGGGTGACACCACCGGTTTGGTGGACTGTGAAACGGAAGCTGGAGGATTTCTTGTTGCGTCGGTCGAGGCGCTTCGGGGCAAAGACAACCAGGCTGCATCTAAGTCCTTGGAGTGCCGCGCACAAAATCCAACGTATCTAGTCACAATCTTGTCATAGTAGTCCTTCTGGGCTTTCGGGTTTAGTAACCTGCGCGGGGTCAACTCGGCCGAGCCAGAGGTCCAAAAGAACGAATGTCATACTTGCGATCTCCTTTGGACACGAACCCTACGGACTCGAGGGGATCAGTCACCGGTTTCAAACGACTATGGGGCCATTTCCCAGGAGGTGCTCGACCACTCATAGCTGCAGGTGAGTCGATTTCGCATTCGGCATAAAATGAGGTCAGATATGGTATGTAGGTGGGATCTCGGACCTCCCGTCACCGGGAGTCGATGGTAAAGAACGGGATTTGAATGATAGATAGCGTTTTGCAGCTGATACTTGTGCAAGACATTGGCACAGTCTGTGCGATCTGAGATGTAGGATGGCAACCCAAGAGGGCCTGAAGAATGTCCGCGGGGAAACTGTGGGCCCGCCTCAAGAGATGTTTGTCTTGTTTGCCTCCCAACAGCCGCCGAGGTACGGGGGTACTTTGTTGAGTGGCTCAACATACTCTTCTTTTTTTCTACTACAACATATTTTGGGCATCGCTATAATGAGACATATACAAGCCATATTAATACATACTTAGCAATCTTGGTCGCGCTATCGCTTCTTTCATTTCTTTTCTGATCTCAGTTTGCCTGCATTATTGCTTATTCGAGATGCCACCCAGTCAGCGTCGTCCCACCGAAAGCCATGAGAAGGACCCAGGAAGCTGTCAGACAGCCTCTGTTGCGACTACAGTCTTGGAGGATCCTCCTCGGGCTATCAGATCTCTTCTGCACTGGGATGATTTGCCCCACTGGCAGCGCGATAACCAGCATATTCATACAGGATACCGACCAGCATCCTACTCGTTCCTGGGGTCGTTCCAATCCCTGGCATATATTCACAACGAGACTGTCAATATATACACGCATCTACTGCCATCTCTACTTGCCGCCCCTGCGGCTATTCAGCTATATCGAGCCGTTGCGCCACGCTATGAAACTGCCGCCCATGATGATATCCTAGCGTTTGGCTGCTTCTTCGCCGGAGCTGCCTTTTGCCTGGGGATGTCGGCGTTCTATCATACCATTTCAAATCATTCCCCGATTGTGGCACGCATTGGAAACACGTTCGACTATATTGGTATTGTGGGACTAATTGTGGGCAGCTTTGTTCCTAGTGTCTACTATGGTTTCTACTGCGTTCCTGAGTTGCAGAAGCTTTATTGGAGCATGATCTGCACAATGGGCCTTGGCTGCGTCGTTGTTTCGATCTTTCCTCAGTTCCGGACCCCCCGTTGGCGCCCATTCCGGGCAGGCATGTTTGTGAGCATGGGTCTGTCGGCAGTGTTTCCTGTAGTCCATGGGCTGCAGCTCTACGGGCGTGACCAGATGGTGCGTCAGATTGGACTCGGCTGGCTCTTGCTCCAGGGATTTCTGTACATCCTAGGAGCGGGGATATATGCAGCCCGAGTCCCCGAACGGTTGCGACCAGGGAAGTTCGATCTTTGGGGGAGTTCGCATCAGATCTTTCATGTGCTTGTTGTCTGCGCCGCAATGGCTCATCTGACAGGACTTTTGAGGGCTTTTGATCATAGACATAGCGGGACCGCAGAGAGCTGTCCTCCGGGTGCCATTCTGTGATTCGTCATGATGAACTTGATGATCACACGAACAGGCCCAAGAAAAAAGAGAAAAAAGAAAAAGGTTGCGAGTGGATAACACGTTACCTTGGGCCAGAAGTCGCAATGTCCAATCTTAGCGTGGTATAAATGACGGGCGGTCATGATATGGGCTCTGACGCTCACCAAACGAGATTTGTCCAACCTTAAAAAGGGTTCTCCATGCTGACCATGGCGACTTGTGCGACTAAGAGTTGAGTTGAGTTTACCCTAAAACGGGGACAACCCAACGAAAGAGACCATATTACAAAAGAGAGAAGAGGCTGCAAGAGGGGTGGGCAGCTGTCGAAGCCTGTGAATTCCACTGCTTCCTGTGCGGTTTTGCAACCCAAGCCAGGCAGTAGAGGCGTGCCTGCTTGCGCCTGATTACAACTCACATGCTGCGCTGGCCTGCATCCCAAATATGCATCCCTTAGCAGATGATGCCCTTTTTTATTGGATATTACATCAGTCCAGGAGGCTGTTATTTTTTATTTATTTTTTTTTGGGGCAACCAAGCCGCAAGAGGGTTAATCGACTTACAACCACCCCACGTCGTCTGTACATGATTTGTACACGATGTTGCACCTAAGCTTATTCATCGGCATTGCCGTGCTGGACTCCACGAGACTGCACTGGGTGGCGGTTCTCGCCTTCGACCAGGAACCGTCGACTGCATGCAGTGATTGGTCTCCATTGCCTAGGTTTCTGGCCGGCTGGAGTCAGTTGGACTGCTTGAGGCGTGCAGGTAGAGGCATGAATCACAGTTGGTTGGAACGCTGCCAGGTGGATCAGAATTTTTGGGGTTTCACAACGGCTGACTTTCTTCTGCGCTCGGGTCCCCAGTCAAGTATGAACTGAGGTCTGCGACATAAATTGGCTGAGAATATATACAACTGCGTATATATAATCACAATGCGCTAGATGGTACTTGGCTGATGGGCCCCAAAGAGTTGTTCTTTTCCCTTTTCCTTGGCCGACTACAGATCCGCTCTTGCATAGCAGAAGCTTCTGAAACCACCCGTGGCCCTCGATGCTCAGTGAATCTAGCGCACCCTCCAACAACGGAGAAACACCGAAGCTCCGAACTGCCTGTGAAAACTGCAGGCAGTCAAAAGTGAAGTGCAATCTGACCGAGAAGGATACGTGCATTCGCTGCCTCCGCCATGGGCTCCTGTGTCGTTACCGAGCCGCCAACCGGTCCGGCAAGCCCAAGGGGAGCAAGAATCGGTCTACGCTTCGGAAATTGGGACAGTTGCAGGAGAGCAAGCGTACATTTACGTCGAGCGATCGACTGGCCAAGAAAAGCATAGAGGCTATACCGAGTCCGCGCTTCACGCGCAGCGATACCGACATGGTAATTTTGCTCTCATCTGATATTGCTCCGTCGTCTGTTTCTAACCCTCGCAGAGTCTACAGACGGTACAGAGTCTATCCGAAAACCCCATGAACGACGTTTCAAATGCGTCCATGGCCCTGGCGGAGTACACGGAGTACCCTTCGCTCTACCCGGACTCAATGGCCAATAGTCCCTGTGCGGCTTCAATGTCACCGACATTTCTTCAGAAAGAGTTCATCACAAAAGGGCTAACCACGTTTCCTCTCGCCGTTCACATCCCGAGTGTGCTACGACCAACATGTGACTGCGCAGAAACCCTAGTTTTCTATCACGACAATCTCCGGCAAATGGTTGTTAACCCGGGGCAGCTGCGGTTCGACCAGATGCTCCAAGGAGTGCAGGCAGCACTCTCGGTATGTCGTGGGCTCTTGCAGTGCCCCAGCGGACACAAGGACAACCACAGCGCCAACGACACAAGTTTAATTCTCTGCATGTCTACTATCGAGATCACCTTCCAATTGCTGGACTTCTGGACTACGTACGATTTCATCCCGCAAGCGAGGGAGGGTCCCCGTGAAACAGCGAGTTACGGCGAGTATGAGATGGGGCCAGACGAGGGCCGCCGGGTCCGCCGATTCCTCATCCGAGGGCGCATCCTGCTCTGCAAGGAGACTCTCGGCCTTCTTAAAGGTGCGGCGGGGTTTAAGGAAGACGGACTGGGAGGAAGCTGGCTGCAACAGATCACTGGGGGCTCGGAAGCGATGGCCGATAGTTTTCTCCATGCCATCTCGGAGGCAGACTGTATTTGCAATTTACCTAGCTACACCTAGCCATGTAATAACTAATCTAATTACTATCGCATAGCACATACTAGTATTTAATGAGACACAAGATGTTTATTTACTTTATTTATTTAGCTTTTGTTTTGTTCGGCGATATAGGATGCAGCCGGACGGCTCTCGGCTGCTCTCTAACCAACGGGCCTCGGCAAACCCCTCGCCGCATACTTTATAACACCATCATCCATCTCCATCTCCATCCCCAACTCCATCTTGGTTTTTTGTAAAGAAAAGAAAGTAGCAAAAATGGCCTCCCGCCTCTCCCAGCTAAACGCCCACCTCAACTACCCCCGCGGCCTGCTTGCCGGCCAAGTCGCCATCATCACCGGCGCAGGCCAAGGCATCGGCGCCGAAGCAGCACGGCTTTTCGCCAACGAGGGCGCAAAGGTCGTTGTTGCTGACATTGACGGCGGTACGTCAAAATCCTCTATTCAACCCATCTCTGATCTCTTAAAAAAAAAAAAAAAAAAATCAAACTGGGTCTAACATTCCGGGTTATAGGGAAAGCCAGCGCCGTAGTCGACGCTATCAACGGCGCCGAGTCCGGCCGCGCCATTGCGGTCGTCGGAGACATTCTCGACGACAAGTACATCCAGACTCTCGTCGACAAGGCCGCTGAATTCGGGAACGGCAAGATCCATGTCATCGTTAACAATGCCGGATTTACATGGGACGGCGTTATTCACAAGGTACCTACCTACCTACCTACTTATCATCCAACGAGCTGCCTTATTATATTATGTTCATGGCCGGCTAACAAGCAAACAGATCACCGACAAGCAATGGGATACCATGGTCGCGGTGCACAACACAGCGCCGTTTAAGCTCATCCGCGCCGCGGCCAAGTACTTCCGCGTGAAGGACGGCGAACCCCGAGTTGTCATCAACATCTCGAGTACGAGTGGTCTCCACGGGAATGCGTAAGTCCCTGTCCTGGCCCAGGCCTCTTCACCCGCACCCCATACCAACGGGCAATGACAATGCTAATGAAAACAGAGGTCAAGCAAACTACGCCCTCGCCAAAGCCGGCGTGGTCGGGCTGACCCGCACAATCGCCAAAGAATGGGGTCCTCAGTTCGGCGTGCGCAGCAACACCATCGCTTTCGGATTCGTGCAGACGCGACTCACGGCCGCGAAGGAGAAGGGCGCTTTTATTACCACGCCCGACGGCACCAAGGTTGCCCTGGGCATTCCGGGACAGCAGATCAATGCGCGCCAGGGGGGTGAGAAGCAGACTTACCCTGATATTCCGCTTGGGCGGCCTGCGAGTCCTGAGGAGGCGGCGAGGAGTGTTCTTGCGGTTGCGAGTCCGTTGTTTAGTTATGTTAATGGGGAGACGATTCGGGTTACTGGGGGGCGGAATATGTAAATAACTTTTTTTTATTTGCTTTTTGAGGCGGGGAATTTAAAGCACGCGGTTGTTGGTTATTGTGATCTATATTAAGGTACTATCTATTTGATAAAGTATATATGATACATGGCTCGTGTCCACATGGCCGGCCATAAGCTCAAAGCCTAACCTTCGAAGAAAACTTTGTTCCATGGAATGTTGATGGTAAACAAGGATGATGGTGAAAGTGAATGTCAAGACGTTATCGTATCGAGAGCATCGTATTTATATCGCTTCGCGCATTGCGCATGCCATAAGCAACTATCCACCAAGCTAAACAAGCCAGACAATTTATCAACAAGAAGCCTGCCTTTCGTATAAGAATCTCCGGGTATATCCCAACCCAAGCCTAAGCAAGGGTGACGTGACCAACAGCCGTCCAACTCCTAACATAAAAAAGTATTGGGGAAACAAAAACAAAAATATCCAACAAGACAGTCCAAGTGTATGCATGCTTCATCTTCCAGGGGGTATTTTCTCACAGCAACAAAACTAAAAATCAAGAAACCATATAAAAACTCCAAGCTCCGCAACAATAATTCAAAGTACCAAAGTGACCCTCCCAAGAGAATTATCATCTCCAAGATATTATAACAGAAATTCAAATTTCTGGTCCCAGTGGATCGATCCATAGGATTGACTAAAGGCATTATCCTTCGGCAATCCTTGGGTTAATCCTTGGGAATTCCGATTGGCATGGCAAAAACCAGGCAAGATCCAAGGAAGTCCACAATCCAGGCCAGAAAACAATTAATCGTATGTCCAGGTGAGAAAAAAGGGAACCAGGTGGTAGTCCGGGAAAATAATACAGTGGGTAATAAAAAAAATGTCCAAAGAAGGAATGGCGTCAAGGTTGAATGTGTTTCGACGTAAATCGTGTTCGCGAGTCTGCGAATTAACAGACGGGTATAGGGTAGGTGTATGGTTGTTGGCAAACCACGAATGGTTCGGTCACAGGTGGTTCTGGAATATCACCGCATGCGACAGGGTCCAATTGGGGAAAGTCATCCTTGCAGGCTGTCTCGTCCGGTCCAAGAGAGGACATGCTGTCCATGTCTGAATAGCCTTCCGTGTAGGAAGAAGCATCCGAGACGGCGGAGAAGGCATCCGAGTATTGAGACGAATCAGAGGAGCAGACAGAAGGTTCGGTGTTCAAGGCGTCCTCGACAACAGGGACGGGAACCTGTGGAGGGTGGATGTAGTTGACAAGTGGTCCAGTTGTTGACCCCCAAGGAGTCATGGGGTTGAGAGTGAATCGTGGACAGTCCAGAATGATTTGGCGCAGCTCCGGAATGGTAATCCGCCTTGAGGGGTCAGGCTCGAAGATGCGGCTGAGAATACAGACCATCTCGTCCGACAAGGGGAGGATGGACTTGAGGAAGAACGGGTCCTTGAGATAGGCGCGGAAGGTGGAATCCTCGAATGAGGCACGCTTCCACGGGTTACGACCGCAGGTCAAATTGACGAGGATGACACCCAAGCTCCAGACGTCATTCGGTGCTGATTGGTAGTATGACATCGGGCGGGGGTTCGGTTGCTGGCACTCTGTGATAAGGTTAGCCTCGTCAAGTCTGGACCGTATAGGGGAGAGATGTTACCTGGCGACATGTAGAATGTCGACCCGCATCCAAAATCGGAGGTGAGGTAGTCCATTGTAGCAAGGCCAAAGTCAGCCAACTTGACGGTCAATCCCTGGTCGGTGACCAGAATGTTCTCCGGCTTGAGATCCCTGTGGTAGATTCCGAGCGAGTGGCAGTAGTGGACCGCATCCAGGATTTGAAGAAAAACGCGCTTAACCAGGAGATCGTTCCCGACAAAGTGGCTCTTGTCGGTGATGCTTGAAAACAGATCTCCTTCGGGGCAGAATTCTATAACCACATAGGTGCAGTCGACGGAATCCATGATGCGAACCAGGGAGACGACATTGGGGTGTTGGCTGGCCATGTGGTGGAGCTTGATCTCACGTTGCTGGAACTTAAGCTGGCGGGGATCCAAACCAGCTTTGTTGAGGGCCTTGACAGCGTATAGAACGTCGGTATGGATATCCACGGCTGTGTATACCACACCATAGGCGCCAACTCCGAGGATGCTGGTGAGCTCCAGCCGGTTGGCTAGGAGCAGTCCGAGGCGGTCTTCCGGGGCATAGCGGGGTATTGGGGGAGACTGAGGAGGGGTGGGAAGCATATGAGGATACATGAAGGGGAGAGGCGGGGCCAGCATGGCAGTCGAGTAGCTTCAATTTTCCTTTGGGGGGAGGAAAGCGAAAGAACAACTAGGCCTGATCCAGTGGAGTTGGAGAGACGGTATGTAGTAGTAGAGTAGTATATCCTGGGGGGGATATATCCTATAGTTGGGGAGCTGGCGAGAGAGATAAAAAACACCAAATCAGACCGGATGGTAAGCCTTTAAGAAGCCATGGAAAGAGTGAAGTCGGTCAAGTCTATCCAGCAGTCCAGGGAGAGGGAGAGATCCAACAGTGGGATGGAGATGTGTTGGTTGGATGTGTTGTGTTGAATGGAGCAGTTCAGTTGAGTTGCACAGCCCAGCGGTTCCAGGACTTGGCAGAGTTAAAGTAGATGTTTGTTGTTGACCGGCAATCCAGGTATTAGAAGGAAAGATAAAATACTGATATATAAATACGAAAGAAAGCAAACAAGAAGAGAAGGCGAGGGAGAGACGGATAGAAGAGGATGAGGAGGAAGAAGTAAGAGCAGGAGGAGGCGTGGAAGGATGCGAGGGAAAGGGGGAGGATAGCGGCGGAACGGGGCACGGCGAGCAGTAATAAAAACAACACCGGCGAAGCATAACAGAGCATGTTAATTGCGAGAGGACGGCTGCTCGTGGCCACCGCCTGCGCTGCCCCCGTTCTCCGTCGTGGTTACATCTGGGGCCCGCTGACTGGCTGCCGCGGCGGCAAACGGGGCGCTGATAGGCGGCCCCAGCTGGCGGCCCCCACAGGTCACTCATTGCGCTCTGCTGCACACACCGCCAGGCCCCCACTCACACCTGCCCGCCACGCACGCTGATTGGGCGGCAGGCCGGGTTTCTTATTTTACCAGCCTCTACGATGATTCATGACATCCAGGATCGGCCCCAACTGCGCTCGAGTCTGGCGAGACTCGACGGATGGGGCCTTGGAGATCGGATGGCAACTGCCCTCACACCGTCTTTTTCGAATGTTCCATTTCCCTCCTTCAAAGTTCGTGCTGGTGCATACGAGGTCTCCGCAGAGACCCGCGGGCGCGCAAATCACCATCAGCCAGGAGTCGTGGCACTGCAGGCGCCTGCAGATGGTGCCCGGGCGTTGATTTCACACCAGAGGACCCCCATCTCAACGCCCTGTTCTGCTCAGGCTCTCAAGTAGCCATCGGAGTATATAGCGCCCAGCCTTGCCTCCACCCACCCGACTTCTCTCTTTTTCCTCACCTCAAACAGACATCTCAAACTGAACCACGGCTGCAAGAAGGCGACAGACGGCACGCCGCACGGGGAAAACAGCCAGTTCCGGGCTCTTGCCACTGGCTTCAATAATGGCTATGCTTCCATGTGGTTGCGAGTTGCGACCTGGAACATGGACTGTGGATCTCGCCCTTAATCTGCTGAGATTAAGGTGTCGACAGTGCGTGTTTGGTCCACTTGAACCAGCGGTCCTGTTCTGGCTGTGACTCTTGACGCCGAAGCCATCCAAAATAGAAAGTCCTCACAGTAGTTCTCTCCCGTATACCTGCCACTCGCAGAAACAACTCCGCACAAGCATTGGCCTGGGACTGAGTCTGACAGTGGTGAAGCAGCCAGCGTTGCCAGTCTCACCCGACCATGCCAAACACGAAAGTGAGGCAGCAGCGCAGAGCCAATCGCCCGCTTCCTTCGAGAAGAACGGGGGATCCAAGCCAGCCGCCGCGGGCCGTGATTGGCCGGATTGTTGCCACGTTTGCTGTCCAGAACAGGGCTGGGCGCCGCTGTGCGGAGCCTGGCCAGGTCTGTGCGCCCCCAACTGAAGCCTGAGGCCCATTGATCTCCGCCGCTGCCTGTCTGTCTGCCTCTTGTTGATGCGCCGCCTCCCTGCGCATGAGCTCATCATCCCTCTCCCAGCAAACACTCGGCGATTTTCTCATTGGCCCCTGCTCCTCTTCCTTCTCTTCCTGATGCCTATCGAGGATCACTGCCTCTTCTTAGTCCTTAGCATGGTTCCATATTCCATGGATCCGTATACCAGCGTCGACTTCCATGGCCTGCCAGACCCAGCCAACCACTTGAGGTGCCTGTCCAGACTCTTTGTCCAAAGATAGCCAACCCAATAAGCCCATCAGATGAGAGAGCGAGGAAGAGACGTACTCTCGCCGGATCCCGCCTAGTTCCTTCCGCGACCGCCCGATTGAAAGTTCACGCGCGCAGCTCATTGTCTGCCTGGTCAAATCCGGGGTAGTTGACGAGTGTACTTCGTACAACTTGGAAGGTTCTCCTGGCCCCCTCCAACTCGCCAACCAACCAACGAATCCTACAAAGTGTCCCTCTTACGAACCCCCTTCTGCTGCTGTTTCTTGGTTGGCACTATACCTTTCAGTTGGAACCAAGAACCTCAAAAAACTCAAGACACCGCGTCGGAACCTTAGTGCCTGACTGCATCCACTTATTCGCAATCTATCTCCGAATAGGTCGCTACCGGCTGGTATCTGAGCTACCTAAGCAGCTTCGGGTCTGGGTTTAGGCATCCAGTCCCGCACTCGACAGTAGTCATACTCCGTAGATAGTAATGGATCCATACTTGGGTTCGTAGTTCGTACTCTGTCGACTCGTATTATTGTGTGCTACCTAGTTCTACTGAGGCTCCCACTCCGCCCCCCTTGGAGTCATCACAAACACACAAACATAGCTGATCGGTGATGCGATAGTGGACCGGTCAGCTTGCAAAAACGCTGTCGATCACTGGACTGGGTTGAGATTTGCCTCCTGTGTTTATTGTTTGGTGAGCGTTTGTGGGTGCCCGTGATATCGCGCCCACAGCCCAGCTTAGGTTGAACGAGCTGGGAAAGCTTTTGCCACCACTTGAGTCAAGCATCAGTTGACTGTCGCCCTATATTGTGTGTTCCGTATAGATTTGCATCATGGCTCTATCTGCTTACGTGGGGAGGTATGAAGCTATTGTGTAATGTTCTGTGCGTAATATGATATCATTTACTATGCTGTGCAAACGGTGTACACAAGCTGTGTCACCGGCCTCGTCCTATGGAGTCTTAACAGCCTGACATTCGTTATGTTCAATGTTTATAGTAATAATAGCAGTTGATCGTCGTCGTCATAATATCAGATCTTCGGCCTCGAAATGAATGGATGCTTCAGTGCCTCAGCTGGGGTGCATCGCTTTTCCGGGTTCAGACTGAGGCAGCGCTCCAATAGGTCAACGAAAAGCGCCAGCTCCTTTGCTTCACTATCGCTCATCCCTCTTGTCCCTTGCCCCAATAGCCTGGTCTTCAGGTCGCGGGTCGGCTTCTTGAAGTCCATCACACGGGTGGCGAGCCGTCCGGTGATCTTGTCCTCTTCAGTGCTGTGGAAGTTGGACATTTCGTCAAAGTGGAGGTGGGCGAGGGAGCCTCGTCGGAGGAGCTTGGGAGGATATTTGCCACGGCATTCCATGATTGACTTTAGCATTTGGTTGTTGTTGCGGCCTGTGAATAGGATTTTGCCCGTAAACAGCTCGAATAGTGTGCATCCGATGGACCACATATCAATGGCGTAATCATAGGGTATCCCTAGGATGATTTCCGGCGCACGGTAGAATCGACTGACAAGGTATGGTGTGATTTCATTATCCGAAACTGGTGATGCTGAACCCAAGTCGCAAACTTTGAGAAGGTTGCGCTGCTCGTTGACCAGGAGATTGTCCGGCTTCAGGTCGGCATGAAGGATGTTGCACTTGCGCATTAAGCTGAGCCCAAGGAAGATTTGCTGGGCGTATGCTCGAATTGCGCGCAGGTTAAGCCCTACATCACGGCCAAATTTCTTGAGCACCTCTCGCAAATTCATGCTGAGGTTCTCAAAGACCATGCACAAATGACCCTTGTGCTCGAAGCTTCGTACAAACTTGATCATGTGTTTCTTATCATCAGGGTCCGCTTCTTGAAGCTGCTCCAAGATGCCAATCTCCTTTAAGCCAGCCTTCTTCATCGTGTCATTCTGTCTGATGATCTTGATCGCCACCAGATTACCACTATCCGAGTCGATCGCTCGCACTACAGATGAGAACATCCCCTTGCCCAAGTTTTGTTGCACATGGTACCGTCCATTGATCAACTCACCAATCCGAAGGTTATAGTATCCTTCAGGGTCATCCCAGTTATCCATCATGCCAACGTCAAGCTCCCGAGGTTGGGGTACAGCAGACGTGGCAGACGCATGGGTAGGCTGAGCTGCTTCCTCGTTGTCTTCGGCGAACATATCATCATCGTCGTCTGCAAACATATCATAAGGATCCTTCGCCTTCGTTTCTGGTGCTGGGGGTGGGGCATCCGGGAGAAGTACGTCCTGCTTGGTAGTTTGCGTCTCATCGTAGCTTGCAGCGGAGACTTCGTTGCTCCCAGTCTGCTGGCCGTGCTTTTCTCGCTCGGCCTTCATGTCAACAGTAGGGTCATAATCTGCAGCTGATGGCTCATCTCTGTCAGTGCCGTCTACAGCACCATCATGAACTAGATCCGAGTCTTTGTTAACGTTGAGCTCCGGAAACGGATCTATGTTGCTCTCATTGGGGGTCACGGCCGAGTCTGCGTAACTGTTATTATTCACGGACTTCAAATACGGAGAGCATAAAACAAGCATACCTGGTGTCTCGTTACTTGGTGTTACCGCCTCGCTTGTTGGAGGGGTTGAGTCCCTATCACCACTAAGATGTAGTGCTTGGATGCGTAATGGGGCTGCCTGGTCTCTATATTTAGCCCTGATAGCTTCGCGTCGCCTGCGACGTTCCTCAAGCTGGGCAGCCTCATCAATGGGTTCGGTCGGCTGTTCTTCAGCAGTCTCTGTAGAACCATTCACGCTGGAGCAAATATTAGTACGGTTCGGTCCAGAAAAGAAACGCCGGGCATACCGATCATCGCCATTAGAGGTAGCGGCCGTAGAAGCTGCCTGAACCTGATTTTTCTGAGTTTCAGCATCTTTTCTAGAATGTCGAGCGACAGCTGGGGGTTTTCCCCGTTCGCTCACTGACTGTTCAGTAGTAGAAGACCTTCTATTTTTCTGCGACGCCACACTGTCCTCCCTCTGATATCTTTGCGAGTCCCACTCATCACCCGAGTACTGCTTGCGTTTCCGAACTTCGCGGTATGGCGACCGGCTTCGCGTCCGTACCCGCTTTTCCCTCCGTTGGTCATAATCATCGCCGTACCGAAGATCTGCGATCTGGTTTTCTTCCCGATCGTAATCGTAGTAGCTCCTAGGCTGCCTTTGCGAATACCCCCGGTCACCATCGCGTCGATAATCCGCGCGTCGCGGTGGTGTGCGTCCAGAGCGTCTGTCATCGTCGTAGCTATAGTCATAGTCGTAGTCATCGTCCCGCCGACGCTTATAGCCTCTGTAATCTCGGTATGGGGAGCGCGACCTCGACCGGGTCCTGGTCCTGGATCTCTGCCGACGAGGTGACTTGGTCACCGATGCGGATGAATTTCTAACTCTGGTGGGACGGTCAACGCTGCTGCCATTAAGAGGAAATTGCGACGTAGTTGCCTTCGTCTCCGAACCTGATTCGATGATTTCGCCCTCAGAGGCGGTCGATGCAGACCGTGACCTGTGTGGTGCCATGGTGCTGAAGCGCGGGCTCTTTTTGAAGTCTTAATTGACCGTGTTCAGCGAAAGGTGACAGATAGATCAGCTTCACGGATAGCAAGAAAAAAACTCGTGTTAGCTAGAATGCCTCCAGAAAGCTAAAAGCGTTTAGAGTGATTGAGAAAGTCCAACCAACTGGGTAGAGACGCCACAGCGCTGTGTATCTTATCACCACTAAACGATGAAGCAGAACATGAAGCGCTCGAGAGTCAGAGTCGAGATGGGAAAGAGTGATTGATGCTTGGGCCTCGGGCAACGAGATGTTCATTTCTCCGTCATTACTCACCTCGGGACGTTCAGTCACGGGGAAAAGAGTATTTCACGCCTAACCCGTTTGGGTACTAGCCTCTCCCCCGCCAGCGCTTTCATATCTTGCTCACTTTTTTTCCGTCCCCCTCCTCCTTATCCCCATCGCAAACAAGTCCAGACACCGTTTTACGGCCAAAACACTCTTATACTCATATCACAATGGGTGGCGCAAGCAGAGAAGGTGAGTTTCGCACCCTAGACCCATTATGGCCTCTTTTTTGCGCGGTTTGCTAAATCTCTTATCTCTAGGCGGCAAGGTTAAGCCCCTCAAGGCGGCCAAGAAGGAGAAGAAGGATCTCGACGAGGATGACCTCGCTTTCAAGGAGAAGCAGAGAGCCGGTACGTTGCCCTCTATATTTGCGGCCCTTTCAGAAAAAAACTCTGGTGGCTAATATATCTATTCCGAATCTACAGAGGCCAAGGCGAAGAAGGAGCTGCTAGACAAGGCTAAGGGCAAGGGCCCGCTGAACACAGGCAGCCAGGGTATCAAGAAGTCTGGGAAGAAATGATTCTGTTTAGGCAACAGTCTGCAGTTCTCTCTTTTACGAATTCAACGAACCACGAACCACGAATGCAAAGGGGTTCTCTATACCCGCAGTGGCAATGAAAAAAACCCTGCGCTTCGCTTCGCATATCAATGAGCGGCATTTGATACTTTTTCATGGACTTTGTGTTCTACAGTAGACATCTTATACCCTAAGGGTATAGATTTTTCAAGGATCCATAGTTGTAGTGGGGGCATTTGCCTAGTTCTAGGTTGTAGAGATATAAACAAGAAGGGTATCATTCGCGCACTACCAGGTACAAAGGAAGATCTTCACCAACATTATCGCCAACAAAACGGTATAGCAGAGCGGAACATAGATACCAGGGCTCAAAATGCTGAAGGTCGGAAGCGTAGTTGAAAAGGCATAACTCAAATAAGGGTTGACGAACAGAAGCAATGGAAGAATCCATCAAAAATAACATGCTCAACTGGTCACTCTCTTGACCCATAAGCTGCTGCTTTGGCCATATACATCCTCCTTTTCGCGCTTCTTCCAGGCGCGGAGTATCTTCAAGCCGATATCATGCTCTTCCTTCTTGATTTCGGCCAGTTCGGTATTAAGACTCGTAACTGTCTTCTTGACCTCCTCGCGAGCAGCCATGTCGTAGGCGACCGAACTCGGTTGGATGACTTGCGTCAACTCGTTGATGATCGTGTTGATATTCATTCTGCGGCGCACGAGGTCGTTCCTCTTTGCTTCCAGCATTTCTATGCGATCCTGGGCGGTCATTTCTGACGGATTCGGGGGAAGCGCCTTCTCCGAGGGCACTTCAGAGGGAGTGGGCTTTCTGATGGGTCGCTTTCCAGGCGCCATCATGCTGGGAACAGGGCGAGACCGAGACATGACTGAGGGCGTGGTTTCGCTGGGTTGGGACGCTGTTTCGATGATACTCGCCGGCGGGCTCGGGGTGATGCTGTTCCGGGTGCTTGGAGTTGGGCTTCCAGCTTCGGTAGGATTGTAGGTCGTGACACTGAAGCGACTTGTGGGTTCGTCGACGTCATCCTCAGCCAGCGTTAAATCAGTTAGGCTGGCGCTCAGCGGAGGCCCCGATGTCAGATCGACGCGCGGCGGGGCAGTGCCGCCGACGGCGCTAGTGTTCCTCGGTCTTCTGCTTGCTGGCTCAGCCTCTGCATCATACGTATTTGTGCGACTGCGAATTCGAGGTTGGGGCTGACGGTTTTGTTCGCCAGCTGTTATTGTCGTGGTTACTGTTCCGGCCCCTATATCCGCGACAGGCGACGGGGTATTCATTTCTCTTAAGCGATCGTTGCTCCTCGACAAGCGTAGACGGGATGAAGAGCGGTTCCTTGGCTTCTCTTCGATCGGGTTTATTGTTACTGATCGACCACTTTGGCCTCTCCATGGTTCCCGTGGAGCAAAAGGAGTCGCTTCGTAGAAGTATCGATTACGGGATTCGGATGGTTTCCTCCTCGAGTTGAGCTGTTCCTTGCCCCAACCGATAATCTTTGAGCTGGTGGACTGAGGGGTGGCGCTAGATGCGTGTCTTTCAAAAGAAACACTGCTAGGAGTAGCCTGCGCGTATCTACCTTGATTACTCGTTGTTGGCTCCCCGGAGAAATCGTCCCATCGGGTTGCTTTAGCTCTCGGCGTCGGATTTGGTGGCTGTTGGCCAGGCTGCGAATCGACACGCATCCGCGGGACAGGTATTTGGCTTGCGAATTTGCTCCCAGTTCCTCTAGGATGAGTCGCTTGCATGGTTGCATCTTCTATAGGGGAAACTCGTGAGCTATCATGGCTGTGGACCCGGCTAATTGGAGAGTCGGGAGGAGACACATCGACACTCCCCGTTCCTTGAGAGTGGGCACCAGCCGTGGCCGGAGGGTGAAGCTGCGGAGGAAACTGATATGTATCGCTGATTGAGCGTTGGCGGTGATGATCCAAAATAACGGTGTCTCTCGAATAGACTGAAGACGCTACCCGTGGATGGTGCTCCGGTTGAGGCGCGGTTAGTTGGGAGCTGGAAAAGCCATCAGTATCAAACCACAAAATTTAACAGGTCTGGTATGTTGGTTGGCATACGATGGCAACGCTTTCGCAGCGCGAGTTTGGGCAGTGGGCGGCGCTGTCTGATACCCTTGAACATCTTTTGACGATGGATTGTCCCCTGAGGGTTTGCGAGTCCGCTGAAATGGCACTTTCCCCCACATATTGGTCTTCTCTAGGACTGAAGAATCAGTCAGAAATTCTTATATCCGTACGGTGTTAATTTGTGTACGCCATGGTCGCGACTTACTGCGGTTCAGCCCAAGTAAACCCAACGCTGCTCAAAACAAATGCTTAAAAGAAAATAGTCCGAATAATGGACACCTGAAAGACAACCTGCTAGATAAGTTCTCAAGCAGTTGACATGCCCGCACGTCGTATACAAAAAAGATCGGCAAATCGAGGCGATCGGAGGTTGGCTCCAAGCAAGCTCTAGAGCAGCGATCCAAAACAAGGAAACTAAAGGAGGGGAAAAGGTAGAGAAGGCTGAAGAAGGAAAAGAACGAAGGGATGAGATAAGTCGCAGACTAAGAGAGAGTTGTAGAATAAGCAGCGGCGCAGCCACAGGCCTCGTGAAGGAGAGAAAAAGTGAAAAAGATGGTTGCCCGATCAAACAAAAGAGAAGGGATTCAGGGCGCAGGCCGAGGCCAACACATCCTCGATAGGAGGATCATTTGGGAGTTCACAAGATGAACACTGTTTCAGCCTAGTTCTTTCCAGGTTAGCTGCCATTAAAATTGTGGTCCCAGTCGCCTGAAACTCGCCAGTTAATTTATAAATAGCCCGGCCGTTCGTGCAACGGTCGGAAACGAGTTAGCACCAAGTCCAGCCATACAACCCTTCTCGCAGCTTGAAACTTTTCGACTGGGACAGGACTGAAGAACTATTGGGGGTGGAGCTTCAATCTCCTTGCTGGGGATAATAATATTGCACAAGAGGGGTTGAGATTATCTCTGGTAAACTCTCAGTGATTGGCGACCATGCATGCCCTCGTCCGGACAGATCGACGAAGTTCAATCAATTTTACTTTATAATTTGGCACAATACAGGGTGACTTACAATTGCCAGCACCTGATTAGCTCGCTGGGCCCTGCTCTTTTCCTTTGCTATATTGTGCCCCTAGTTGTTTCTTAACCCTAAACGCGGCTGCAAACAGCTACCATGTTGCTCGGTGGGACAAATAGAGTCTTCGAGCCGACCAGAGCTGAGCCTGTGAACGGCCCCGATCACGCTAGCATAATCTCCTCTAGTATGCAGGTGGACGGACCATCTGGCTATGGATGAATCGGGAATCCAAGGGGCGAACTCGAGTCCAAGGAAGCTAATACGAACCGGTGCCTCTATCCATCGGACTCCATTCCAATCATTCAAATTAAGCCATGGCGCTAATATCTGGCCAAGAAACGAACATCTGACTCGTGATCAAGATCAGATGTATTTATTATCACAGCAGACGCTGCTGGGGTAATGCAAAGCAACTGAGTCTCTAGCCATGGTCCAATTCCTCGATCGTCTTGCCGTCTTCCAGCTTTGCCTGCTGGCACTGATCACTCTGGTGCTTGGGGAAAAGATACTTTCCTATCCAACGACTGTTGAGGTCGACCTTCTCTTTCCGCGAAATGAAACCTACAACAACATGACCGGTTTCCCTATTGTGTTCGCCATACAGAACGCCAAAGCTGTAGACGTATTCGGGTGGAGCCTTGAGTGGAAGTTCGTATGGCTCGACGGGGACACAGACGAGAAATTTCTGGACCACTATACCGGCCCAGACCTGACAGACAGTTCAACGCTCAACGAATTCAGGTACATCGCAGACGATAGCTTCCTCGCCCCTGGCAAACTATACACAGAAAACAACTACTACTTGCGCCCTGGTACATACCTCGTGGACTGGGAGTATAGAACATCAACTTGTTCGGGAGGGAAGAGCAAGACCTATATCGACGGCAATTCAGTAGTTGCGCGGTCGAATAGCACCGTCATCTTTACAGCCGTTGGCGACGGGAGCGGACTAGATTTTGAGATTCCATCTGACGTGTGCCCGTTGTATGCGGGACAGTGGACGGCGCAAGAGAGCGGCGCATCAATCGATTGTCCTAGACGTGACTCGAGCTCCTATATCGATCCCGATCCTTGTACAGCCCAGATTAGCTCGGAGCAGATACACTGCCTGCAGGACTGGTTTGGTGGGAATAATAACTCTGAGGCATGTCAATCTAGTTTAAAACGATGGGATGTGTTAGGAGAGACTGCGGCGGCGGTGACTCGTGTCCCAACAATGGCGTATTTCCTGTTTGTACTGTTGGCGGTGTTAGCAACGGGGTTATGATGATATAATCGCAAAGAGCATAATATTAGTTAAGATAAACTCCCTTGATGTAAGAACAATCAAGAATTCCAGATGTCCTTCGTCGATGTGACCGTCAATATGCCATCGCTGATTGGCTCGTCAGCTGTCACCCCGGTTCGTGTCACGTGCAACTGACCCATTCCCGATCTGAGTTCCGTCATAGAAAGGCTGATTGCCGACGGCTGACACTGACAGACCGGCCATTTGAAGCTCTCTCTCGCCATCCTCTTCTCACATCGCTCTCGATCACATCTGAAGCTATCACAGTTTCCCCTATCCATCATGTCCGCAGGTAAGCTCATCCCTCCTCACCGCGCTCAGGCACAGCACAGAAAAAACAACTCATACTAACCATTCCAACCCACCTCCAGTAGACGGAACAGCTCCGCAAGCAGAGGTGTCAGTACCACACTCCCTCCCCACCACCAACGCAGCCCTAACTTCTTAATCCAGGCTCTCAATCGCCTCCCCCATAAACCTCCTCCTCGTCTCCGTCTTCACATTCCTCGTCTACCTACAATTTCGCCCCAAGCAGCCCGCTGTCCTCCCCAAGGCCCCTCCACCCGTCGTCTTCCGCACTTTCATCCCGAAGACCCTCCTCGAGTTTAACGGCGAGAACGACAAGCCTGTATACCTTGCTGTCCGCGGCCGTGTGTTTGATGTTTCCCCCGGAAGGAACTTCTATGGACCGGTATGTCTACTCTATTTCCTACCGTCTTGGTTGCGTCTCCGGACTATATAAGAACGATGCTGATGTTGTTGTTATAGGGTGGACCCTACGAGAATTTCGCCGGCCGGGATGCATCCCGTGGTCTTGCCTTCCAGAGCTTCGACCGGGAGATGTTAACGGAGGATCTCTCGGCCCCGCTGGATGATTTGAAGGATCTGGACGCGGACCAGTTGGAGAACCTGCAAGGTTGGGAGGAGAGGTTCTCGGAGAAGTATCTTGTTGTTGGGAAGCTGGTTGCTGAGGGAGATCCCGAGGCGCCGAAGTCATGAATTTGACATGGGTGCTTCCGGCCTTGCCTTAGGGTGTGTGGTGAATAGCAGATAAGGTGACAGTGGTTGGGTGATGACTTGGATTTGCAGGATAGGAATTATGAGTGATTATAGTGACTGGACATAGGAAAGGTTTCGGGCTTTTGGATTACTTTAATCCAAGGGTACTCGTATGCTTGTATGATCTTTTTGTCATTCTGTACTGGAAAAGCGCAGTCTTATGAGACATGATTTATTAGCTTCGGGAAATTAATTCAATTGTTTTTTAAACAATAGTATGTGTCTAAGCAATGTAATGGGTCCGAAATCCCAATGTTGTCGCAAACTTGCTGCTGCGATCCTTAGGTACAGTGTCGGGATATATATTCCGACCTTGCTATCAATACCGTACTCCACCGGCTGTTTTATATATTTTAACATTTCAGACATTAAAATACAAGCCAAGATATTAAGCAAAACCAAAGCACGACATTATAAGACCTTTGTGTACACAAAAGAAACAACGATACAAAAGAAACAACGATATTCGTTCAATCATACTAAACTAACGACCAGGTCCGCATTCACAGTTCAGAACGGATCTTCTCTTCCTCCTCATCAACCTTATGCTGCAACTTCTCCGCCGCCTCTTGGCCCTGGGCCCTACCACTCGCAGCACCAATCTTCAGCTGGTCCAGCACCCACTGCGCGGCGTTGCTGAACTTGTCATACAACGCTCCTTGAGGCGTCGAAGTACCGTATCGGAACCAGTGGGCGTTTCGCCGGGCAGTGGCGCGCAGATCATTTAGGGTAGACCCTTGATAAACTGGGACACCATAGGAATCAAGATACTCCTTAAGGTCCGAGTGAGACCAGGTATCAAATGTAGCATCTTTTGCGTTGCCGGTAGCTTCCTTGACGTAAGATGTTGCAGAAGCGAGTTGGGAGCCACCGGCCGCTGTGGCCTTGTCGAAGGATTCCCGCGCTTCATTCACGAGCTCATCACGCCTGACTCCGGCGCGGTTGGCGATTTTCGAATTCACTGAAGAGAGGTACTTCCTAGAGCCATCGTTAGTATCACAGTAAAAGAGGAAGGTTAAAGCTAGGCTTGAGCATACTTTAGATTTTCGGTGTCCCAGGTGTCAAATGTCCAAGCGGTCCAGCCCGTGGCAGCCTTGTGCTTGTTCAGCCTCACCTTAGCGACGAGTTCATCGCGCTTGCCCTTCTGGGGAACAGGGATGCCTCGAGCGTCGAGGAAGGCTTTGAGGCGAGAGTCAGACCAGGCGTCGATGGCGGCGTCGAAGGCTTCTTGAGACTTCAAGTCCGCGTTATCGGTGGCTCGGGCATACTCGTTGCCAGCCCTGGATGTTGCGGCGCCGATGTAGTCAGAGGCTGTTGAGGAAACAGAAGAAGAAGCGGAAGAGGCCTGATCGACAAGAGCTGCGCGATGCTTCCGTGCCAACGCAATAAGTTCATTGCGCTGGGAACCTTGTGGAACGTGGAAACCATGTTCATCCAAGAATCTCTTGAGATCGGAGTCGGACCAAGCATGGAACAAGGCTTCGCTCAGGGTTTCCTGTGCAGCATTGGCCGAATGGACCACTGAGGCGGCGATGCTCTTTGCTTGCAGACTAGCCAAGCGCGTGTTACGACGTACAGCTGCGATTAACCGATCCCGTGAACTAGGTTGAGGGACAGGCCATCCGCGCTCATCGAGCCACACCTTCAAATCAGAGTCGCTCCATTGGTCATACAACCAGTTTCCGGGATAGTGGGCGGCTTCGTCCAGCTTCCTTGCAACGGACTCGTAGTTCTCACGAGCTGTCTTGAGAAGAGTGTCGCGCCTGCGTGGCTGCGGTGAGGGAATGCCATGCCGGTCGAGGAATGATTTGAGCTGGGAGTCAGTCCACGTGTCGAAGACCCATTCCTTGGTGTTTTCCCAATGGTCTCCAGCGTGGTCTGAGAGTTGGCCAAGTGGCTTTTGGACCTTGAGATCCCAGTTCGTCTTCACCGCGTTCTCGAGGTTCTTGCGATCAGCGGGAGAAGGGTACGGAATACCTAGGACATGCATTAGTTGATGAACCGGGTTGACCAAGGAAGCACTTCGTACCATGATCCGAGAGCCAGCGCTCTAGCTCAGTCTCGTGCCACTTGTTATACACTAGTGGTTTGTTAGTTGAGCGGACTCCCAATAACAATACTATGAATGTCATAAGTGAGGTCGACTCACCAGCTTTGCTAAACCAAGTAGACGCCCCGACCGCATCAGCGGTTGCGAGGGCGCACACCAGCCAGGAGGCTAGATGCAGCTTCATGCTCGATCTAGTTATATGCTGTTCAGGTAAAAGAGTTCGACAGGGTTAATTGCAATGGCACTGAAACTGAAACAGATTTATCGAAGTTGGGCCATTTAGCAAAAGAACTCGAATAAAAATGCCCATGGAAGTCTTAAAGCTGGGAAGGGTCTTTCGTCACCACCGAGTGACGTATTGGATGCAGTGCTGGCATATGGCGTTTGGCGTCATAGATGGGCGGACATTCCTGGTTCTACCAAGCATTGTCCAAGAAATCTGCCTGTGGTGTCATTGTTCTGGCTGGCTGGGCTTGGCAGAACTCAACAAACAATCCGTAAATCTCACTGCACTTACTTTGTGCTGATCGGGTTATCACTTCTTCATCGTTGGCCCTGTACATTGTACTGTCAGCAATCGATCTGCCGATGACGCTATCTGCAGTGATGGGCTAGGAAGGCGGTGTGAGATACCAGAACAGGCTCGGGTGGCTTGTCGATCCCAGAAGAGGCTAGTTAGTTAACTACTTGTAGTTAGAGCGAACCACCTGACAAAGCTGTCCATCCTGGGAAATGCGGAGACAGCGCCCGGGCTGGCTGGACCTCCCACTCCTTCTCCATCAACAAACGAACTATTCCAGCGTTTATTCTTAGGCGTGAGCGGTCACCGGCGCGTCCGAGAAACCCCAAAAGAGAAAGCAAAACGACTGCCGAAAGCCTTTCACTTCGTGGAAGACGATGTGCTGACGGCTCGGTCGGTCTATCTGGTGGTCCGTTATCTGCCTCGGCCAACTCATACTCTCGCAACGGGCTATACGGGGAACCCCATGAAACTGCTTCGTTGCTGTTCCAACGTCCATATTTGAAGATGGATTCTTCAAATTTACAATGCGGACATCTGGTCTCACCAGGCCCGATGAATTTCGTTCTATCCATGTATGTTTTGGTCGACGTGCCTGCAAATCTGCGTCGTCGCTAATCAAAGCTAGCTTAATCGTGCTGGGGATCCTCGTCTCCTACCTGCCACAATTAATCCGTATTGCTACGTTGAGGAGCTCCTTCGGAATATCGCCATATTTCGTGTTATTGGGAACAACTTCAGGCACCTTCGCTTTGGCAAACATGGTGTCGCAGCGGCAGAGCCTGCAAGACGTTGCATGCTGCAAGGATGTCAGCGGGCTGTCGTGTTTTGCAGGACTGCTGGGAATCCTGCAGATCGCAACACAGATGCTGAGTTTCTTCGCGATGTATGTTCCATATCTTTCAAGCAAAGCTTACAAAACTAACTTACAACTATAGACTTACTCTCTTCGTCATATTCTTCCCGCGGGAACGACAAACGAACACCAGCTCGGTGACGCAGAAGGAAGAACCTACATACCGGACCGCACTGGTTGTGGCCGGAATTTGTGCCGTCCATGCGGCAGTGATGCTTATTGTCACCCTCGCTGTTGGCTTCAGGCAGCCATTCTCACTCCAATCCTGGTCGAATTTCTGTGGCGTCACGGCCGCCATCCTCTCTTCCATTCAGTACTTCCCTCAAATTTACACCACTCTTAGGTTGCGTTGCGTAGGCAGTTTGAGCATACCCATGATGTGCATTCAAACCCCGGGTGCCCTGGTTTGGGCAGGTAGTTTGGCAGCACGGCTGGGTAGCAAGGGCTGGAGTACGTGGGGCATCCTAATCGTTACGGCATGCTTACAGGGCACACTCCTTGTTCTATCAGTGTTCTTTGAGTACCTTGGCCCCAATAAGGGACATAGCCACGACTATAACAAGGATACTCCCCCGAGCCGATCTGGCGAAAGTAACGATACCCAAGATGAAGAAGGTCCATACGAAGAAACGCCCCTCCTCCAAGACAGTCACTGATATACCCATTCAATGGCGTATAAACTCTCGGTCTCAGCTTACGTCAAATACTGTCGCAATCTTAGCTAATTACTCACACAATTTCTGTTAGTGTCTCTGGTTGTTTAAGCTGCGAGTAACTGTAAATCGTTAGCATGTCTTTTTTGCGTGCACCATAGAATAGTCTAGACATCTTAAGAGATCGAGTTGAGTGATTGAATATAAATGACGCGATATTTTGAAGTTCAATAGTATTCATTTCAAATGTTTAAACCGAATGAACTCTCGCAGAAACGGACGAGAAACCATATTTCATTGTCTCATTTCCCCAGCATCAGCTGGCCGGCGATGGAGCAGAACGGTAGTTTCGTCCTCCAGTTCATAATATTCATAAGTCCTCCACCTTTAAACAATAACAATCATTCACCTCTTCTAGATCTCATGGAACATCTCTTAAGCAGCGTTGTAGATCAGGCGGAAGATATCGTTGAAGACGAAGTAGCTTCCAGCACCATCAGGTTGGAGCTGGAAAGTCTGTGTGTAGTTCATGGGCTTCTTCTCGTCATCGACCTATCGGATTAGAAAAAGAAAGAAAGCATTAGCTTCATCTGTATCCCTTTCCATCTTCCTAACCCGCACATACCAGCAGAGCACCTGTAACAAGGACTAGAATGCCGCCTTGTTCGCTAGAGGGCTGGGAATCCAAAGTAGCGACCTGATGCTGGACCTTTTGGAAGGGTAGGTTCTATATCCCGAATAAGTTAGTATCCATTAAACTACCGAGATAAACCCGTGATTATAATCCTGCGACATTTGTGCGGGCGAGACCGGCGCATGGGGTGGGCAGGGGCGTGTAGAGGTTCAGGGTTGGTTTACTCACGCTCAGTTTCTCAATAATCGCACTGACACCTTGGACAGAGGCTGTTTCGAAAGTGAGCATGGAATGGTCTCGCTGTTGGGGTTTCAAAAAATATAGCAGTCAGCCCGTCTGTTTCTTCTGCCCCGGTGGTATTAGAAGAGGAAGTGGTGAAGGGCATACGTAGAGACCCGCGAGGCCCTGGCGGTCACTATCGAAGGCTTGATAGTAGAACTGAACAAATTGCTCTGTTTACGAGATGTTAGGTTTCGTCTCTATTTGTTTTTGCTTTTGTTTTGTTGCCCGTTGTTTCGCTTCCCGGGGCGGTAGGGAAGTTATGGTCGGCCGCAATGGCAATCGACATAGGGATAACGTACGTGCGATTCCTTGAAAGTCTATAAACATTTGATAGAAGAATTAGTGGACCATTCTTTACGGAGTTTGCAGGCTTATTCAATTGTGACTCGGGTTCCTGCTGGAGGGGGGTTTCAGAGCCTCAAGGAGGGGCAAACAAAATATTGCGCAAGGGAGTGCGCAAGGATAATGACTTACCAGCCATCTTGATAGGTTGTGTGGTTTGAAATTGATGTCAGAGGGGAATTAAGAGAAAGAGCACAACTTGGGTGCGATAGAGGTATTGAGGAGAAGCGAGAGAGTTATTGCCCGATCAAATAGCCTGACAAGAGAGAAGGCTGAGAAGGATTTCCCGAGAGAGGGGAGGTGACTGTGGGGCAGCCTGGAGCGATGCCGTAAGCGCAAGGCATCAGGCCTAAAAGCATTACGAACTACAGAGAAGAACGCCCAAATGACTCGAGGCAATCATGTAGCTACGTAAATGGGTTGAGATTGCACATAAATCATCCATATAGAGGTCAACAGTTGATCTACCCTTCTGAGTCCGAGTCTGCAAACATATCCTCTGCTCGTGGCCGTGGTTTGCGCACTGGCCCAGTGGACGTATTTGGTGGTTTCTCAGTTGTAGTAGTCTCCTGCTGTTCCTTAGGTTTGTCCACTCCTCCAAGTGTCTTTCCTTCTTGTTCGTCTCCCTCATCCTCTGCGAGGAGGTCTCCATCTAAGTCTTCTAGATCGCTGTCCTCCATTGGCTCGCCATCAATATCACTCATCGGTTCACCGCCGACATCCATATCTCCAGCACCCGCCTGGTCAACTTCCATTTGGGTGGGCTTCGTCTCAGTGGGACGACTTGCGTCAAAGTGTGAAGTGGATGACTCCTCATCGACGGTCTTCCAGCGGCTCTTATTCTTAGAGAATGCAGCAGCAGCCCGTTCGGCTTCTGCTTTCTCCTTCTCCTCTTTTTGCTCTTGCTCTGTGAGCGGCGGCTTTTCGAAAACTTGGAAGAAATGCTCCTGGCTCGACTGCGGAAATACGCACCACCCTTCCCAGAGATGTAGAAGGGAGCCGATACTGCGTTTCCACTTCTCTGCCCTCAGTCGTCCCCAGCCTAACACCTTTTCAAGTCTCCCAAGATGTTCAAAAACTTGATATGATTTTAATGCTGATTCAAACAGCTGTCGGTATCGCCAGGCATGGCGCACACCGCTGGTAGCAGATGAAGAGAGGATATCGGAGATCAGGTAAAGACCGACCAGTTTAGCAGCAGACGTATCCAGATTCTCCTTCCCCGTGTCATCTGTAGGGGCTGCATTAGTCTCATCACCATTCTGCTCCTTGCGGGCAATTCCCTTTTCCAATTCACGGTCAGGATTCGCTCCGGTGTAAGCGTAAGGTTCGATAATGTTTGACACAATCATCTCTACTACCTCGTCGGCCCCGGCGCCTGCTTGCTTAATGGCGAATGCAGTGACCCGCGCCACATCACCTTTGCGTAGCTTTGCGTGAGTCGTCGGAAGTCGGGCAAGAAGGTGAGCCAGTTTCGCCTTTTTTAGCGGATTCATATGGCCTAGTCCTTCATTGCCTGGTCCGATTCCATCAATGGGAGGTGCTCCACCGTGCTGCCGTCGGTCATCCTCCCCATCGGACATGTCCTCATCAGATGAATCATAGTTCTCGTCAGACACAAACTCGTCTAATCGAGTAGTATACTCAAACATAAGGTTCGCTTCAGGAAATAACCAGTTGGCACCGCCTTCGAAGATAGGTAAAGACTTTTGTAACCGTCCTTGCTGGCTTTGAGAGCGGCCATTGGTGATAACGTCCCATAACTTCCATCGATAGTATACTCCGCCGGGGCTCCTTGCATCCCAGAGCCAAGCCCACTTTTCCTCTCTTTGAATTTCTGGGCGACTCATAAGCAGAGCCTCAAATTCAGGGCCGTAGTTCAACAGGTTCTCCAGGGTCTTGTGAATGAGTCTTAACTGTTTCAAATCAGACGGCGCCTTCACCTCAACCTGCATTGTAGAACCACTACCGCCAAGAGTTGCACCATACGAGCTCGGAGGCGCAAACCCACCCCGATGTAAACCAGGAGGCGGTGCGCGGTTCAGTCGTCCTCCAAGTTCCGGCGTGATTGACTTTGCGCCGAAGGGAAGAGAACCTGTGGACGCGGGCCCGACAGCAACAGTTGAACCCAGCGCTGCAGATGACAGATGCCTTGAAATAGATAAATAGTAACCCCATCCTAGATACCGGTTTTGTAGAGCACTAACGCTACTATCAATATCGGAGGCCGCAGATTCACTGGCGAGAGTCACAATCGCTGATACAGATTTCCGCATGGTAACAGATTGGCCTGTGGGTTTTAAAAATTTGACGTTGTCAACGTTAAGCACTGAAGGTATTAGAGACTTGACCACGGATTGGGATGTTCCTGGTGGCAGAGACGCGAGATATAGCGTTGGTCTAGCTGCAGCCCTCTCAGCCTCTTTCGCATCCGCGGCACCCTCATCCTCGTCGTCCGATGCACGAAAGGCGGACGCAGTAGACGCACCACCGCCATTATCAAAACCCAGTGTCCCTTGTGTTGGCTCTCTATTCCGATGTAATGATTGAAACCCCTCGTGTGTACGTTTGCGAGAAATTGACGGTGGAGCCGGACCTAGAGTCCCAGGGCCGCTCATGCGCGGACCAGAGCTCGTGAAATGCCGCTTTGCAGGTCCTCCGCCAAAGCCAGTGTTCCTATTCCCAATTCTAGTCTGCTTTCCCTCGAATGTCGAGCGGTCGGGAACCGGCGAATCATCTTCGAACGATTTGACAAAGTCCTCATATACCGCGGCTGTCTCGGCGCGTTCGCGGGCACGTTTGGCTTCGGCTTCGGCTTTCTGGCGTTCGAATAGCGACTTCTTGGCTGGACCGGACAGCTTTGACGAGACGTCTGGGGTCGACTTGGATTTGGAGTCGTCCGCCATGTTAATGAGGCTGCAAAAGCAGCAGACCAGTATGTTGTCAAAATCCTCTTCAAGGTATTGTGTTGGTTGTCAAGACTCAAGACATTAGGTAACTTGATGCAGGAGTTGTTAATGGAAACCAAGCTATTGAGGACTCCATTGGATCGGAGGCGGAAAATCGCTGTTGCCTGAGGCAAACTCCCGACTTAGCGTACCGCGCGGACTCCATTGATCTTCTACTTACAAACAGGCATTTCATCTTCGCGAGGGTTGCAATATCATCATAATATCATCATAAGGAATTACACACAAGGCAAAATGGCTGCTCCTCAAGTGCAGGTACTCCTCCGGTTCCTTTCTCAAGATGCCAAAGTGCCGTTGGCGACCGCAATGGGCAAAGCCAACAATCTTATCAAAGCCGATCTCACAACGTATGGATGACAGAAGTCCGAGCAGAATTATCTGAGGTATAGTCTAATTTTGTGGCAGAGCCGAAAGTATATCCAAGGGAGAGCTCAAGACGTTACAGGAGATATTCAAAGACGACAAGCTCGCAAAGCAAGTGCTTAACGCTGCTAAGAGAACATCCAAGAAGCGCGCTGCGCCGACAGAAAGCACAAAAGGCTCCCCTCAGAAAAAGTCTAAAGCTTCGTCGCAAGCTGATACTACAACCCCATTCGCCACTGAAAAGGCACTGGCTCTTCCCATTTCGTCTGCCAGTGAAGCAGAGCTTTCAAACATAGTATTACTCACAAATAGGGCACCGCTGGTGCTTGCCTTTGCGGTTTGTGTCTTGAAGTACACAATGCCTGAGCAACCGATATCAAGTAGGCTCAGCCTGGCCCAGGCTGTTGTCAGCGCTAATAGCCGCTCAAAGGCTGTTAGTTTGGGCCTTGAGAGTGGACAACCCGCAGAACAGGAAGGCTGGGGCGAAGGTCAACCTGTGATTACGGTTTTGGGTAGGGATGTCAAGGTGCTGAAAAGGTGGGATTACGATCCTCGAGAGGGGCAACCGCAGTCTACACAGGGGTCTCAGGATCGAGAGGTTGTACCTGATGATATACTAGGGCAACATCCTCCGGGCGGCTCTGAGTCTGCGCCACCATTTTGGGGGATTGACACCGAAGCATTAAAACGCGAGCAATCAAGTCGTTCTAATGCAGCCATTGCTTCGGAGAAGACGCTCCCGATACATACTCCGCACTCGGCACGCTCATATCTGTTGAGATCATTCGTAAGGAAGCCTAGTGGGGACACCGAAAATCAGATTCCGCCCAAAAAAAAGAGCAATGTACAGGTCGAGGCAGAAAAGATGGACTGCTTGAGCCAACTTTTGCAATGCATTGATTTGGTGTGCCGATCATGGGCGTCCGCTTTAAGTGTGGACGAACTGGATAGACGTGCTTGGGCTTGGTACGTCCGTGTCAGACCTTCTGTCCAAAGCGGGATAGGAGGGTGGGGAGAGAAAGGAGCTGTGAAACTGTCGGAGATCCTGGCCCTGAAGAGACATTCATGACCAGGTTTTCTCTCAGCGAGGGTCACTGAAGTCCCTTTCGGTGATCAGATTACAGTAATATCAAGGTTTAAGGCCATCTTGCTTGCCCTAGAATATAACTACCATGCGCCGGTAATAGATCCTTAATGATCAAAGGCAAATCATGAGCAGGATGCTCGGGGTCTACTATTATGACAAGAGCGAGATTCATGGAACTTTGGAATCCTTATACTGTTTCGTGCAAGGATAAAGTGCTCGTCCCACGACGCTATACAAAAGCCGATCCTAATCAACAACGGCCGCTAGTTATCCAAATGGCTCACCGAGGCCTTCGTCAATGAAAGTCAACGATATTCCCTCAGCCTTGGTATCAAGGGTTCGGGTCATTAGCACCTACTTTTATTTATAGGAAGAATACCCGTGCAACAATGGCAATGCTGACAATCCATGCATGCATGTTGTTACAAGATCCGAAACAATGCCATGGTCCTTGAATTGGGCTTTTGCGCCATGTAAACAGAAGGAAAAGTGACCGTAAACGAGGCCTTTGCCATGATGAATGTATCAGTTATCAGTAAACACTGACGCGCCATCTGATAATTAAAAGATGACACATTCCCTGAGGATCATACTCCTTAAGCAAGTGTAATCGAGTATATCGCTAGGTATGGTAGTCAAATGTCTGTGCGATGAATGCAGTTATTAGTGATCATAAGAACTCGATTGAGAACGGATGTCGCACATTTGGGCACTGGTCAAGTGACCTCATTGCCCTCCTTGCAATCTGATGACGACGATGATGAGTCTCCTGGAATGCGGAGGGACACCCCCCAGCTTTCAAGGGCTCATCTCTCACAACGGGGCATTTCCGAGTTCAGGCAGATATGTAGCGTTGATAGCATTATCCGCCCCCGGTATCCTAAGGGATTTGCAGCCTTGCAGGGCTCCAAAGTAAAGACCTGTTTTGGTTCCACCAAGACCCGAATTCAACGACTTCGCCTCCTTTGTTTGAGTTGAATGAAATTTCGTTCCTGAGCAGCATTTGTTTACCCATGATCCACTAAGAAGAAACATCAAGGCCCTTCCGAACAATGGTGTGGCGATTTGTGAGGTTGCAAGGTTTTCCTGCTTTTGACATCCACATTTCTTAGGGATGCCAAGGACTAGCGGGGAACAGTCGGATGAGCGACCAAGTTTAGTGACATTTTTCCGAGATGGCCGTCACGATGATAGGTTGTCCTCTATTTCCGTTCGCTCCTCCAAATCGCTTCAGAAGCATGCTAGTTTGACGCATCTGCCGAGGAAGGGCCGGGAAGATTGAACGAGAGGATAATTCGTTCCAGGCGTGATGGGTTGAGAACTGAGGCGCAGCACGCATAACTAACATTATTCCTAAGAATAATCGGCCAATGTGGGCAACCGCCGAGTCCATGACTTAGGCTGCCGAGTATAGAGGGTGGGCTTTTTTTTTATTTTTTGTAGAAGGGAAAATAATAAGAGGCCAACTGTTTGAGTCCAGTGTCCCCTGTACGAAAGTGAAACCAAGGAAGGGCTTTTTTGGATTGCAGAAACCAAGATCCATCTTCCGATGATTATTCCCTCAGCCAAGGCCGAAAACGACTAATCCCGAAATGGAAGCCTTCCTTCCTCAGGCTGCCACTCCTCTCTTCCTCTCAACCTCTCTCTCCCTCCCATCAGAGATCTGCCTCTTCATCCACCACTGGCGACCAACCATCCCGACCCTCCACAAACATACCTCCCCAGCTTTATAAGTCGTTATTACACGAACTAACCGATCTCGCTATTTGTTCCGTCGCATGGGTCGTCGCCCCTTCGCTCTTTCGTCCTCCAGCCCCTCCGCGCCCGTTCCGGATCACTCCTTTGCCCTCAACGCCAGTCCGAACTCGAGTCGACTTCAGGTGACGGGCTGACTCGATAATTCAGTAAGATTGATCGAACAGATTAGGGAGCCCGTCAGGGCTGTATAACGCCATGTCTGGGCGTCTATCTTCCGACCATTCTCGCTCCTTCTCGCAGTCTTCTCGGTCTCGATCGGGACCGTCTCAGGACCCTGATTCAATGCCTCACCCATCTACCCCTGGCCGGTCATCGAACCCCAATGTATTCTCAGACGAGTACTCCTTGGAACATTTAGACTCGGAACAAGCGACCCTTACGCCTCGAAGTTTGTCGATTTCATCCGTCGCCTCATCTCACACCCTTCGATCCTCGCTACCACATCACCAGAAGCCATACAATACATCCACAGACGGCGATGAACTACTAGAGAATCCGTTTCGGGATGAAGCCCGGGTTTCATTTGAAGATGATACTGCTAATCGATCTAGTCTGCCCCAGAAAGGGTTTGACCTATCGTATCGCAACTCGGTCAATTCGAATTCAACAGCGCCCTCGACCGCCCAGCGCAGTCAAAGCACATCGTCTCGCTTTTCGATACCACCTCGTGCTCTTAGTCCTTACACCGGAGCCACAGGGCCCAGTCACCCGTACGCGATGTACCCGCAGGTCGGCGTTAGTCGCTCACCGAGTGTAGCCACTACTTCGACTATTCGTCCAGTGGATGGGCCCTTGACTGAGTCAAACGGCCCGCAACATCCTTACGCGATGTATTCCCAGAATGTTGTGGTCGAAGAAGGCTTGGAAGACTCAGTCATACCTCTGGGCTTTCCAGGACACCTCCAAGAAGCATACCAAAGACCACCCAATCGTGCCGCCGACGACGTTGGTGATCTGATTGGACCAGATGGGTATACTGAACAACTCCCACCTTATTCTCGTTACCCCGAGGGGACCTCCCCGAAACTAGAAGCGACGGCTGTTGTACTCCCGGAAGTCCCAGCCCTCGCGGATCAAACCATTGGTAACAACGAGCGAGATGTTGCTACATCGGACGTGTCATCAGGAACTCTAGTTGCCGGAAATCATCAACCGGCCGCACGCGGGAGTGGAGCACCAGACGAGCCACCACCAACCGGAGTTATGGCCTTTGAAGAAAAGTTGAAGAGGAGGGGCAAAAAAAGAGTATGTTGCGGGCTGCCGGTTTGGACATTGGTTTTAATATCTGTTGTCATGATTGTTGGAGGAAGCATTGGAGGGGCCATTGGCGGTATATTAGGCGCTAAAAAGGCTGCGGAAGAGGCGACCTCTTCCGCAACCCCAACTGTCGTTACTTCGACGGTCCCTCCTCGAACAGATGCAACTCCACTGTCCACCCCACCGCACGGCCTGCCGGATCTCAGTCTAGGCACCTTTGCCATTCCCGCCGCACCAAAAAATCAGTCGAAGTTTTGTATTCAAGATCAGGAACAAACTCCGTCATGGGGTTGCTATAATCAGAAGCCTATCCCAATCAAAATTGGCGGCGATGAAGATGACAGGACAATCGACTTCTACAGCGACCCGTTACCCAAAACGTTGACGTATGGTGCACAGGCGCCGTTTTTCACTCAACCTTCGATGTCGCTCGACCTGGTGATGGATACAACAGATCTCAGTCTTGGACCCGCTCTGTCATTTTTCACGTTCTTTGACAAGTTAGTGGTGGTCCCCGAAGATACATTTTCCTCGTCAGATGTATCGAAGCGGTCTGTTTCAGAGAATGATGTGCTCGCTGGCATACATCATCGCAAACGCTCAAGCGACATTGGAGACCGACCGTGGTTCTGTTGGTGGAATGGCACATCTATGGAATTTTTCCTTTACCTCAACCAGACAACCAGAGACTGGCGGTCTGATCACGACTCGAGCACCAAAACTTCCTCACAGGATTCTCCGTCAAAGCGATCTGATGCTCCACTACCAAATTATGATCGCAGGATTAAAATTGACGAAAAGCGAGATAACGCGGAGGCCCAATCACCGTATTGCCAGCAAATGAAAGTCCTGGATGACGGCTCGATTGAGTCGGTATCCACCGATACGATTGGAATCAGCGTGAATGAACCGACGGCGACAACCACGGTCAAGGGCTCTGGAGGCGCAACTCAAACATATACGGCAAAGGTACAATATCAGAGTGTATGTTATTGTGCTTCATTGACCGACTAGCATGGCGGTTCGGTATCTGAGCCTTTTGATTCAAGACGATTTTAAAAACGGCAGCTGAAATCGTGGCGGCGGCGTTATCGGGGTGGTTTAATGGTGCTTCTATGAGCGACAGCCTATTCTCGTACGGTTCTATATGTTTTACTTCTCGGCGCGATGGTTTGATTTCCTCTTCTCATTTTTTTTGTCTCGTCAAGGATGGCGTGTATCTTGCCTGTTCGACTACTACTCTCCTGTTCTGGTCATTCCAGTGTTTGATGACTTGTTTTGTTTTCACCCTATTGTCTGGATTGGATCTTGACTCTCGTTTTTGATACTCTGGTCACGCATACGGCGTTCATGGAATCGTCATGGTTGCATACGGGTCCTCGGATTCCGTCGTTCAGTCTTTTCTGTTTTTGTACTTGATCCTGGATCTTTGTTCTATTTGAGGGTTTTGCACTTATCTCGATGGTTAGTGTTGTCTTTTGGGATGTATATTGGCATGAGGATAATGCCCCACTCCAGTCCCATTTTAGGTATATATATATACTACTTATGCATACTCCAAGATAATCCCAAGCGGATTCGTTCTAGTAGCCTGCTTAGCGACTTATTTTGCCCTCACGGCCGTACGGAGTGTCTGAACTGGAAATTAGATATGACGGCTGGCAACGTCATAGGCTTGTCGCCAAACCCTTAAGCACGTCAGCATGGACGCCATATATTGAAGAAAGATTCATACCTTGCAGCTCTGAACTCATTAAAAAAACTGATTGTACTTGCTTTCTTAATCCAAATACAAAATTTCCAAATACTCAGTATGAACTCGCTCCTCCGCACCAGTCGCTCACTTCGAGCCACCAAGCCTACAACGCGATTGCCCGTCTTCCTCCAAGGCCAAACCCAACAGCGACTGAACAGCCATAGCTCCTACGGCAATGGCGAAACTAAACCTGAAGACGATAGAAACAGACCTACCCGTGACATAGAGCATCCAGGTATGTCACCACTTTGCCACCCACTCCGCAACCGTACTGATTGCCTACTTACAGGACCACCACCACCCAACGTCACCAGCGAGAACAACTCCAAGTCACAGCCATCATACAAGCAGTCTGAGTCGCCGACCGGTGAGGAAGAAGAAGATATCAATACGAGGCCATCCAACAACGCTAAGCCGACGATCACGGATGGCCATCAGTCGGCGAATGTTGACAAGGAAGGGAACATGAAGCCTAACGTTCCTGAGGATGTAAAAAGACACAATGAAGACATCGATAAGCGGTTCGACAAGCCTTACAATCGGATTAAGGATGAGGGAAAGGTCGAAAAGGGGTTTTGGGGGAAGTTAGATGGGCAAGAAGGTTACTAGGCACCTAGTAATTGGTGGATATTTCCAAGGCTGTTAAGTGTGTGATTTTAGATGCGTGGTCGGGATATTAAAATCCACGATATTCTTTATGTATTGAATAAAATACTTCGGTGAATGAGAATATGAATAGGAGTAAAGCTGTTGTGGTGTATAGTTCAGGTCGAGGCCGCTTTCGGGCCAGATTAGCACAAGTCGCTCGTTAGCGACCGCGGCGGATCTCCCGCGTGTTTGTTCCTGAGCTGCCCCCCGACTTGAAGCTCTCGAGCAGCCTCATCTTCTGGTTCTGCAATTTTATCTTGTCGCAAGTTCATTTTACTGTGCAATCTCAACCCCAGCATTAAATATGGCTCCCAAGGGCAACAAGTACTCCGTCATCCTCCCTACTTACAATGAGCGGAGGAACCTCCCTATCATATGCTGGCTCCTGGAGCGGACATTTCGAGAGAAGTGAGCGGACACCCTTACACCCACGACCGATTAAAAAAGCATTGCAGAAAGCGAATGTTCTTGAAAGCTAACAGATAATTAAACAGCAACCTAGATTGGGAGGTCATCATCGTCGACGACGGCTCCCCCGATGGCACCCTCGAGATCGCCAAACAGCTCCAAAAGGTCTGGGGCGCCGAACACATCGTCCTCAAGCCTCGCGCTGGTAAGCTTGGTCTTGGAACTGCATACGTCCACGGCCTGCAGTTTGCCACCGGAAACTTCGTTATAATCATGGACGCCGACTTCAGCCATCACCCCAAGTTCATCCCCGAGATGGTTCGCATTCAAAAGGAGACAGACGCCGATATTGTCACCGGCACGCGCTACGCTTCCCGCGATAACATCAAGGGTGGTGTGTACGGATGGGACCTATTCCGGAAGTTCACGTCGCGGACAGCGAACTTGATCGCGGACGTGATGCTCATGCCAGGTGTTAGCGATTTGACGGGCAGTTTCCGGTTGTACAAGAAGAACGTGCTGGACAAGGTGATCCACAGCACGCAGAGCAAAGGATACAGTTTCCAAATGGAGATGATGGTTAGGGCTAAGGCGATGGGATTCAAGGTTGCTGAGTGCCCGATTACCTTCGTTGACCGGTTGTACGGAGAGAGTAAACTCGGAGGCTCCGAAATCGTGGAGTATCTTAAGGGAGTTTTCAACCTTTGGCTGAGGGTTTGATTTTGTTTACCCCTTCCCTTCTATTGTCGTCGTTTCGGTTGTTCTCTCCCTGTCTATTCCATTTTACATGCGTCCGTGATGACTACCGCACCAGGGTACTTTCCTATGTCTTGTATATTAATGTCAGGTTTCTTATATCCGTCTGATAATTGATTATTGTTCCACTCGTTGGTTAAATTATTGGCCGAGGGACTTAGACCGTTCGATTCTCAAACCCGATTCAAGTAGTTCAGCACATGCTCGATCAACCATGCCTGTCCTTCGTCTCGGACATTGTGACTCGCTCCAGGAATGATTCCACTAGCCTCATCGTCCCACTTCTTAACCCCTCCAGCATCGGTTGCTCGCTTCCATCGCGCCATCAAAGCCTCCTTATCGACCCCATTTGGCGCGTACTCGTCGTTTCCGGAGTAGAGTGCAACAAGAGTACCCCGTAACAGGCCCCGTGTCGCAACCCGCCCAAATGTTTCACCAAGCCTTTCATCCGTTATATCCGTGCTAAAAAGGTCATCTTCCGACGGTTTTGCAGGGCTTTCAGGGCTCGCGAGGCTCCAAAATCTCCTCACATTAACTGGTGTAGAAGGTTCCAACCCAACCAGTCCTGTGAGATCCAGAGGGCAAAGCGTACGAGCTGGTTGCTCGTGTGCAAATTTCACCAGTGTATCATATGCCTCCCGGGCTTCTGAGCTCTCCTTTGCGGTCTGCAGTATCGCTTCCCGATCAGATACGGGTGCCTGCATGATCGCCCCATCAACAACCGGACGGGTGAGGCCTTGTACACCATCAGCGTCGGGATTGCGTGGGAGTGGATTCTCTGAGTACACGTAGTGCAGGACATCCTGGCTCCCTGTTGAATGGCCCATGATGACGACCTTGCCAGCGGTACCATTCGCAGTGGAGTTCTTTTTCAGGTTACGGACATACTCGACACATTGGCCGATCTCTTCGACGTCTCGGTCGAGACTACCGATTCCCCAGCCGCTGTAGGAAGAAGAGAGATGGAGATGGTAAATGGACCATTCTGTGGGCTCCAAGGCCTTTGCAATTTCCTGGACGTATGGAACTGTGTAGAGGCCGTCCGTGAGACCGCCAATGAAGAGGAGACTGTGTGGCTTGGGGGTGCTTGGAGAGCCGAATTCAAAAGCTACCAAGCGCGGAGCCTGCCATGGGTTAGCGTCATGATTTACTTTGCTGATCAAGAGGAACATACATAATTGTGTAGGATACCAGGATATGATGCGGCCATCTTGAAAAAAAGTGGAAGCGTCTCTATATAGTACTACCAGTACTATAGTGAGTAGCTTGTGCTGTTGAGGCGAGTTTTAAGCTGACTGAAGCTGTTGGCGGGGTAAAAATAGTGGGCACTTTGATTAATAGATGCAGCCCACAATAGAGGTAACTGGACAGCACTAGTATCGGGCTGGAGATGACGCAATCGGTTTATTCTATCCTTTTCCAGTTGAAGCCTGGAGCTATACAAACGGGTTGATGTCAAGTAAAAATGATGCTATACACAAATACGGCTCTAGGCCGTTGTTTCTGGTGCAAGTGGTATTTGAATACCGTTACAATACAGAATAAAACGCCAAGATATCCACTAAGCCTGGTCGGGAGCTATGGTTTCGATGAGGTCCCGCGAGCTCATCGCTTCATTCTTCATTCTTTCCTCTTCAAATCGAAGGGTTTGATTCTCGAGCATATTGTCCTATCCAAATTAGGATCCAATAAATATGCTGTACCGAAATTGAGCTTCTAACAAAAGAGCTCTTTCCCAAACAAATCAGCCGCCAGCAGAAATGCTAACGCGAGAGCTTCTGGTGAAACACCCTAAAGAGCTGCAGAGACACAAAGATGCCCTCAGCTCGTAGATCCGGTCGCCTGTCTGGCGTCCGAAAGACCTATACAATTGACCCCCTTGCTGGCGAGGAATCGGATTCAAACTCCACCGAGGAAACAAGCAAGGCACCGCGGAATAAGGGCAAGCAGCCTGTGCGCGGGAATGAAAATGATGAATCCGACGAAGAATTCCAAGGAAACGAGCTGGAGGCGGAGGAGGATGATGAAGAAGTCGATGATGACTTTGACGGCGAAGATGCCCTGGCTGAAAATGACGAGGGAGAAGATGAAATGGACGAGCCGGTCTTCTCACCAGCACCACCAGCAGCAGCAGGAGCAAGGGCGGCAGATGGAGAAGAGAAAAAGGGCCGTCGTCGACGCGGTCGCCAGAAGCAAACGAAGCTCGATCAACCAAGAGCAGCCAAGAACCGGCAATCGGATGGGACTATTGCCCTTACCGGGGATGAGACTCATTCCCGTGGGACGTGGAATCCGCTTGAGCATGTTGGGAAATCTATCCATCTGCAAGTGACATTTGGTCTGGATGAAAGGGATCTCCTCGCTATTTTGTATACGAGGGAACGGTGGGCTAGGGGTACGGACTCTACATTCCCGACTCGAGTGTCACTGGATGAAGCAGGTACTTTGCAAGATTACAAGTATGGATCGACCTTTGGAGTTGAACCGGAGAATATACAAAGAGAGAGAACGAGTTCATGGGATTGGTATTATGGCGATGGTCCCGGGGAACGATTTAGGAAACGCCAGCGGCTTGAGCAGACCACGGAAACTGAGGCTCGTCAGACTTATTTTCCTGCACCGAAGCCAGGGAAGCATACTGTGCTAATGGGACCTACTGACAATCAACTGGAATTCAATCTGGGTCAGTATGATACTCTAAATTTTGGGGATGCGTGGGGAGAGGTCAAAAGTCGGAATAAGGGCCAAACTGAAACAGACGGGGCGCGATCCAAGAAGAAAAAGCGTCAAGGCTGGATTATCAATATCGGCCAGCGGATTCAGTGCGCGGCATGGGCACCAAACCAGAGTGGCCTTGATCAGTATTTGGCCGTCGTTGCCCCAATCTCGAATGAACAGAAGCAAAACTATCCAGATCCTTTGAAAGACTCCGCGGGCCCAGCATTTCGGCCGTCGGCTCCTTACCCTTGCGCTTTACAACTTTGGAGTTTCAAAGCTGACAAGGCCGGCGAAACCACAAAAACCCTTGATATGAACGTGGAGCCTAGTTTACGTCTGATTCTGGGCGCCGAATGGGGTGACTTGAGGCGTATAGCCTGGTGCTCTATTCCGCGGGAGCCGCGAGAGGAAGACGAAAAAGGTGGTTTAAAGAGTGTAGGGCTTCTTGCCGGTGTCTGGAGTGACGGCTACGTCCGGGTCATTGACGTGAAAGTCAATAGCGACTCCAACAAGACCGAGTTCTGTAAGTTTGAGTTGGCGAACATATTGAGGACCATAACGCTAACTTTCGCAGACAAAATTGCCGCGCCTGTATTCGAGGCGAAACCATCGTCTACAGTATGCACATGTGTAGTATGGCTGTCCTCCAGCGATATTGCAGTGGGCTGCGCCAACGGATTTGTTGCTATTTGGAGCATTGCATCGCCATTCATCCAACCTCAAACTGAAGCTTTTCACGCTGACCCTCTACCTTACTTTTACCACCCTATTCACTCTACCTATGTACTCAACATCTCATCGGCCTATCCCACTCACGCACATCTCGTGTCCACCACGTCGATGGATGGAGAGACACGACTATGGTCAATTGCCGACCATGAGAAGGATGCGGTCGAGACAACCCGCATGAGAGTGGGTTCACCGCATTTGACTTATTCGCCATTGCTACAATCATTCCTTTCCAGTGACGAAAACGATTTCGTACGCATGCTAACCCTGCGACGTTTCTTCGCTACGTTGGCCGTCGCTAGGTTGCCGAGCACGCTCTCTGCTTTGGCGACATGCAGCTCATGGCATCCGAGCGTGCTTTTTGGCTCTACTGGGGGGTCGGTGATTGCGACAAACCCATTACGAAGGCTGCTGCATTCCAAGGAAAAGCAATGGCAACAGACGTGGTTTTCGCATACTTGGGTACGGGGAAACGAATCGAGTAGTTCCGGGACGAGTCGGTTCTATGACGGGTATCGTGCCGAGAGTATTAGCTTATTGCGCAACATGACGGGAGATCGCAAGATGATCAATTCGACTATGATAGTTACCATCTACGAGGAAGAAACGCACGTCACGGCACTGTCGTGGAACCCCAATCAGTCATGCGCGGGATGGGCGGCGGCCGGGTTAGGATGTGGACTGCTTCGGGTTGAAGATCTCGCATTGTAGCTCCATCGTCATCATGTCTGATTCTTGGCCAGTTTTCAATATTATGCACCCTGAGTATGACGGTCTGGAAAGGCTTCGTGGACATGGCGACCAGATGTTACGTATGCTCTGTTTACCCTGCATGACTGAAAGCAATTGAATGCCGATCAGGGAAGCGATGAGTATTGAGCTTTCTAGTTCAAGGCGATCGGACGTCGATACACCACAACAAACACGAAAGCCTTAATTCTAAGAATAGTTGACTATTGGCTCGAAAGCTACCGGTTCACCGTGGTGTTGTCAAAATCTACTAAGCAGAAGGCCTCTATGTGATCAGACGCCTCGACAGACATCTGAGTCTTCAATGAACACATCAATGACTCTTTGAAACAATAGCTATTCACCATCCACCACATTGAAACTTGCAAAATATTACAGCGACAATTATAATATGAACAAGTCTTCTGTTTGTATCAATACTACCTGTCTACTCCTAGTGGGCGGGTAAGATAGGCCAAGTTCAATGCGCGATAGACTCTGCGTATAAGTTTTAGTATTGCACGGCATTGCGTGTCCAGCAGAAAATGTAGGCAGACGAGTAAGCTAAGAATAGATGGCTTTGGCATCTCACATGTTATGATGTGATGCACTGTTTTCTGCATGGCGATGCAGTGGGTACACCTGTGTGCTGACAGTTGACGCCACAGTTGAGCGCACAGCCACGGCAGGGCCTACCAGAAACCGTCTGCCTGTGGAAACACAACAGGGGCACATGTCTACAGGGTCCAAAATTTTTGGGCATGAGAATCAGAGGGAAACGGAATCAGGATTCTATTCTTCTCAATCAATACATCATGATGAAACAATTGCGTGCCGCTGCGATCTATCCCGTGTCTATCAAAAAAAAAAGGCTGTGGCTGGTCGGCTGTCTGGCTTGGACGAGGTTGACCCAGCCTCCTGTATACTCGGCATAGCTGTCACCTAGACCACCTGGGACGCGCCAGCTGCCATTATGCTTCGATCTGATGGGCCTAAGTCGCTGATCACTATGCAAGAGCAGATCCACGTTTTTTTTTCGACCTTGAGGGTTTTCCAGCCCATGGGTTAATCCCACTCAGGGTTCTTAAGCCGGCGCCATCTTCGTTGATTCCATCCTCAATCAACTTTCCTCTCATCACTGCTTCTGAATTACAAGCTTTGCCGAGCCAAACGATATTTCTCTTGATTTCCTTTCCTTTTTCCTCTTCTCTTTGTTTTAATTGAAGATATCGTAATATACCGTTGGGCATACATTTCCCACCTCCACGCCATGCATACCTCAACTCTTATCTACTTGTCCCTTGCTCTCACATCCAACGCCTTTCCTCTGGCTCGTCGGTCTTCATCTGCCACAGCCCAGCCCTCTACATACCAGCGTCGAAGTGCAGATTACGATGTTGTGAACGTTGGAGGTGCTCCGGGCGCTCCCCAGCCTGCAGAAACGGTCATCGAAACCGTGACTGCTCCGGGTGCTCCTCCGCAGACTGTGACTGTTTCTGTGCCTCAAACCCCCACTTACTCGCCTACCTCCTCGGTACCATGGGGCAGTAGCTCTTCTGCGTACCCAACATCAGCACCTAGCTTGTTTGCGCGCAACTGGGAGAGCACTTCATCCCCGGTGAGCAGCTCTTCAAGCTTCCTGTATGCGCGCAACTGGGAAAGCACTTCATCGCCAGCCAGCTCCTCAGCGTATCCCACTGGTACNTTATATGCACGCAACTGGGAGAGCACTTCATCCCCGGTGAGCAGCTCTTCAAGCTTCCTGTATGCGCGCAACTGGGAAAGCACTTCATCGCCAGCCAGCTCCTCAGCGTATCCCACTGGTACCTTATATGCGCGCAACTGGGAGAGTACCTCATCCCCGGTCAGCTCTTCTGCGTACCCTACATCAGCCTCTAGCAACCTATATGCGCGGGCTTTGGAGAGTAGCTCCTACCCAGCCAGCAGCTCTTCTAGCTTATATGCGCGCAACTTGGAGGGCACTTCATCTCCGGCTAGCTCTTCTGCCTACGCAACTGCGACTCCTGTCCCTGCCTACATTGCGCGCGGCTTTGAGACTACATACCCTGCTTCCAGTTCTTCTGCCTCCTTGTTTGCGCGCGCCTGGGAAACTTCCAGCACATACCCGGCTAGCAGCTCTTCCGCCTACGCAACTACGACTGCTGCCCCTTCTGGCTTTAAGCTTGCACGCGCCTTGGAGAGCACCAGCACCTTACCCGTCAGCAGCTCTTCTGTCTCTTTAGTTCCCAGTGAGACGGCAGTTCCTTCTGGGTTCACAGCCATGGACAGACTCGCACGTGCCCTGGGAAATTCCATGAACGTTCACCGACGAGCCCATGATGGGGACGCTGCCTTGGCTTACGCTCAGCTAGGTGCTTAAGATGTCAAGGGCCTGGGACGATGCTTCTCCCTCGTGAGCTGCTCACCAAAACTGAGGGTTTGAAGAAATTATTTACGGATTATATGCACGATTTCTCTATTGTCGTTTCTACGATTTCAACAGCTACACTGGTAGCTTCCATTTTTATGACGAGTGAAGAAGATGACGTATTTAATGGTCGGGTATGATATGATATTTATGAGACTGAGCCGATGGTTTTACTTGTTGATGGGACGCATATCAGGTGTTTTCGGGATTTTGAATAAATTGGCTTGTGTTCTCTGCCTGCTTTTGTTCTTAAATAGACCAGAGTTGTTTTATAGACTGAATAAACTTGGTTGTACTGGAAATACCAGGAGCTGCTAGTAAAATGCGGTCAGCGGGGGTAATTATCGTAAGGAACCCGCAGCGATACATTACGTACTGCTGGTCGCATGTCCGTCCGCCTCCAAGTCAACGGCATTATGACAGTTCCACTCCGCCAACGCTCCATTCCAACTTCTCACTAATTGATGAATCACCCTTCTCCTTCTGTCTATGGAAACTGAAAGTTGTCGAGTTTCCCCCCTCTACAGAGTTTCTCCCTTCTTCGACTCCGTCATCGCTTCGCCCCTCCCCCTTTGCTCAGCCAGCTGTTTACCGCCTAACCTAAGTCGTTTCTACCTCCGCTCTTGAGTCCAGATCCCCTCTCGCACCATACTAGAGTAGATAAACACGATGGCCACCTCGGTAGCGCCTTCGGAAGACCAGAGCCGTCTCTTGGAGGAGGCATTGGGGGTGGTGCGCCAGCAATCGGGCATGATGCGGAAATGCCTGGAGACCCCGGGGAAGCTTATGGATGCGCTCAAATGCGGGTGAGTTCGAGCTTCAGGCAGCAGCGGGATGTGTCGCGATAAGCCGATCCCGTTCGCATTCTGTGCAGCATGGAATAAATCTAATATTGTGATATTTCTCTTTAGGTCGACATTGGTCTCTGAGCTTCGAACGCCCAGTTTAGGCCCCAAGCAGTACTACGAACTGTACATGGCTGTCTTCGATGCTTTGCGCCACCTCTCCGTCTACCTGAAAGAGAACCACCCGGTCAACCACCTCGCCGATCTGTACGAATTGGTTCAATATGCGGGAAACATTATCCCCCGACTTTACCTCATGATTACAGTGGGCACGGTGTATATGTCTGTGGAGGATGCACCAGTTAAGGAGATCATGAAGGATATGATGGAGATGAGTCGAGGTGTACAACACCCGATCCGCGGGCTATTTCTGAGGTACTACCTCTCCGGCCAGGCGAGGGACTACCTGCCGTCGGGAACTGGGGACGGCCCCGAGGGAAACCTACAGGACTCGATCAACTTTGTCCTTACCAATTTCGTGGAAATGAATAAGCTATGGGTTAGACTTCAACACCAGGGACCTTCGCGGGAGCGGGAGAAGAGGATGCAAGAGCGCCGTGAACTGGAGCTGCTGGTGGGTAGCAATGTTGTTCGCCTTAGCCAGCTGGTGGATCTGGAAACCTACAAGTCGGGAATTCTGCAAGCCCTGTTGGAGCAGGTTGTTCAATGTCGGGATGTTTTGGCGCAGGAATATCTACTTGAAGGTGAGGAGCCTAACGGAGTGGGGCTCTGCGAAGTACTGACACGGTGATTGTAGTTATTACGAAAGTGTTCCCGGATGAGTTCCACCTTCATACGCTCGATTTATTGCTTTCAGCCATTGCGCGCCTGAATCCCCATGTCGATTTGAAGAAGATCATTATAGGACTTATGGACCGCTTATCGTCATATGCGGCCCGCGAGGGTGAGACTTCTACCGATCCGGATACAAAGAAGCAAAAAGAAGAGGATGCCGTTGCAAAGCTCCTTGAGAACCTTAAGGTGTCCGAAGAAACCAAGAAGGAAAAACCGAAGGAGGATGCCCCCGCAGCTGCTACCGAGAATGGCGTTGAGCAGACACAGAATGAGACAGAACAAGGCGCTCAATCGACCGAAGAACCAGCAACAAACGGGGGCAATGACGACAAGAAGCCTAGCGAGCCCCAAGATGTCAAGCTGTATGACATCTTCTATGAACAGGTGGTCAGCATTATCAAGTCACGCGGCCTTCCCATTCAAGATACTATGGCGCTACTCGTTTCACTTGTCAACCTTGCCCTCAACACATACCCTGAGCAGTTAGAATACGTTGATCAAGTTCTTCACTTTGCTACTAAAGAAACGGCCGAATATGCTGATCACGCAGATCTACACGCCGCACCGACTCAACAAAACATCTTACACCTTCTTAATGCACCACTCCGCTCATACATTTCGATTTTCACAGCCTTGGCTCTTCCTCATTACCTCCCTCTCTTGTCAAATCAGCCCTACCCTACACGACGGTCTGTCGCGGGCGAAATCTCCCGGAGCCTCCTTAGGAACCATACACTTATTACCTCTACTGAGAATCTGGACCGCGTACTACAGGCTCTCAGGGTATTAATAAAGGAAGGCGTACAGCAAGGCGGAGGCTACCCTGGATCACAGCGACGAGGCGAATCAGACGAAACAATCGAGGAGCAAGGATGGTTGGCAAGGATAGTTCACTTGTTGCAGGCGCCAGACAACGACACTCAGCTCAAGGTAGTTCGCCATCCATCAATTGTTTAATGAACTTCTGGCTAATCCCCGTCTAGCTCCTTCAAGCTACCCGCAAATCATACCTAGACGGCAACGAGAGGATCCGATACACATTCCCCGCCATAATTAGCTCCTCTATCCGTCTGGCACGGAAAATCAAATCCCGCGAGCATTACGATGACAACTGGCAGTCACAATCATCCACACTCTACCGATTCATGCATCAATGCGTCAACAACCTGTATCAGCGTGTTAATCCTGGGTGTGCTGAGCTAGCGTTGCGCCTCTTCGTAATGTGCGGCGAGGTAGCCGATCAGACTGGCTTTGAAGAATTCAGCTACGAATTCTTCGCTCAGGCCTTTACCATCTACGAAGATTCAATTAGCGACTCCCGAGCTCAGTTCCAAGCCGTCTGCATTATTGCTGGAGCTCTCCATGGTAGCAGGGGCTTCTCCAGAGAAAACTACGATACCCTTATCACTAAGGCTGCCCTTCACGGTAGCAAGCTCCTCAAGAAACCTGACCAATGTCGCGCGGTATACCTAGCTAGCCACCTGTGGTGGGTTATCGAGAACCCACAAAGAGGCGAAGAAGACCCCAAGGATGTACGTTACTTTCCCTTAATCACCCCAATGCGCTAACTGATGGGATCCTCAGCTTTACCGCGACGGCAAACGCGTTCTTGAATGTCTTCAACGTGCCCTCCGCGTGGCAGATGCCTGCATGGACACCGCTGTTTCCGTGGAGCTTTTCGTCGAAATTCTCAACCGCTACGTATACTACTTCGATCAGCAAAACGAAAGCGTGACAATAAAGTACCTAAACGGCCTGATCGAACTCATCCACTCAAATCTCCAGACGGACCAGGATGATCCCAATCCTGCGCTCGAGAACCCCAAGAAACATTTCTATCGTACGCTGGATTATATTCGCACGAGAGAGTTTGAGGGCGTTGTCACAGAAGCCAGGTCTTAGCCTACCCAAGATCCTATTGAGACGTTGATTCTATATTCTTTCAACTTTGTAGAGCTTCCTTGGGCGTACTTATCATCCTGCTATTGGAAGTTTACACTACTGTTTTGTTTGCCTTGTTGTTTGTATGTATGTATGTAAGAGATTCCCTTTCCCTTTCGTCGCCAAGCCTTTTCTCTCTCTTCCCATACGAGCGTGAGCCTTTCAGATACTTATTCTTTCATCTCATCTTCCTCAGTAGAGACCTAGATCTTATTGAATATACTACCACAGGTGGATGTATCATCCTATTCGATTGAGGCCCTCATCATTCCCACTGCCTCATTCATTTACTTCCTAGCCAGCGTGAATGTCAATGTCAAATCAATATCAAACACCGCATTATAATAAATTCAAGAGTCAAGATCGAGGCCTCTAGCTCTATTGCTACCGTTCCACCCAATGTAGGCAGGAACAGCGCCAGCTGGACCCGGGGCGCTCCGTCGTACCTTCCATATAAATATGGGGACTAGGGAATGTCCTAGAGCCTAATTTTAGGAAGGCGCGATGGGGTGCCCATTCAAATCAGGAAGGGGCAACAGTGCTACCCCGGCGCGGTGGGTTGCACTTGCCTTGCAGAATGAGATGCGTACAACACTGGGAAGGGGCAACTGGTGGCGTACCTCCCTACTTGCCTAGGGCGAGAAGGGGGCTGCGCCTGCATTAAGCTGGCCCGAAGGTGCAGTAGTGTATGGGAAAGTACCACCGGCATAGCCTTGCCTGTCCTACCTTCCCCATCCATGCAAGGATGCATAACGCTGGCTATTACGAGAGCCTTACAGAGTAGAATCGAAGTAAGAGGGCCAGGGACATGGAAAGTCCACGAGATATGAATCTCGACTTGGTACATGCAATTGTTCCATAGAACCGAAGAGAGTAATGGTAAAGAATACACGACATGGCAATGATGCCCATGGATGAGTTGGTAGGAAACACAGCGCAAAACAAAAGAGGTAAGTAACACGAACAATGACCTTCATAAGAACGGATGGGGTGAGCAAGGAAGCAAGTATCATATCATGAACATGCGTACAATGGGAGGAGAGGATGTCGTTTGGTTTGACGGATTGGAGGTTAGGAAAGGAGGGAGTGAGAAGACGAAGGAAGGAGGGAGATAAGATGCAGAGAGGATAGGACGAAACATGACATGACGCTTAACCTTTAACCCATAATAACCTATGACTCGTAGCAGGATCTTTCATCCCAAAGCGATGATGAAGAAAACTGACTGAAAGAAGATCCTCGGATTCATCCGAAACGCCTAGACTAGAAACTCGTGGGTGGAGAAGAAAATTGTCGCAAAGCGGACGAAGGAGGTGTACCAATGCCAATGCCACCAAGGGCTGGGATAGTACTATTGGCGATAGGACTTCCGATATCGCCTGGCACAATACTGCCGCGTTGACCAGTCACCGCGCTATTGGTATCTGGCTCGAACTTGACAAGATCACCGGCCTGGCTGTTCTTGATTGAGAACGACCCGCCTCCGTTTTGCGCATTGCCCTCTGTATCACAGATGTCAAGCATCTCATTCAGAGGAATTGAAGGCTCATTCGGCGGCCGTAATTGTTCGACTTGGCGCAGAACCGCATTCACGTCATGATAGTCATCTCCATTCGAAAGACTTAGTGCGCTCAGCTGTTTGCACGCTTGGATAACTAGGAGTCGAATCGCAACAGGACGTGATGTGTGAGCGCGATGATGGACGCCAGCGCCAAAAGCGTTGTTATTGTTAGGCCAGTTGTTCCCTAATCCTACGTTAGTCAAGACAGACAGCTAATGTGGAAGATCGGACTACCAACCGGGCAAATATCCTCCCCATGTTGGACCGCCGGGGAAGGAAGCTCCAAAAGGCATTTGCGCACCCCAAGTGTTGCCTCCTACTACAGGGCCAACAGGAAAGTTCCCGTGTTTGGCTATAATATTCGTTAGCGTATATGTTGGTATATCAGAAGGCATGACTTACCACTTAGGGGGTCTGGGAATAGCGAAGAACCAGTAAAGCTGGCGCGTGTGGGACCTGGCATTGATGTAGTAGGTGCTGCACCCGGAAGTGACTGGGAAAGTTGCGACGACGTAAGGGGAATATCTGTGTCATCGAGCAGTGCACTGCTACCTAGTTGGGCGCTTAGGTCGTCCACATCCCTTCGGGTGTTATGCTGCTCTTGCTGTGTACTAGGCGGGCGCTTGATTGGGCTAGGTCTGGAAATCGGGAATGGCTGAGCGCTTGTATCCAGCGGAGATCGTTCAAAGGAGTTGGATGGTTGCCTCGAATGGCCATGTGGTAAGCCGCCTGGCTGGGGGGAGAAAACACCGGAAAGCGGTTGCTGAACGTGGAAAGGAAGACCGGGTGCTTCAAGAGGGAATCCTCGTCCCGGAGGCATTGGACGAGCTCCGTTCATCCCCGGAGGTACCGGAATCCCATTGGGTGCGGGGAATCCACGGAGCTGGTTCATGTACGGACTTGAATGTGGTGGATACGTGGGTAACTCTTGGCCCATCGGAGGCCGAGGGACCATGCCTGAAAGCCCGGGAGGATTGGATGGGGAGAGTCCAGGAGGATGGGGTCTACCCAAAGGAGACATGGGCGCACCCGGGTGATGGTGAAGCACGCCATGACCGGGGCCATACTTGGACAGGACACTAGGTGAGGCTGATGATTGGGATAGAGGAAGAGACCGTGGTGAGATCTGGGACGCCTCTCCGCTGGCTGATTGAGAGCGTGGAGACGAGCTATGTGACCCCTGCTGGGAAGCGCGCCGGGCCTTGGAGGGCGTGGGAGCTTTGGAAGCCACAGGCGTTGTGGACTGAGGAAGTGAGGGTTGTTGATGCCCAGATGGTCCAGGCACGGGATGCAGGCTCGACGCTGATGCACGTTTAGCTTGTAGTTCACGCCTCTCCTGGTCCTCTTGTGCAGCTCGTTCCCTCTTCGCCTGCTCTTCTTGAGCTTTGCGCTCTCGGTCTTGTTTGGCCTTTTGCTCCTTCAATTCCCGCTCCTCGCGCTCTTTTCGTTTAGCTTCTTCCATTCGCTTCTTCTGTTCTTTCTGTTCGCGCTGCCTTCGCTCAGCCTCCTCCTGCTTCTCTCGTTCTTCTCGCAGTCGTTTGTGCTTTTCAGCTTCTTTCCGAGCGCGCTCCTCATCCTGGGCTTTTCGTTCGGCTTCCCGCTTCTTTCGCTGCTCCTCTTTCTTCTTTCGTTGCTCTTCAAGTTTTCGCTCTTGCTCAGCTTTAGCAGCAGCTTCTTCTGCAGCCTTCTCCGCCTCCTTTCGGGCCTTTTCTTCATCCTTGGCCTGCTTCGCTTGTCTCTTCTTGTCTTTGCGCTTTTGAGCCTCTCGAGCTTTCTTGGCGTTGCGCTGCTCGTCTCGGTTCTTCTCCTCCGCTAATTCTTCAATTAGCTTTTTCTGTCGCTGCTCTGCAACCTTTTCGCGATACGCTTGTAAGACCCGTTGTTCGAACATTCGAGCTGCGAAGATTTGGAACATCCGTCGGCCCTCCTCCATGCGCTGCTCTTCCGTCATGGCGTCCTATCACTTGTTAGTCGAAGTCCCGTTGCGAGTGAAGTATCTAAAGCAAACCATTTCATCTTCCTCGTACTCTTCCTCCTCCTGGCTATCGTAGTCTTCCTCCTCCTCCTCTTCATCATCATAATCCTCATCATCCAGCGGGCCATGGTTATGACCACTGTGGAGAGACTGATGTGCTGCAGCTATGCCATACTGTGTATCTTCCTCCCGTTGCATGCGACGCTCCGCCAGCTGCTCCATCATGTCGATGAAATGTTTTCCGTCATTTTTTAATAAATCATCTGCAACTGTGAGAATTCCATCTGAGTGTAAAGCAGAGACAGAACGCGAAATCAGCATCGAGTCCAACAAAGACAAAAAACGATATTTCAGGCGCCTTACCTTTGACAGTCAGACTATTCCCAAATGCGAAAAAGTCGGCTCGCGCAGCTCGTGTTTCATCGTCCTCATACTCCTCCTCATCACTATATGGCTCCTCATCCTCTTCATCTTCGTCGTAATCATCCTCCTCCTCTTCCTCTTCTTCCTCCTCCAGGTCCTCATCATCTTCCGCTAGCTCATGAATTCGACCTCGTGAAGGATGGAATTGCCCTTGTGTGTGGGTATGCTGACCGGGTGGCCGTAACGGTGGTTGATATAACCGGGGAGGAGGCATCATCGTAGGCCCGCGTTCAAATGTTCCTTGGGTGTTGTTGGCGTACTGTTCGAGCTCGTCGTAGTAGGCATCGTAAAGAACTTCAAGCTCTTCCTCGATTGCCGTCCGTTTCCTACCGCATACGGTACAGCTGCACGAATGTTTCTGTTGCTCCTTCATCTTCTTCAACACCGCATCCTTCTCCACCTTGACAAGCTGGCGCCGTTCCTCCTCGCCCAGTTCCAGCCAGAAGGTCTTGATATTTTCACGCTCTTCTTGTGTCGAGGTATTCCAGATGCTGCGCTCTTTCAATAGCTTCGAGGATTGAGGGCTGAAATGTGGAGGTAAAGGCGGCGGCAGTGCGTGCGATAGAGATACGGACGGAGTCGATAGCGGAGTCGAGCTTGCTTGTGACCCATTACGGGGCCTTTTGCCTCTTTTCTTCTTGGATTTCCGACTAGTTGTTGCTTGCGGGTCATCCAGGCCGTCGTATTCGGAGGGATGTGGGAGCTCTTGAGTATCGTGTCCATGGCCATTTAGAACCTCCTCGCTTGTGTTATCATCACCGGCAAAACCATGTTCATGCGATGCGTGGCTGCTAGGTACTGTCGAACCGGGGTCGTTTACGTCAACGGTGTCGCTAGGCGCAAGTCCGTTTTCCGCTTGACGTTCCGCAGCCAAACGCGCCGCCTTCTCTCTCCGCTTCTGCTTCTTGCGATTTACTGATGCTGGTTTCGAATCCGGCATCGGGGAGCCGCGGGAGTCGCTACGAGCTGAGTTTTCGCGGGTTGTAGAGGGTGTAGGCACCGTTACGGGCGTGTGACTGGACATTGTGGAAGTGAGAGCTGGGCCGCGCGTGGCGTGAGTAGGCAAGGGATCATATGTTCTTTTCGCAGGGAAAGGTGCAGACACCTCAACCTCCAAGGTTCTTAAAGCCCAACCACAGGAGGATCTGTTGGAGAAGGCGGAGCAAAGTGGTTAGAGACAACGAGGACAGCGAGGGCGGACGCAAGAGCCTCCCGGAGAAGGAAAGTTGAAAAATTTCGACGAGCTTACCAGCAAGTTCTCGACGGAGCCCGACGAGGAGAAATGAAATGGAAGAGTAAGTCGAAAGCAAAGCCCAGGGCTTGAACGCGCGATTGAAAGAAAAGCGGCCTCTCAAGTGGCTGGTGGGGAGCCAAGGTACAATGTCCCCAAGTGAGGGCGGAGAGAGGGGTGGAAATTGACCGGGCGGCTCGACAAAATGGGCGACGTCGAGGGAGGAGAGCAAGCGGCCCCTCAGTGTTAGGGGATGAGTACGTGAATAATGTGTTGTATACGTGAACTGCCTCAAACAGAGGGAGGATACCTATAATGACAAGATTGACGCCGGACGTTGGGCTCTGGATGGTTGCCCTGCCGCTGGCCGCAAAGGGATAGCCTGGATAGCCGCTATAAGCGAGCTCCAGGTTCATTTCTTATGCAACATGTGAATCCATGAACAAAGCTCTACTAGATTTAATGTAAGACAACTACAGCACGATGGGTGTAATATTGCCGTAAAATCACCATTTTTGGAGAGCAGATACACTCTGGATGGCATGAATCCTGCAAGGATCTACCCTACGACATTGGGAGCGGAGCAAGACACTACATTTGGCGATGAATCTACTTCACCAGCCAGCACCGGCAATTCCAACTTGCCCAAAATGCCAGACGGTGCCTGTCTGGGCGATCTGCATCAATTACGAGACAACCCCGACCGAGCTGAGAAGAGCCTGCGACTGGAGGCATTACTTGTGGTCGGACAGCCAACTGACACAAGTCTCAGGCAACCAGCACATATTGACCGTAAGACCAACCAGTGGAGAAGCAAGAAGTGTATGCCATTCACTGCTCTCCACAACCACTTTGATATTGCTTTTCTCTCGGGCTGCCCGAGGCCTCATTCCTGTAGATATTAATGCCCGAGTGAATTTATTACCCTGGCCCTGTCAGTGTATCAAAATAGAAGCAGGGACCTCCGAACTGAGACAAACCTCACACTTGAGCGCTGAAAGTGGGTATGGCGCTCCTCCCAAGCACTTTTAATAATAATAATAGCATCCTCAACAGCACTCAAGCATAATTATAAAGTTGATCTCTTTCCGCCTGGCATCCATTAATTGCACAGCCTTGGTTTACCCCCTCGTCTTACTCCGTCGACCCCGTCGACCGCCTTCCAGAACGCCATCGATTGCATCGCAGCGGTTACTAGTAATCTTAGGCTGTTAGCGAAAGCTGTTAAGGAGAGGGGACCGGCTGTCTTCAACTTCTCAGCTCGCCTGCTTTTCCCCTCTTCGCTCCTTCGACATTCCTCCAGCCCGCCGGATACCCTTAAATCTCCCCTTGAGACCGATCCGGCCATTCTGAGGGCTTCCGCCCGTTTTGGTTTCTGCCTTGTCGATTGCCTTTTCCGTCTGCGTTATCTTCAGAGCATTCGATTTCGAGTCCACTCCCCAACCCAACCCTGAAAATGGCCCAGCAACAGGACGACAATGTGATGCGAAGGTACAACTCCCTCGTTGCCCTCATAATCGTCGCACGTGGCTCTAATCGGCCGTTGGGCTGTCCTGGAATCGTGCTGACCCATCGCTTATGTAGGAAGTTGGTGATCATCGGAGATGGCGCCTGCGGTAAAACGAGTCTACTGAGTGTTTTCACATTGGGCTACTTTCCTACAGTGAGTACTAATTTGCTCTAAACTTGATGATCAGCCGCTAATTGATACCGTCCAGCATTATGTCCGTCGTCCTCTTTCCTGGTCAATATACCCCGTAACTAATGCAACTGCCAGGTCCCCACGGTATTCGAGAGCTACGTGACAGATTGCAGGGTTGACGGCCGGTCGGTTCAATTAGCATTATGGGATACAGCCGGTCAGGAGGATTATGAACGACTGCGCCCATTAGCATACTCGAAAGCCCATGTTATCCTGATCGGATTCGCCGTCGACACGCCAGATTCCCTCGAGAACGTTAAGATCAAGGTTCGTCGCCACCATTTATATACTCGAGCACCTATTATCACCGATACTAACTTATAATTACGTGCAGTGGATTGAAGAAGCAAATGAACGATGCCCCGGTGTACCAATTATCCTTGTTGGACTAAAAAAGGATCTCCGTGAGACCCCTGGGGCGATCGAGGAAATGAGAAAGAAGTCCCTCCGATTCGTATCGCCCAAAGAAGGAAACGAGACAGCGACACAGATTAAGGCCCGGAAATACCTCGAATGCTCCTCTCTCACCGGGGAGGGCGTAGACGACGTCTTCGAAGCTGCCACCCGTGCCGCCCTGCTCACCTTCGATAAGCGGAAATCATCATGCTGCATTGTGCTATGACAAATTTGTACGTTGATTGCCGTGCGGCACTCCGGGCAAACCCGAGATTGGACCCTTTTCTAGGCGCCTTTATATCTAGCGTCGGGCTGTGGTAGATTGGATTTGAAAATGGGGGATGTGTGGATAAACACTAGCTGATTTGATATATCTTGCATTTTTGGCGTCTGGCGGCTTTTGTTACTTGATATTCTTCTTTGTTTTATTCTTTTCTTTTCTTCTTCTCTTCGATTTTGTGTCAACAATCTTGTTATTCTGTCGTTTCATTCTTGATGCATGTTCAACGATGTCTTTTCCGGATACCCATACCGTTCCTTCATACCCTCTTGGTGGTTTTTTTTACATCACGGGCACTCCGAGTTCCCTCCTTCAGTTATCGTTGTATCTTCAGTTCCTCTTAGCTTCACGATATTCACTTTATTCAAAAGCGTCGACAGCTTCAAGTATCTAATATACAACCTAAGAGAACAACCCTCAACAATAGAATACAAAACCGACCAGGTATGTGGCCAACAACAAGTCCATCAATCACACGACACCCCCTCATTTCTTCGACTTGCGGTCAACCCTCTTCCACTCATGGTCCCATCCATCGCCAGGTCCCTCCGTCTGCAACCGCGTGTACTCAATCGGGAACATATCCTGGAAAATCCTTGTCTTGATCATACTCTTGCGGAACAACTTCCCGCCATCGCCTGCTCCAGTTCGCAGCTCCTCACACGCAGCGTTCATGGCCTGCCACTGGCGCTGCAGCTCAAGCTGGTGGTTGCGTCGGCGGGTTGCCTGGTACAGTTGCCAGGCGCGGTGGATCGTCCAGTGGCGCAGGAAGCGCGTTCGACTGAAGCGGAGAGGGCGCGGGGTTAGGGGGTGGTAGAGGAAGTAGCGGATTAGTGCTGGGATATACATTAGCAAACCGTAACATAAACGGTGCCTGGTTTTCAGAGCGCGTTGGCCTTGGTACTGCGGATGGAAAACATACTAATTCTCCGATCAACATATTGAGGCTTCCGTCTAAGGAGCGCAGCCGTTGTAGAAAATGGAGCTCTGGATTGCAAGCTTCCAGATGGCGTCGAAGGCTTGCTTGAATTCGAGATCTGCTGGTTGACAAGAGGAATCGTTGGGCGGAGGGTGGATTGTGAAAGGGGGATTTTGAAGACATTTGCCAGGGAGGCAAGCACCGGCGACACTGATAGAGGACGCATTGTGGATCAATTGACTTGTTTTAGCTTTTCGTCAATTGATGCGGGGTTGAGTTGGTCGCTGAGGTGTTGAGGGTCGTGTGGTATGGATGCGTTCGATGGATTATTATCGGGGAGACTTTTTCGGGTGGGAGTTCGGTAGGCGCGCGCTAAGTTAAGCGCCACTCTGCCAAGGGAAATATAGATACTACACCTAGTACAGGACAACAATTAAAATTACCCCCAGTATTGCTATTTTCCGAGTGATATTTTACGTATATTTGTTGTGAGATTTGCTTGTTTTAATTGTACACACTTGAATTATAGTCGTGTCACAATCTGATCGCCTCCAGCATATTAATAATATGGCTAGCCAATTCATCTCCAAAACGCCTAGAATGCATCGTCACGAGTTCGTAAAAGGTAGGAAACCCCGACCCAAGGGGAAAGGTTATCTGGTAACCTTTTTCTTTGACCGATCGTAATTCTGCACTTTACGACGCCTATGCGATTGGGCTAGTTTCCAACGACAGTAAAGAACCAACGCGTCCTTGAGAAGGACAAATACGCAGCCCCCAATAACGCTTCGGCCCCATCTAGTCTGTAGGAGGCCTGGTCGTCCTCGTTCCAAAGCCGATGTCGTAGTCCATGACTTTGGCAAGACGTATTTGAGGAGCCCTCCCATTGAAGCTGAAATAGCTGGGAACGCGAGCGCTCCAAGGACAATGTCTGCGAGGCTGCTTGTATCGCTGACGATGTTGTGTCCATTTATCCCGGCGCCTTGGTTCTGTCCTTGGTCCTGTTGTTGCTGTCGGTTTCCCAGACCAAGTAAATCCTGCGGTTCTTCACCCGCCATTCCAACTTGAAATTCCAGATCAAACTCCATCAAAACCCCGTCATCTTCCTCTTGCTCCGGTTCCGGGTGTTCCGGCGGTGCATTGTCGTCAAATTCGTTGATATCGGACTGCCTTGGCTGTACCTCGGCAATCCACTTCCGTTCCCACTTGCCAAACAATCTTTCGTAGAGGGCGCCATAGAAACTCTTGATATACGGGAGAGCCGCAAAAGTCACGGCAGCACTCGGTGGCCAGAGGTCAATATCCGGCTCCTGTCCCGGATTATGCGTTGCGAAAAATAGGACGGGAATGGCAGGGAGGAGACCCTCTGCGTAGCGGGTGCGAGAAAAGATCAGTACCAAGGGAATCAGCGGCAGTCCAAGATTCAGGCTGGAGTTCCAAGTGCCTTCCGCCGCTTCTTCTAGGATCTGCTTCGCCTCATCTGTCCCGAAGACGAAGTACATCGAGTATACTCCATGCGCACAGCAACCAGCCCAGACAGTACCCGCCAGTGTAAACACCATCCCCGGAACCACCAGTCGGCCGGCTACTCGCTCAACGAGCCGCACGACATCCACAATATAGCTTCGGGGGCGGGTGACAATGATCTCGGTCTTGCACTGCGGGCATACCATCTTCGCATGTCGGCCGGTGCGTCTGCGGGCACGAGGGTTCTCAAGGTCGGCAAGCCAATCGAGAAGGCAGACCTCGTGCGCTGTTAAAGCACATGGGCAAGGAGATCGCCATTCCGAATTCAGTGGAGTATCTTCTGTTTCGTCGGTGTAACAAATCCAGCACTTCCGGGGCTCGTCGGCGATCTGTGGTGTGCTCGCAGGGCGAGAGATCACTTTCACGTCGGATTTTCCAATTTCTTCTGATACATTTTTGTTGAAGACTACAGTTTCATCTTCTTCTGTTAATTCGGTTGAAGGGTTCGGCGTGGCGTGTTGGTCAGGCTGCGATGATGAGGAGGCGGGAGGAGAAGTAGTATCAGAGGATCGCGTTCGGCCAAAAGCCGAGAAGCTCGGAAGTGATGCCATTATCGGAGGCTGAAGAGATGCGAGATGCTTAATATCGAATGACCCTGGTTAGAGAACCGACAAGACACGCAGCATCCTGCAGCAGGATGAGAGGTTCTGCTGCCTTACGTATCTGGGGGTGAAGGCAAACAAAGTAATGACGGAAGAAGATCCGAGAGAAAGGTTAAGTTGAGAGGGAAGGGAAAAGTCGGGTTCCGCGGGTACCACTAATCACAAAAAGCTGCTGCCTTTAAGCGCGGAAGCTAGCACAAACAGAAATAAAGTGACTGGAAACTGGAAGTCAATAAATTGAGTCACATAGGCCCTATGGCTCTTCGGATGCAAACAACGGCTTTCACGACAGCATCACGTGAGCCGCGGGGCGATGGCGTCTTTGCCGCCAAAAAAGCATCATATGTTAGCATGATTGCTAGCCTCAAGAAAGGCATCTATAAACTACCTCTTACTTTACTGTTGAAATATATAGAGGAGTTATACCTTGCAATAGAATCCTATTGAATGCCTTTTGATTTCCAAGGTGCGAATACTCGCAGCAAATCCTATCACAAAACTAACAATTATATACAAGGCGGAACCGAGGTAAACTTTTCGGCGGCCGGAGCGCAATCAACATGCCAAATGCGAGAAATTCGAGAAGTATACGGATGAACTGGGCAATTAAAACTCTGCGACGTCGAAAGGAAGTAACTTAGCAAGACAACCAACTTCAGGGCCACCTTTGAATATTGAAGGACCCTCCTTCCCAGTAGACCGGATAAACTGATATTGTCATGAGGCACAGAAACTTCAGGGATTGCTAGCATTTTCGACCCCGCTAGCATTTTTAAAAGGATGATGCTAGGCCTCGCTAGCGTTTGAGAACCCGCCAGAAACGCCGTGGATATCAACAAATGATTGCAGGTCTTCTTTTTTGGTAGTTAATGACTCAATAGTTGACTAAGGAATCATAATGGGCATTGCCAAAATGGTCTAAACGCCATTGGGATTCCTCTTCTTCATTAAAGCCCTTCTTTCACGGTCCTTGGCTGTTGTGAAAATAAACATTAGCAACAATTTTCTCCATATTTCCGGATACGTGAACTTACCTTCGTCAAAGACGAGGAACTCATGGAGGCCACTACCACCAGGAACCATGGGCAACACGGGCACCTTCTTGTCGGTAAACACCTCGAGCAGGGCGGGGCCATCGCTCTCAATCAACCACTTCAGCTTGGCCTCCACGTCTGCAGGCGAGGTACAACGGTCCGCAGAGACACCCATAGACTCAGCAAGGCGCACAAAGTCGGGGTTCTTCTGGTGTGTGTGAGAGTAGCGGTCTTCGTAGAAAAGATTTTGCCATTGAGTGACCATGCCCTGCTCTTCGTTGTTCAAGAGGAGAACCTTGATGCCGATATTGAACTGGGCCGCGGTGGTGAGTTCGGTGAGGGTCATGTTGAAGGATGCATCGCCGTCAATGTCAATAACAAGGCAGTCAGGACGGGCAACCTTGGCGCCGATGGCAGCAGGAAGACCGTAACCCATAGTACCAAGACCACCGGAGGTGATCATGGAGCGAGGTCGACGCCAGCGGAAGTGCTGAGCGGCCCACATTTGGTGCTGACCAACGCCAGTGGTGATAATGGTACGGTCCTTCATATGAGCAGTCAAATCGCTGAGCTTTTCAATTAGAGCTTGGGGCTTGATGGCGCCCTCGGGGGTCTGTTTCTCGTAGAGCGAGAGAGGGAACCGAGACTTCCAGTCGTTGATCTGGGCAAACCACTCTGGGCGCTCGGGAACGGCTTGGACGAGAGGAAGAAGCTGACGGATATTCTCCGCGCAGTCACCCTCAACAGCTTCGTTGGCCTGAACCACCTTGTTGATGTTCTTGGGCATGATCTCAAAGTGGACGATACCGCCACGGTTCTCCGAGGCGGCGAGCTTGGCCTGGGGAGCAAATTTGGCAATGCTGCCGGTCACACGATCGTCAAACCGGGCACCAATGGCAATGATCAAGTCGGCTTCCTGCATGGCCAAGTTGGCATAGGCGGAGCCGTGCATACCAAGCATGTGCAGCGCCTTGGGGTCCGTCTCATCAAACCCACCTAGACCCTGCAGGGTGGTGGTAACAGGAATGTTGGCCTTGTCGGAGAGCTCCTTCAGAAGCTTGGGTCCGTCAGGTTGAGCAAGGATACCCTGACCGACATAAAGAACGGGCTTCTTGGAAACATTGACGAGGCGAGCCACGCGGTTGATGGTGCCTTGGAGCTGCTTCTCGCTCAATTCCTTGGCTGCCATAGTCGCAGCGCTGGGGCGGGATGGAAGGGTGCTCTGCATTGGGATGGGTTTACGAAGAATACCAGCGGTGATATCTTTAGGAAGGTCGACGAGGACGGGGCCAGGGCGACCGCTGGTTGCAATTTCGAAAGCCTCTTGGATACGACGGGGAAGTTCGGCGACAGATTTGACCATAACGTTCCATTTGGTGCAGGCCCGGGAAATGCCAACGACATCAGCTTCTTGGAAAGAGTCGGTACCAATGGAGGTCGTAACGACCTGACCACAGAAGACAACCATTGGGGTACCATCAGAGAGGGCGTCCTGCATGGGGGTAATAACGTTGGTAGCACCGGGGCCAGAGGTGACAAGGACGACTCCAGGGTTTCCGGAAGCTCGAGCATATCCCTCCGCCATGTGGCCGGCACCTTGTTCATGTCGAGGGAGGACGAAGTCGAAGTGCTTGGAGTTGTAGATTGCGTCAAAGACAGGGAGAATGGCACCTCCAGGGTAACCAACTGTTGAGGATTAGAGTCAACATACAATCCATGTCTAATCAAGGAAACCGAGTAATGACTCACAAACATGCTTTACTCCCAGTCTCAGCATCATTTCGTGAAAAATCTCACCACCGCTAAGTCCGACAAATCTACCAGAAAAACATATTAGCTCAATTTATACGGCTTTAAAGAACCATTGTTGGTGCTGCCATACGAATCGTCGAGCTCGGCAACCTTTCGATTTTGAAGAGGAGAAACCTCATTGCGGCTAGGTTCTTGGTTGAAGGCAGGGCTGGGTTGCGGTCGAGTAGTTCTAAGATTGAAATTAATGTTAATAAGAGCCAATTATCAAAATAAAGTTGTCGAGAGCGTGTAAAAGTCATGGGGATACCCACGATGCAGTAGCCGTAGCTGTACTCTGGTCGCGCTTCTGAGTCGAAAAGCGGTGGGGCGTCGTAACCGCAGAAGAAGCAAATGTTCTTCTTCCAGAGGCAAGATATCTCTGGTAATGCAAAGTGCGCAGGGCACTTTTCGATGGTCTTAGAGGCATCATCGTTGCTGGGATGATTGCCAGGCCAAGCGGAGGGGAGAAATGGGAAGCTTAAGGAAAAATGAGTCGTCCGCAAGTGTGAGTAACAAAGTCCCTTAAAGCCGGCGAGAGGAATTGGACTGGCCGCTGAAGACTCACTCGACAACGTTCCCCGACTCGGCGGCCGTTCAGGAAACCCTAGCCGTATTTGGGTTAGTTTAACATTGGTCAAATAATGTATGCTTGCTAATTGGCTCCCGCATCGCCACCGCTCCGATCATCGGCCTTATTTTCACGCCTGAACTTTTAGGCATCATCCCACCGTCGACTGAGTACCTAGGCTAATTCACATGGTTGGAATCCTTTTCATCTAGCGCAAGTTCATCATCTTAACACCCAGATATGCGCCATCGCATGGTCTGATGGCTGATCTGGTGGCTCAAGTCGCCATGTTCAGAGCCCTGATCCTTAGTTCATGGTCAATCCATGGATACGAGGTACAGCGGACCACATTCCTTCTTCCCCAGCCACACAAATCACCCGTGAGAGTGCGAGGACTGTGTTGGCTCATTGAGCAGGTTGGAGGTTCAAGCCTGGTACTTGGAGGCGGAGATTCTCAAGGGTGTATATTATTATATACAAGACAGTAGTTGAAATGCTCTGCAAGTACGGGGTAATATGCAAATAATTGTGTGATCGCGTGGTGGGTTTCGACCTCGAGTATATAAGCCAAACAGCTGCGTGGGATCGGGTAATTACCACCCACTTGGTTTATTCTCGATCAATCACCAGCAGATCCAGCTGGAAAGGACCTCTGACCGGGATCAATTGTGCCGAAGCGAGTCGGGAAGATGCGACTCGGACCGTGAATAACCTTCGGTGAAGTGGTAGAATGGCGGGAGTACTACGGTAGCAGCGGGAGTCCATCCCATCGCGGCCTCCAGAGTCCCCGCAATCAGGATAATTTTAATTAAAACACGGTAAATTTACACCGGAGCCCCTCGATGAGGTCACAGGCACACTGCTTTTTCTTCTCTCTTTCCTCTGCATTGTTCTCTTCTTCTCTGTATTACTTTTGGGATTCCCTTCTACGACCCTACCCAGGTAACTGAACCTCTCACTACCCCGCCATGGCCACCCCGCAGGAGCTTGTCCCCCAAACGGAATCTATCGCTGAGGTCTATGCCACCGACGATGCCTCTGCTACAACTGCCTCCCCAGAGCACTTGAAGCGCTTCAACGGCCTGGTCTCCCAGTTCAACAAGGTCTACAGCCACCGGCCCGATTTCGTCGCGCGGAGCCCTGGTCGCGTGAACATCATTGGAGAGCACATCGACTACAACTTATACGACGTCCTTCCCACAGCCGTGAGTGTTGACGTGATCATTGCTGTCAAGGTCGTCCCCTCTGCTGGCTCAGAATCCACTGTGAAAATCGCCAATGTTGTGCCGGACAAGTTTCCGTCTCGGGAGTTCATTGTACCCAAGGATACGGACATGGAAATCGACCCCAAGAAGCATGAGTGGGTGAATTACTTCAAGGCCGGACTTGTCGGCGCGCTCAAGGTTCTGCGCAAGGGTGGTTCCTTTGCTCCAGCTAGTATGGAGGTGCTTGTGGACGGAAATGTGCCTCCTGGTGGTGGTATCTCCAGCAGCGCGGCTTTCGTATGCTCTAGTGCGCTCGCTGTTATGAAGGCCAACAACCACGATGTGTCCAAGCAGGATTTGCTTGACCTGGCTGTCGTCTCTGAGCGTGCTGTCGGTGTATACTCTGGAGGGTAAGTCACTCAACTTTCGCCTCCTATGCAATCCTATCAACTAACCCACTTACGTGGTTAGCATGGACCAAGCTGCTTCCATCTTCTCTCGCCGCGGATACCTCCTCTACACACAGTTCTTCCCCAACTTCTCCGCGCAGCACGTTCCAATCCCCAAGGCCTCCGAAGAAATCACTTTCCTTATGGCCCAGAGTTTCGTCACTTCTAACAAAGCTGATACTGCTCCCCGTCACTACAACCTCCGCGTTGCTGAATGTACACTGGCCGCCGTCGTTCTCGCCAAAGCCAACGGCATCCACCTCCCCAAGGACAACAGCTCTCTCGGGTACAGCCTCCGCAACTTCCACAATGAGCTCATGCGGAAAGAGGGCCGCCTCGGCGACCCCCTCGAGTATCAGATCGACTCTGTAATCCAGGCCACTCTTGACCTCCTCACCCAGGAACAGGGCTACACACGCGAGGAAATCGCGCAGCTCCTATCCATCTCCGTCCCCGAACTCGAATCCACATACCTCTCTTCCTTCCCCGTCCAAGCAGAGCGCTTTCTTCTCCGCCAGCGCGCCCTGCACTGCTTCAAGGAAGCCCGCCGGGTCCTAGACTTCAAGGCCTGCCTCGCAAACCACTCAACTCTAGACGACAAGCGCATCCACTACCTCGGACAGCTTCTCAACGAGTCGCAAGACTCGTGTCGTGAAGTCTACGACTGCTCCGCTCCCCAGGTCGATGAGATCTGCGCCATTGCACGCAACGCAGGAACGTGGGGAAGTCGGTTGACAGGAGCCGGGTGGGGAGGATGTACCGTTCATATGCTGCCACAGTCAAAGGTTGAGGCTGTAACGAAGGCATTGAAGGAAGGCTATTATTTGAAGCATTTCCCCGATATCAGTGAGGAGAAGCTGAAGGAGGCAATGGTTATTTCCAAGCCATCTAATGGGTCATTTATGTATGTGCCCGCTCCGCTAACAAGATTCTTGAATAAGCTTGAGAGCCGTACTAACTTGTCTGCAGGATTACTGGAGCGGCGATTTCAGAGGTTGAAGTTTAAGTATAACGAAATGATGAGAATGGAAAGGATAAGGATATTTTATTTGACTTGCTATGTAGTCTTCAATAATATGATGATCTAGCGGTGTCTATCCAGTTATTACTAACCCTAACCGCAGTGTCTCTCGCGAGGTACATTGTACCTCGTACCTATACACTAAGATAATTTGTATAGGTGCGTTTCGGATTTTTCGACGACATTTTAGTCGTATGTATGTGGTTTGGCTGAAATTGCACCACAAACGGCAACCCCTCACGCGGCCTATTTATTGCCATTTCTGGCCAGCGAACGGAAAATTGGGCCGCAATCTGGCATAGGCTTTGTAGTCTATATCTTTTCAAATTAGGCCGGCGCGTTGACTTCCTGGCCAGGGTGCTGGTGGAGGTTCCCCAGTACCAGCGGATATACACCCGCGATGCACCGCTGGTATCTCGATCTTTCAGAGAAATTAGCGGCAGGCAGTTTATGACTTTTTCTTGGCCGCGGCCTTTCCAAAGAAGTCACTCATCTTCTTCATTCCGCTTGTGTTGACCTTCTTCAATTCCCTAACGCCCCTCGACTCGGCAGCCTTCTTTTTCTTCTCTTCCTCTTCCAACCGGCGTTTCTTTTCCGCGCGCGACTCCGCAGCATCGTCATCCTCCGCATTGCGCTTGCGGCTGAAGTCCCCAAGGGATCGGGAGGCCAGTGCTTCGGCGCGAAGGTCCGCCAGGCACTTGAGGTGGTCATTTAATGGTTTAAAATCAATCGGAGTGTCCGGCGCCGACATCAGCTCGTCAAGCTTGATACAGAGATCTGAGTTGATGTAAGACGATTTGAGGAAAGTCAGAGCGGTGGAGAGTCTTTGAAGGCGGACTATTGACTCCGGGCAATTTTGCTGCTCTGGGAGTTCTTCCTCGGTGGGTGCTGGGGTCATCTCGCTTGCGGGTGTTGCAGAATCCGAAGCTGAGCTAGCTGATGTATCCGTAGTTGTTTCAGTAGATTGCGTGTCCTTGGCTTCTTGGGATTCAGCTTCATTCTCGTTCTCTTTAGGTGGTGTTGAAGACTTGGCGACGTCGGTCCTCGTAACAGCCACCAAGGGCGCTGCTAAGGCCTGCTTGACGAATCGTTCCTCTAAACTTTTGGGCAAACCCTGCGCGGCCATTCGCTCCGCCTTCGCGATTAATTCCTGGAGGAGCTTGGTTTCGTTCACTCGGAACATCTTCTCGTCGCCTGCTTCAACCGAATCGCACACAGCCTCTACTCGGCGGAGTAGTGTATCTCTATAGGTGGCATTATACAAAATGTACCTTAAATGTTTGGGTAATTCTTGAGAGTCGATAATATCATCCAATGGTTGAAACAGTCTTTTCCCTTCATCTGACGAGCGAGAAGAGTAGAGAAGGGGAATCACAAAGAATAAAATGTCAATTGGCGTGGCGACTAAGAGCTCGGCCGTTTTAGAGATTGTTCCCTGGGATTTCTGGTCTTTATCCTCACTGGTGTAGAGTATACTCCGTGGGAATTGCGACCTGACAACGGTGAACTCGTATACTCCAAGTTTCGGACAGAAGAAGTAGCGAGTAGGGTCTCCTGACTGTGGGTTGGGTAGCGTGACGAATCTGGCGTTCGGACTGGCAGCAGAAGGGAGGATGAGGGTTTTGCTGGGTTTCATGGTGGTCTTCGCGGGTTCAGGCTGGGATTGTTGGTCAGAAGACGACAATTGCGTCGGAGGAGGGGCGGATCGAGTTCGCATTTTGGGGAGGCCTCGAAATTGACAGTCACAACTGTCGGTGTCTAGTTATTCAAAACTTCGAGTGCTTTCATGAGTGGTCGCGATATGGGGATAGTCAGGACGACGCGTCTCCTCCGTTTCGGCGTGACGCGCGCGTCTGCGGCAGATCAACTGCCAAGCCTCCATCACCTTCTTGATCATATTGATTGCTGCATTTGCCCAACCTTCAAAAATATTATGATTGTGGACAGAGACAAAGTCTTTGTGCTTTAATCCGACCTCGATTGGCCCTAACCATTCCAGTATCATTGTCTGTGCCAAAGAGGAAGTCACTCCTTCATTTACGCGACTTCCCACACCGTCCTTTCCCCGCAAACCTTGTGATCTGGATATGGCGAAGACGCCATTAAGACGCCGAATAAAGGGAGGAAACGAATAGCGACACGATCACAATTGTGCCGCTTTTCTGCCGTATTTGTTTTTTTTTTTTTTTTTTCAAATAGGAAGCGGGGGTTTGTAGGGCCACCAGTGAGTTCCGGACCCCGAAAGGATTGACAAAATTAACTAACAATGGGATCATCATTTAGTGGTTGAGACCTCGTGGCCACCGAAATCCCCGAGGGAGGCCCTTCTTAGCTCCCCTAGCGGACGACGGAGATACGAAGAGATGCAACGCCGTCGGGATAATCTAACATCACCCTTGAAACATGCAACTGCAACGCCCAATCTGCGGGCAACAACGAAAGCGACACAACTATTGAGGGACGGATTGGACGAAGGCGAGGGCGAAGATGAGGATACGGAAGAGGATGAAGAAACGTTACATCTGAAACTAGCTGCCATTGAAGCACGACTCAAGCTGAAGCAGCTACAGAAGGGTCGGGGGAGAGCAGGCACTCCAACCCCAGACCGCCATGGGAATGTGGAAGCACTGCATAGACCTGCGTCGGCCGTAAGCTTTTCGTCGCGTGCCTTGGACCAACCTGCCCAAAGTAGGACCTCGCGCGAGCCAGGTCGCTGGGATCACTCCGACGATGTCCAAGTACCGATGTCACCAACCCGGCGCCTTGCACCGCCATTGGAGCCCACATCCCCCGGGAGGTATAGGCTTGGTATTGACAAAGGTCTTAAGGGTAGTGACGTGTCACTGAGACGCCCACCAAGCTCAAAAGAGTCCGATGCACGGTCCAATAGCAGACTCGGTAGCCGTGATGGGCCAATATCCCATTTGCGAAATACGTTGGTGCCCCAGCCACATTCGTTTGACGAGACGCGAAGCAAAAGCTTCAGTGAGCGAATGGCCGAAGGCCGTGCGGCTGAGAAATCTCGTAGGGAACGAGATGCACGAGCCGAGAGGATAAAAGCCGGCCGAAGCTCGGCATTTCAATACGACAAAACTGAGATGGAAGCGTTCAAGACAGCTGCTGCGGAAAGGCGGCCTGAATCTCCTTCTAAGCTTCTGACAAGGCACGGGCGCGTTGATAGTTTTAGTCGAGAAGATGTTATGAGATCGGCCAACAATCTCAAACCCTCCCTGAAGAGAAGCCAGACGACCCCCACTCTGCGAAGGGGCGAAGAATCCGAGTCGAGATCGTATCTACATCGACGTGGCCAGAAGTCAGAGGCCCAGTCATTTTCTTCCCAGCCTGGGAGCTCACGACAAAACAGCTTTACAGACGATGCTTCTAACGAAACCGAGAGGGCGTTGGAAAAGGCGCCTGATGCATCAAAATTCGAGCCGTTTTCTGCGCTTCACCTTTCAAATCGTATCCTGCCGCACTCATTCTTGAACCGAACCCTTGAAGATAAGAAGGCTCTTCGCATACCAGATCTCCTTCGGATGATCAAAGGCCCACCATTTGAGCTGCCAGACAATATCGATGGGGATTACGTCGTATTTGGCATAATAGCCTCGAAATCTGATCCGAAGCAAGTGAAAGAGGCTAAGAACGTCACTGCACAAGCAGTTGACCCATTCGATGATGGATTGAACAACAGAAACCAATACATGGTCGTCACTCTTACCGACTTGAAATGGACTATTGACCTCTTCCTATTTGATACTGCTTTCCCCCGGTATTACAGGCTGTCGGAAGGGACTGTGATCGCGATCCTAAACCCAACGATACTCCCACCACCTAAAGACAAGATAGATACCAACCGGTTTAGTCTCTGCATATCTTCTTCCGATGACAAAGTCCTCGAGGTTGGGTCTGCACGGGATATCGGATACTGCAAAGCTGTCAGGAAGGACGGTAAAACCTGCCAGTCTTGGGTAGATGGCCGAAAAACCGAATTCTGCGACTTTCACGTTGACCTCCAATTTCGTCGCGCACAAGCAGGCCGAATGGGAGTGAACAACGGAACAGGCATATTTGGTCCCGGAGGCCGCTCTGGATCACGCACCGGGTTTTACGGAGGACCCAAGCGATCCACACAACAAAAGGCCCCTGGGGGGCTACTTCGGGCAGATGGCGCAAAGTATGACCGCGAGACTCAGTCCTTATACTATGTGACACCCGGATTCAAACCACGAAACAATACTGGCAATTCCTTCCAGCATCTGCGCCCTGGTCAGTCCGCAGCCAGCCTCATTGACGCCGACGTGGACGACCCATTTATCGCGGCCGGTAAGATGGGCCGCGGCACGGAAAACAAGGAAGAACGCTTCCGTCGCCGTCTCGTGGAACAACAACGGGAAAGAGAGATCACACAGAAGATCACCTCATCCCGTGCTGGTGGAGTCGCTGGGGAATATCTCCGAGCCCAAAATAACGAAAATACTCCAACCACCAACAAGGCCTCGTCCCGATCAGGAGCTCAGCATACGAGATCAGGCTCCAGCGACCCAACGCTACCGTCGACCTCACTGGCTGGCGACAAGTCGCTCAGTATGAGCTTCAAACGAGCAGAAGCGGTAAGGCTGAGCCCTAGAAAGCGTGCACACGACGGCGACAGGCCGCACGGAAGCGGTATTAAGAAGACGCGCTTCATAACCTCCAAAGGTATCAAAGAGGCTGGAAGGGACAGCCTGGGGGGCAATCCTGATGCCATACCGCAGACGGATGATTTCGACGACGACGACGACGACGAACTCGAGATTGTTTAACCCACAATCTATCTCCATGTGCCAATTCATGAGCATCACCAAATGTTGGATCTATCTTGAATTGAGAGCCAAAGCATTTTTATAGCGACTCTCTGCGATACCCATCACACGCGAAACAGTTCTCTTTTCTACATATAAATCAATGAATATCAATTATACTCACCCTCGACCACAATCGTTTCCCCTTACATGCTCACGCCTTTTCAAATGAACGCCAAAAACCGGATTAATGACTGATTGAACGCACGGCTCATCGACATAGAAGTTGGATATCAGGTATTTGCATGTCGTGGAGGTCCTCGAGAGAAGGAGCAAACAAGAGGAACGAAACAAACTCTTACGCTGTTACGCTGTTACGAACCCAAATGGTCTCTTCCATTCAAAAAGAAAGGAGCATAATTGTTGGAGTTACTGATAGTTATGTTGATTGATGATTGCATCTATTTTCTCCTGCGCCTCTGCATCATTATATTCTACTCTGTTAAACGCTAGTTTCCGCTTGGAATCAACGCATCGAAGCTTCTGGCTGCGCTATGGAGTGTCTCTGGTAGACCCGATATGAACAATTGAAGTTGCATGTCATTTCATCATTCCCAGGTTGTAGGCAGAGGCTCCTGTGAGTATTTTTGGTCGTATATCCAGTGAAAGAGCAGCCGGTATCCATTTTAGGATATCACCTCACTGTGCTGGACTTAAAGGGTCTACTAGGAATTCTTTATTTTTCCAAGCATCCATACAACGTAGACGTCTCCAGCTTCCACCAGTACTACACTCTTGACTCAAGGCTAATCAGAAGCACAAAGTGCGTTTGCCGTGGAAATCAGTTGGGGAATCGTCATAATGGAGATGAACAGGCTGGCAAGGATTGAAAGGAGAAATAGAGGAATGCATGGTTTCTTTCCTCTTGGGGACTGCATGAGGGGCCCCGCGGACCTTCAAGTTATCAACTTTACCTATATTATAATCTCTAATCTACTCTTTGATAGTGATCTAAAGCAGGAATACGTACGACTGCTGATCCTTGGGAGATATTAGACCCAACATAATCTATGAAGGGATGAACAGAAGTACTTTGAATGTAATTAGAAACAAGAACATTACATTGTCAAATCATTTAGTCGGTTCATACGTCCAAGTCTGGCATAACCTCGGATTCTGTAGTCCATTCACAAATAGCACCCAGATGGCTACGCCGATGGCGGCCGTCCATCCCCAACAGGGATACTGGCGTTATAATTGCCGAAACAAGCCTCCTGGTACGCCGCCTGTTCGGTAAGCTTGGGAACTTCCCCGAGGAAACTCTTCAAAGGGCAGAACCCATTAACGGAGCCATCGCAAGCCGAGAGACCGTCCAGCGGAAGGGGGGCATTGTTCAGCACAAAACGGATATATTGCTGCATATCAGACTCGGAAGAAAGATCCGGGTTCTTGTACTTCTGTGCCTGGAGATCATGGAACGAGGTATCCTTAGGGCAGGTCCAGATCTCGGAAACCAGACGGGCTCCAAAGGGTGTTAACTCGTTTAGTTTGAAATGGCGCTCAGGGGCATGCGAGACGGTAGAAGGCATGCCCTGTGGGCTATACTTGAAGTAGTCCAGACCTAGTGCCGCAAGAACGGAGACGATGACATCGTCGTGTGACATGTCCATGAAGAGAGGCTGGTTGAGTGGAAATGTATCTTTGTTACCATCGTACGTGGAGTTGATGCTGCTCTCGCTGGTGTCGATTAGTTTATTCTGCAGCCGCGCCGCCAACTCCTGCACATAGCCAATACCCTGCGCACGGCCGCTGGGAGAGCCAAGGCCGTACATGTCGTAGAATTGGAGGTCTATGAAGTATTCAAAGTCGCGCCATTCTTGCTCCGTGAATAGAGTGCAGAAGGACGAACTGCCTAGCGCGGCATACTCGTATGGACACATATTGAACATGCCGAGCAATTCTAGCGCAGCGGTTTGTTTGTCCCTCGAAAAAAAATCACCCGGCAGGTAGGCAGCGAAGCGTTCAGCGGCATTCTTGACCATTGCCGGGAGGAATTCAGCAGCTCTGTCCTCACCCTCGTCTAGGCCCTTTCCACACGCACTTGTTGGCGAGAGGGTGTTGTTGAAGCCGTCCTTTTCGGGAGTGAGGACGAGGTCATACTGCGCATACGAGCTGTTACCTCCAGTATTGGCGAAGAAGCCACTTGACCACCAGCGCGCACTCTCCAGGATGCGAGGATAATCGGTAGTGCGAAACTTGGGCTTCGGACGCGGCGTACCGTCCGGGAACACATTCAACTGCGCATCCCAGTTCGCCTCGCCCGCAGAGGCCCCATACAGCAACCGGCCATACTGGCTCCAGAACCTCGCGCCAGAGGCTGCCTCAGTCGCAGCGCCGCTGGGGAGCAGGTCCTCCAAACCCAGCAAGTAATCCCAGTCATTTAAGAAGGCAAGCGGGCCGGTGCCGATTTTGGTATGGGGATGCTTCTTCGAGGCATTCTTCAGCGCAGATACAAACAGCTCCATGGATCCTCCATCCAGAGGATAGTCCGTCGCGTATCGTTGCGCATGGCGGTGCAGGATGTGCACCTGGGACAGCTCGCACCCTACAGGGGAGCCACCTGGTATACTGAAGTCAGGTGCATCTGCATATGGGCTGAGATTTCCCCAGCTTTTTGTCATGTCAAAGCCAGACGGATAAGAAGTTCCTGTTGGAGCGGCGGCTGCTGAGCTTGAACTTGGAACCGCAGAAGTGCTGGAAGCACCGGGTATGGCGGCACTGCCTCCCACAAGGGAGAGCAGTGCGATTGCAGAGCCAGTCAGAGTTGCCGGGGCCATTGGGGAAGTAAAGGGAGGTTAGATAGTTGAGTGAAAACAAGCTGCTGCGAGCGTGGAACTGTGGATTGGCTTTAGATTATATACACAGTCCACGCGACCCCTTTACGTTTTCTGGCGAGTTTCGGGGCCTCGAGCTGGGAGCCCTGTCGATGTCTGCTCTGTACGATCAACGGTGAATTCCGTAGACCTGGCAGCGCAACGCGCTCCACATGGATAAAGGCCTTCCATCGCTAGGCTGCGGGGTTCTACCTGATAACGTTGTCCATTGGGCGAAAATATCCAGGTTGCTGCTTTCGCTGCATTGGAGTGCACGCCGTCGGATGTAACACTGGAAATGAGCGATCGGCGTGCCGCAGCGACAGCAAGTCAACCTCCAATTAATGGGAGCTTACTTAGTCCTCTTCGGGCAGGCAAAATGCTTCACCTGTCGACCTGGGTTGAGATCCGCAGCGCGTACTTTATTCTTCTTGCGCCGGTGTCCACTAGTACCACGCTTCTCCAAAGCTTAGTCCATGGCCAAGCGAGGTGCGGGTGCGGATGTGTGGATCTGCAGATGTGAAAGGTACGTAGAATGTATTAGGCTGTATTGACATTTTATCATTCTTTGGTTGTCTACCTAGTAACATGACACGCTATGGAATAAGCAACTCGGAAACAACAAAACAACATAACATCCATGGTTCCAGTGGTTCCTGGCCCTGGTCCTGGTCCATTCCATTCCATTCCATTCCCGTTCCTGTTCCCGTTCCAGCTCCAATTTCAATTTCAATTTCGCTTGTCTCAAATGAACAATGCACTCCCCGTACTAACCGAATAAACGCAAAGTAAACTGGACGCGGCTGGATGCATTAAGGAGCCGTGATAAACGAAAGAACAAATGGCATCCTAAGAGAAATAAAAGTGAAGAGACGAGTCATAAGTTTCCGAACTCCGGCAATGGTATCACAAAAATCGATAAACTTTCTCTGTAACAACTTCATAATAATCGCGGGTATAGTTGTGGCATCACGATGAAGAAACGGCAGCTCGATTTCCCCGGGTTTTTTTGGGGGCAGGCCCACTAGGGTTGCCTACAGTATCTGCATCGCGCTTTTTGGCCTTGGACGCTGCAACAGGAGGGGTCTGCTTCTTTCGCAGCCAGCCGTCGAATGGACTGATATGTTTCTTCTTGGCTTCAGATGCGGTTGGGGTCTCGCCAATTTCCAGCTCGCGCTTAGCCCGAGATCGCAAGGATCGTATGGAAGCTCCAGGTGAACCAGGAGTTTCAACATTAGAGTTTGCGGGTGGAGTGGTTTGCTCGTCGGCAACATGATCCAGGTCCTCTGCAGAATCGGCGTCATCAAGGACATGATCCTCAATATCGGTAGCTGCTTCCTCGTCTGCGTCGTCGTTCCCTTGCGCTACACCTCCACGAGTGCTGGGGAATAGCACACGGGGCTTGATCGAGGAGCGAGTCAAAGGTCGGTTGTTCTCTAGAACGGCCGAGTCCAGTAGATCAGGCCGAGAAGCCAGTAATCCCAGATCATCATCATCTTCTTCTCCCTCTTCATCACTGCCAACATCGTCGCTGAACTTGCGAAACATTTTCTTGCCTCGACTGCGAATTTGTTAGAGACAAGAGCATATTTCTGGGCTTCAAGGGGTTACTTACAAGACGTAGACCATACCGTCTTCACGCTTGAGAGCCTCATCGACTTCTTTGTCGCGGCTTCCGGCCTTGCGCCTCGACGGGCGAGGTTTTGGGCTGGCGGATGGTTTTTGGTAGAATGGGTTTTCTTCGCTTGCATCGACTTCGGGGATTCGATCACGGGAATCGGTGTATATTTGGATAGAATCACCCTGCGAAGCGTCGTCGGTGAAACTGTCTAATGAAAAGCCCGTTTGTTTCTTCTTCTTCTTTTGACCCGACTGTGTGGGGAATAACACTCGTGCTGTTGAGCCGGCATTATCAACGACCTTTTTCCGTGGTGTTTTGGCCGGCGTGGGAAGCATTCCTTCTGTAATCGTCGACCTGAAAAGACGGGAGGCTTGAGATTGAGCGGGTTTGGTGGTGTTGAATGTGTCCGCATCATCGAGTTGTGTTGCAGTGTTCCGACCCGACATCCTCTTCCGAGGGCTCCCTGGTGACCCGGGAGGTGAGAGAGTTTCTATTTCAGCTGTCTTCTGCTTCTTCGTGCTTCGCGAGGTACCACGTCCTTGGGAAACAGGAAAGGATGGCGGAGGAGTTGTGCGGGATTCTGTTGAAGTGCGCTGGCTAGCTAGACGGGCCGAGTGACGCGTAGAATAAGGCTCGTATTGATCATATCCAGGGCCATGTCGAGGGGTCGGGGGAGTTCTCAAGAACGACGGAGGTGGTGGAGTAGTCGCCATTGTGAAATGGGAGCAATTTGCGCAGAATTGGGTCGTAGGTTCGGTTCACCGTTGTTGACACCGCATAAAAAAATTAACGGGAGATCCAAGAAGTCGATTGTCGCGATCTTGACAGGAGGTGAAGGTTGTTGAAGGTCTCGACACGTCTTAGGGGATCAAGGGGAGGCCGACGCGATTACACCAAAGCCGACCGTGGATGGTACCCAATTTCTATGCCCAACGTTGTTACGGGGGACAAGCGAAGCGCAGAGAGTGAATACTCCAAATATCACCAAAGACAGATTGATAGAGATGGGAATGGGCGATAAGCGATGGAAGAAAAGAAGAAGGGGGAGAATGGAGATGCAGAAGGGCAGCAACAAAGAAGTGGGTGAGGAAGTCGGAATGCAGAGAATCACCAGCCACACAATTAATTACCCGCCAGCTCAGTCCAGCCTCGCCCTGTGCATCCACTGGAATGCCCCACCACAAACTAGCCTCAACTTTGCATTATCAGTTGATTTTATACCCCTCTTGTTGATTTACGCCTTATTCACTCTTTGTTTACAGCCTCTCACGCGTCCACACACAGTAGCTATCCAAAAATGTCTCCATACAGCGCCGCCGAGGAGATGGATCGTCTCCAGCTCTCTGACGAAGACACCGAAGACCTGTGGGATTCGCCGTCGAAACGCGGAAAGAAGAAAATTAACCAGGCTCCGATTAAGCATGAGAGTTCTCCGCCACCAGCAGCTCAATCCGACCTCGATGAGGGAACGCTTTTCGACCGCCAAGAGGCCCGAGAGGCTGCCCTCCGAAATGAACTACAATCCGTCCGCAATATAAACCATGTTATTGAGAGTCTGCTGGGCAGTCTCGATCGGGCAAAGGGCAATATGGACGTACGTCAAGTTAGGTATCCTTGCCAGGTAAACAGTCAATTAATAGTACCCTAGAACGTTTCACGAACCGTCAATTCCGCTTCTACTCTTCTCAACACCTGGACGCGCATTCTATCCCAAACGGAGCATAACCAGCGCCTTATACTGAACCCCAACTGGCAAGGCGCGACTCAAGACGCAGCCGACATTGAGAACGAGGAATACCTCAGACAGCAAGCTGCAGAGAGACGGGAAAGGGAGCTCCAACAACAAAGAGAAGCGGCGGCACGAAAGGCCGAGGAGGACGAGAGAAAGAGGGCACAGTCAACAACTTCCAGGGGCACGCGGGTCGTTTCCAGGGGACGAGCTCGGGGCGGACTGGGAAGAACACCCAGCGTTTCCTACTCAGGAACCAGCACAAGCGGGTCAAGAACCACTTCAACAACGTCAGGCACGAAATCATCTACAACAACTACACGGAGACCGGTCAGTGGGATCGCGCGGGGTTCGGGGGTGACGCGTGGTCGGGGTAAGCAATAAACCCACGGGCGGATAGGCTGTCTCGAGGCACAATAATAGGCACATTTTTTTTTCCGCGGCAGAATAATACCCATGCAGCTCATTTATAGAAGGGAAATGATTCTAAGTAAAGCTTCGTAGTGGTAACCAAGTTAACACCAGAAATGAAGCATTCCTGCCTCAGGCGCCAAGCCACCACCGCCTGACGCGGTTCCCCGATAAGCAACTTGTATACGATCGCAGGCAACGACGACACAAGCCCACGCGATAATCCTCTCATCGCCGCACAATGAACTTCGCCCCCTATCAGGACGAATCGCCCGAGGTAGAGCGCGCGTTCTCTCCCACTCTCGAGAACCGCGCCAAGTCCCCCGTTGCTCGATCGCCTCTCAATTCTCCCCCGATTGCAGGCCTCACTTCCGCCGGCGGACTCTCATCTCCAAACCAATTCGGAGGAACTGGCCACATAAACACTAGCGGACATGGGAATACGGGATATGGATACGGAGATGTGGAGGGCGGAAGGTGGAACCTAGGGGCATTTGAGACGAGTCTGCCCATCCGGATGGACGTTGAAGCTATGCTGGCATACCTGCTTCTTCCTCCGGCTGGTGGGGTTTTCCTACTTTTGGTCGAACACAAAAGTGACTATGTTCGGTATGTGCTATGATATGTCTGGTTTTGCTGCGCTTTGCTGACTTCTTTGGCTTTTAGGTTTCACGCATGGCAGTCAAGCATGTTGTTTACTGCCATTTTTGTAAGCTGCACCTGCAATTTTCCTTCTGGACGTTATTCTCATATGCTGCAGATAATCCACCTTATATTCTCCTGGTCGAGTTTCCTATCATGGATGCTGTTTATTTGCGACATTGGGTTGATCGGTTTTCTCAGTCTGAAAGCCTACCGCGATGGTAAGATCCGGGGTCTTAAATGCTTGCAGGTTAGAAGCTCATTAGAACACAGTTGATACCCTCGAACACTTTGAAGTTCCTATCTTTGGTCGATTCGCAAACTCATTTGTCGACAACGAATAAACAGCAGGCAGTATATCCGTTGTTTCCCTGGTTTTGGCTTATGCCAGACGACCTCTGCCTTACCGTGGCACTATTCTGTGTAATGGCACACTGTATATTGTTAATTTGCGCAACGGGTTCTTTGTTGAACTGCTGTGTTACCAGTACAGGCATATTTTAATTTGGCCTGTATGATGCTCAATAGCATACCCTAATGGATTATGTCTTGTATGTATTAGATTCCGGGGGATTGTACAAGATTCACAGATAATAATGAATATTATTGATGTTTTATATTGATGTTTATTTACCACATGAAACGTTCTCTCTCTTTGCTCCAATTTCTTCTTTTATTCCACACAAAGCAGAGTTACAGCTGTAGCTATTATTCAAAACATCCCATTCAAACATCATTGACTGGCCGCACCAACAACAATGGCATTGACGCTTCAATCAAATTTCATCTGCCTCTTATTGTCCTGCATCTTTGTATCTGCTTCAGTTACCACGCCTCCCTGTTTTGGCTCTTTATCATGTCTTTGCTCTTCATCGCTTCAGATACTTGAGATATTGATTGCCAAACAGCTTAACACAAAGACGATGCCCCTTTCTCTATAACAATGGACACAGCCCCCCGCCTCTCTCAGCTCATCATTGGGAACATACCCACCTACCTACCTATCCACTCATCCAACAGGGAACTCAATCCCCTTCGTATTAAACTTCAAACCCCACAAAAGAAAGCAAAATGTGCAGCGTCCAGCGCGTTACCAACTCCTGCGGTCACATAAATGACCACGTCTTGATGAGCTGCTATAACGCAAATGAAGCGGCAGCCCAGGAGGCTAAGAACCCTCTAGCCAAGGCAAACCTAAACGAAACGGACAAGATCCAGCGCTACGGCTTTGATGCGAGAAACAAGCCATACTGCAAAGCCAATGAGCCCAAGGTCTTGGCTTCGCCCAAGGGGTTCCAGTGCATGGTCGCTGGCTGTGGAAAAGCTGATTAGAGGAATGAACTGATGGCGAACTCCCTCACACTTCAGTTGTCGACAAGGAGCGTTTGATTGGTGAACGAACCGGGCAAAGACCCTGAACAGGCGGCCATGAAGCCGACCTAGAATACCATTTTTGATATCAAGTAAGTCGATATTGAGACCAGCGTGAAGGCTTCGAGATCTAACCTCTTTCTCTTCTCTAGGAGTCTCGTTGGCTGGCGCTATGAATACCGTATCTATCGTCTTCTCGACCCTCTAGCTACCAATCATGTAGATAGGGAAGAACATTCGCGATAGATACATAGCAATGCATTACTCTTGAGAGAATTATGATGAACATATTATGTGATCAAGTTAGAGCTACCGTAGCGGATTGATGCACCCATAGTTGGGCTCGGGTGGGACTTAGGGCTCGGTGGAGCCAAACTTACGGCATCTGCGCTCGTATTCTGACCTTCGAGACTATTGACGAGATGAACAGACGAATTTACACTTGCTCAACTATTTGTTTTACTACAATTTACAGCTTATAGGTTTTATTAAGTCTTCTTGAGCAAGATAACTCTGTCGAACCGGTTCAGCTGAATGTTTCAGTTTGTGGAGAAGCATAAGTGTCATTCTGAAGGCATTATCACGGACCAAACACAGAATAAAGAAACTCAAAACAATTCAAAGATCAAAGCCTGCGGTAGAAAGAATCAAAAACGAGAGACAAAGAGACATTATTATCAGAAACGACAGACATACTCAGGGCATAGGAGTCAATCAATAAAAAGCGAGCGTCACCAAGGATGGTCAAGATCGGGGACTGGGTAATAGAAAAAGAAAGAAAAAAAATTAGGCAAAAAGGCGTATACATCAAGGTATCTACATCGTGAACACATAAAAAGCAAAGAAAAGAAATTCCCGTCGTAATTGGCCGTGAGATTGTTCATCACATGGCTGGCCCACATTGAGATAGTCGAGTATAGATTGATAGATTATAATAGATCGTCACTCAGATCTAGATAATCTGGAGGTAGTTACTCGGCACCAACCCAGTTCTCATGCGGGTTGTGGTAACTTCAGCTTCCCACCAGCCGTCATCCTGGAGTCTGATCACGGAGAGGACGTCGCCCTTTCCGAAACCAAGCTCTTCGGGAATGGCTGCGGTATAGCTGTATAGTGCGCGGGCTAGAGCACAATCACGTTAGCTATGTGAATTATATGATAAAAAACGGATTGGTTGGTACATACCGAAATGTAAAATTGGACGGCCATCACGGCTGAATTGTCTTCCGGGATCCGCAACAGCCATAGATCTGCCCCTTGACCGACTGCGCTGGCTTGCACCGTCATAGTATGACATCGGTCTCCTAGGTTCTCTCTGTGGGGAGCCGTAGCCGTCACCACTGCCACCGTACATGTCAGGTTGAGAAATCTGTAGCTCCATGCCCCCAGCGCTCGACGGGCGAGCCTGCTGTTTGAATTGCGGCTGGGGGGATACGGCTCGAGGCATTGAGTTCTGCGAAGATCGCTGAGCATACTCGTTTGGGGAGGCTCCTCCAGGGGAAGTGGCCGTAGTGGGTGAGGGGGCAGCGCTGAAAGATCCTCGTTTTGCGAAGTCATGCGGGGAGTATGGCCCGTCAGAGGGGCGTTGGGGCGGAGTGGAAACACCTGGAGACTGGCTGTAGCGGCTCTTCACGCTGTTTGATTGATAATTACTTGGGTTCGGGCTCGCGGCTCGGCTATATTGGCTCATGCGTGAACCCCCACCACGAGGGCTAGGTTGCGGTTGGGGACTTGCACTCCGTCTAGGTGCAGGTGCGGGTGATTTGGCACGGGGGACTTCCTGTGATTGCCTGGGGCTGCGGGTCGACATTGAAGTAGGGTTCGCCTTGCCTCGAAGCACGTTCTGCGTCTGACCTGTGTACTGTTGTGTGGTCTGTTGCATTTGTTTGGAAGTGAAAGCCGGCTGAGGAGCTCCGAGGCGCTTTACCGATGGATCATTATATGCCGGGGGAGGAGCGGCCGCTGAATTTGCGCTGTAGTTCGACGCAGGTGCTGACGGAACAGGTGTAGCAATGCCATGGTATCTATCAGCAGAGACCCGGGTTGCTGACTGCTTCCCACCACCAGCGCCTTTCAGGTCTGCCAAAGCACGTGCAATGGGGTCAAGGTCATCTCCTTCTTTTGGCGGCTGCGCTCCCTTCTGGGGTTTATTCTTATCTGGAGATGCAACGTCAAACACATTATTTCCGACGTTCAATTGGAAGTTAGCCCGTGGATCAACCGGCTCGGGGCTAGCAGATCGCTTAATATCATCCATCGCCTTCGGAACTTGAATCTGTTGAGGCTGTGGAGGCCTCTGAGGCGTTGGAGCTTTGATAGGGCTGGTCTGCTTGGACGGGGGATCCCAAGTTCTCCGGCTGGGTGGCTGAGAAGAGCCTGAGTTACGGTCCTTGTCATGACGGCTCTTGCGTCGGAACGGGCTGTTGCTGAAGAATTTCTTCTTCGGGGACGGCTGTGGCTCTCCCCCACCACCTATTCCTGGAAGGGCCACACCATTCGTCGGCTTGGTCGGAGATTGTCTGGCACTGGTAGGCTCTTGACTTGATACTGAAGTTGCGTTAGAAACTTCACTCTGGGAGTCTCGGCTGGATGGCCGGTAGCCACTGGCAGTTCCTGAGCTGCGTTCGGATGGAGGACCAGTTCGGCAAAACATTGTCATACCATCCGTTGGGTACGCGTTGTGCGGTATAGCTGCAATTTCGCCGTGCTGGTTCGGGTCGTAGTTCGGCGGGAGATGACCTCCGCGGCGAAGATCCAGCGGATTGGGCTGTTGCTGCTGTTGCTGCTGCTGCTGTGCCGCTTGTTGCATTGGTGGCTGCATCGGCTTTTGCGGTGTGACCGTAGCTTCTCTGCTCGATGGCGTGGAAGGTCCATTCTGAGCCGGAATCGTCGGTTCAGGCTCTGCGTCATGATGGGACTCATACGTAGATGGTTGCGGAGAAGAGCTTCGGAACGCTGGGTTGATGGTGCGCTGGAACTGGGCCACTGAGTATCCTTCCTCTTCAGATATGTCGGAGCTGGCATCGTTTACGTCTCCCCGGGAGAAGTTGATGAACTTGGGGGCATCGGGGATTTCCTGGCCCGTACCCCTTTCCTTAATAAAGTAGACGATATCCTTCTCGACCTCGCAATTCTCGAGCGCAAGGCGAATCCTCTCGCATGCCTAAAGCAGTTAGCTATGATCCAATACCGCTTTTCAAGTTCCACTCCAAATTTTATGACGGATCAACTTACAGCATCATCGCTCACGCACACTGTGGAGGCAATGTTGGCGTAAGTCCAGAGGCTGCTCTTAGTAAAATCGATCCGCTCTTCTTCAAGGTCTTGGAATTTCTAGAGGCTTGTTAGGTCTTGATATCAGGAGAGGTGGTTTGCGAGCAAACCTACATCGCAAGCGGACTTCCATTCCTTATTCCAGCGAACAGTCGTATCTGCGAGGACTTTGACTGCGGCATCGTATTCACTGCTGCTAGAGGCAAGTTGGATCTGGGTCTTCTCGAGCTTCGCTTTGTTCTTTCGCTCTTCCTGGCCCATCACCATATGCCCCTGCGCGAGATAACCTTTAATCCTCAAGCAGTCCTGCTCGTATCGATCCCGTGTCTGGTCCGGTTAGTCCACTGGTTGTTTTGATATTGTGACAGCCGTGATTTACCTTATTCACTGTCTGGGTTTGCTGCATTTTGGTTTTGTGAATGCGCTCAATCCCATTTTGAATAATCTTCCTTCGCTCCTTGTTACCCCCTGCAAAGGCCAGCAAGGGCTCTTCTAGTTCTCGTTTCATCTGCCCCGCGATTGCAGCATGAGCTTTTGCAATGGCCTCTGTTTCTCCTCGCACAGTATCAAATGATGCTCGAAGTGAGCCCGTCTCATTGGCTCCAAGGGGCTTGCGGCATAGTGTGAGCAGCTTGCGTGCGTATTCATCCTCAATTGCGGTGCGGACTAGTAGCTGTTAGAATAACAATTCGGACAAGTGGGATCCTAGATAATGGCGACGAACTGCTGTAGAAGGTCTTCAATTCATCGCACGACGTCTTCGAAGCGTGCATACGCTCCAGCATGGGTGTAACACCGGCATCTTCTTTTCCCCAGAAGTTATTCGCAACTGCATCATCACCGTTAGCCCGTCTGCACCTGGTTCTGAACGACGGAAGGGCCCTTACAAGAGAGGGCCACCGTGGGCCCATCTGCAACAGTTCCCGGCATAGCAATTATGATGTGTTGGATTTGTTGAGCTTTGGCCAGCCTTTGCTCATTTAACGATCGTGAGACAGGACGGGTCAGCCCAGGATATAGAAGAGCATCCGCTAAAAGGCACAGGAAGATTCGAGTAAATTGGCAACGAAAGCAATTGAAACAGCCCCCAGTTGCAGCTGGAGCAGTACTGAAGAGAAACAGCAGAAGCAGCTGGAACTGGTGGAGATAGACAGGTATGGTCTCGTGGGGAGTGGAATGGGCGCTGGGTAATTATTTACTGGCGCGTCTCTCGGGGCAACCATCGCCAACTGTCTGCCAACTCTCTCTGTGATCGGCGACGGCGCCAAGCCCACTCGCGATCGCGATCTAGACATTCATGAACATTTAACTGTGGATATCGTTTCTTTACTTGTGTTTTTTAATCTGTTAATGTTCATTATTGTTGCTTGCTGTCTCGGAGAAAACCCCGGGCTGCGATCGATGTTGACATGCCACGGTCTCCCTTGGCATCCACCTTGCGTGTTGCACATTGCGCTGCGTCATCTTCGGAAATCACACGCCAACTGAGGTCATTGCTGTTGCAACTCGCAAGTCCCCGATGGCAAATGAGTGAGACTGAAGTTATCTTCCACTGAAGTCCAAATCGCATTATGTGGCGGGAGCCAATATCTTCCCCGCGGTATCCCAGGTACTTTGGTTATATATTGTAGTCAGAGTACGCTTATTAAATTGCCAACGACAGTAAGCGATAATTTCAGAGGCAAACAATACGGTCGTTGCATACTCTATTTTCTTTAAAAGTAACCGGAAACCTTTTCAACCCCAATCCACCTGAAATAACCCTAACCACAAGCCCATGGAGAGACAAAATCTTTGCGGGGCCGGTTACGGTACCGACACAAACTAATCCAACAATTCATCTTTTGTCCTCGCCAGGTCATTAACCATACACAATTCTCGGCCTGCCTGGACCAAATATGCCGGACTCATCAATACGCTACGCAGATGTAAATTAGCCCCCCGCAACCCCTAGACACGCATAATACTGAAGCCATCTAGGTCGCTGTCACGTTCACAGCAGACCAATTTCGGGGCATCTATCGTGGCAAGGCTTACCATGAGCCTGATTTCTCAGAGGTCATACAGCGCGCAAAGGAATATGGCTGCGAAAAGATCATGCTCACAACAATGTCTCTCCCACTTGGGTACGATAACCTGAAACTCGTCCGCCAATTCCCAGAGACATGCACCATGACACTCGGCGTGCACCCTTATCATGCGGCTGAGATATACGCTTCACGCGAATCCCCAGATACCGGGGATGCTGGTGGTAACATCAACGATGGCAGCAACTATCTAGACGAACTCCGCAGCTTCGCCAAAACACTCCTCGCGGAGCAAAACGCTGAATCAGGGTCACCGCTTGTCGCCTTTGGCGAGATAGGCCTGGATTATGAATACCTCACCCGCTCAGACAAGGCCACCCAGCAGCGCGCATTCCGCGAGCAACTAGCCCTCGCAGTTGAACTCCAGCTGCCCCTGTTCTTACACGTGCGGGACTCCTGCGCCGACTTCATTTCCATCATCGAACCATTCCTTGCGGACCTTCCCCGCCGAGGCCTTGTTCACTCCTTTGCTGGAACAAAGGAAGAGATGCTCCAGCTCACTGGCCTTGGATTCGATATCAGCGTAAATGGCGTCTGTTTCCGTACGGACGAGCAGCTGGAGATGGTCAGGTGTATTCCACTGGAGAAGTTGCAGCTCGAGACCGATGCGCCGTGGTGTGAGGTCCTGGAAGCGGATGAGAGGATCAAGCCGTATTTGGAGGGTGCGAAGCCGCTACCAGGTAGCAGAAAGCATGGGAAGTTCCGGGTTGGAGATATGGTGAAGGGGAGGAATGAGAGCTGTACAATCGGCAGGGTGGCTATGGTAGTGGCGGGAGTAAAGGGAATTAATGTTGAGGAGGTTGCAAGAGTAGCATGGGAGAATAGTACAAGTATGTTTGGATTGGGTACGAGGTAGGTATTGAGGTGGCTCGATAGATATAGAATGATTTTAGAGACATTAAATTTTCTTTTCACACAACCCATGCTATTCAAAAATTGTAAATAAAGACGGTGAATGAGACGCCTGCAATCTGATACCGTGAGACCTCAGTAAGCGTCCGATCGGCGAACTGTTACTCTTAGCACAAAAGCAACAGTGAAGTAGCCTCCATTGACAAAATTTCTTCTTGGTGAATAGACGGTTGTTCAGCGATTGACATAACCCCGGCTCCTGAGCGTCAAGGCCGTGCTACCACTGACAGTTGAGTACCAAGTATGACTCGATGAGAGAGCCTGGAGAGTGGGTGGAGAGTCGAGTCCGGGCACGAGTGAATGCCTCGAGCGCCAAACGTTTGCACAGTTTGTTTCTGTCTTAGTCATACATGTCACATGACATAGAGCTCCAGACCCATCACGTGCCTACATGCAGTCGAAGCAATAGTTGCAGTATGTGCGTGAGTCTGCGCTGAAGAAGACGCCAAAAGACCTAAAACATCGGTAATTAAGAATTTTGGTTTTGCGAGCATATAGTCTGCAAAGTCTGCAGGTGTTTGTGCCAGCAATTGCCATCGGCCCTGGAGACTCGTAGCCTGAATCCTCAGGCGGCCACCCACCGCCTCGAGGCTTCACCGTCCACTCAGTCTCGCTTTCTCTGCCCGTCATTCAGACTTCGGGACTTCTCTGCCACAAAGCAACACATCCTCTCATTGCCATCCATCTCTCCCCTCCCAACCGCAAGACTCCGCTTTCTTGCACCGATTCTCTCATTAGGCAATTACCTTGGATCCATCTTCTTGACTACCATCATCACATATAAATTTTCACCAACACCTCAGATCAAATGATCGCGTCTCCTAGATGACCTTCCCTCCCCCTCCCCCTTCCTCCCAATCGTCGATTGCTTCTGGTACCGATAAGTCTTCTTCGACCAGGCCTACACGGTCACAGCAATCTCCCTGGGGTCCGCCCGTGTCGCAGTCGAGTGTTCGTCGGGGGTTGACACCGCTTGCGACCAACCTCTCCAACCCCTCTGCTCCTGCCCGCGGCCCATCTCAGACGAATAGCCCTGGCCCCGGGGTTTCAACTTCATCTCCTCTCACGTCCTCATTTTCCGCCGTCTTGAGTTCCTCACGGGGCTACCCGCTTGGTCGGAACGTACCATCACCAGCCTCCACACCCGGTCCTTTCGCCTCTTACCAATCTGGCTCGCAGCAACCTCAGCAAGTGCCCGGTCAATCTCTCTCTTCTCCCAAAATCAGAGCTCATACCCCGTCCTCAGGGTCACATCTGGCTTCCGCAGGGGGCTCCGTCGCAGGTGGTGGAGGCTCTGGGGGAGGTGGAGGTGGGACGGGTTCTTCCAGAGGCGCAACCTTCTCTCCGCTGCTGTCCGGAACAACCGTGAATTCACCGACCGGGTTTCCGTCAGATAAACCGGGGTCCGCAGCGGCTCACGGAAGCCAGTCATCTCTGGCGAAGATTTCCATCGCTCAGGTATTCTTGTTATTAGACTCGATTACGGAGAAAGAGGGCCGCGAGAAGTGGGAAACAAAGGCTGCTCAAATTCATAAAGTAGGTTTTTTATCCACTTCAATGCATACTAGTCGCGTCGTGCTAATTTTATACTAGCTGGTCGAGTCAAACGGAATGGAGGTCTTTTCAAAGTACTTTCGGCGCCTTCTCACAGGCAATGCCCCTCAGATCTTTCCGGGTCTCAACAAATCTGTGGAAAATGCAGGAAACTACCCGCTTTTGGTCCAGGAAATGCAAAAGGTCTCCCAGGATATAGAGCAAGCGCAAAAGATTGCGGAGACTGTCGACGCATCAGAGGGTGACATCTTCCGTGACTTTGATCTTTCTACCTTCCTGGATCATTTTAAGCTCGATCCCATTGTCAAGGTTGCTTTGGCTTTGACTTTTAAAACTGCAAATAAGTCTGATCTACGTGTGAAAGGTATGTCAACTATGTGGTGCTCATTCGAGGCCTGATTTCTGACGTTTTCCTTTCGCTTAGCCGATGCCATACTTGCCAACTCGGTTACTCCTTTTCTACAAAGTCTAGCGGCCCCATCGGATGTATCGAAAGACTTCACTAATTCGTTTATCGGGATTACGATCGAGCGTTTTATACTATACCCCCCTCGCAACTTCAGCGATGAAGTAAAGGCTAAACTGGTGTATGCTGCGAATCTGCGGTATCAAACATTAGGGGTAGATTTGCCCTTTGAGGTGGCATCCGCCTTGCAGATGTTTAACTTTGTCAATCCAAAGTTTACATTGGTACGCCAACTCCATTCCAAGGGCCCAAGAGCAACATCAAGCACCGATGCTGTAAACGAGGTCGTTTCTGCGGCTGGGCCAGACTGTTGGGGCGAGGAGCATATTGCAGCTGCCCTACTTTTCTTGGTTCTCTCGCAGTATTGGCGCGAGTTCTCCTTAGAGACCTATCTTGCGGCTGTTCGCTCTCACTATGGCGACAAACAGATCAACTGGGCCCTAGTCCTCCGAAATTTTGATCGCGATGGTCTAAGGTTGGATGTGCGCCAGTTTGCGAAATTGTATACCGTGCTCTTGCCTATAGCTACAGAGGATTCGACGCTCGATATCCAAAAGCTGTGGGGCGGTGATTGGGAACACCGTGAAACCCAAATGTCATTCTTGGCTGCCTTCATCCTCTCGCGAACCGATGCTTCGCAAATACCTAATCTCCGTGCCACATTTCCTCCTGACTTCTTCTCCGATGGGCCCGAGCTTGTCCGATTGCAAGGCGAACGTGCAGCAAAATCTCCTCTCCGGTCTCTGGACGCTATGAAAGCTATTTTTGATCTAGCTTTGTTCTCACAAGCTGCGTGGGCTGCGACGGAAAGTCAATTACTCATTAAAGCCGTTGTGCAGTACGACCTTCCTGTTTTCTTGTGCTCAGCTCTAGCTTTACCCCAGCCGTGGACCAGTGTTCAACAGAGTTTCATCCTCCGGACTCTTGTTGTTTTCATCATGAAGCAGGAAGATGGATATCAGCTGGCCCTCCATGGTGCATGGCGCCAGGATAAGCAATGGGTCGCGGAGCAACTATTTGCCATGTTTACCCAGGATCCCACCTCGACCGCAGCGATTTATGAACATGCCTTTGAGTATAGCTGGTTGGATTATCTTCTTGGATACACAAATGGTCTTGCCATGGATCTTGCGTGTTATGCCCATCGGAAGGGGTCGTTTGATCTCGAGCAGTGGGTCCGAAATGCTGCCTCTAAAGGTCTCATGGATATGGGCAGTCTGTTGTCCAAGTTCCTTCGCATTAAGGCTGAAGATGAGCTTCATGTTCAAAGAAGGGAACAGCCTGCTCCCCAGATGGTCAGCCTCTCAGTCAAGACAGTTTTTACGCTGCTGTCGGTGCTAGAAGAATATGTTGGGGACCGCGAAAACCTTACCCCGGTGCAACGCGTCTGCATCCAAACCTACCCTAGGTTAATCAACTACGGTGAAGGATTTGATGACATTATCGATGCCAACGGCGAAGCTGGAAACGCATTACCCGAGCCGGTTGACAAGAAAATGCAAGAGCTGTTCGGCAAAATGTACCACGAGGAGCTTTCTTTGAGAGAAATTCTTGAGCTCATGAGAAGATACAAATCCTCCCGTGAACCCCCAGAGCAGGATTTGTTTGCCTGTATGGTCCATGGCCTGATCGACGAATACCATTGCTACCATGAGTACCCATTAGAGGCACTGACAAAAACTGCTGTCATGTTTGGTGGTATCATCAATTTCCGCCTGGTTGACGGTATAACTTTGAAAGTGGGGCTGGGCATGATCTTGGAAGCAGTACGAGAACATGAAGTGCATGACCCAATGTACAAGTTTGGTGTTGAAGCGATCGAACAATTGATCAACCGTCTTCCGGAATGGGCCGGATTTTGTCATTTGTTACTTCAGATCCCTAGCTTACAGGGCACACCAATCTTTCAAAAAGCCGAAGAAGTGCTTCATGAACAAGGAAGCCAAGTTCAAAACGAAAATGGACGACAGGACAGTACTGTTGGCGGGTCGATTACGAACGGCAATGTCGATGAGCCTGCAGCGGCTGATGGTGCCAACCGTAAGTTCGTTTCCATCTATGTCGACCCTCCTCTCCGGCCAGAGCTTTATCAGGAGCCAAACGAAGAGGTTCAGGACAAAATATTGTTTGTGTTGAACAATGTATCTGAGCAGAACATTGATGAGAAATTGCGCGATCTCACGGACGTTCTTGAGGACCCGCATCATCAATGGTTCGCCTCGTATTTGGTGGAAGAACGTGCTAAGTTGCAGCCTAACTTTCAACAATTGTACCTTGACCTTCTGGACCGAATCGACGACAGGGTGCTGTGGGTTGAGGTCCTTCGGGAGACATACGCTAGCACGTCAAAGCTTCTGAATTCCGAAGCAACATTGGGATCGTCCACAGAGAGGAGTCACCTTAAGAACCTGGGTTCTTGGCTTGGATCCTTGACTATCGCAAAGGATAAGCCGATCAAGCACAAGAACATCTACTTCAAGGGGCTTCTCTTGGAAGGTTATGATAGTCAGCGCCTAACAATTGTGATCCCATTCACCTGCAAAGTACTCGTCCAGGCTACTAGATCTACCGTCTTCAAACCTCCAAATCCCTGGTTAATGGACATCATCTCACTGTTGATGGAACTGTACCACTTTGCGGAGCTGAAGCTCAACCTGAAGTTCGAAATTGAAGTCTTGTGCAAGGACCTTGAAATCGACCACAAAACGATCGAGCCCTCCGTTATCATTCGTGATCGTTCAGCAAACATTGAGGATGCGTTGTCAACAGCAAATATTCCTGAAGGGTTGGAAGCGTTTGAGGATATGGCTCTCACCAGCATCAGCCAGGGAATTCGCAATGAAAGACTGTCCCCAGCTGCTATCATGTCAACACTCCCTAGCTTGGACAAGATTTTGGTGCTACCATCATCGGCAAGCAGCATGGTTGATCCAAATATCCTTCGACAAATCGTGCACACTGCCGTGGAACGTGCGATTGCCGAGATAATTACTCCTGTTGTAGAGCGGTCTGTCACCATTGCTTCCATCTCTACCGTTCAGTTGGTTTCAAAAGATTTTGCCATGGAGCCTGACGAGGAGAAGTTCCGACATGCTGCTGGCAATATGGTTAGGCAGCTCGCTGGTAGCTTGGCCCTCGTAACCTGCAAGGAGCCATTGAAAGTCAGCATGACCAACTATATTCGAATGATTCAACAGGAGTACTCCGACCAGCCAATGCCTGAGGGACTGATTCTGATGTGCGTCAACGATAACCTCGACGCTGCTTGTGGGATAGTTGAGAAGGCAGCCGAAGAAAAGTCGCTTCCCGAAATTGAAAAGGTTATTGAACCTCAACTGGAAGCTCGCAGGCGCCATCGTGCTGCTCGTCCTACCGAAGCATTCATTGATCCTTCCATGTCCCGTTGGGGACTTTTTATCCCTGAGCCTTATCGCCAAACCACAGGTGGTCTGAACAAGGAGCAGTTAGCAATCTATGAAGAGTTCGCCCGTCAATCTCGTGGCCCAGGGGCAGCCCATGCTCAGAATGTCTCGACTGATTCTGGTCGACAACTCCCTGACGTTCTTCAGGAGCCCTACCCGCCGATTCCGAATCTTTCCACCCCTGCAGAGCAGCCCGCTGTCCCTCACAGAACACCACAGCCGCAGCAGGATACTCGACTGCAACAGTCTGCTCTGGTAGGAGCGTCATCTCAACTTAACGGTTTCCTTGAAACGCAAAACCCACGTGAAAGAGTGGAGAGCCTCGTTTCCGACCTTCTGCAGGTGGCTCACAATGCCACTGAGGAGCATGTAAAAGACCTCGGCCGCGATAGCACTGTTCTTCAGGAGTACAACCAGGCATTGCGCTTCATTTTAGCATCTCCAAATGGTGAGGAGCTCGCCCGACTGACAGCACTCAAGGCCTGCACTAGCCTTTACTCGCAAACCCAAGGCACTTTAGAGATCGAAGTACTTGTGCACCTGCTGGCCAAGCTATGTGACATGTCTGCCATAGTCGCTCGCTATACCTGGACCGTGTTGTCCGAAGTGGAGGACGACCATATGTTCAACGTTCCAGTCACTGTGGCTCTTATAGACGCTGGACTTTTGGATATTCGCCGCGTCGATATGATTCTAACCAGACTCATCCTCCAAAAGAACACTGCGGCTCTAGAGGTTCTCGCTGACCTGATGGATCAGATCTTATTCAACGAGGAACCCTCTGCTTTAAGATCCGATTTCTCTGGCAGTCTTGAGGCGATGAGTAAATGGCTCGCAGAAGATTCGGCTCTTGTACCGGCAAACGAGATCATCAAGAAACTCAGAGAGTCTGGAATCCCCGAGGTTGTGAACCCACTCCTCTCTGACAAAGCTCGGTCAAAACGGGATCAGATGGAGTATATCTTCACTGAGTGGATTGGAATCTACAAGGCGCCGGGCGCTATTGATCGCACATACTATTCTTTCTTGAAGGATTTGCATGAGAGGGAAGTGATGGCAAACCAAGAAGATTCTGCTCTCTTCTTCCGGCTCAGCATCGACATTTCGGTTGCGATGTTCGAACACGAGTCTCAGAACCCCAGCGGCAGCCTGGATGAGGCTTTCCTCTACATCGATGCTCTGGCTAAGTTGGTTGTCCTGCTTGTCAAATTCCAGGGCGAGGGCACCGGCCCCGTGAAGACTAGCAAATCCGCCTACTTCAACTCCATTCTCTCCGTCCTGGTCCTGGTCCTAAACCACCATCAAGTGATGAGGGGTGAGGCGTTCAACCAGAGAGTCTTCTTCAGACTATTCTCAAGCATTCTTTGTGAATACTCAATGAGTGGTTTGCAGCATAGTGACCAACACCAGGAGATGATGTTCACTCTGTCCAACAAACTGCTGTCTCTTCAACCCAAGTATTATCCTACATTCGTTTACGGGTGGTTCTCCTTGGTCGCCCATCGATTCTTCATGTCCAGCATGCTCAATATGCCGGATCGAGCGGGCTGGGGTCCCTACTGTGAGATTATGCAAGCGCAGCTGTCCTACATCGGCGAACAGCTGAAACCAGCAACCATCTCCCTTGTTGCTAAGGATCTATACAAGGGCGTGCTTCGTATTCTGCTGATCCTCCACCATGACTTCCCCGAGTTTGTTGCCGAAAACCACTTTCAATTCTGCAATTCCATCCCTGCCCATTGTGCCCAGCTACGCAACCTGGTCCTCAGCGCTTACCCGTCCTCGTTCCAAAAACTTCCTGATCCTTTCAGAGAAGGCCTCAAAGTCGAACGTCTAGAGGAAATGCGGGATCCACCGAGGATTGCAGGTGACACCGGCGCCCCGCTCCAACGTGCCGGCATTAAGAACGTTGTTGATAATGCGCTTCAGGATAACAACGCGTCGGACTCGAGCATCCAGCAGATTTGCAATGCCATTTACAGCCCAGAGAGCAAAGAATTGGGTATTTTCTATGCTCCGATCAATGTCGATGTTACTCTGCTCAACGCACTGGCACTTTATATTGGCCAGGGTGCAGTGACTGTCAACGCGTCGAAGGGTAATATTCGTGCAGCATTTGAGAGCTCGCCTCATTCAGAGCTGTTAGAGAAGCTCGCAAAGACTCTGCAGCCTGAAGCCCGCTACTACTTCTTGAGCGCGATGGCAAACCAACTTCGCTACCCCAACAGCCATACATACTTCTTTAGTTTTGCCATCCTGCGCCTCTTTGGTACGGACTACTTGGAGCAAGACGAGCCAGATATTCGCCAGCAGATCATTCGCGTGCTTCTGGAACGCCTTATTGTTCACCGTCCTCACCCTTGGGGGCTGATCATCACCCTCCAGGAGCTGCTTCAAAATAGGAGCTATGCCTTCTTCAACCTCCCGTTTATTCAGGCTGCACCGGAGGTGAGTACCCAACACTGTTCACTTGATTGAAGTATATACTAACTGTTTCCCGTTCAGATTGGCCGTCTGTTTGATGCCCTCCTCCAACACATTCAACAACAAAGCCCCAGGGCAATGACTTAAGCGATACAACGATATCAGCTGCGAGCCTTTCCGCTTTAGCGGGATACTCTATCATACAATAAACGACGTATCTATCTTTCACGGCGTGATGGAACGCCGCTCATGACACGAAGTGCTAAAATCTGGAGCATGGTAGTGGGATATATGACATGAGACCCCTTCTTGCTCTGCTTTATGTTTGTTCTCTATTTTACCATCATTTCTCGGCTGGGGTACTGGGAGGGATACGCATTTTAGGACGTGGTTGCATGTTCCAAGCTTATATTTTGTTTTCCTTTTATATTTTATTTTCTCTTCTCTTGGTGTCTTACCATTGCTACAGCCTGTGTGGTGGTCTGTAACGATAAGCTATAAAATATGGTCTTAATGAGTTCTGATCTGCATTATAATGGAATTGGGTGTTCATTGGGAACTTATAAGTAGCATGGGTTTTATGTTCTATCGTATTATTATAAACCTACAGAGTAGTATTATTGTGTATCTTCAGAATTCGAAGGATGGGTATGGACCTCGGGAACTTTGGTGGGAATCTTACCAGGACCGGTGACGTACATTATCTTCGGCCAAGCCCAAGCTCGCCTTCTTTGTCTCCCCTACTTTTACCCCCGCTACCACTCGGCCTTGTCTCACGGTCTTACCGACGACATTATGGATTCGGATAACTCGTCGGACGAGGGCGCAGACATTGGCCCTTCGTTTACTGCGAAAGCGACGGTGACGACTCCCGCCAATCCTTCCCCAGAACTTGGAACTGACGGGTAAACACTGAACATTCAGAAATCACTGCTGGAACCTCTCCGCCCCCTTGTTTCGAAAAATGCCCTAACGGCATATTTGGGGACATTTCTATTCATTGCGACTGCTATACTCATGATATTTGTGTCGATTTTCGCTTACGGGATATTCTACTACAACTTCATCCCGCAGGTCGGGCTGGAGCGCATTGTTCATCTGCAGTTCGGGTTGGTCGGACCCTAACGATAATCATTATCATTAGAGAGGCGCTTTTCGCGACTAACTGATGCTATTCTCATAGCGATGGCCATCCCTGGGGAACAGCGGCCCTTGATTCGGGCCTAGTATCCTCCCAACCTTACGATGTGCATGTGGAACTTGAGCTTCCACGAACACCCTCAAACCTAGATACTGGGAACTTTATGCTAGATCTCACACTTTTTTCACATTCTTCTACGTCCGCCCAGACTGGCGAGAACTTCACCGCGCCGCCAATCTCTCGCTCTCGTCGACCCGCGATCCTGACATATACCTCCCCTCTGATTGATATCTCCTCGAAGATCTCGTTCATGCCTCTATATGTTCTAGGCTGGAAGCGGGAAGCAGAACGATTGGTCGTGCGGATGATGGAGGGCGTTGAATTCTCGCGCGGTGCTCATAACATACCGGAGACCTTGCGCTTGGAGCTCAATAGCAAAGAAGAGATGCAGGTTTACCAGGCGAAGGTAACGTTCAGGACGAGGTTTACAGGGCTACGGTATGGAATTCCTGAGGTTGTTCATGACTTTCGAGTACGTGTATCTGATGAATTCGCAGGTGGATCATGTACAAGTGGAGGATGCCATCTTTCTTCATCTTCAGCTTCATGTTCTGGGCTGTCTCTATGTTCTCTTTCTCCCTCTGCTGGGTTGTCCTCGCCTGTTTGTTTAATACAGGTGTGAAGGAAGAAGAAGAGGAAGACGAGAACGGAGTCAAGACAGAAGATGAGAGCGAAAGTGGGCCCACGATCAAGGAGGAGCCTTCTGAGAAGCTCGAATTCCCGGAAGCCGAATATAGCTCTGAACTTTCAGAAAGGGAGCCCGAGACCGAATCAGACGTTGAATTGGATCGTGATACGGATCGTAAAGACCAAATAATGACCACGGAATCAGGGCCCTCGGGGGCTGCGGGCTCTGGAACAGCGACAGAAAGCGCCGAAGCTTCAGGGATTCAGCGGCGACGGAGCCGTCTATTTAGGGAGGATCAACCGTAGCGTAACTTCCAAGAGTATAATACGAAATGTAATGTTTACTTTTTAGTAAAATCATGTCATTCGGGGTCTAGATGGTGTCTTTTCCGAGAGCTGTTTGTCATAATAATCGGATTCGTACCCGACGGCTATCGATAACAGGTGGGGGGAGATTCCACCTCCTCAGTCTCTTCGTCGGGACTTTCTGTCTTCCGCATCCTCTCTATCCATTCCCCCCCAGCTTCTCCATATTTGCACCCAATGCATATTCTGGTGAGTTGGATCTGATTCTTGCTTTTGTCACTTCACTCACATTCCTTTCCTTCCCAGGTTGCCAACGATGACGGCCCTCCGTCGAACGAGTCGTCCCCGTACATCCACTCGTTCGTCCACACGCTACAATCTGCGGGACACACTGTCTCTGTAGTCCTCCCCCATCAACAACGATCATGGATCGGCAAAGCCCACCTGATCGGTGCTGCCGTCAAGCCAACATACTTCCGGCCTGGTACACTACACGAAGACGACGGTACGACCCACGAATATCCCCGCGGCTTCATTCGTGAGGACGACAACGACCCGGGTGGCGACGAGTGGATTTTGATCAACTCCACGCCTGCCAGTTGCGTGCAGATTGGTCTCTACCATTATTTCCAAGACCGAGGACCCGTCGACCTTGTTGTTTCCGGCCCGAACTATGGGCGCAACACAACGGCGCTCTTTGCGATGTCGAGTGGGACAATCGGTGCCGCAATGGAGGGTGCCGCGTGCGGGAAACGCTCAATTGCTTTATCGTATGCTTTTAGCTCACGCAACCACGACCCTGTCATAATCGCGGAGGCCTCTCGACACTCAGTAAGGGTGATCGAACACCTTGCGAAGAACTGGGATGAGGGCGTCGATTTGTATACTGTGAATGTGCCGCTGGAACCCGGCGTCAGTGAAAGCAAGGTCATGTACACGGAGATGCTTGACAACCGGTGGTCATCTGGGAGCTGCTTCGACGCAGTTGATGCTGAGGTACCGATTGAGAACCCCGACCAGCGGGAGCAGACACTGCGCGATCAGGAGGAGAAATTGGGAGAGGACCCCAATGCCGATGTTACTGTGAAATCTGAACAACGGTCACGGATCCCTCACAAACACTTTATCTGGGCTCCAAAATTCACCGATGTCTACCGAAGTGTGGAGGAAAGTCGTCCTGGAAATGACGGTTGGACTGTCAAGGAGGGAATGACGAGGTATGCTTTCTCAGATCCGTTAACTGCCTTTTCTCCGTGGTAACTATTCGCTAACATCTATATATAGCGTTACCCCGCTCAAGGCCAATTTCATGCATACACCCGGTATCAAAGGGGAGATTAAGCTGTGAGTGGAATTGGAGATCAGTCTCTGCCTAGACGACCGCTTAGAACTTATACCTTGCACTTTTCCTTTGTTCGTCAAGCGGCGTTGCGTGTTGCGTTACATTTGTGGATTTGTCCATGCTCTCATGCCCCTAGCCTATATTATTTGGACAGCGATGGTCTGATAGTTTTATATCGCGTAGATCGGATAATGATGAGCCTTCCCTATACTCCATAGTGGACTGCGACGATCCCTACGTCCAGGAACTGGTCGAAAAGGCCCTCCAATCTCGTATGGGAAGCCGCTACCGGCCACTATCATCAATATCAGACCTTCCTTTACGGTCCGCCCCGGTGTTCCAGTACCGCGAGTACGAACGCCTGGATTTTGAGCACGCCATGATGAACCCGACAACGTCTCTCACAAACGCCTATATTATCCGCAAGGCCTTAATTCGAAAACACTACCTCACAAACACCGTTGCTAACTGGGTAACCAAGCACCCCGATAGTGTGCTAGCCAAACACGTCAAGGCCTCCGTTGACTTCGAACTTGATTACGCCGAATTTCTTGACGACGCTCTTCTTGAGGCATACGAGCTCCGCGAGAGTCTAGAAAAGAACGAATCGAGACCTGACTCGGAGAAGGAGTGGTGGATCCTCAAGCCAGGCATGAGTGACCGAGGGCAAGGAATTCGGCTGTTCAATAGCGAGGACCAGCTTCGTGAGATCTTCGAGGAATGGGAGGTTGATACAGATGACGAGGACGAGGGCGAGGATGAAGATGACGAAGAGCAAGACAACGACGATACCGATAATGCTAAAACTGGTGTGGTTACTTCCCAGCTCCGCCACTTCATCGCTCAACCCTACATCGACCCACCTCTCCTCCTACCGTCCTTGAACAATCGCAAGTTTCACATACGGACATATGTCCTCGCCACTGGCGCTCTAAAGGTCTACGTCTTCAAGGAAATGCTCGCTCTCTTCGCGTCGAAACCCTACGTTTCCCCCACATCCTCCTCGGAAGAATCAAATATAGATGACCCTGTAGCCGACCTAACCCGCCACCTGACAAACACCTGCTTCCAAGACAAATCCGTCCCCGAGTCCGAAACAGTCCGCAGGTTCTGGAACCTCCCGTCTGATCCAGTATCCAATTCTAAATTGAGCCCGACCTGGAAGGAAGATATATACGAGCAGATCTGCAGCATCACGGGCGAGCTATTCACCGCTGCTGCACGTGGAATGATGATCCATTTCCAGACAGTGCCCAATGCGTTTGAGGTCTTTGGGGTGGATTTCCTGGTTGATGAGAGTGGTTCAGTGTGGTTACTGGAGGTGAATGCGTTTCCAGACTTTGGACAGACGGGTGAAGAGTTGAGGGATGTTGTTGTTGGAGGATTGTTCGGCGGCGTGGTTGATGTTGCTGTGGATGGGTTTTTTGGTTGTGATGGTGAGAAAAAGAGTGGTCAGGATGATAATGGGATGAGGCTGGTTGCTGATTTGGATCTTGGGAGAAAAAATTAGTCTTTGACTTGTGTTACCCAAAAAGCATGATTTGGCGTTGTACAGGCATATGGTATATACTAAAAGTTTGTATAGATAGATCGACGTTTAATCGGCAAATATGTTCTGGTTCTTCAGTCGTGTATTATGATGATTTCTACCTCCTTTTACATAGATATCATAACTGGGAAATCAGAAATCACAACTCATCAACCAAACCTCTGCTTCGCTAATGCCTTCAACCACCCAATTGTCTCTTCCTCTTTCTCCCGATATTGCTTCACCCTCTCCTCCCGCTCCGCCGTCCTAGCACGCAGGATCTCCTCCCTCCGTATCTCCCGCTCATTCTTCTTCCTTTTCTCCCTATCTCTATCTGCTTTGATGGCATCTAGATCGTTCTCGCCAGAGCCCATGAGCTCGGCATCAGGAGCGGCATCAGTAGGAGAGCCGCCTCTCCGGGATTCAGCAAAGGCTCGATTAGACGCAGCCGCCTCGCGTTGCTTTTCCATACGGCGCTCATGCGTCCCTGGCTCGGCGCGTGGCGCGACCTCGTCTTCCATGTGGCGAAGCTCGGACTTGTGTGTCCGGACTTCTGCCCGGTGGTGTTGGCGCTCATCGTATCGGTCTGCCATGGCGTCTTCTGCGGCAGTTTCTGGAGAGAGCGTTAGATTAAAGATCATTCAATTGACTCAGAAGCCTGGGCGTGTTGTGTGAAAACGTACCCTTCCGCAGTTCTAGATCTTGCATCGTCGGTATCGCGGGCCCTGGAGCTCGCCCACCACCTCGACTCGATAATCCGTACTGAGGCATAGGACCGTATTCGTCGTCGTCATCATTATCATTGGCCTCTTCCTCCTCGTCGTCACCAGCGCTAGGTACAATGGCCTGATGTTTTTCTCCCATCGCATCCTGATGTGAATCTGCAGGTCCGGGCGCAGACGCAGCAGCACTCCGTGCCTTCTCTAATGTAGCAGGGTCATACCAACCCTCAGCCAATTCTCCACGGTTCCTAATATGTCAGCCCCTCATCTTATCAAACAATATCCATCAAACCCAATTATACAACCGAGCAAAGCCCAGGTATTTGTCTTACCATTTCCCCACAAAACTCTTCCACCGCCCTTTCACTTCATCCTCGCCCAGATCCTCGAGGAAAATTCCCTTCTGGATATCAAGGTACATGGCGAACATGGGTTCGAAGAGTTCCAAGTCGCGCTTTGAGAGCTCGCGCGCTCCGAGTGGGAGGGTTATTGCGACTCGGGTTTCGGGCTCGGAACGGCGGTCGCGGTCACGGTCGCGGCGATGAGAATGATGTCCATGCCCGTGTCTGTGCCTATGGCGACGTTCGTGGTCACGATCGTGGTCATCACGGCGGCGGCGTTTGCTATGTTCGTAGGATCTTGACGGGGATCGTGAGCGGGTGCGCGAGGGAGAATTTGATCTTCGCGGGGTCGGTGACATGGTGGGAGGCATGGTATTTTCTTTTCCGGTTCGTTTGATTGTATTCCTGGTCGTTTAACACCCTTTTCGGGGGTAGAGGGTTGGGTTACTTGGGGTGTTGGGAAGGTCGAGCAGTGGCCGGAGATGCCAAGAATTGGAGCTCCAATCCATCACATGCTTATCACTCCGGTCAGTTCGACTGGGAGGGTCTGGACTGAACATAGTAGTTGGTCTCGTGCACTACCTAGTACTTAGATTAGATTATTCTTTACGACCGGACATTTTATAATATGACTAGTCATGAGCTCAATATCTTCTGGTTTCATTTAATCAATAACTCCGCCATGGTGAATAACTGACATACATAAAGAAGTATAGAAAATACACGAAAGAACTCTACATAAGATGCATGGAGTGGATGAGAATGTCAATTAGCTGGCGGGAGCACTCGACTGGTCGTTGGTCGATTCTTCACTAGCAGGCTCGACGGAGGGAGATGCGGGCTTGGATCGGTTTGCGGCGGCCAACTGCCAGGCAGGAATTGAGGGTGATTTGCTGAATCGTGACAAGGGGTTGTTGGCGTTGGCGCTCGGAGTCTGGGTCGCTTGTGCTTCTCCAGATGCGGTTTCAGTTTGGGGTGTAGCTGGGGAAGCTCCGTTGCTGGCAGGCAGGGCTGAGCTTGCAGGAAGAGCTGAAGATGGAGTGGACTCGGAGGTACTAGCCGCAGTGGTATCCGGCACCTTCGCGGTGACCGGCGAGGACGCAGCACCTCCACCAAGTCTATTACCCAGAAGTGTCTTCAAGCTCCTTAATTCAGTCCCGAGTTCCCGCAGGCGGTTCTCGTTGCCTTCTCGCGCACCTTCAAGCGCCTTTGGAATGGCATCCTTTAGTGCATTAACCTCATCATTGATACGTCGAGTCTCATCATCTCGCCGTCGCGAAGCGGTCTTCAAGTCCGCAACTAGTGTCTCTACGTCTCGCAAGGTAACGTCCAATTTCTCGGTACGGGCTTCTTCGGCCGTCTTTAGGGCGGCAGTATCCGTGGAGAGCTGCTCAATCAACGCGAAAGCCCGGGAAAACTGCTCATCAATGTTTTGCTTGTCCTGTTCCAATTGCGGTGGAGTCGGCGGTGCGATCAAAGGCGAAATGTATCGCTAATTCCGTCAGAAGTTGAAAAGCTAAACAAATTGAGTGTACCTACCTTTGCCACAAAGTAAAGACCATAACCAACCCCTCCCATGACTGTAGCCATTATGAACCAGTCGCGCCAGTCCCGCTTTGGCGGCCTAAATGTCTAGCATTAGTTTCCTCGTTCCTCCATGGTTTTTGGGTTCAACTCACTCTGGGGGAGGTTGCCACTGGCTATATGGAGGATAGCCATATCCTTGCGGTGGAGGGGGAGGCCGGTAGACCGCTTGTTGGGGTGGGGATTGATATCCCGAAGCTGCTGATGATGCTGCAGCGGCCACTGACGGATCCTCGCCGGCGCGAGCGAGAGCTACATCAACCTCCTCTTTTGTGAGGTTCTTCGATTGAAGGAAAGATATCCTCTTCTCAATCGGAGCCGAAGCGACAGACGGATCCTGCAGGACTGTTTGAGAGAAAAAGGGAGTCAGCATGTCTTATTCGGTCTTGACGGAAAAGCGATTTGAGCACGCACATGTCACCTAGAAAACACCCGTCAGGTCAGCTCCGCATTTGACGCCCATGGGTGCCGGGGGACAAGACTTACAGCAGAGGAGATCAGCTCCTCGCGAACCATGATGATTGATCCTGCAACTGGTTCCTATGTATGCAAGAGGATGTTCGTAGAGTGTAAAAAGGAGGAGGGAGGAGGATGGGGAGAAATGGAGAAGCAGGAGAGGCCGACGACGCATCGGCACCGAAAGCGATGAACCTCGGGACGTCTGCGCGTAATTAGGGCGTTTTCTATTACAGCAGCCGTAACAATGCCAGTGGCGGAGACGTTCCCCGGAGTCATGTGATACGCATCCCGTGCCAGATTGTGGCGGCAGAACAGATATTCCGCTTATCGTCGACCGCCTTCTGCTGTTGTGCAGAACGGCAGACGGGGGGCTCTTGTTTACATTGGGCATCTCAATTATTTACCGTCGCAGTCACCTCTTTCCCGCATCACCACCCGGCGTTCAGCCATTCTTTTTGTGCACCGCTAAATATAGGGTGTTTGACTACGGCTAATAATTGTCGTTTTTTGAATAATTACTTCCTGTGCGGGATTAGCTGCGGTCGCAGCTTCCTAATTCATAATGTCGCAAGACACAGGGCTTTTCAGTATCAAACGCCCCCGCGAGGTAAATTCAGTGCCGCCCAGTACCCAATAATGGAGATTTCGCAAAGTAATTGGACTGACTCATAGCTTTTCAGACTCTGGGGAGCGTTCAAAATTACTCATCACTGCCGCAGCCCTCCTCGGCCTTGAAGCGCACCAGCTCAATTGGATTCCAAAACCCCCCTTTCACCTCCCAGCACACGCGCTCGATGTCACTATTAAATTCTGCGGGCCGTCCCCAGCAGCCGAACTTCCAGCGATCATCTTCAGGAGGATTTGGTGCAGATCCCGGGCTCTCATCTGTCAGACGTTCTGTCTCAAGCAATGTCTTCCATGGAGCTGGCGCTGGACGTCCGAGTTTTGCCCCAGGCTCGCTGTCTTCTAATGCAGCCTCTCAGAACCTACAAAGACGAAGCAGCGTGTTCTCACGACCTTCTACGGGTGGTGCTATGGGCCATCATCAGTCATTCTTCACACAAGTCCCATCAGCCGCGGGCGTTCCCAGAGATCCGCGGCCGCTTCGCGACAGGTCTTTCCAGGCTCGAATCTCACAGGAGCTTTTAGAATACTTGACCCATAATAACTTTGAGCTCGAAATGAAACATTCACTTGGCCAGAACACTCTTCGATCACCAACTCAAAAGGATTTCAACTATATCTTTCAGTGGCTGTACCATCGAATCGATCCTGGATACCGGTTTCAGAAAGCTATGGATGCGGAGGTTCCACCAATCCTTAAACAGCTACGCTACCCATACGAAAAAGGCATCACTAAATCCCAGATCGCGGCTGTTGGAGGTCAGAATTGGCCTACGTTCTTAGGGATGCTACATTGGTTGATGGAAATCGCACAAATGATGGATCGATATGTTCTAGGGGAGTATGATGAGGCGTGTGCGGAAATGGGGGTGGATGTTTCGGGAGATCGCATTATCTTCCGTTTCCTTACAGGTGCCTACCATGACTGGTTACAGGGTGGGGAGGAGGAAGATGATGATGCTGCCGGGCAGAGGTTAGTTCCTCATATCGAGCTCATGGCCCAAGAATTTGAAAATGGCAATGAGAAATACGTGAGTGAAATGGCGTCGTTGGATGCTGAGAACCGGTCACTACGTGATCAAATTGAAGAGTTGGAGAAGAATGCCCCGGACATGGCGAAGCTTGACAAGCAGTTCAGGATTTTGGAGGACGACAAGAGAAAATTCGAAGACTACATTCAAAATGTCCAGGGCAAGATCGAGAAATACGAGAGTCGCATCAATTTCTTGGAAGAGGAGATCAAAAAGACAGAGTCGGAGCTGCAAACCGCCGAAGAAGAGCGGTCGGGACTTCAGGCTAGTGTTGATCAGCAGGGCCTCACGATCCAGGATATTGACCGCATGAATACCGAAAGGGACCGACTTCAGAAGAGTCTCGACGATACTGTAAATCGCCTGGAAGAGACGCATGCACGAGTTATGGCCAAGGAATCCGAAGCAAGTGGGAAGCTGGAAGACCTAGAGGAGCTTGTCAAGACTTATAACACGCTTGGATACCAAGCCAGCCTCATCCCTTCAACAGCTGTCAACGCTAATGGCCAGGATTATGAGCTGGGTCTGAACGTGAACGAACGCAGCTTTTCCACATCACAAGTCGGCGGCGTCCCTAGCAGAATCTCTCCTGAAACCGACAGACTTCTAGCCGAGCCTTTCACTGGATATCACCCAGCACACTTGCTGAACTTGGATCTGCGCGGCATGGTTCGCAGCAACCTGCAAACACTCCGGAAGGACATAAACGAGCGAAGAAAGCGTGGGATTGATGCCGACTTGGAGAGACGGAACCTCTTGGATAACATCAAGGAGGCCATGGATGAGAAGCGAAGTGAGGTCGAGGCTTTGGAGCACAAGCGACGTACAGCGGAGGAAGAGTTTGAGCGACTCAAGGAAGTGACAACCACCCAAAAACTCGCTTCAGACGCACAGATCGAAAAGATGGAAAAAGAGCTGGCCAAAATGCGAGCAACGATGAGTGAGAGTGTTCAGCTGATGGAGCAGCGCGAAATGAACACGAACATTGAGTATGAGCAGCTTACACTCCGAGCCAATGCGCTCCGGGAAGAGTTGCACACCAACGTGGAGAGCATGTTGAACGACGTTATTCGGTTTAAGGTCCATGTACAGAAAGGCTTGGAAGATTACGAAAATTTTGTTGTGGACGAAGTGGAACAAGAGCTGGGCGGCGACGGGCAGATGCCCGAAGACGCGCCTCTCTCCACGGAGGAGCTTTGAAGCCGAGAAGCTAGCCTTCCATATGCTGCTGAATCATCTTGATACTGGACCAACCTACTCGGGACTTTGTCGTTTACAAACTTCCAGGGGGGCTGGTAGAGTGCTTGTTTTGGCAAAGGTTTGCCCTAATAGCCGGGAAGTTTCTTCGCCTTGCTATCGGGAACATTTTGAGTATAGATCGGTGTATTAGCATCTGGGTATTCTTTGGCGCTACCTTGCTGTTTTGCGGACGGAAGCTTCTTCTGGCGTATTTGAGCCTACTTTCTTCCTTTTAGTCACATGCATGCCTGTATGAATTGTTTACGGAGGTTACGGACAGTGTGATACCATTTGTGTTTGGGTTGATAATATGATTTTGCTTGGTTATACATTTTCAGTTCAATGATAACTTTACATCCACAACTACATCCACGTGTCCATACACATGCTCGTCAGCATCCAAGTTTCACGCAGGCCGAGTCCCAAACCCTCCGTGGTCACCCTTCCGATCACTTGACTGGGCCATCGGGGCATGATGTCCAGGAGGTGGTACCAATCCAGTCAATGGCTCATCTTGGGCTATACCTCGCAATTTCTGTGGGAATACCATCGAACATGTCCTTCTCTAATCTTTCTCGGGTCTTTCTTGCCACGTTCTAGGCCTTAGGCGCAGAAAGGAGCCCGAAGCATGTGTCTCAAGGTCAAGTATATATAGGATGTTGCGCGGTTGATAATCTAACCCCGACTATCTATCCACGGGAGTTCTAATTGACCCATTTGCTCTACTCTTGAATCCAACTTTCATTTCAGATTACCCACTTTCACATAACCATGAAGCCCGCTACTATCTTGAGAGCCACCTCCACCCTTTTCCTGGGGAACGCAATGGGACAACTAACCATTGTACGTGCAACATCAGAATAAACACCCACCATTGCGCATTTACTGACAGAAGTTTCCAGACAATCCCCAGACTCCCTAACCTGCCAACTATCTCCATCCCAACTCTTTCCATTCCCAGTACTGTCTCTCTCCCCGATCTTCCGACCATACCTATCCCAACAACCCTCCCGACATGCCTCCCAAATCTCCCAACTACATTGCCATCGTTCACCTGGCCCACTCTCATGGCCGCTGAGGCTACCAATGAGCCAGGAAATGTCAAGAAATCCTCGGTTGAGGGCACATTCGAGCGGACACATCCGCGCCAGATTGCGCGGGCTGACGCTTAGTCGCCGGCAAAGCTCTCCCCGTCACATGCTGATGCAACGAAATTTGCTAGCTTTGATTCCTTGGTGGCTGTATGGAGGGTCTCAACAGAATGATGTACTGTGTTTTTGCCTCTACTTCTAGGGCTACTTAGAGGTAGCGTCTGGACGAAATGAGTGGATTTGGTGGCATTTTTGTATTAAGTGCTTTGAGTCCTTAGTTTCTAATGATATTGAAATCGGCTAGCCCAGTGTCTGTTCTACCCTATAATCTAGAGTATTCAACAACATGACGTCTAATCCATTTGTACCTGGTCGATTAGTTTATGCCTGAGGCAATAATACAAATGATAACTGAGAGTCATCACGCCGATGATTGGTTGCACCCCTGCTGAGTCATCCTGATTTTCGAAGTCCAAAAAAAGCTCAAGAAATCGGGATGAACAAACCTAAACCACCGTTGCGAAAGAACGACGCCTTCGATCTTTCCCCTTATTATGCGGCTTAACAGACCGTCAGGGTAATCTCCGAACTCCAAAGTCCGTCGCCCATCGAATTGCCCAGGAATGCAACGTCTCGTCAACTGTTAGACATGCGCAACAGAGCATCACTCCGACGGCGACACCGAGATTTGGACCACCTTACGCTCGCCCTTAACTCCTCTGTCGTGTCATGACAAGCTACCTGTATCCAGCCCGCTTCCTGTGTCTGCAGTGCCGGTCTTCCTTACGTCCTTCTTTCGCCGCTCCGTCTCGCGCCTCAACAATTCCTCGTGTCGGTTGGAGGCTACAATGGAACAATCAATACTCCGTTGGCGTCAAGCGCCCGGTTAAAGGCCGCGTCTTTAATTCTGGGATTTTGAAAGCAATTGGTCGTCTCAGAGCTCCAAAATGGCCCATTCCGCAGTCACAAGGGAGAAGGGCGATGCGCTTCAAAAAGATGCTTTACGAATACCTTTCGCTGATCTCGCGGGATGCAGCGATGCATCCGACACGTTCGACCCCTGAGGCTCCCTCTTTAATGACTAGATATTCATTCACGAGGACTGTCGAATTGGCTCACCACCTCAATACTGCGCGGACCGAACTGAAACGGGACCTTTTAGCGCATCTTGGGTTCAAAGCGAAGAAGTGGTCGACCGTGTATGAGGCACTCAGCAGATTAGCGGATGCGGCGGAGGCAGTTAAGGGAGCTTCTCATCATAACTATGGAGCTATAGAAAACCGGGCGTCAAGTTCTGGAGTTTCCCTTGACCAGCTCACTGATAGCGATATCTCACCACCCACCCGGACGTCGCAAGCCCCGAAAATCATTGGACTTGACCGTTTGGATGCGATTACGTACCGCCCATTCGATCGGGATTACTATATGCTGCTTATGGGTCAAATCTGGACAAGTTTAGGCTCAATAATCCTTCATTCTGCGGACGCCTCCCCGGCCGAATCCAAGTTGGCTATGTCCATTGTGTATCGCATCCTTGCGCGGCTTCACCATTCCGGCCTTGTCTCTGAGCGCGTCTACATGTACGCTACTCCGGAGATCCATCAGGCCTCATTTCGCCCGCCAGGGATCCATCTACTTTCTTCATATATCATGGATGTCCTCTCGGATGCTGCCTGGCTGGTACATGAAGCCGAGGTTGCGGCGGAAGCTGCGGCTGCCGGAAAAGAAGCACCCTTTCTCCCAGCCAAGATCGGTATCAAGGAACTCGGGCACGAGATCTGGTTTGAGTTCGTACTTTGGTGCTGCGTTGAGCATGGCCATATCAACGAAGGAGTTTGGCTAATTAACCAATCGATCCGAAAAGACTGGAACTTTCAGAGCTGGGTACCTCTTCTCCGCGACGAAAAATTACTGCGAAACACCAGGATAGACCGAGATATCACAACGTGGCCTTCGCCCGGCCCGGCAGTTATCAAACCCGAACCGCCCAACCAGACTGGGGTCCCTTCGCCTTTTCACGGATTGGGCAGACGGATCATCAGTACCGAAGTTGTCGCAGCATTGATGGATAATCTACCCAACTCAGTTCATATGGGAATGGGTAGCGGAGGCACTCCTGCAAATGAACTCCTCCACGACGTCAGTAGTCTCAAATTTGCCATCTTGTCCCCTACGACGTCCGATTCCAAGTTTCTACCGACAACTAAACGAGCTAACTGGTTCATTACCCGTATAATGGAATCTGGCGGGCTAGCCCCGGAGGCTGATCCTCAGCTGTTTGATGGTTTTCTCAAATTAACTCCTCACGTTGTCCCTCCGTGGAATAACGATATGTGCCCTGTGGAGGAAAACTTACTTGCGAAACTTCATCCATCACAGCTTTACGACGAAACAACGGCCCTTACCGGTTTAATGGCATATAACCTAAATTATCACTCTTCACAAGGGTTTTGTGGAAGTGCCCTGCGCTTGTTTGCCATTTTGCAGGATGTGATGGACACATGCAAGATGCAGCGTGTGGATGAATTCTTCTTGTCGCAGGTGGAAAACGCTGGTGCAGCCCTACCTTTGCAAGAACTCGACAGCTTTACATCCCCCGGGCCTCTCAGCTCGTCAAACCCACAACTCTCTCTCGTCACGATTGCTCATCTATTTGATTTAATCACTACATCTCGAGCGTTTGCATTCGGCGAATGGTTACTATTGTCAAATGATGTTGACGGGCCTACGGTACCCATAAGCGCATACGGGGATCAGGCCCTGGCGCCTTCACTCTTACGGTTCGCTGCCGCTACCAAGAATAATCCTATCGGCGAAGCGGTCATACGAGAACTCGCCGAGCCTGTCTCTGTCAACACGCTTCGTGCACTTCTAAATTATCGCATTACAATGCATCATTGGCACGATGCCATCCCGTTATTAAAGTACATGCGCGACCATCGACTCAAATCTTGGTCACATAACAACATCGCCTCCATAGTTGCAGAGATTATCCGCCTTGATCACTCTTTGTCCCTGCAGCAATCATCTGATCTGACACGTACGACCGCCGTTGACCTCGAAACAGACCTTGCAGAAGCAAAGAAAATCCTCTACCGCATCTTATTCGGCGAGTTCGACGAAATCCCTTGGCGCACACGAAGCGACTCTCGTTTCCAAGCGAATACCTTTATCAGCTTCACGCGCCTCTTTCACCACTTATCCTCTCCTTCTCTACACGAAATCCTTGACACTGTTGTCGAACCTGAGCACGCCCCTATGTACCGCCTTCCTTACATCCCTTCTACAGCCTTTAACGTCATTCTTTCCGCAGTCGCCGAAACCAAGGGATCTCTAGCTGCTCGCAGCATCTATGAGCGCTTCTGCGTGAGCTACACCTCACCGGAAATCAATCGCACGGTACAGGGCGGCATTACTCGCTTCTACACAAAGGCTACACGAGATTACCAAAAAGGCGACCCAAATTTCGACGCCAAGTATGCCCGGCATCTCCAGGAGAAATTGGTGTATCCGAACGCGAACACAGTGCGAATTCTCGCCCAGGCTGCTATTCGGGATTACGACGCTGCTGTATCTGAGATGAAATCAGAGTCAACCCCGGAGGCCACAACAGCTCACCCATCGAATGATCAGAATGGTCATTTCCCACCCACCCCTATCGCAAAAGAAAACCATTCCATTTCAATCCAAACACCATCGCCATCGTCATCGCCAGCCCCAGAGCCAACCTTTGTCGCCGAAGAACGAAAAATGTACGCGGAAAGGACACTCATCTTCTGCGCAAAACGCTTCAGGGCCTTCAATATGAACGGAGCCGAAATAGCCCACGAGATCGGCCAAAAGATCTACGCACGCTATCGAAAGTCGAAGAAGGAGAGACGGGAGCGGCGTCGAAAACTAAGGGCCGAGTCAAGAGGGAACATCTCGTTGAAGAAGGGGGTAGCGACACGGGTTTCGAACTGGGTGCCGAGAACGAAGAGCGAGATAGCAAAGATGCGGGTTGCCAGCGGGGAGAGAAGGGAAAGCCAGAGAGTTAAGAGGGAGAAGATGAAGGGGTCGCGGAATCCCCGAACAAGAAAGGAGCTGAAGAGATCCCAACAAGCAGAGAGAGGGAGAAGAGTATGGCGTGCCAAGGAAAGACAGAGGAGAAGGAAGGAAATGGAAGTGAAGAGAGGCGGGGAGCCCCTAACAAAAGCCGAGATGAGAAGGTTCCGGCGGGCTAAAGGGAGAGAGAGGAGGGAGAAGAGAGAGGAGAACGAGAGAGAGAAAGAGATGGCAAAACAAGTTGCCCGTCAAGCACTGGCGCAATCGATCATTTCTGCTCAGCGTCATCACTAAAACGAACTCTCAAGATCAACAGAAAGTGTGATCACGAACCAAAACAAGGTCCGGGGAAAGGACACCCCATTCGGCTCTTAGTCTTCTAAGGAAGACTTGTACTTTACGATATATATACCCTGCATTGTATCATAGATGAAGAAATAGAATAGAATAATATTGTATATAATATGTCCAGCAAAGTGCAATACAAGCCAGGCACTTACTAAAAGCACTAATAGTCTAAAGGCAAAAAGAAGAACATAACAAGACGCAAGGAATCACCTTGACCTCGCCGGCCAGCGGTTTGATATGACATGTAATATATGAGAACACCACCCAAAAGACCTTTCTTACAGGAGTAAAATCATTAATCATATCCCGAACCCGGTGCAAAGAAAGATAATAGAGAAAGGTCTGAAAGTATATCGAAATGACATGACAGGATGTAGACCACACCTGAATTAATCATTCCAAGGCTCTTCCTCATTCGAATTTGGGAAGAACGACTGGATGAACTCGCCAGTGATAGGGTCGTAGGGGAAGTACATTTCATTAGAAGTTCCGGTGGAAGGACTACTAAGGCCGCCGAAGAGAAGGGGATCTTCGATGCGCGGGTTAGTGAAGAAATATGTGGTAGCCGGGGGTTGTTGGAAATCCGTTGTTGTTGCTGCTGTTGTTGTCGTTGGATCTTGGAAAGGTGGTTGAGACATTTGTTGGATGCCGTCCGGGAGATGGAGGTTGAAAACGGGTGTGGAGGATGCAAGAGACGGGAACTGGGTGGCCATTGTGGCGATAGGAGGGTTGGTATCATTCTGTGGGGATTGTGACTGCGGCTGCGATGGTTGTTGCTGTTGTGTACTGTCGTTGGCATCGGACTGGTAATCGGCGGCTGGAATATCGCTCGCGTCGAACTTTAGGCCTACGGCGAGACGGCGGAAGTTCCCATCGCATATTTCCCAGGCACGTCTTGAAGCAAGGCTGGACTCGGACATGGCGTGGAGCCAGCGGATTCCCTTTTTCGCAGCCTCGAGGATGTTCTTCTCCTCGTGGGGCATGTGGATGCTACCAAAAGAGAGCTCGAGAAGCAGAACAGTGGTAGCTTGCATGAGATAGTGTAGGATGCACCACCAAGGGCAGAGCTGGTAGATGCGCGAGGCGTCAGGCTCATCGGGGAGCAGGCCAACTAGCCGCTGTGCAGCTTCAAGGACCGCCACTGATACCTCGTGACTAAATGATTTCGCTTGACTGGGCGAGTTTGGTGATCGGACATCGCGGCGACACAAGCAGGGCCGACCCAGTGTGATGCGCGCGCTGTAATAGTGGAACGCGAGGCAGAGACTCGCTCGGAGCAATTCCGGACTCTGCTCACCACTTCTGGTCCAATCATAAGCTTCAGGGAGATTTGTATACCAACGCTCAATTCTTGTGCGCAGCTCCTCAATGCGATTCTCGATCTGACTCCAAGGTGTCATGATACAATCGAGGGAGTAGACCCGATTGACGATCTCCTGGGTAATAACACCGAGGTCGACGAAGTATAGGAAGAAAAGAGAGGTGCTCGGTGGTAAGCTTTTCAAGCGCGAGGCGTCTTGAGTCTTCATTGTATTTTGCGCCTCACGACCGGGCTGTGTGGTAAGGGGCATCTGGCGAACAAAGCAGCTCGCCAGGGCTGCTTCCACACGGGCTTGGCGAAGCTTTAAGCTGCCGAGTAGCTCTGCAATAGCTGGGTCTTGAAACCGGTCCTCGTCCACAGGGAGTGGCATCGGTGTCGTGCAAATGCCATTCGAGATACCCGTCATACGTCCAGTCATTATCCCAAGCAGGTGTTCAAATGTATAAAGACACCACCAAACCCTATACCGAGCTTCCTTAGACGCATCAGGGGTGATTTCGCTAGTGTTCCTGAGGTTCAAACCAAGAGATATGCCGGACCTAAGAGCTAACGATGCAACTCTCCACGCTCTAAAATTTCATCAGTTCAGTTGCAAGAAACCCATAGAAGGCTGTGAGAGGTAAGCATACCGATTGATCTGATCAGTTGAGAGTAGGTAAAAAGCCGTTAAAGCCTCCACCTGCACCTGCTGCAGATCAGGATGAGTAAAAACGGAATCACTGTTGATACCCAGAGCCCGGGCCCTAGCCAGGTAAACGAAGTGATCACGGTCATCGCCGCGCCAGGGCGCCTGCATGAGGTGAGCATGGTAGGATGATATTGCAAAAATTAGGTTCAAAATGGCCAGCCATTTATCACCTGGTCGCGCCGAGTTATCGAAGAAGTTTCTAAACTGCGCAGAAAAGAGCGGCCGGCTGATGATAGGGAAATGAGGATGGACTGTTTCAAGGTAATCCTCAAAGAGCTTGTCCGCAAGATTTCGGGGAGGCACCCAATAAAGGTGCACAGGTCCAGGAGGTGTTATGTCCACATCATCCAAATGGTAATTCACGGAATGGATGGCAAACTTGCGGTCTGGCTGGAATTCGGCTGGCCCTGGTAAGTTGCGCGCACGGTGGTCGGCCTCTCTACCTAATCGTTGCAGCCAAGTAACCTCTGAATTCTTTCCCATATATCCTGTGGCTCGGGTATGTGGGTTGCGATTCAGATCCTCATCCACACGATCGATCGCATCCAATGACCCAATAGAAGACGGCAGACTTTCCAATTCAGCGTCGGGCTCTTCATCAACAGCAGACGCAGAGTTCGTAGAAAGCTGGTCGCTTAATAGTTCGTTCCCAGGTTCGGCGTACTACAAACAATCGCAAGTCAGCAAGCGAGACCACGAAAGGCAAGACGAGCGACACAAACTTTATCAAGAGTCTGCTTAATTTGCTCTGACATCCGGCCGTCAACAAGTTGGCTAATCTCACGGAGAAGATTTTCATAGTTATCCGACTTGGCCGAAAGTTTAGCGATTTCCCTATAGTTATCAAGCAAGCAACAGTCAGTTATCATGGCACAAATATGCGGGGCACCTAGGGAAGGAAGATGGGAGACAAACACTTTCGTTCGCTCGCGCCATGAAACCGGGTAGCGACAGTCGACTCTTAATTCCAAACACTGCCTGCAAATGGGGGTGTCGCCACTGCATTTCGTTTTGCGCATTCTGCAAGTTTCGCATGCCAAGGGTACACGGCGACTATAACGAGGGGCAGCCCCGGACCGTTGGCGGGGTATAGCGACCTTGTTGCTACTAGACATTTGCTTTCTTCCGGTGGTTGTGGCATTGCGCGAAGGTACTCGTGAGGCTTGTAGGGATGATCCAGGCGGGCCTGGGGGATTAGAAACCGGAACAATGTTGGGATGGCTGTTGGACTGGGGCTGCAAAAGACGTTCGCCGCCCTGTACAATTCCCCCCGCCTGCGGGAGACCGGACGGCATTTCCATCGCGTTGATAAGACCTGGATGGGTATCGGATATCTGATTACGAAGACAGCATTAGAGATAGATAGATGGATGTGATAATAGGCATAGAGCAATTACAAGGTCGAACTCGTTAAGCGATTCGCAATGCGCCTGGGGCCAGCCAAGTACAAGGGAGAAATAGAACACACAAGTCAGTAAACTCACAAAACGCCCAACCTTAAGAGCGGGTTGGTGCACAACCACCTCAACTACCGAAAGCGAAGAGGAAGATGGTTGAAGCAGTTGAATTCACCAAAATTCGATGAATAGTACCAAAAAGTCGATTGCCACAGCCGAGGCCAGAGCCATACATCGCCCTTATGTCAGCAAGTTGTCCGCCTCAGGCACTGACTGGCCAGGTACGTACTCCGTGGGGATCGGAGAAGACACCAGCAAAAATGAATGGCCAAGGCGTGCATACGCCGTTACTTTGAGCTAATTTTGACATTACTCGGGACTGTACCATCAATATTGACTAATCATCTTAAAACGTTTTCCTCTGTTGTATTGTTGTATCCTCCTCCAGCTTTTCCCTCTTGCGTAAGCAGCATTGCTTTTTCACCACGCCAAATAAAAAAACCGCCAAGACCATAACCGACCAAGTATGTATCATAATCAGAACAAGGCATATTGGGAATCAAGTGAGAGAGAGGGGTGAGCAAATTATATGTACAAGCGAAAGATGGGCACCCGCCACAAGAATTGAACGCAGCTGCGTAGACAACAACGCAAGATTAAACAAATATAACATTAAATCAGACAGATCGCATGTCGAGAGAGCAATATGTTTCGGTCTCAAGAAAGGTCAAATTGTGCCATGAGCGGAGATGATCAGAGTAGACGGCTCTGAGCAGAGTGCAGGTAGAAAGAACTTGGCGGTTAGATCTCGCCGAACATCTCATCGAGTTCGTCGACGTCCACGCTTTCCGGACTTTGTAACTCCCGCCAAGAATCGAGAACCATCTCAGACGAGAGGTTCAGCGGCATCATAGCATTCACAGCTACTTTGTCCTCTGCGAAATCCGCCATTCCCATGTCTAGGTCAGGGATTTCATCGTCTAGCATGTCTATTGACCTCTTGAGTGTCGACATACGCGCCAGGCTCGGATCTTCCGGAAGAGCGATACGCGGAGCATTTCCGAGAGAGCCGGGCCCGCTCTCAATATCCGAACCATCATCCGAAGCTGCGCTCGTGCCAGACGAGACGGACAACGCAACGGATGTGAGTGAAGGAGAAGGAGAGGTGCCGAACAGGGCAGTTGCAGCGGTTTCATCAAGATCCTGCAGTTGCAGCTGTTCTTCGAGAGAGGAGTGCGATTCATGGTCCTCAGGAGAAAAATAATTATCCTGACTTTGGGACATTTCATCGTCCCCAAGAGAGGAGAGAGGGCTGCCATCAACAGGTGTTCCTGAGATGCTCATACTCATGTCGTCCAACCCTTGGAGGGCCTCTGTGAGGGCCGAGTATCCACCCTTAGCTTGCGCAAGTTGGCTGGTTTTTTGCTCGGAGGCCCGCTCGCGAACAGCGCTAGCCGTTTGCGTAAACTCCTTCTCGTCGCCCTCCAGTGGTGGAGAGGCCGCACGATGTGAGTGAACCACGCGCGTGTGGCGATGGTCAGGGAATTCCGGGCTGTGTCTCGCGCTACCGGATCCGCCACAAGCATCCAAGTCAATGTCTCCTTCCTCGAAATCAGGAGAAGACAAATCAACCTCGGGGCTTGGAGAGCGCTGCCGCGCCAGAGAATCCTCGTCGTCGTCTACACTGGATACACTAGGCGTCGAGGCTTTGCCTTCGATACCGGGTATAATGACATCGTCGGAACTCTCTGGTATAGGCTGGCGAGCATGAGTTGTGAGATAGTAATACACCTTGCGAGGGTGTATCGGAATGAGCTCCTTTGCCAAAGGACACGGCGCTAGCGCTGTCCATGGGCGCTTCATGTAAGCGCTCAGACGGGAGGAGAGTAGCGCAGCAGGGTTTGCAGAGCTGTGGTGAGAAAGGATAGAGGTTAGTCTAATTCACGGCGCATTAAGACGGCGAAAGTTGGAAGGGAAATTGAGACTCACTTCGCCACATTGTCGTTGAAGGTGATGAGGACCGCAGCCAGCTCTTTGACCAGGTGAGGGCGATTGGCGGTCTTTTCCAACTGCTCAATCACACCAACCACGATGTCGTCGTTGATCCCTTCAAGGTCGATCTTGGGTGCGACACCGCCATCAGAGGGCGATAAAGGAGGTGTTTGTTCCAGTGTCGCACGTCGACCAGACGGGCGAACAGTATTCGTGTGTCGTTTGGTGTTTGTGCCCTGTTCTATCGGCTCTGGCGACGACGAGTCTGAGTCGTGCGATCTCTTTACCCTTTTGGAAGGAGTATTCTCGTCGGTCGCGTGAACCGGCTTTGAGGTTGAAGGAGAGCGACGAGATGTGTTTGGAAGATGAATGCCCAGTAGCGGAAGAGACAAGGACTTGCGACGAGTATTGTAGGGCATGATGTGGTTGGGAAAGAGAGGCGCGTGGGAGAGGCGGAGGGAGGCGGAATAATAGGAGTCGGAATATAGTAGATCAAACAGGCAGAAAGTACAAGCAGATTAAACAAAACACAGGCAACAGTCTAGACAATAAGGAAAGTGTATGCGGATATGAATAATAAATAGTAATAGTAATAAAAAGGATAAGGATAAGGTAAAGATATTGATACTAATAACACAAAGGGGAGGTGGGAGGAAAGAGGAGGGAAGATGGATGGGGGACTGAGACAGGAGGGAATGGGAGAGGATGGATGGATGGAAGGGGGAACAACTCTGGGAAGGGAGACTGTAGAGTGACGACTGACAGCGGAGATGAGCGAGGCAGGGTCAGCAACGAGACAAACTTCCCATGAATAATGAGACCAGTAAGAGAAATGTCTAGTCGACCGTTGGCTGTCGAGACTCTCCTCGCCTTTTTTGTTCCTAATTTTTTTTTTTTTTTTCTTTTTTTTCCCGTTGTCCATTTTCCAGGCTCGCTGGGAGAGGCGGGAATCGGAATGTTTGAGGGTGGCGGTTATTGGTCCGATACGGGTGGGTTCAGGAATGCTGTCGCCGGGAGAGCACAACCCAGAAATTCGCAGCGCTGCCTCGCGAGGAGCAACAATCAACAGTCTACACCGTCTACACCGTCTATGGTACTGAAGGAAACTCAGGGCGGCTCAGAGTGAATACTCCGGGGAAATATCGCACACCGCTGGTCGCTGACGCTGGCCATGAGAGCACTTACTCTTTGCGCCCGCCACTATACCTCGAACTCAGGAGGTCGCCATGGCAAAATCCACCCAAAGGCAAAAAAAAAAAAGTACGGTGGGACCAGCCATGTGTCTGAGATTCCAGGTATGACGACCGGGCCAATTAGGCCGAGCTGCGATTGGAGGGTCGGATCCATGATCAACTGAGGTTCTCTGCACGGCTTCGATGATGGAGAAACAAAGAAGCGAATCGGGAGGCTCCTGCTGCAGCTACGCTTGGTTGCTGGGCGCTGCGCAAAAATTTTCTGATACAGAAACAAACAACGCGATCTCCAAGGATGGCCGGCTTGAGAGACTCGCACTAGACACTTGAAAGGATGTCTGCTTGAGACTACTCTCACCGACTCTCGCGCGAACGGCTTGGATCTTCCTTGTGCCACGGATCTTTGTTTCGTGATGAGGGGTGATCTGTCGTCGCCGCTGCAACCCCCCAAGGCTCCAGGCTCGGTACGATTTGGATTACTTCCAGTGTCTGTGACTGGTCAGCACCCGGGAGCTCTGAACAAAGACATCGCTCCAGCACAAGCAGCTTGCATTATTGCTTCATCGCCGACGGCGTTCCATGGTCGGGTCCGATGTCCACTGCGAAGAGGCGATGAATAAAATTTCCAAGCTCCCAAGTTATGCGCTAGCCCCGAGCAGCAATGGAATGGAACCAAAAAACCAGGCTAATCCCAGCTAGTTCCCCGTCCAGCCCCGTTTGAGCCCACAGGATATCGTTCCTCGCGTCACCGTTTGTCGTGCGCCCGCCAATCATGCTGGATCCAGCGGGGCATCTGCCGTTCTCGATAGCTCTCTGAGATAGCCCACGGGTGGCATCCGGCTGAATCCTCTTGGCAATCGGAACGTCCCAAGGCGGTGGCTGCCTTTGCCTTCGATTCCGATCCACGATCCAATGAGGCAGGCGCTGTTGTATACAAAAAATGGCCAAAGAAATATGTACACATCATGCTCGCCCGCCTGGTTGTTATGTGGGCTCGACGACGCGTCTGGGCTGCTGCAATCTGCAGGTGTTTCTTCCCCATGCATTGGATGTGTCACCCCCGGCAAGGGATCAATGATCAATCAACCAGCTAAACATACTCGACAATCGAGACATACTTTATGGCAATCAAACATTGGCTTCCAAGGAACCATCCCTGTCTTTGTTGCCCAGTGACAGCGTGTTTACCCCTCACTATTCCAAAGGTTGTTCAAGTGGTGATGCAGAACAACAATAGTTTATGCAAACTTGGAGGGGGGCGAGAAGGGTTGCTTCGTGAGGAGTTTGGGACATGGGAGACTCCGTAATCGTATACTTGAAGATCTCCTGCATGCATGAATCACTCACCTTTTTTCAGCCCTCACCGATAAAATCCCCGATGTTGGATAAGCATAAAAGGAAGAATAGCCGAGCATGCGGCCTGAGCTTTATTCGACGTACGTTCCAATCAATATTGCAGAACCAAGATGCTTTGAACTCCCATTCTTTGTCGTCGGCCGAGTGAGGGCCTTGGTCTTGGGTGACCTCATGACTCTTGACGCGATACGAATATATACCCGAATAGGAAATGACCCTACTCCATCGATGGAGTACACAGACACGGTCAGTGTCGGCGCTAAACTGCAATAGCTTAACAATTTGGCAAGTCCTTCAACATCTGCGCGGTTTCGCCATCAATAACGAACACCTTGAGACACGCCCCAGCCCCCAGTTGATCATTGATGACATACCCGTAGTACGTACTCTCAAACAGATCGACAGTCGATTCCTACTCCGCCTCGTCTCAGATTGTGTCATCTGTAATATAGCTTACCCCGCATAGAGAGGAGTTTCCAGAGCAAAATGCAACTTTGACCTCATAGTTTATATATCTATATGCAAAATAAAATCATGATATGCACGCGGGTACTCCAACTCGCCTCTGATAAATGTGCATTGCGCAAGGTCTTGATAATTGGCTGAGCCATTGGCTGAGCCATGTCATTCGGGTATAATAATTCTAGTCGTACAGAGACAAATAATATACATCTATCGAAAATATAGAGGAAGAGGCAAGGCCGTCGAGATCGTCTACTGGCGTCTTGGCCGCAAAACATATCTCCACGTCGTTCCAAAATGCCAACGCTGCTCCTCAACAACCTCCAACCCACTGTCTTGAATAATCTGCCCGATATCCCGGTTCCACCAGCACCCATGCCGGTCCGCATGCGCAGGGGCCAGGTTATCCAATACGCGATTGAGCCAGTCGTAATGGGATCGACCATGCTCTATCAGCAATATGCGGCCCTGCTGCGGTTCCGTAATCGTCCCCAAATGCTTCAAGGCCCCCGCAGGGTCCGGCATCGAGCACACTCCCATAGTTTGCACAATAGTGTCATAATACCCACCGTGCGCTGCCGCTTGCCCCTGGGCATGCGGTCGAGGGGGAGGGACGTCCCTCGCGTCCTGCGCCCGAAACTCAACCCTCCCCGTCCCAGCAAACCCAGGATGCAGCCTCTCAAACTTGTTCCTCGTAATCGCAACCATCTCCGGACTCAAGTCCACAAACGTAACAGACCGGCACCCTCGCACCCCGGCCCGACCCTTCTCGTCCACCGTCCTCTTCTCACCCAGCTCGTAGTACTCCAGATTCCTGCCCGTCCCACAACTAACCTCCAGCACATCCCCTCTCGCCCGCTGTACAAGCTCGCGGCGTTTCGCACCCAAGCGCATTAGTTTCTCAGACATCTCGACGTCGGCGTCGAATGTCCCCGCGGTATGGTTATACCGGTCTGAGACGTCCTCTGGGACGGCCATAGACTGGGCTTGCGCGACTTCGCGACGGTACGAGGTGTATAGATACCCGCAGTAGGTGCTCATGGCGAGGACGCTGACGCCGAGTATGGTCATTGCCCTTGGGGGCAAGCCATGAGTCGCCTGGGCTCCTGGCGTGGCATTGAGATTCAACAGATGTGGATTTGCTCGCTTGGGAAGCGGCGGACTGGTTTTTTCCTGTTAGCTAGCTATATCTATTTTAACTTATGATGGGAGTTGTTAACCTTGTGTGTCGTGATGATGCTGCGCCGGTGTTTGGCTTTTTGGCGGTTCGCGATGGAGCGGCGGCCGGGCCTTTGGCTGCTTTCAGGGCGCTTCGTCCTGCTCTGGACGCGCTCATGGCGAGAAATCAAGATTGTAACGTCTAGGAAACAATTGCGTTGTTGGTTTCGCAAGGCGGCTCAGGGAACGCGACTGGGTATGGAGAGCTCGAACAGGCAAGTTGATGCTGCGGCCCGATGCTGGAGAAAGCCAAGCTCGGCTTATCATCGGCGCCAATTTTTTTCTGGAGAATCAGTCCATATCTTGGGGTCGGCCGACACTTCCCCTCATTCTCAATTCGCACTCTCCACGGTCCCAGAAAGCAAATTTCTCTGGAGAGGAGCGGCGCCAGTCTCTTAGACATTTCCAATTTCATACACTCTGCACGCAATGGCGCTTCCTGAGAATATTCTGATTGTCGGAGGAGGGGTTTTCGGATGTGAGTCGGAGAACCCACTGTGGGAGTACAATTCTTCCCTTTCATATATTCCTTCTCATTCCTGTTGTTTATGGATTGAAGCTGACATCGCACAGTGTCTACGGCCCAGTCCCTTTCCAAGCGTCACCCAAATAGCAAGGTCACCCTCCTCGAAGCGTCGCCCACAATCCCCAACCCGCACGGCTCTTCCGTTGACACATCCCGGATTATACGAGCCGACTACTCCAATCCCACATACTCGAAGCTCGCAGCCCAAGCAACTGATCTCTGGCGCAGCTCTGAATGGGGCCATGAAGGCCGATACACCCAAAACGGCCTTCTGCTTGTCTACCCCGACGGAGACTCCACGGCGAAGGACTACACAACGAAATCCTACCACAACGTCACGCAACTCGGTGAGGACGCCCAGTTCTTACCGACAAAGGCAGACGTTCTTCGCGCCGCCCCGGCATACGGCGAAACCCTCAATGTCGCAGGTGGCTACGTAAACTGGAGCTCCGGCTGGGCAGACGCAGAAGCAGGTGTGCGCTTCGCAAAGGAAAAGCTCGACAAGGAGGGCAAAGTACACTTCGTGACGGGCGAAGTCTCCCGCCTCCTCTTCTCTCCCAAGGACAACCGCACCGTAACCGGCGTTGTCCTCAACAACGACAAGAAAGAAACCATCACCGCCGACCTCGTCATCCTCGCAACAGGCGCCTGGACAGCCTCCCTAATCGACCTGCGCGGCCGCGCCGTCTCAACGGGTCAAGCAATCGCCTACATGCGCATCTCAGACGAGGAGCAGCGCCTCCTCCAGAACATGCCTACGATCCTGAACTTCGCAACAGGCATCTTCATCATCCCGCCCCGAAACAATCTTCTCAAAATCGCCCGCCACGCTTACGGCTACCATAACCCCAAGGCCGTCACAGTCCCGAGCTCAACATCCACCGGCGAGAGAATGCAGGTCAGTCTCCCGGAGAAAGGCGTGCCCATCCCGCTCGAAGGCGAATCCGCCTTCAGATTCGCCCTTAAACAACTCCTTCCCACGTTCGCCGACAGACCGTTCGTCGATACCCGTATCTGCTGGTACACTGATACGTATGTTCCCACTCCTCCCCTCCCCAATACTCTAGTCCAGCCCCAAACCACAATACAGAAAACTAACCACCCCTCCACAGCCCCAAAGGTGACTTCATCGTAACCCCTCACCCAACATATCCGTCTCTCTTCCTCGCAACCGGCGGCAGCGGGCACGCATACAAGTTCTTCCCTATCATCGGCGACAAAGTCGTTGACGCGTTGGAGGGCAAGCTCGACCCCGAGCTGCGCGAGTTATGGCAGTGGCCCGAAGCTATGGATGACGATAACTTCGAAGGAACGGAGGACGGGAGTCGCTCGGGGAGTAAGCGGTTGGTGCTGATGGAGGAGTTGGCGAAGTCGAAGAAGGAGCGGAGGGTGGGTGTGCTATAGGTGTTATAAAGGATATTATTATATCTGAAGCAGTTGGGATGGCAGTGATTGATATATATATATATATATATAGTTGAAATTGGGAAAAATTGTAAGGTAGTGGCTTTGATAGTGTATATATAATGGACCACGATCGGTTATTATTTATTATCGAATATATATATATATGCCCCGAAGTTAAATATTTCTTGAACACTGATGCTGAGGTGCATGTTACCAATGGCATGAGGACAGTGTTATGGTAATAAGTGTTATTCGGCTCAAGACTTCTACGCAATTACAGTGGACAAAGGTTTACATTCACTTGTTTTATTTTGTGCATGATAAGCTAATGCTACTGTTGTATCAGGGTAACCTGTCATTCAGCGCATTGAACAAAAGGACAATCTAAACAATAGTTCAGAGCCCGGAGAAAAATGAACTTAGGCAAAAGACAAGACTGCGTATTAAGTCAGCTCGTCAAGCCGCCAGTGCCAATAGGCTCGAAGATAAGCGAAAAATTAGAAGGAGGCAACCAGTCGACCAGCGCGCAGTACCCGCCCCCTTTTCAATCTGCGGTGTGCGACTATCTAAATTGTGAGACCACGTTGAAGTTGCTGCGAATAAAAAAAACCCGAATCGCTATAACGCCGTACTGATGCTTGCATAAAACTCGTGATGCACTTCAGAGGGAAAAAAAAAAAGAAAAAAAAAAAAAAGCCGGAGCTGGCCGGAGTTGAGATCCAACCACCCGTGAATCAAGAAAACTTTTTGATAATACAGGGTTTGAAGGGAGAACAAGGTACTTGGGATGTTATCCTAGCCCTTGATTGGTTTTGCTTCTCTTCAGACCTTACGGAAATCTAGTACCAGGGTTAGTAAAGGTCAAAAAAGTGTCTAGAAGGGAAACTGTACCGGAGAGCACAGGGTAGATGAGCTCGAAGGCCTGATAAATTTCTTCACGGACCTTGGCTCCAGTAAGGACAATCTTCCCGCTGACGAAGATCAGAAGCACAATCTTCGGCTTCATCATACGGTAGATAAGACCAGGGAACAACTCCGGCTCGTAAGAGCTGAAGTTGTGGTGGCGACTCGCCAAACCTTCCAAGCGAATAGGGAACTTGATGTCACAGGAACCCACGATGTTCTGGATTTTGAAATCCGTGAACTTGGCATTGAAACCCAGCTTTTGAATGATACGAGCATATTTCCTCGAAGCCAACTTGGAATCGTCTTCAGACTTGGCACCAGTAACCACCATCTTGCCAGAGGCGAAGATCAAGGCGGTTGTCTTGGGCTCTCGAATACGCATGATAACGGCCGCGAAACGCTAAAGAAAGAGCAGTTCAGCCACACTGTACCCTGATATAATCCACTCAGGGATGTGCGGAAAGTAATACCTTTGGGTTATATTCCGCGTTTCTAGCGTGAAGCGCGATGGTCTTCAGATCAAGACGGCAGTCAAGGTTGACCGTGGCGACAATGTTTCTTAAGAGCAATCATTGTTCAGTATTCTGGTGGACCAGAAGAATGACACTAGAGTATACTCACTGCAACGTAGGCACGATACCACTCCCTGGAGCACTGGCACCAGGGGTCGCAGCCGGAGTAGCGGGCGTCACCCCATTGCCATTTGCGGCATTTGCCCCCTGCTGCTGGCCGTTCACATTCCCGTTCGCACCCTGTGCACCGGCGACCAAGTTCGGATCCTTCTCGGAAGGAGGAGTCAAATCGGCACCGCCTGGAAAGGTAGTACCACCAGGGAAAGACAGGGATGACGGGGAAGTGAAGGCACGAGCCTGCTGCGCATTGGCCGGATGGGTCGTGAGAGAGTCCATTGTGACGCAAGAGAAGTTACTCGAGCTGTTACCAGTAGAGGTTCAGACCGGCAGACTGTGGCAAGTTAGTTTGGTTGTCGTCGGATGTGGGCAGTAGTGGTGATGAGATGTGAGTGATCGGGAGAGAGAGAGAGTGTGTAGTCAACTAACTAACCTTGTGGGAGATGGACAAGCGAATGTATCCCCTACAAAAGCACTGCCTTCGGAGAGCCGTTTCGCAAATGCAAAACAGATCGAGGACAATGATGAAAAACAACTAGGCCCGACCGACAGTAATGTTGAGACGATGAGGTGAGGTGAGGTGGGCAGGAGAGAAAGATCACAATGAAGTGTTTTCTATTGATTCAAAGGACAGGCGTGATCGCAATTATGGAATGCAAGCAAGCTGCGATGGGGGGCGGGAGTGAGTGGACAAGTGGAAGAAGTGCACTTTTTTCGGAGGACAAAGCTCAGATATTTTTTTTTTCTTGCTTTTCAGTTTTCCTTTTCTGGAAGGGGTGAGGTTCTATCTTGTGTTTTGAAGAGAGCGGCGAAGATGCGCCTGAGGCTGCAACCTTCCTGTTTCAGCAACCTAATCTGAAACCTTGAGGGAAGGGAGAAAAACAAACGTTTTTCGCTTTTCCCTGTGTTTTGGCGCCCGAAATTATTAACCAGGCAGACTACGCAAGAGCGAGAATCTGCAGACCTCGAACAGGCTTGGTGTGGAGGAGAGAGAGGAGGGGAGGAGAGATGCTGCGCGGAATGAGGACAGTATGGCGTTCCGGGCGATGCCAAGACCAGGATAAAAAATTCCAAGCGCATCGAAAAGTGGGAGGTTGGGCCTTTATATAGGCTGACTCACAGCGACCGGGAAGGCTGGAAAGTGGAGTCAGGGGGGCTGGGCCCAAACCAGCGGCAAAAGCAGCGCTGGGTGGTCGTTGCTCACCCATGGGTTTGGTGTGAATTTTCCAAGGCTAGTGCTCCACTAGCGCCTTGGTGACCCATCCTCGCCTGAAGCATGCGATGTCATTGGCTCCAAATGGCGAGTCTGCGCGACTCCCTTGTTCGGTTCTCTTTTTGGTTGCAGCCACCCAAAAACCGTGACTCTTCGTCCAGTCCGCGCGTCGCCACCCGTGTTTGATCGCTGGCCAATTATCACGCGATTTCCTCACTGCCGCTTTAAAGGAAGCGGCGTAACAAAATTGCCCCCTCTCGCCCATCATCCATGATATTCATCTTTGTTTCATTTGCCCTGCTATACAACAAAGATATCACATGCTCGCTCCTTTTGTTTCTTTATAAATTAGAAACGCACAGGGAGTATGTCGTCAATGCCAGTTGGGATATTGGTCGAGAACTCGAGAAGAGGCTCATTATCCTGTCTCCCAGCCTCGTCCCGTTCTTCTGCGTTCTTAGTCCACTGACATCTGGCCTTGATTGGGCGTGCTTTGCACATCCTCAGCTGGGCGCGTCTTTGGTCACTTCTAGTGGCGCCCGTGACCCGTTGCTTTTCCCCAGACTCATTTTGCCTTTGTGATCCACCAACGCGACCGGTCGGAGGGTTGCAGAGGTCATATTCAAATCATCGAGAATTTTGACAAGTCGACGTCTGCATCATCCCTGATGTTTACCCGTCCGTTGGCATTTAGATACATGCCACCGTGGCTTTTAAACAGGTATTCTGCATACCGCTCTCAGTAACGCAGACCATCCCTTGAGGAGTGAATGTGGACGGTACAATAAACTTCAAAACAATGGACGCCCACCCGCACTGGAGCCTGGAAAGGAGCCGCACGACTCGTACTTTGTATTTGTACTTTGTTATGCTTCGATATTAACCGGTCCAGGGTCCATGGATCACAGATGGATGATGTCGAGCGACCCGCCCGCCCATCATGATGTACACCGTACCGTTACATACGTAATAATGCCCTGTCGCTGACATCAACGGTGCCGCCACTTGTAAAGAAGCTCATTGACCACAGCCTTGGCCGGCGGCAACTGAATTGAAGTTAGTTTAAGCAGCGTTTTGTGAGTTTTCGGAGACCAGTTGGTGCTCACAGCTCTCGTGAGGATGGGATGTCTCCGAGTAGGTAAGGGACTCCGCTTCTGACCACGTTGCGCTTCAGCCGACCATGTCCGTAGCCTTCGGTAAGCCGATGATAAGCGCTCCTTAATGCGAGAATATTAGTTGCCGAGTAAGTTTGAGAGAGGACAAGCTCAACCTCTCGGTGGAAGGAACTGCGTAGCCCTCGGTAGACAGTCACAGTGCAGATACGGAGGACAAGGCTATCTCCGGCCGGCGGAAGAGGTGACGGCTATCAGCGAGATCGAGCGGAAGACAGCGCCAAATGATTTGATCAGAGCTCTTCCTATTGGCCGTGGCTAACCTCGGTCGTGCGGGTGCGGTTATATGCTGGCTTACCTAAGTCACCTTTTTTCCCTGACGAAAGGCCTGCGATCCGGAGTTGAAAGCGACGAACGCACCCCATTCTTGGATTTGCGGTCATATTCCCGACGAACTGCTTTGCATAATCACCAACTGCTCTTATCCTCTCCCTTCCTGCCCATTGATGGCTATGCCTTATTGCCAGCTGTAAAATCGCGACACCCATTATCCAAATCTCCAAATCTACCTCCATCACCACCCCGCGAACCTCCCTCATGGCTTCGAGGGGAGTCGTCTTGCGTCTTTTGAGACGCGAGGCTCGGCAAAACCCCTCTCGATTCTCAAGACCATCCTCAACGTTATGCTCTGCTCCGCGAGGCTCAATCACAACCTCCGGCAAACGAACCAGCATCCGCTGCTCGGCTCTTTCCACACCGAGCCAGACTCGCGCGTTTTCGCAGTCGATATCAAGGAAACTTACCGATGAGAACGGTCATTTCGATCCGCGACAGGTTGAAAGAGAGTCAGACGAAGTGGACGTCTGCATTGTCGGTGGCGGTAAGCAATTTGCTTTACGCTTTTGCGAAAGCGCATTCACCCACGAACGAAGAATTTTGAGTAATGTGGCTGACTATTGTATCACATTGTAGGCCCTGCGGGTCTCGCTGCTGCCATTCGATTAAAACAACTTGCCAATGAAGCTGGGAATGAAGAATTCCGAGTCATCCTCTTGGAGAAGGCCGGTGAAGTCGGTGCACATATTTTGTCAGGCAACGTGCTTGAACCTTCTGCTATTAATGATTTATTACCAGACTGGCTATCGGAAGAAAATCCTTCGCGATTCGAGGGTGCTACACCGGCGAAGGAGGACAAAATGCGGTTTTTGACACAGAACTCATCAATTCCTATTCCGTCACCACCGCAAATGAACAACCATGGGAATTATATCATCAGTTTGAATGAGCTGACGAAGTGGCTGGCTGAGCGGGCTGAGGAGCTAGGAGTTGAGATTTACGCCGGATTTGCTGCCAGCGAAATTGTTTACAATGCAGAAGGTGCGGTAAAAGGTGTAGCAACGAACGATCTCGGTCTCGCTCGGGATGGTAAAGCTAAGGATACTTTTGAACGGGGAATGGAGTTCCATGCCCGCGTCACCCTCCTCGGAGAGGGCTGCCACGGTAGCTTGACCAAGCAGGTTACCAAGAGGTACGATCTTCGGCGCGATAGCCAACCGCAGACATACGGTCTGGGTGTAAAGGAAATTTGGGAGATTCAACCCGAGAAATTCAAGTCGGGCGAGATTACACATTCTATGGGTTACCCGTTACCGAAGGATACCTACGGTGGAGCTTGGATGTATCATTTTGGCGAGAATATGGTCAGCATTGGTTTAGTTGTCGGCCTTGATTATCCGAACCCTTGGTTGTCTCCCTACGGGGAATTCCAGAAGCTCAAGCACCATCCTCTGTTCCGCGATGTGTTGGAAGGCGGAAAGTGCATTTCGTACGGCGCCCGAGCATTGAACGAGGGTGGTTTCCAATCGATCCCCAAATGTGCTTTTCCAGGAGGTGCATTGATTGGCGATAGCGCCGGATTTCTCAACGTCCCAAAGATTAAGGGAACGCATACCGCAATGAGATCGGCAATGTTAGCTGCAGAGTCCACATTCAACGCCCTGAAGGACGATGCTGGCGGCACCGTATTTCTATTCGATTATGAAGATGCACTGCGTAAGTCTTCAATTTGGAAGGAGCTATACGAGGTCCGGAACATGCGGCCTTCTTTCGGCACTCCTCTTGGTCTTTATGGAGGTATTATGTATTCCGGTCTCGAAGCCTACATTCTCCGGGGCCGCGCGCCATGGACGCTTAAGCACCACAGTACAGATGCGGCAGCAACCAAGCCGGCTTCTGAGTGCGAGAAGATCGAGTATCCCAAGCCTGACGGCAAGATCAGCTTTGACATTCTGACCAGCGTCAGCCGAACGGGCACTAATCATGAGGAAGACCAACCTGTGCATTTGCAGGTGAAGGATTGGGATAAGCACACAGAAATCGCCTGGCCCAAATACAAGGGTGTTGAGAACCGCTTCTGCCCTGCCGGGGTGTACGAATATGTGGAGGATTCAACAAAACCACTCGGTGTTCGCTTCCAGATCAACGCTCAAAAGTATGCATTTCCCTTTCACTCCCACATCTAGAAATAGCGTATGCTAACCTTTTGTAGCTGTATTCATTGCAAGACCTGCGACATTAAGGTCCCGACCCAGGATATCAACTGGCAAACCCCTCAAGGTGGAGAAGGTCCGAAATACTTTATGACATAGCTAGGTCTTTGCTGGGATGGGCTCATTTTATTAAAAGCCGCTGTTGAATTGGGCTTGCCTCGCGCATATATATACACGCCCTTTGATTGATCGCATTTGTCTAAATAATTTGATCTGCCAAATACCAAAGTGAAATGTTATCTTTTCCATCGTATACTTTCGTATTGAGGGGCCATGGAGCTGGGTTGCGTGGGGGGAAGCGGAACCGGGGAACAAACCGTGGTTCGCATTCTTTGGCATGCACTCTCTCCCAATGATCATACAGCTCAAAATAGATCTATACACAAACTCTAGCCATCACTCCAGATCTGATGTCTTCCCACATAAAAGCAGGCTGACAGGCTGTTCTCGAGGCAGATCAAGCGGGGCCACGTGGATCCCTCAGCTCAAAGTGAGGCGAAAGACGCTGCTCTCTGATTTGCAGCCTTCTCTTAGCTCGTCTTGTCGCTCTCACTTCTGTTCAACGCTCTCTTCACCTCTCCTCTTCCGCTGCTCTCTCTTCCTCCGTCTTTCATCAACGGCCCCCAGTATTCATCGCCCATCGTCCTATATCCCATCGCCCCTCTCCGCCGGATAGCCTGTGGGTTACAGCCATTTGAGGACCTCGGCTTTTCTTCCTGATTCGACCCGTTTGGACTGCACCCCGGAACTTAGGAGCAGCCCGTGTCTCCTACTGACCACTACGCCCGTGTTTCTCATAGGAATTCAAATCTCTTGATATCCGTGGCCTATTATTTCGTTAGCTATCGCCCTCCCCTGTTGACCTGGATCCGTTCCTGGGTAGTAGCCATTTCCCAGGCCAGCACTCCGTCTCTTGGGCCGCCCTCTGGTGTTAACCGCTGTTGATCTTCCATCCACTCTCGAATCGCCCACCATGACTGAAGTCTCTTCCACCCGACTCTATCTCGGGAACCTTCCCCGCAATGGTACGCTGGCATTCATCAATATTTTCCCCTAGAGGTCTTTCTATCTTTTCAGCCCAAATTGGATCGTGCCCCCTCCCGAGTCCCAGCTTTCCCTCAAACTCAGGATGCTCCGATGGATCTTTGAGCCCCGTTTGACAGAATCGCGGCCCGATACCTGAAATTGCCGCCGACATTCCAGTTCGACTGCGCATCAGACGGGGCGGTCTCAACCTCGGACCTCCATTTCTTTTTAGTTTGTGCCTTGTATATTTCGGAGGCCGCTTGTGACAGTAGCACATTTCTGTTCCCCTGGACCGTTTATATTATAGACTTCCCGAGCTAACAACCTGCACGGCGCATTGGTTGCGCTTTTGCTTTTTATTCAGTGACCAAGCAGGATATCGAAGAACATTTCAGCACCCATGGCACCGGAAAGATCACGGAGATCAAGCTTATGAATGGCTTCGGATTTATAGAATACGAAGATGCGATGGATGCAAGAGATATTGTCCCTGGTAAGATACCGCAGTTTGCACTTGGAACAAGCAATTTTTGTTAATTCGACTTCTAGCGTTTCGTATGTGAGATCGATAGACCGGTTTCCAGGATCCATTTTTTATTGACCAGAACCCAGACGGTAGCGACTTCAAAGGAGAGCGCCTCACTGTACAATTTGCTAGGGGACCCCGTCGCAAGGAGACTTTCCAAGCTCCCACGGACCGCCCTAATGTGCCTCGTCCTCGCCGCACAATCTTTCGTATGATGATAACCGGCCTTCCGGAAACAAGCTGGCAGGTTAGCAGCCCTTTCACAGTTTCTCTTCCCCAGGATTTCATGGATCTCAAAACCACTCGGTCGTTGGCTGCCAAAGCGTCTTGTTGTATATTTCCTTTTGTGCTGTTAGGAACCTCACTGCCCCCATAGGCAACTGGCTTGGATTTGCTTTTTCCATCCAGAACTCACCCCAATTTGAGGTTACACGCCGCAATCTGGGATTTGGACGGCACCTAACCCCGGGCGGGACCCGTTGGCCTTTTTGGACCTGCTCTCCCCGGACTCGTTTGCACGACTGCTTTGCCCGTGGTTCCTTACAACAACCTGGAAATTTCCCGGATATACTTCTCTTACCTGGACAGGGACTTACACCGTGGACTTATATAGGATCTCAAAGATTTTGCCCGTCAGTCTGGTCTAGACGTTGTTTATTCAGAGACTGGCCGTGAGCCTGGAAGAGGGTGGGTTACGCCTAGATATATCCACGGCTTGATGTACCTGGTTAACACGCTTCAAGTTTTGTTGAATTCGAAACTGCGAATGATTTGAAGACTGCAGTCGAGAAACTCGATAACCGAGAGTTCAAAGGCTCCAGAGTGGCCTGTATTCCCGATGTAAGGACCACATTGTACCAAAGGAACTGGAGCGAGATTCTCATTACAATGCGCCCTTTAGATCCAGCCCTATGATGACAGGTCCTACCGTGATCCATACAGATCCCGGTCTCCGCGCCGAGGCTATCCCCCGATGGATGAGTACGACCGCAGGTACTCAGTGCCTCGTGGGTACAGTCCCCGAGGCCATTTCCGTGAACGGTCTCCCATACCCATTCGCCGAGACTACTATGCCGACGGTTATGGACGTCGTACCCCGCCTCGTGCTAGGCTTGAGGAATATCCTCCTCGTCGTTATGATGACCCGTACGCCGTTCCACCACCGCCTCGGTATGACGATCCCTATGCTCCTCCCCCAAGACCTTACGGGCGACCTCGAACTCCACCGCGGGGTGAGTACGCCCCGTATGAGCGGCGCTACTGGTAGAAAGGCGCACAACTTGCTTTCTCCCTTGTGTTGCTTGCATGGTGGATACCCTTTACGTTAAATGAGCTTTCCTCACGTTTACCCTGTCGTTTTGCTCTTTGCCGGTTCACGGAACGAGTTGTTTGTTTGCTTTGAGCCCAATATCCTTTTTCTTAACGGGGCGGGAATGATTTTGTTGGAACATTTCACCAAAGTAACCCAGCAATAGCCTAATTGATGGGCAATGCTATTTAATCTGCTGGTTCTCAGGCCCAGCTAGCTACTCGGCGCAGCAGGCCGAACGATGGTCATCTGGTTTTCCTTGATGATTGATGGACTTACGGCCATTGACGAGTTGAACACGGTCGTTGGGAGAACAATGTACTGCAAACTAATTGAATTGATCACTTCAGTACACTAAATAGTATGTTTTTTGTAATCCCGGTAGCTAGTGGCCCTAAGTAAGCAACGTCATGGACTCGGAGTTGAACCAAAAACTTCATCCGACCCCGCGCTAAATGCGGCCCCGCTATCCCAGATTCCAGAACTCCAGCTTCGAATTGTCCGGGCTTATTGATAGCTGGAGTTAAGCAGCTCGCTCATCAATTGAAGCATAAAGGAGTTCGGAATATCAAACGTCATTTTTGCCCCGCTGGTCGGAGTTTCATGACTCGACCACTATTGTGTTGACTGATTTCTGACTCCCGAATTTAGCTTGCCAAAAAAAAATTGCTTCTCGATTTCAGCCAACACTCACCAAGTCAAAACTCTAGCCAATACCTATCACAATGGCCGAACAACGAGTCAACGTCCACATCCCTTCCAGACCCTCCGTGCTCGACAGCGTCCGCCTCCGCAACATCCAGCTTCCCCTCCCCGCAGCACCAGACCCATGGCACCGCACCGGTAAACCCCAGCCCTGCACTGCATCCATAAAGCTCTCTTACTCCTCTGCCGTGGCAGCCGCTGATGCCGACGATGTATCCCTATCGATCGACTACGGGAAGCTCTCCCGCCGGCTAGAAGAGGATATCCGCAACATGACCTTGGGTAACAAGCATAGCGGAGCCCCTCATCCGCCTCCAGGCCACCACATGATTAGCCTCGAGGGAAGCCGGCGCGAGGAGATGCTCGGCGCGGACGCTGGCGAAGACGTGCGCCTGACCGCGGGAGTTGTCGCGAACTGCGCCCTCGGACTGCTTGAGGAGACAGCGGCTGGTGTGCGGCGGATGGGCCACGTGCATCAGACTCGGCGGAGAAGCAGTGCATCTGCATCTGTGCCTGCGCCTGCAGCTCTGAATAACGATAACCCGGCCTCGTTGTCGCCTGGTGGGCCTATTGATGACGTCTATGGGCAGTGTGAGGTCTGGCTGCATTTGCCGAAGGCGTTGCTACGTGCGGAGAATGGGATTCACTATCGCAGTTCTACAATGTGGGGATATAGAAATGGAGGTGCGACTGGTGGGGATGTGGCTAGTGGATCGGACCGGTGTCCTGTGGTCTTGGAGGAGGAGTTCAGGATTGACGGGATTCGGTGCTATTGCATTCTTGGGGTAAATTCGCATGAGCGGGTTGAGAAGCAGGCTGTGATCATCTCATTGGAGTTCAAGGGGCCTGGACAGTTGGCTTGGGGTTCAACTGTGGTGGATACGTATCAGGCTATGACAAGGGCTGTTGCTGAGGTTGGTTCATCCCCGTTCTATTGTGTTGATAATATCGCCATAAGCTGACTATTATATTTTGCAGCGCGTGGAAGAGACTTCGTTCCAGACGGTCGAGGCACTCGCGACGTTTGTCGCCCGTATTGTCACGGTGGACTTTGCTAATGAGCGAGTGACGGTAAGAGTTGAGAAGCCGAGCGCGCTATCATTTGTAGAGGCCTCCGGGGTGGAAGTGACCCGATCTCAAGCGTTCTTTGAGAGGTCAACATGATCTTCTTGAATACTGGTAGTTTGTTAAATGTAGCGAATATCAAGTGACGTATCGCCAATGACCGAGGCACGTGAAGCAGTAAGCCAGGATGGGACTAGTCGCGATTATCACGGCTGTGCTCTGATTGGCCACGGACAACTTTTTTACCTAAAGGGCTGGCTGCTGTTTCAACTTCTCACCACACTCGCTTTCCTGCTTCCAACCTCCCTGTCCCGGGATTAATTCGTCTGGAAAATACTTTTTGTCCCCGTCTTCGAGACCTGCCTCTGAATCTCCGTACTATACCGCTCGCCCGTTTCTCTATGTGCCTGTCTGCGCCCAAGCTATCCTCGTTCGACCTCGCTCGCTCCGCCAGCTGCTACCCCCCAATTTCATTACCAGATCTGACTGCTTCATCATCGTTCGCCCTGACCGGCTCCCTGGCTTCTGCAACCGCAGCATCCGTGTCATATTCCCGGCTATTCGCGTCGTCCGTCAACGACGTGATTTGGGTAGCGGCCCGTCGTCCGTCCTGAAGAAGGGCGGACGGTAAATTCAACGCTGGTTTGCCCGTTCTTCTGGGCTTTTTCGGTTAGGAGGAAATTGAGGTCCAACAACAGTCCTGCATTCGGGGGAAGTTAGTGTTAGTCATTTGTGCCTGAAAGGTACGTCCCCTTACGTCGCCTGCCTAGCTTCCTGGGTGCTGATCGAGATTTTAGAGTTATTAGATACGGAACCGGGACTAGTGCCTGTCGATGCTTTTCCAAACCCATGGGTAAGCAGGTGTGATTGGTATTTGGTTAACGATTACGTCTTTTCGAAGACGTATCAGTGAGAGAGATTTATCTTTGCGTGTTCGGGATAGACAGTGGAACGAAATTTGAGACGTTGTGGGAAAGAAACGCGGATATGTCGCCAACAACAATCCAAGACGATCTTTCGGTGGGCGACGTGTTCAGCCCCCAGGCTGACATGTCCCACTCGAGAGCGGAGGATGATTTTAACGCTACCACGACCCCGCAGACCGGCTTTCGGATGAGCTCTCGCAGCCCGGATCGCAAACCCGGGCCGGCAATCAACGAACCCAACCCGTTCCCTGCGCCGAAGTTGGATGCGAACCCGCTGACCGCGAAAAGCAACCGACGCAAGAAAAAGAAGAAGCAGGCCCAAGTCCAGGCAGCCCAGGCTCTTTCTACCGTCCACGGATTCACTCCTCGAGGCTCTGGCGACGAAGACTCCGATTTTTCAACTACAAGCTCTTGCGCGCCTAACTCCCAGCAGCGGGCCGCAGTTGGAAGCAATGGTGCTAGCCCTATGCTGCAGCCAGCCTCTGGAGGCGGTATCAGTGCCCTTCGACTTCAGCTTGACTCGATGAACTTGTCAGGAAACGCCCCCCGCCGTAAAGTTGATGGTCAATGCTCGGCAACGCCTAGCAATGCTAGTGTCTATTCCGACAGCGACGAGACTGAAATTTTGACCACTTACGAAGTGCCTTTGGACCAGGACTACGTCAGTGCTGATGCTGTCGCTGAGGAAAAGAAGCAGGAAGAGCTATCCCATAATGTTCTACAGACCCAGGACGTTCGCAGCCAGCTTTGCCGCAAAATGACGACGGACGACTTTGAGCCTCTGCTCTGCCTGGGTAAGGGTTCCTTTGGAACCGTGTTGCTCGTTCGCCATGCTCTCACAGGAAAGCTCTACGCACAGAAACAGTTCAAGAAGGCCTCGATTACCGTCCACAAGAAGCTTGTTGAACAAACCAAGACCGAACGCACTATCTTGGAAAGTGTGAACCGACACCCCTTCGTTGTCAAGCTTTTCTATGCTTTCCAGGACCACGAAAGGCTCTACCTCGTCCTCGAGTACGCCCAAGGAGGAGAGCTCTTTACTCACCTCGCGATGGAACGCATGTTCGACGAAGATGCAGCAGCTTTCTACATGGCGGAGATGGTCCTCGCTTTGGAACACCTTCACCAGAACGTCGGCGTGATCTACCGCGACCTGAAGCCGGAGAACTGCCTCCTAGACCATGAAGGCCACCTCATCCTGACCGATTTCGGCCTCAGCAAGATCGCCCTCGACGACGATGACCGCTGCAACTCCTCCCTCGGCACAATCGAGTACATGGCACCCGAAGTAGTCCAGGGCAAACCGTACGGTAAAGCATGTGACTGGTGGTCACTCGGCGCATTAGGGTACGACCTACTCACCGGCTCGCCCCCTTTCAAGGCAAACAACCACGCCAAACTCCAGGAGAAGATCATCAAGCAGAAACTTGTCCTACCCTACTACCTAGGCCCAGACGCAAAGGATCTCCTCACGCGCCTTCTTCGCAAGGAACCGTCCAAGCGCCTAGGCTACCACATGCCCAAGGACCTCCAGACGATCAAATCCCACCGATTCTTCCGCAAGATCGACTGGCGCGCCCTCGAACGCCGCGTCCTGACTCCTCCAATCGTCCCGGTTGTCACAGACCCGGCCCTCGCAGAGAACTTTTCGGCCGACTTCACCGCTCTCCCGCTGAGTCCCGTCGAAGGCCCTAGTTTCTTCAGCGAGCACTACACCAACCAGCACCAGCGTAACGGTAGTAGTAGCGGACAACGACGCTCGGGTATGGCCATGGGTGCGTCAGCAGACCACGAGGACAGCAACCCCTTCGGCGGGTTTAGCTTTGTTGCGCCGAGTAGCCTGCTTGATCACGCAGCTGAGGGTGGTAACAACCCTCTGACTGCGGGTTATTGACTACAGGGCCTTTATTATAACTATAATAAGCTGCTCCTGCTATCAGGACTATCGAGCACGGCATGCTTCGTCTTTGGTTGTGGCTTTTGGGTGGGGCTTTTGGTTCTTCGTCGGTGTGCGTTCGTCAAGTTTTTGAGTAGGCTAGGTAGACATAGTAGCAGACAAGACGGATTGGATAAAGATACTTGTCTCGCATGGAATACACATCTACTTACTTCTCGTCCTTATTCCCATAAATTGCCGTAGACTCATTCTTATTCTTGCATACATAATATTGAACCAATTCGAATGAGCTGCCATTTTTCTGTCCGCCAGAGCAAATCAACTTTAAATTATCCAGATTTATCCAGTCTCCGTTAGGCTAGCTAGATGCGATGAGGGAAAAAAAGCAAAAAGAAAAGAAACAAACGTAAAGCAAAAGGTATATACAACATAACCGCAGATTTGGAAGTATGAATGCCATAAAAATGCTATGCCCCGCCCATCCTCTATTGAACAATAATAGAATAAATAAAAATAAGAGAGTAGCAATAATCGCACAGCAAGCACCACCCACTCTCGCCGTCACCTTCCCCTTCGTCTTCGTCTTCTTCCTGGCCCTGGCACTCTTCCTAGTATTTTGAGTTCGTCTTTCGCACCCGGTCACCGTTTCTCAGGGTAAAATTATAATTTCCCCCAAATTGTCGTAACTAATGTCATGTATGCGCACATTCCTGGATCCTCCTAGTCTCGACTGGAGTCAATTGGTATGATTATACCACGTTACTGGCCTGGAACTGAGATATGGCGAATCATAACTCGCCCTCTTCACTCCCGCCACCTTCATCTTCCGGCTCTGGTTCCGGGGGCGGCGGTGGAGGCTGTTGGCGACTCTCAGGAGGTGGGGGAGGCAGATGTTCATTCTTAGCGGTAGAAGAATATGAGGATTTTCGTTTCCAACTGGGGTCCTCATCTTCTTGCTCTCGATGCCGGCTATCTGGCACACGTTTGGAGGAGTGTTTTGGGGGTGTGGCGGAGTTTTTCTGGACGATTTCATCAATGCGTTGCTGGATGGGGTCGACGTTTTGGGAGTCACTGTTTCCGCGCGGCGGAAATGTTGTTTGCGGTGTACGTGGTAGTGGATGTGGGTGACGGTGATGTTGCTGGGCGTTATGGCCATTAGGTAGGCGGTCGTGGGAGAAGGATGACGAGGTTCCTTCGAATGACCCTGCATCTGACTCTACTCGTGGACGTTTTGGTGACTGTCGCCCGTTCTGAGATGTTTCGCCTGGTTTCGGAGACGCAGTACCTTGCGGTGTATGGTTATTATAATGGGAATCATCTTCCGGCTCCCGCGAGCGCTTTCTTGATGGCGGGTCAGGTGCGTCGAGCGATCCGCCGGAACGCGGAATTCTAGTTTTCTCACTGCCTTCGCTAAACGAGGATGGGATACTCGGGTAATGCTGGCTGTGTTTGTTGTGTTGTGCATTGCTTTCATACAGGCTTGCCATCCTGCTGCACGCGCGACGAATATCCGCCAAGTCAACATCGATCTGCTCCCACCACGGTCGACCAAGTTCATCGTCTTCGAATGCGATATCACAGTGGCTGATAGCAGCATAAAATGCGGCAGCGGCGATAACACGAGCAGGGAATTGGAGACAGAGAACCGTGTACATTGAGTCGTTGAGGAAGGCCCATGACGAATTGCGGACATGCTTGTTATCGTTGACGCCGAAATAACAGATGAACTCATACAATATCCTGTACGGCTGTTCGAGCTGCAAATCAAAGCATAGGGCTTCCAGCAGGATGTCCTCATGGTGTAGAATAGTATCGCGCCATTTCCAAAATTCTTTGTTCTGCTCATCCACAACAAGGTTGGGGTTCTTTTGTGCGACACGACAGCAAGCCACCACCAGCTCCTTCATCCTCCGGACATTTTCCTCCACCTTTGTAGCTAAGAACAAGGACGTCGCCGCGATCGGGTAAGCATGAATTCCCGGCCGATCCGGCCTCTCAGACATGACATAGCGCATGAAGAACCGATGTAGATAGACCGCAGCTGTCGCAAGGGTGGGCTGGGGAAGCTTCAACATAATCCCAACTTGAGTAATGAAATTAACCCCTTTGCTCCGGTGCAAGAGCTCTGTGTCCATACTCATGCCGCCGCGCTGCGACGGCGAGCGGGAAAGTTCTTCCTCCGTAAAGAGCCATTGTGATTGAACCGCCAGGAGCACCGGATTTGAGGGCGCTGGGGGAGGACGCTTGACGGGAGGTTGGGAAGCCATCGAGGATTATGTATGAGAGTCGTTATTGTTTTCAGTATTCAAGCCCGAGGTTAGAGGCGCGGATTCGGAATAGTATGAGGCGGAAATCAAGCTCGAGGGTGCGTGAATCAAACGCAGTACCGGCAGAATTCCGTTATATCTGAATCCCCTTTGAAGGTAAAAATCAACTGAGCATACACTAATGTCCAAAGGATCAACCGCAGTCAGTTGTTCATCGCATCGTGAACCGGGACAATCGCGGCAAATGCCTTGTGTTCCGCGAGATGAGGCGGGCTGGAAGCAGGTGCCGAAGACTCGAGGTGTATAGAGAGAAGCGATATCGGAACCCTGATCTTGCGTTTCCGGTCTCTAGTTTCCAAATTCGCCTTCTCCGTTGGTGTTTCGTGGGCTCTAAGCTTCTCCGATGTGTTGAAGATCTGAATGGCAACGGCTGCTCATCGACCCGGAGACCGGGTTTCTCCGGGCTCCGTCATTTACGTTTATACAACTTGAAGCTACACTAATATTCAAGAAAAACAGAGGAATGACTCAGATAATGCCATTCGGATAGATTGCACTGTATAGATTCTTAAGGGGATTAAAGTGGTATCGTTGTGGGATTCCTCTGTTCCAGACGCCAATCATTTGCCAATGTGTAGATCGAGACAACGCCGTCATACAAATTCCCTTGAACCGCTAGAACGGATGACGAAACAAAAACAGAAAACGAATAGATGTGAAGAAAATGCCAGATCATTCCTCCTCACTGACCTCGCTTTCATCATCGCTGGGAGCATACTGTTGCGATGGGATCTGCGCGTGTGACTGTTGGCTTCTGGCTTCTTCCTCAAACGCAGCCTCCATCTCTGCAGCCAACAAATCATCTTCATCTTCCGCCTCCTCTTGGCCCCCGTTGTTATCACCCTCGACTTGGATATCTGGAATGGGCTCCGATCTTTGGGCTGCTGGAACTGGCGACGGCAACCGCAGGTCCTCAATGTCCTCGTAGCCGTCTTCTTCATTTTCATCGTTCGCCGGTGTGTTATTTGACGAGAAATGCGCGGGGTTGACTTTGAACGGGCGAGCGGGAGGTGGAGATCCCATATCGATAATGAGATCGCCGTCGATTATGATATTGGACCCAGGTGATGGAACGGTCTTTTGCGACGATACTGCAGCCGTTCCTGTCTCCGAAGGCGAGGATTTGGATGATTCGAAAACAATATCATCCGCTTCATGTTCGTCTCTCCCCTTATATTTATTATTGTTATCCTCCTCTTTTTCGGCCACTCTGGCGGGTGATTTCGCGCGCGCTTTTGCCGGGGCTGGTTTACTCGATCGCGAGGTGTCTGCTGCCGGCTTCTTCTGACGGAGTGGGTTCGTCTGGGTCTTGGGACGAGGTCGCGGGCTTGGAGCAAGTTTGTCCGCCGGTATTTGCGGAGTCGGCACCTTGCTCGTGCTGGTATATGGTTCCGGCGTCGCATTTCCTGAGCCCGACCTGGCGTCATCTAGATTATCCGTTTCCTTGGGGAGGAAGTGGCGGTAATCGTAGGGGTTGTCGTCGTCGGCCGGTCCATCGTCGTTTCCGCTCGCCTGGTCCGACCCGCGATCATCTCCAGAAGTATGCTCATCCTCCTGTAAGGTTCTGAGCTGGGGGTACTGCTGAAGGACTTGCTTCTGTGTTTTGGCCGGGGCTGAACGAAGATTGAAGTTGAGCTGGGTAGCAATAGGCTCCAGCACAAAGGCCTTCCTTGTCGCGTCGAATACAAGCGCAAGTTTATGGCGCTCTGATTCTGAAATACTCTGTGCTGGGTCCACGCTGCCTTGGTAGTTGTAGGTTAGAACATTCTGCTCCGCGTTCGGAGCTTTATCGGTAATCTTCAGGTTGAAGTGATCCCGAGAGTGTGGGGATTTCGTGATAACAGACCGCTGCTGAGAAGTCGCCGCTTTGGTCTTGTAATTATACTGGATATTTATTAACTGTGAGTGAGATTTGTCGGTCTTTCCTGCCAGTCGGTCTCCCAGTATGATGGGATATTCAGCTTGTTTGGTAGGATCGATCATCCCGCCAGTTGAAAGGGTGGAGGCCGCCATCGGGACTGGATGTCGACACTTCGTATAATAGGTATGGACAAGAGTATAACAATTATATAAAAGAGAAATGATATATAGTATAGTAAATAAATACCGTCCCCTTTAAAGGCTGCGAGTGAAGATTCGCATTATTTGTGAGATGGAGAGGGGATACAGTGGAACAATACAACAAGGGAGCAGTCACACGAGAGGCGTATTGGCTGACGTGAATGAAGAGTGAAGGGCAGAGACAAAGACAGCCAAAATATTCAACATGACATAATTAGACAGGATAAACAAGAAAGGGTTGGGGACGAGCTGAGGTTGATGCTTGTGAGAGATAACTTGCAGATGACGGTGACGGTCCCAGCGTCAATTGAAGAAAGCCGTTTCATTATCGGATGATGCCGTAATGTTACCAAAATTACCGTACGGGTGAATTACCAAATATGGCTAGCCCCGGTTTGTTCTCTCAGTTATGTACATTATTATTGCGTAGATATTAATATTTACACGGTTAGAGAGGCATCCATGGGAAATACCTGCCCTCACACCAGCTACTAAGTATCAGTAGACCTATTCGGGCGGAGTCTCTCCATCGGTCAATGTACTGTGGCAGTGTTTATACGGGGCTGACCACGGCCTCGTTTGCTCTCAGCCTCCAAGCCCACCTGCAGTCATCTCCTGGCCCAAACCCCGTGAATCTGCCGTACCGTTGAAACTCTGGTCGCCGAGGTCAGCCCATGGATTCGTCATCTTTAAAATGAACCAAGGGCCTGTAAATGTCGGTAGCTGAAGTCGAGCTCTAAAGGCTGTCGGGGGTGTGTGAACAGCACGAGGAGACAACACCCTTTGCCGGCAAGGGAGTGTTTGGAATACAGAATCCAGTTTGAATCAAGACAAACCCTCCGAATAGTTGTCTACGAGGCAGCTGGGGATGTTGCCTGCAAGGTGCCTTTCGAGGACCCTGTAGGGCTCGTTGGATTCGCCCCAGTGAGCTGCTCAAGGCGCCCAGCCAATGCACGATGTTTTCGCATTACCTCTTCCCATTCATAGGCCAATTCCTCAGTTTCCTCATCCTCATCGTCACCAAGTTCGGTTAATATCATGCTGAAATCACCTCCTAGGCGGCCTAGACTAGCGGCACAGTAGAGCACCTGAGTCAGGAGACTTTCGCGGGCAGTCTTGTCTTGAATATTTGGGAGATACGAGCGCAGAGTATCCGTTAATAGTTGAACTAGATGGGTCGGGAAGGTTGCAAGAGGAGGCGGAAGGTTTTGGAAAGAATCAGGTTTGCGATCCGTTGCGGACTGCGCCGTCTTGGTTCGCGCATCGATTCCTCGTAAGCCGGGAATAGTTGTATCAGTCTCCGACTGATCGGGCGTAAAGATGTTTTTATATAAAGAAACAATAGCGAAGCTTTGTTCGCGGAATATTTCGATGTACCGTTTCAGATACTTTTCTGTCTGGTGACCTTCGGCCCATGAGCCACTTCCAGTTTTCTGATCTGAGCTTCGCGTCCTGCGCTGTGTTTCCTGGTCTGCGAGTTCCCGGAGGGGGTCTAATGCCTCCAGCGTGGAGACGAGGTTCGCTAGGCGACAGATAAGGAATAAAGCACCAAGCGAACCCCCTCCACTCCTAGCTCCGCCATCACCAGACGTTGCATCGAGTTCAGGAGCCACTCTTCGTAGCCAGCCAACGGTCCGCATGGCTGCCGCAAGTCGAAGGTTCTGGGCACGAAGAGCGGTAATAAGATTCGAGGTCATATCTTTCATCGCATCCTCAGCCTGTAAGGCTACGTCCTTCACCAAGGGAGAACTGGGGTATAGCGTCTGCAGCCTCTTAATGTGAGCATATAGATCTAGTGCCGCCGAATATGTCGTAGAGAATGAAGTTCCTGTGTTTCCTGAGTTGGCAGCAGCCGAGGACACTGCTGTTGCGAGCAATGTGGGCAATTCTAATATGTCTGATATACGGTCCACGTTCCGTGAGAGTCGCATGACCTTCTTTCGCTGTTCGAGCGTGGCATTATCTGCTGCGCGGCTGTATTTCGAGGAGAACCGAACGGCCTCCTCATCGAGTTTCGGGATTCCATCGCGCAACTCCTGTGCCTGGCGGGTTAAATTGGGTATGGATGAATGGAGGTTGGATAAACTGTCTGCGGATGTGATGAAGGTTTTATGAGAACGGTTGGACAGCGCTTGAAGAGAAAGAAGAGTCGAATGTGCTGATTGCGTGAGTGACTGGGGTTCTGTAGTCTGCAGGGCCTGCAGGGGGAGTGTAGGCAGTCGATTGAGATACTGAATCGTGGTCGGATCCTGAGACAGATTTCTCTCGGTTGGTGGTATATGGGGGGCGAGCAGCTCGTACAAGTGGTCGGCCATGTTTGCTATCTCTGGCAGGATCCAAATAAGCCGCTCTATTTGGGTTAGCAGAAGAGATGGTTGATTATGATGGGATATGACAAAAGGACGCTCGTTGATTGATGGTGATAGAGCAATACGGTGGCCGAAGCGGCAACAACCGCAGCCTCCGGGGAAGCAATCCAGGCCCGAGATTCGCCATCCTCCTCGTCCAATTCTTCATTCCTGGTATCTCCCGCCAACTCTTTGTTTTTTCCCCCTGGAATCTCCGCTCTTTTTGAAACCTTTTATACGAACTATTTGAGGGATAGGGTGACATATTATCATTGTATTGCATTCTTTCCTGTCCTATCACGACCCCGCCTTATACACCATGGGCAAACCGCGGGTAAGCTCCCCGACATATACACACATATATCCATAATTCTCACCTCTCATAGATGATCATTTTGATCCGCCATGCCCAGTCGGAAGGAAACAAGAACCGCGAAATCCACCAAACGATCCCCGATCATCGGGTAAAGCTCACGCCCGAGGGTTACCGTCAGGCACAAGAAGCAGGAACTAGACTACGTTCACTCCTACGACCAGACGATAAAATCCATTTCTTCACTTCTCCATACCGCCGCACCCGTGAGACCACCGAAGGGATCCTTCAGTCTCTTACGGCTGATACGCCATCTCCATCACCTTTCCCGAGACATACGATCACGGTATATGAGGAGCCTCGCCTGCGCGAACAAGATTTTGGCAACTTCCAACCATGCTCGGCGGAAATGGAACGCATGTGGCTGGAAAGAGCGGATTATGGACATTTCTTCTATCGAATTCCGAATGGTGAATCTGCTGCGGATGCTTACGATCGAGTAAGTGGGTTCAATGAGTCGATGTGGCGGCTCTTCGGGGAGAAGGACTTTGCGAGTGTTTGTGTTCTTGTTACACATGGGCTCATGACTAGGGTTTTCCTTATGAAATGGTACCACTGGAGCGTCGAGTACTTTGAGGATCTCCGCAACATCAACCACTGCGAGTTCGTAATCATGAAGCTCAACGAAGACAGCGGCAAGTATGCTTTACAAAACCAGCTTCGCACATGGTCGGAATTGAAGAGGGAGAAAGAGCTGGAGCATCAACGAGAGCGCGCCGCAAAGGGTCTTGGGCCAGCAAAGCCAACACAATCAGAAACATCGGTTCCAATACGGCGCAAATGGGGCGGCTGCCCCGATGGATGCAGTCACGGCATACACAGAAAAAGTTCCCAGCGATCATCTCGAGCACACGGCGATCAATGCAAAGAGCAAGAGCACCAGCACCATCACAACCACGACTCAGCACAGGACACCAGCCAGGAAACCACCAGCACCGTGAACGAAGGACGAACAATAACAGCTCCGGAACCTGCCATTGGCGACCGCTTAGGCGACGAAATGCCATTAAAACCCCTTCCTTCAAACCCGCAGTACCACTCCACCGTCGAGCAACCAAGACGACACCCATTCCCAAAGCACCACCACAACCATAGCCATCATAACCGCCTCTCCCTCTCCCCCAAACTACTCCCTAAACGCCCGAACTTCACCCACCGCGACAGCAGCGAAGACCACCTCCTCCACGCACCACACCTAAACTACAACCTCATCCACCTCGTCGGCCGTGACGGCGGCGGAACCCTCAGCGGCGCCAACAGCGTCGCGGCCTCAGAAGACGAACACGACAATCACCACCACCACAGACACCACAGCCATGACCCCGAAAACAAACAGCAGCAGCAGCAGCAACAACAACAACAACAACATGAACTCCCCCGCGCAGGCCTCAAGCGGCATAACCCCCGTGCATCCCACGACCTCGACAATGATGGCGACGACGAAGGGAGCGGGCGACAAACGCCTAAACTCCGACGAACAAGGTCCTCGCATCATCGGCATACCCAAAATCAAACGCAGCCGCAAACCCAGACCCAAACCAACCCCCAGAATGCATCAACGCCTAAGAAGTCCCCCCAAACTATCCCAGACACCGACGAGACCGACAGCTCACCGGAGAAACACAAACAGCCCATCGAACAAACCTCAACCCAAACCCAGGGCCAGGGGGAGGCTCAGAGCCAGACCGAGAACGACCGCAAAACAGGAGGCAGGAATGAAACCGAAACCGAAACCGAAAAGACCCTCGAGGAGGCGCAAAAAGAAGACCAAAGTATTCGGGGGAGCGTTTATTGATTGATTACTATAGTTACTATATCTACCATGACTAGACGATACGATGCATAGGATACCCTGCAGTTCGATATTCTCACTTTGTTTCGCAAGGTAAATTAGATAAATAGAGATAGTAGACGTAGATGATACCAACACTATACCAACACTGGGGCGGAACATCTAGAAGCAGGGTGCCTCGGGTTGACACCAGGCTCGTCAGCCCCAGAGCTACACAGTCACAGAAACGTAAATAAAGGTAATAGTTTTTCTATATTTTATTATACGTTGTTCAAGATATTGAGAGTGGAATCCGCGGGGTCAATGAGGATGATGTCAAATTCCCCATCATCTTTATTCGGTCAAAGTAGTAGTTAACTTACATTCCAATTCAGCATGGAATTGAGAGCAAGATGAAAAGAAGAAGAGGACATGGTGAACAAGATCACTGTCGAGAAGAAAAATACAGAAACAGGGGAATATTGTAGAACAGCCGGGAATAGGGGAGTATCACTTTTTTTATGGTTGTCGGAGATAAACCAATAAGACAAACATGCATCAAGGGTCGTCGAGAAGAAAAGAATACGAAATGAATTGAAAATAGTACCACCAAGAAAGGTCTCCGTCTCCGATCTGCCCAAATCCCAGAAGAAATTGAACGTGGAAGGTTTGGAGCATATGCAGCGTTAAAACGTAATCACGATCGGTTGAGAGTGGGGGGGGAAAAAGGATATCAAGCCAACCGAAAGAGGCGATACGGCAATGCAAAAGCGCAGAAATGAGAGAAAGCAACGCCGGGTAAATGGGGAATGGAGTTTATGATAGGGAAGTGAATCGATCTATGAGTAACATCTGCCAGTGAAATGCCCAAATCCAGAGATATGAAACAAAAAAATTTGAACGAACATAAGAAGCGCAGATGAAGATGGGAAAAGAAACAGGGGCATTAGCAGAGAACAAGGGATGAATGAAAATCATGATTATCGTGACTTCTCAACTCCAAGACCAAGAGAAGCCCGCGGGGGATCTCGGTACTTTTTTTTTGGCTTGACGAGATCTTTCAAAAACGAAAACGTATCAAATGGGATATAAGCGGAAAAAGGTGTCAGATCGTAAATGCATGCAACGAGCTCAGAACAGAAGAATTGGTTGGTAGTCGTCCCAAAGAGCTGCTTTGACACTTTTTTTTCTGATTTTCGATTTTTCGTTCGGGCGGACCAAGAGACAGATAACCAGGGTACTTTTTCAACATGTAACCGAAACCGAAGGGGCCGGAATGTCATCGCAAATGGAACTAAAAAAGGTAATGCGGTATCATCGAACGGTATCAGAAAGAAAAGAAAAAATAAAAAAGAAGTCGAAATGAAGGCAGCTTCTAAATAGAACATGAGAAGAAAAAAGGGGACAACAGCAAATTGACGTATGCAGCGTAACGTTGATCAAGCGGCGATCAAGCCGCAAGGATGGGTTGCATCGAGCCGACTAGGTTGGCGCACATGTAGTGTTCCATGCTCTTAGCGCAATATGGGCAACCGCACGATGAGCCATGACCAGTTGCCCAACCACCGTGCGGGTAGGGGAACCCGTACGATGGAGTGTGGTGGTAGGATGGCGGCTGCGATCGCGGCGGCGGCAGATACTGTTGCTGAGGCACCCAAGTGCTCGAGTATGGCGGTGGGGGGTTCGAGTACGCCCACGGGCCCACCGAGTAGTAGTCCGGTGTGGTCGGGCCGCTGTGAGGAGCAGAAGGCGGCGAATACTCTGAAGCTGCAGGGTTGAGCCAAGAGTTTTCGTACTGAGTGCTCCGCTGGTACTGCGGAGGAATTGGACCTTCAGGAGAGAGAAGAGGCTTCGAGACCCGGTTGCTTCGAGTGATGTTCGTGTCAATCGGAGCGAGGGTGTGCCGAGGCTCTTGAGTTTTAAGGGAAGACTTGGTACACCATTTCTCCCAGTGGGAGCGCCACGACTTGAAACCATCCTGTTTGTCATAGATGCGATCGTGGATCTTCCATTCGAAAGCAAAGAGCCAATCGAGCTCCATGGAGTTCAACTCACTCACGGGAATGTTGCTAACTTCAGCCCAGGATTTGTTCTGGAAGGTGTTGTCATCCAAGAACTTGCTTCCCAGAAGCAAAGCGACCGTAAGCATTCGGTAAACCTGGCCACTGCCGGTGCTGTAAACCTTAGCGGAAGAAAGCATACGCATCCGACAAGAGAGGTAGTAAAGACCCAAGAGGATGGTAGCGCTCGGGAGACGAGTCGACGACAGAATTTGAAGAACGTATTTCCGGAACTGCGGTGGGACAGACGATCCTGGGTAGACGCTTCGCGCGAAGTCAATATCAGATAAGTTGATTCTGGTGATGTACAACTCATACATTCCCTGGGCCATCTCAGCCACGAAGTCGGCCATCTGTTCCATCTCATAGTCTAGGTAAGCGGCAACGCCTCCGGTAGCCTTCTCTTCTTTTCGGGGCTGTTCGGGTTGGGCGATCGGCTCTTGTCGGCGATACTGCGGAGGAACGGCACGGTCCATCGGGGGCAACTGGACGTTGTTGCGGATCGGGGGCAGTACATTGGCGGCATGCATGGGACCGAACATAGGTTGACTTAACGCGGTCATGTCTCTCCCTGTACGCATCGAATGCATAGGCGGCTGTTGGTGGTTCATCGGGGGCTTGCCGTAGCAAGATGACTGCTGGGAGTATTGCTCGATGAATTCACAACCGTTCTGGGAGTAGCGGGGAGGGAAAGCGGCCGAGTGACCAAGGACGTAGAATGGGGGTTCGTTCTCCATCCTGCCGGCACCGGTGATATGAGGGGGGGTAAGAGGAAAGGCCGGGAGGCCAGTGTTGTAGAAAGATGGCATAGCGAAGAGAAGAGAAGAGGAAACCAGTCCAGGGACGGGGCGGTAGACGGTTTGTGAATGCTAAACCGCAGAAAAGAACAGCCAAAAGTCAGCGAGCCAATTCCGACGTAGTCTTTTTCGGGAATTAAAGGATCAAGATACGAACCGTCTACACGTCCGCCACACCCTGATCTGGGGGAGGAAGAGCGTTGCTCAACGAGCCGCGGCTCTGTATTATGTGCAGTAGATGTCTCTTAATTGAAAAACATCAGGCGACAAATCAACAACACAATTTGTTGGGAACACAAGCGGAAAGGAAACACAAAGAGAGCGAAATGAGCGGTCGCAACTGGCGTTTTCCGGGGTTGTTCCTTCTCTGTGGTGAGTCTGGTCTCTGAGGCGTGCCGGTATAGTTTCTGGAGGCGAACTAAGAAAGGCGGACACAAGCGAACTTTTGTTTTCAAGAACCAGAGGCGAGGTCTAAATTGCTAAAACAATTGCAAGGCGGACAGAGAGGATTGTGGACGCGGGTTTTGGTGGTGAGAGGTCGAGCAACTGTTGGATTCCTTCACGGGGAAAACAAGATTGTCTCGCGTCAAATTGCCGGCCGGTAGTCCACAGTAACAACGACACTTAGTGAAAAGCTCGTTGCAAGACAAAGTCGAGGGGAGCAAGAGCAAAGCGAACAAACAAGGCGAAAGGTAGGAGAGAGGGTTTCACAAGAGTGAAAAGGATAGAGAAGAGGGGGATGGAGGAGGAGTAGGAGAGAGAGAGGGAGAAAGGGAAGAGGAGAGAAGGAGAGCGTCAAGATCACCGGGAGTGCAGAGACCAACAACGGTGGTGTTGTGGAGGCTGACCAGCGGGAACTGGTGTGGTCACGGCGGTAAAAAAAAAACTGTGTGTGGTATTATTGGTAACTTTGGTAAAACTCAAGTGTCATCCGCAGCTAGCAAATTTTATTTTTATCGCCGGCCACCGGAAAGAAAAGGGAACGGATTACGAAACTGTTTCTACACTGTACCCTGAGGGTGAATTCAGCATCCACTGAATGCCTGTTGTAACAATACTGTAATCTGATACATGCTGGTTCTCAGGAGGCAGCACATCCCGAAATTCATCATCAATTTCAAGTTAATTAATCCAGCGAAGCCCTCGTTACCAGGCCGTGGGTTCGTGGCTCCCAGGAAAAGGAGTTGAGCTCACCGTAGAAAATTCCTGAATCCTGATCGACGGGCTGTTGGGAGATTCTTTGCAACGGCCAGAACACAGCCAACCGTGGAAATGGATGGGGCTTCCCACTCCCACTACGACCGCTGGCGCTGGCCAGACTGGCCAGGTTACAGCACACAGGCTCCATCGCTTCTTCACGAGGAACGCCAGAAACGCCAGAAAAATTACAGAAGTCCCCGGCGGTCGCCCAGAGTGACTTGGATTGACTTAATGGGGTGACTAATGTTAGGGGTCGCCCCGACTGGGGTTAGTCGCCTGTAGTCGAGTCCCGAGTCGGTCACGGTCTGTCTCCATCGCCCCTGAGAGTACAGACTCGACGCGGGAAAATTAATCAAAAATAAAATAAAAATAAAACCAAAAAAAATAATGGTCAACAACTAATAAAAAATAAAAAATAAAACAAAATAATAAAAATGATGCCCCAGGCTATCCGTCCAGCAATAATTATAAACCAGGAGCTTGAAACTCGCCCAAAGAGAACAAGAATAGAACAGCTGGGCAGTCTGAATTCTGAAAGACGGGCAGCCGGCAAATAGGAGGTGTAACGGCCCCCTACACGAGTCTCACTGAGTCCTGACACTGCCTGGACAATTCCAATGCACCCAATCAGACAGTGGAGAAACAGGCCGGCATGAAGGAGTGAGTTAGGAGACGCTGGGAGTCGGGACTGTGGGACGGACTGGGGCGGACTGGGACCCCGTGTGAACAAGAGCCGTGCGCCGGGAGCCTTCCATCTATTCCGCATTTGGACAAGATACGTCAGAGCATTAATAATCTTGTGAAGAATTTGAGTCTTCACAGTGAACACGAGTCTGCCCAGTCTTCAGTTTGAAATTGAAGTGGCAAGCCAACATCGTCAAATCAGTGCCTGGGCTATGCCGGCATGATCTCAAGGCGACGCACCAGTCATGACACCATTTTAACTTGAACTGCAGGCCCGTGGTGGTGGCGAACAGCCTCATTCCAGCACAGCACAGCCGAGACAGACACTGGAGTTGTCAGGACTCGAACGATGTCACAGTTGCTCAACTTCTGGCTCGTCGAAAACGAAGATGGCTATCCTCGGCCAGGGTCTCGGTCAGACTCAGACTGGCCGTCCAAGTTCCAACCTGGAATCTCCATCCATCTGACTCACAGCTGCAGCTGCGGCATCCAATCACACTCGCGTGGACTTAATTCCAGTAATTCCATTCAGTACAGAGTACTACGTCCTCCGTAACTCCGCAGTTGCCTGCTTCTCCCACCACAACTAGTGACTGCACAGGTAGCATCATTATTCATCATATTCCAGATTCTTCCAATGCTTTTCCTAATTGATCCGACCGGAAGAAGCGGACGAAGTGGGGGATGGAGAACAAAGAGGAGGGGGAGTTCGCTGCCCGATGCATATCGCTGGATGGAGTATAGCAGAGTCTTGAAGTCCCGACTTGTGACAGTCAGTCTCACTCTCAGTCAGGCTGAGGCATAACCCCCATGATCTCATCCAATGACCACATCGACGGCCCTGAAATGAACATATCGCTCCTGAATAATAATAATGATTCATAATCTACTCCTCTTGTCGTCGGTCTGTCAAACGGCCCCGTCAAACCAGTAACAAGAGCTATGCACACCACCTGCTTGAAAATGCCGCGTTGCTTTGCTTTGCTTCCCAGCCCCTCCCATGCATCCATCCGAGTGTTCCCTAGGCATTTGAGCCTGGTTACCCGACAGACTATGGGCACCCTGGACAATTGGACAGTAGTCTTGTCTCCTACCCCCCTCGTGAGGGGAAGACGAAAAAGCATCTCCCTCCTCTCGGATGCGTCTCCAATCTATTCGTCCTCCGAGATGCGTTATTATTATCGCAAAATTGCACGCGAACTCCAGCTCCTCTCTTAACCCCCTTGCCTTTCCGGGAATCACGTGTTGGCTGTCTCTGTAGTTGTCCATTATTCCCCTCCCCCTTGCACTGGCATATGCAGGTCCTGCTTACGACGGAAAATATATATACCCATATATATGTATTTCAACGCGCGATGAAGCGGCGAGTTTGAGACGTCATCATTAACATTCCCTCAATATATAGCGCACGATCTGCATACTTGTGACATTTATATTGATTACCGACATGAACGCCGTGGTCAAAATGGAAGTCTTCCCTGATAACATGCAGTGCACTGTGCGTGTCATATTGTGGCGGGCGTTTCAAGGAGCTGGAGGTATGCAGCCCAGGTAACTCTCAAAACCACCATTGAGGATTGAGTAGTAGCGCCAGAAGGTGAAGAATATGGACAGGGAACTACGGAGACTAGGAATGAAGAATCAAATACTAAAATTTATCGATATTTTGTCTATACAAATTAACTCCAACCCATTTTTCCGATCCTTTTCCCGAAAAGTCACCGCGGAGACCCATCTATTATTCATCTGATGGTGTAACTCTCCTTTCGGTCGTAACTACATGAATGGCGGTTCATAACAAAGTGGATATCATAAAAAGGGCAACGCCAACATAAGTGACGGGGGGAAAATATATGTAAAGGTTGAGAGTAAAACAAAAGGAAATCGGGTGAGGGAGCTGTTACACCAAGTCAACTCGTCATCATCCCCCGGTCTTTCAACACCAGCCGATTATTCAAAGAAGTCTCCCAAATAGTAGATTCGTAAACATAAGGTCGTAATCGTAGTTCAATTCCCAGTTTCAAAGCATTGCCCAACCGGAACGTCACGCATCTGCGTATAAACAACTGAGGGAAAAGCAGCCAAAATGTGATGGTCTACTCTCCCCTCAACCCCTGGATCATACTCCTCAGCGCATCGAGAAGGACCGTTTCATCCGGCGGCTCGCCACCTGGGAATGAACTCTCAGTTGCATTCCCCAAAACCCGAGCGCGTGCACTCTTTAGAACACCCTTGATATAATCTTTGTCTTCGTAGTCTTCCAGCAGCACCGCCTCAAAGTCATCAATGGCTTTGTTAGCACGCTCGTTGAAGGAAGCCTCGTCGGAAGACGTGTCCATAGGTACCGGCCCAGAGTTCTGCCCTCCCATGTTGTAGGGTTGTTGCGGTTGCTGCTGGTTGGGCTGGTGGTGAGACTGGTGGTGAGGCTGCGGTTGATGCTGCGGTTGATGCTGCGGTTGATGCTGATGTTGTGGTGGAGGACCCGAATTTGAAGGGTACTTCTGGGGTTGGTTATTGTTTGGCGGAAGTGACTGGGTGCTCGGGGGTGGATACGGTGATTGATGTTGTGGTTGCGGCTGTGGCTGAGCCTGCTGGGATTGCTGGTACTGGAGAAGCTGGGGTGGAGGATCGGAGGCGTAAGGTGAGGTATACGTAGTTGGTGTTGTTTGGGCGAACGCAGCAGGGAGGTTGTTTCTGATTGGACTGGGTATCGGGAAGGGTGAGGAGGCTGTAGGTTGTGCAGGAGGCGGGTACGGAGTTGAGTGTTGAGGAGGAGCAGGAGCAGGGGCAGGGGCAGGGGCAGAAGCAGGCGGAGGGGCGGGAGTAGGTGCTGGAGCGGGCGTGGGCGCGGGCGCTGCTGCCGGCGGAGGGTATGGATTTGACGGCATTGATGAGAATTGGAAGTGCGAATTGGCCATACCAGTTTGACCATTTGGTTGGTTTTGGTATGAGTTTGGCATGGGTGGCATGTATTGAGGAGGCACAGACGGAGGAGGCTGAGGTTGGGCGGGTGGAGGAGGAGGAGGTGACGGGCGTCTTTTCTTCTCCTTTTCGACAGAAGCCCCTGGTCGTAGTTGCCATGACCATCCTTTGCCATCTCGTTCAGCATGCATGAAGAGGTGACTGTT